GCAAGGACCTCGATTTTCCATTCACACCGCGCGACCGAAGCAGCAGCAGCAGCAGCAGCAAATTCAAGTTTCTTCCGCAGGCCAGTTTCTCGAGGCAGCAACTCTCCGCGTGCACAATACGGAGAAGAAGCAGCTCGGATATCGGCGATTCCGCGGCTCGACGTAGCAGCTAGAAGAGCTACTACTTGCAACACGCAACGCTGTTAAATCGTCTCACATGACTCGCGATCGCGGTCAAGTCGACTCAGAGCTCCAAAGAGATACATTGCATAGCGTAGCAGCTCTTCGCGGTCGTCGATCGTCCATAATATATCGCGTGCGCACACGTATATTATATACCTATCGTATTTTCACCTCCGTACGTGTGTGTGTGTCTGTGCAGCTGTGCAGCTCAAAATGCCTTTAAACACAGATATTGTATCGGTGATCGTTGTGCAACAGGAATCGGTAGCGCTTCGTCGCGCGTGTAATAAGAAAATCATACATCATCGGCATACAGCATGCGGGATAATACGTCTGCATATATAGGCGCTCGTCATTGCGTGTCGACTGATCTTTTTTTCTCGCCGAGCTGCTGCTGCGGCGCGAGCAACAAAAAAACTATTCATAATATGCCTGCTTGATCTATTGTCCCAGTCTAAGGCAGGCCTGCAGTTGCCGCCTTCGAATTCGAGACCATTACTACGTCGCATAACGAGCGGCTAAGACGCCGATAAAAACGATCCAGCGGCCTATAATGATGAAACTTTCTACGAGCTATGAGGAAAACTGTTTTGTAAAAGAAGCCTAGCTAGTTTTTCTCTTTTCGACTCCGCGCTAATGATAACAATGAGTCGTATCGAACGAGAGGATTGCAGCATGTCAGTCAGATGCATTACGAAAGGCGTACTTTGGTCCGCTTTACGCTTAAGCCGCGGTGCCGATGCCGATCGCGCCATCTCGCGACCATCCGACCAATCCGATCTCTCTTGCTTTTATCTTGGATCGGTACACGATCGACGAGCTGCGGCGAACTTTGCGTTGCTCTTATCGATTTCCACTCGCTGCACGACGAACTCGATAAATCTCTCAGCGTGCCGTTCGAGTGTCATCCACCAAAATATCATCGAGTCCCTTATCGCATGCAAGAACGAATATTAAATCTTCAATTACGGTGAACTGTGCCATGAAACTACGTTTTTCGCTCGATTTACCGCTAATTGTATTCGCCTGTAAACGCTCGACTATGCGAAATTACAGTGACAATCGCGAATATCGTATCCTCAAAATGTTCAACGAGCTGTAATGCCTTGAAATTATCATATCTAAACAGTCGAGGCAGATTGAGTCATTCGCTTGCTTTTCTTCAAGCCCATTTACGTTTGCTCGCTTTGTCCGCGCGCTGCGACGAGTTTCGACGCCGACGCACAGTTGCATCGGTCGTCTAACGAAGGCCCCCAAAGTTTTGGAAAAGGAGCGAATGGGAAAGTTCGAGGTGGGGTTGGTGCAATACAAAAAAAAGCTCGACGGCGCGATCGTTACGGTGATCGGTAATATCGGTGCTAGTGGATTGAAGCTGCGTATGACGTAACATGTGGGTCAAATATTTTAGCAGACGCTAATGATTTTTGTCCGCGCCTTTTTCTCTCTCGCTCATGGGCTGTACGCAGCATGAGTGTGCACAACAGCAGCAGCAGCAGCAGCAGCATCAGCGAGCCAGAGCGCTCCTTTTTTTCTTGACCGGAGCAGTTAATCGTGTTATAAGCCCTCCTAGTCTGGGCGTTAATGATGTTTGCGACGATTAGCGCGATCGTCAGTAGCCCGTGCGGGGGCGGGCGAAGGGGCCCTCGGCGGCCCGAGCGCAATTATGATGCGGCTACGAAACGCGCGCGGATCCACTTTCGATGATCGAGCAGACGCGCGATTTCGTTAGTTGGCTGGAAAAGCGCGGCGGATCGCGGCTTTGCTCGCAGTCAGCTGATCAGCGGCACCGCACGAGTCGCCGCTCGCTTATACGAGTCTCAGCAAAATGACCTTATTACGCGCATGCACGCGAGAGCATGTCGCTCGCAGATGCTCCGCCGTAATACACGTATGTAACGTAGCGTGTGTAATCGTTATCACGAGTTTTCGAGGCATAAAGTCCCTCGATTCAAAGAGCTATCGATGAAAACAGCAACTGCCGACGACTCTTGCAGCCGTATACACTCGACACAGACTTATAAATACACACTGAGGCAGATGTTTCGAGCTGCAGCGATTGAGCGCCGTATATGCTGTCTTTCTAATCCCTATCTTATCTCGGAACTTAGAAATGTAATAAAAAACGTTGTGTGTGTTTGTTGGACTCGGCTAATCTATCTCATCTTTCCGAAGTGTCGAAGCGATGATTGGCTATACATTGGGCTACATCGGGTTAAAATCGAAAAATCAAAAAATATCCGCTCGATCGAGCTCGTATCGCTACGACCTTCCACGCAGATTCAGACTCGAGCGCGATAATATTGAGAGATGAATCGGATGTACTGCAGGCTCGCTATGCCCTATTATCTCGTTATTGTCTCTCTGTGTACTTGGCTGCACACAGCCGCAAGTGCAGTGCACACGCGTACGTACGTGTGTATTTTTTCTACCCCAGCGCGGCAGCAGCGTCATTATCGGAGGCGATCGTTCATCCTCGTCGCATTTCTTCATCTATATGGATGTTGCGCGCTGCTGCACTTGCTGCGCGCACCGACCTATACATGACATGCCCAGCACGAACTCGATACGCCGTTTAGTGCCTTTGAGACGCGATAAGAGAAAGAAGTGAGACGCACACACGCTATCTAAGGACTGCGGCCGTCGTAGCGTAATTAGTGTGAAAAGAGAGTGCGGCGGGAGGGAGGCAGAGCAGCAGTAGCAGAGATCCCCGATATTACGCCAGAGAGGCACCGGCGGTGAAGCGCTGCTAAGCCGGTCGGGACTTCTAGTCGCTGCTGCGATTCCACAGCGCTTACACCTACACGCCGACGATAGGCAAAAGTCACCACCGACGATATTTACCGCAGTGACTCGTGTTCGTCTTAATGTTTGTTTAGATTCGTTTCATTTTCTTCGTTTTCTTTTTGCTTTGTTTTTCGTTTCGACAAACTTTTTCTCGACGACGACATAAATTGAGTTTGATGTGCTTCGTGGTGATTTGATTGGCAATTATATCAAACCGAAGGATCGTAAGCATGAAAAACAGAGCAGCGATCGTCCCGAGCCAACAGCAGATCAATCTCAGTTCTGTTTTGCATAATCATTGACGGGATTTCTGTCTGTGGTAAGTTTTCAGCCAACAAATGTTTATAATAGCGCGATACGAGTGCTTAAAGTACTGCAGCATAGAATTAAAATAATGACACAATAACACAGAAATAACGATTGCTGCAATTATATTCGCGAAGAAAAAAAACATAACGCGAATCGAATACTCTTTATCCTCTACGAATTACACAAACTCGTTGAAAGAGTCAGTCTCTCCGGATTTATCTATGGAAATTTTTTATCACCTTAAACATACATTGTATCGAACGCCTTACTTATAGGAACACCGAAATATTATATCAGTTACACAGGTAGAGGAAGAAGATAAAAAAAAAAAAAAAGAAAGACAAGAAAAAAGAAGCGAGAGTTTGAGAGTTCGAACAAAAAGTCGAGTACACACGTGTAGCAGATTTTGTTAGGTCATTCGTCAGAATTCGAAATCGAAGTTCAAGAATAGCGTGATTAGTCGGATAGTGCGGCTGTATACGCGACGCGACGTAGACGCTGTTGCTACGAATGTGCATGAATTGTGCATATAGCGGGCGGAGGCGGTCAAAGTAGAGCAGGCTGCAATTGAATCGCGCCGCTGCTGCTGCTGCTGCTACTGCTCCATGCATGTAGCTACTATACGTCGGCCGGCGCGCGTGCACAGTCAGACTTTGCTCGATATATCGATTGGGCGTATGGGGCCGAGAATATATTATAACGTAGGCCGTGGGGCTGTCGTTGTTGCATATGCATATAGTTAGTCGGTTGCCTACTTTCACGTGTCCGCAGCTCGAGACGAGCCTCTGGCTCCGCCGCAGTTTCGATTGCATCTATGCACGGACGGACGTATGTACTACTGGAAGACGCGCCAGCGCCTGCGATCGAACGATTGAAGCAGGTATCGATACTCGCGCCTATAAGCACAGCCGTCGAGGCGAACGCGACGAGCCATCCGCTGCACGACGATAATCTCGTAGGTTTCGTTGGGCTCGGCGAGTTTCCTTATCGGTCACCGCGACGAGGCTGACGCACACAATAGGAGCTCCGGCAGGCAGTTTGGCGCGATCGGCTTTATTAGTGCTAATTTTTGCTCGAAAGCCCGCGCGCGCGTCCAAAGAGCGTCGGACGGTTCACGCGACTGCGGAACGCTAATTACTTCCTCCTTCGCGCGAGCTGCACAGATGCGAGTAGATGCGAGCTGCGCGCCTCATGTGATCCGCCATGCAGCAGCGAATCGCGAATTCTTCTTCTCGGCGAACTTGACACGCTTTACATATATATTCGTTCGGTTGGCTCGTGTGGCTCTCGTGGCTCCTGCATCGAAAATTACCAAGCTCGATTGTCTCAGCGGCAGTCAACGATAGCTCGCTGGGCACTCGAGTACTCGGATCCACTCGGTGCGCGCTTACCTATAGATACAATACGAGTGCGTCGAGCTGTGTGCGGCGCGCGCGCGACAAACGTCAATGAGTAGTGCGCGTGCGGAAGCTCGCCGACACCTGCAGCACAATCGAGCGATGACGCGATATACACACGCCTTTAACAGTCAACCGGTTTTTCGTCGCTACATCTATGTACACGATACGCTGATAGGCAGGTACGTATAGACGCGTACACACGACTAAACGTACAGTCAGTCACATGATCGCCCGACGCGCAAACCAAAACTATCCGTCTCTGCGGCGCGCGTCAAAAATTCTCCTTCGAGTCCGGACGTCGGCAGAGATAAACAGGATGTTGTAAACAGTGCTACGGGCCAAAGCAGCAGCGCCTCTGCCCGTGTGTACGTGTGTGCGTGCGTGTGCCGATCGCTGTATGTGCTAAGCGGCATCTTTCTCTCCTATCTCTTCGGCGAAAGCTCGAGGAAGAGGCGACGCGTAAAATCTCTCATCGCACGTGCTCCGGCTATTGATAAGAGGTCCGACAAAGAGGCTCTCGCGAGGCGTGCGTCACCGCGCGCGTATATACCCTACCTGCCGATCATATACCTATCGTCGCGCGCTCCAGTGCAGATGTCTCATTCTCGTAACGACGCTTTGGCCTTCCGCAGACATAACAACTGAATGAGGAAGAGGAGACCCGCAGGCTTGTCGGCGCAATCATCAAGAGGATGACGAGGACGACGAAGCTCCTGCTGATCATCGGCCTTCTGCCGGCGATCCTCATCTCCGCCGGGACTGGTCCGCAGCACGAGCTGCTCCAAGAGGTGGAGGATGCGCTCGAGACGAGCTCGTCGCAGGTGTCGTCGAGCACGCCGGAGTCCGTCGTCGTCGTCCGGGCCCGTGACCAGCCGCTGGCCGAGCGATGCGCTCTCAAGACCGACCACGGGCCCTGCAAGAACTACGTGCACAAGTGGACCTACAACAGGACCGAGGCTCGCTGCCACACCTTCATTTACGGCGGCTGCCTCGGCAACGATAATCGCTTCAACAGCGAGCAGGAGTGCTTGCACCACTGCGTCGGCGGACCCGATAGTGAGTACCAATCATATTGTCGTATACTTGCAAAAACAGACTCGCGTACTATTGGGAGAGCCTCGTGCACACAGATACGTTGCCGGCATACATGGCCACCAGGAGCGGCATCTTCGTGACGACGGAGACAGCCGCGACTTTGAGCGACTCAAGCTCAACGGGAAGCCCGTCCACGACGCCGAGCAGCGACAGCGACAGCGGCAGCAGCAGCACCAGCAGCCCCGTCGTTACGTTCGTACCGACGAAGCCGACGAGGCCCCCGGTGCCGAAGCACAAGCGCGGCAAGGAGCTCACCTTCATGGAGACCGGCCACGAGCGCACCTTCATGTTCGCCCAGAGCAACACCTTCATCCAGCTGGACGGGCCCGGTATCAAGCAGTTCCAGCTGCGGCTCTGCCGCGAGATCTCCTTCAAGTTCCGGACGAAGCTGCCCCACGGCCTGCTCGTCTACCACAGCGTCAAGGAGCGGCCCGAGAGCCTCGAACCCTACGCCCTCTACGTCATCGTGGAGAAGGGCCAGCTCAAGGTCGTGCACGTCTTCGGCAAGAACAGCACGAGCCTGACCGTGGGCCAGGGCCTCAACAGGGACCGCTGGCACTCGGTGCTGGTGCGCATCGACGTGCACGGGGCTCGGCTCATCGCCAAGGTCGACGACGAGCAGGCCGAGACCGGCGTCGAGGTCCTCGAGCACATCGTCAATTACGGCGTCTCCGAGGAGCTGGCCTCGGTCGTCCTCATCGGCGGCCTCAGCTCCGAGGAGCGCCTCCACGGCGTCAAGTACATAATCGAGTCGTTCGTCGGCTGCATTCGCGACATGGTCCTCAGCTCCGGTAAATCGGCCAGCGACCTCTTGCCCATTCGACCGCTCATCGCTACCAAGCACGAAAACGTCAAAGAGGGCTGCACCGATAAGTCAGTATATCGTTCCTTTCTCGAGTCTTCGCGCGTATAGCCATAACTCGCTTTATCTACTTTTATTATTCCGTAATAGGTGCAAAACGACGGACAACCTCTGCTTCAGGAGCAGCCAGTGCGTGAACCACTACAACGGCCTCACTTGCGACTGCTTCGGTACCAATTACGAGGGAGAAAGATGCGACGTTTACAGTGAGTAGCCCAATTGCTAATTTCGTCGTCGTCATTGATCGTGATTTCGCACTATAATTTATTCGACGATCATTTTTACTAGCTGCGACTATTTTGACGCTCAGAGGCTCTTCTTACGTGTCGTTCCGAGTTTACGATTGGAAGGACAGAGTGCACTCGTCGGTTAATAGGATAAGTCTTGCATTCAAGGTCAGTTCTCGTTATTTATGATGAAAAAAAAAGAAACTCGCTGCACTACAAACTTTGGCCTAGTGCAAACTCGCTTATCTCGCCTGTTTAGATAAGGCTGAATCAACGCTCGAGCTAAATTAAATATTATCTCTCTTTCTTTGTTTCCTAACTGTCGCGCGTCCTGACGACCTCGATACTACTATACGACAGACGAAATGGGACGATTCGGCGTTGTTTTACGCGTCCGGCGAGATCGACGGCACTGCTCACTACGTAGCGGCGTCCATCGTCAACGGCTCCGTCGCCGTCGAGCTGGACTTTGGCCACAATGCAAAGCTCAGCACGACTCTGGGCCACCACGTCACGATGAATTACTGGAACAATTTGACCATCTTCCACAACGTCTCGGTGGTCTACGTCAGTCTCAACGGCGACGTCAAGATTTTGGATGTGCCCGGGGACAATTTCAACATGTACATCGACCCGGAGATCTACATCGGCGGCGGTCCGGAGCTGCACAAGAAACAGGGCCTCGTATCGACCAACAATTTCGCCGGATCCTTGAAGTACGTCTTCTTCAACGACAAGTCCATAATCTACGAGCTGAAGCGCTCGAATCCGATGGTCCACTACATCGGCGTGCTCGAGCCCGAGTACTACGAGGACGACGTCGAGGTCATACCGATAACTTATCCGTTCGCTGGCAGTCACATTTGGTGGCCCATCAATAGCCTCGACACTTTGAATCTCAACTTTGACTTTAAAAGCTCGAAACCGATTGCTGTAGTGGCATCGGGAGACGTGAAGAGCGAAGGAGGGCCTGGATATTGGGAGGTGCGTCATAATTTTTCTCACATCACAACATATCGAGCATAGAGCAAAAATAAAAAAAAATTGATGAATTATTTTGAAACGATTACGCAGCTACGAGTAGTGAACGATGAAATTCGATTCGTGCTGGTGCCGGTCTCGGGCGAAAACGTCACCGTCTCGGTGGCCGTGAAATTCCCCTACAACACGTCCTGGCACGCGGTCGAGCTGAACTACACGCGGGAGGAGCTGAGCATCCTCGTGGACTACCGCAACAAGCAGAGCAAGCTCTTCCAGATGAATCTCGAGCTGGGCGATCGGGTGATAATCGGCAGCGGCAAGGGCAGCGGCTTGGTCGGCTGCATGCGGGACATCATCGTGAACGGCCAGAAGATCGAGCCGAGGTACATCATCAACACGGAGCGAGTCGTCGGCGAGGTGGCCATCGACAACTGCCAGTTCGTCGACCCGTGCACCCGGCCGAACACCTGCGAGCACGGGGGCAAGTGCTCGGTGAAGGAGGACCGGATCACCTGCGACTGCACCGACACCGGCTACATCGGCAAGAACTGCCACTTCGCCCAGTACCGGAAGACGTGCGAGGAGCTGGCTCTGCTGGGCTACACCAAGGACGACGTGTACCGCATCGACATCGACGGCAACGGCCGCTTCCCGCCGGCCCTGGTCAAGTGCGAGTTCCAGTCGATCGAGGACGCCACCAAGACCATAGTCGAGCACAATCTGCCCTCACAGGTGGACGTGCGCTCCATCAACGAGGACGACTTCTCCTTCAGCATCACCTACGTCCAGTTCACCGCGGAGATGCTGCAGGAGCTCATATCGCACTCGCTCTACTGCAGCCAGTACGTCAAGTACGACTGCTACAAGGCGCCGCTGGAGCTGCACAGCGCCACTTGGTTCGTCAGCTCGAAGACCACCACCGTCGACTATATCGGCAACGCCAATAGGGGATCTTGTCCTTGCGGAGGTATCGACTATAAATTCGACTCTTGAATCCTTGTAATCGATCGCGTATCGCATGATATATCCTTTCATAATGTCCTTTTGTGTTTCCCCAGTCAACAGAACTTGCGTCACGTCGAATCTTAGCTGCAACTGCGACGTATCAGCTGGAAAGTGGCTTTCCGACGAAGGTTACTACGAGACTCCGGACTCTCTTGGCATAACGGAGATGGTCTTCCTTCAGCAACGAGATCTCGAGGAAGACGCTCAGGGCAGAATTACTCTGGGCCCTCTCGAGTGCGTCGAAACCAGTGAGTGACTCGTCTTTCTACGATCGTTTCTCAACCTCCGCAGACTCTCTTGTGAATTGCCCCTAATTGCCTCTTTCTCGATAATAACAGATACTCAAAAGTACGTGGTGACGTTCACCACTTCGCAATCGTACATCGAAGTGCCAGGCTGGAGAAAAGGTGACATAGCCTTCAGTTTTCGTACGACCGGAGAGAAGGCCATTCTTCTGTACCAACCGCCGATCCGTAGTAATTATCCTTCCTTCATGGTTGCCTTGACCTCGGATTACAAGCTGACCTTCAATTTCACCTTGAATACCGGAACCATACGCGAACTCGAAGTTAAAAGCCGAAGGAAGTTGAACAACGGCGAGTGGCAGAAGATCTGGATCGATTACAACGACTATCACGTACGCTTCATGATTAATACAGACTTCCAAATGGTCGATTTACTTCCCGAAGAAGAATTTGGACCGTTCGAGGGCTCGATGTTTATTGGCGGTGCCACAGCGTAAGTATTGAAATTCCTCGATCGTGAATTGAATGATCGTTAAAAACTAAGACCATTTTTGAAATAGGGAGCACTTGAAAACGTCGTCCGTGAGGCAAGGACTGATTGGTTGTTTCCGTGGTCTAGTCGTCAACGGCGAGATTTTAGACATTCACAGCTACATGTCCGTCCATTTGTCGGAAATAATAAAGGATTGCAAACCCTCGTGTCAACCGAATAAGTGTCAAAACAACGCCAAGTGCGTCGAGCTCTGGAGTAATTTCACCTGTGTTTGCGAAAACAAGTGGGCCCATCTGGGTACCTACTGCGAATCGAGTGAGTAAAGAAAAATTTTATTATCTTACGATGTTGCCCGAATAAGCGCCAATCGCGATATTTTTTACCCACAGATATCAACAATAAAGCACTGACTTTCACGTCGCCCGGAGCTTTTCTCAAAAAGAACTACTTCAACTCCATCGAGGAGGAAGCAGAAAAGACCCTGCTGAAAAGAATGCTGGTGAATAACATTCTGATCAATCTGAGGACGTACGATAGCCATTCGTTGATCCTCTACGCCAACGACCACCTGAACAATTTCGCTCACCTGTACATTTCCAACGGGACGAGGATCGTTTACCTGTTCAACGCGGGCAACGAGATCAAAAACATATCGGTCGAGTATCCCGGAGCCAACACCGGCATATCCGTTCAAATAGCCATAATCCGCACGGAGAACACGACGACTCTGCACGTGAACGAGCACAACGTGACTCTGGACACGGTTCCGCAGCTGCTCGAGGACTACTCCAACAAGCCCTGGATCAATCCGGAGAAGGAGGTCCTGGCGCCGCAGAGACCTCCGGCGCCTCCTACGGACTACTTTCAGGTTATACAAACGTTTTGTTTTTGCCCGATGTAACGAGGAATAATTTATTGATATTAGAGAGCCGTGTTGCGTGAAATTATCAGGTGAACCTCGGCGGCTTCGATCCGGACAATCTGCTGCGAGTCGGAGTCGAGGGCAACCTGATCCAAGGATACGTGGGCTGCCTACGAGGCCTCATGATAGGCACGTACCAGGTGGACCTTCCGAATCTGGCCAGCGAAGCCAATCACGAGGGCAGCAAGGGCGTACTGCCCAACTGCCACATGAAGTGCGACGCCATACCTTGCAAGAACCAAGGCATCTGCACCGAGGACTTTGGCAAGCAGGAGGCCTCCTGCAACTGCGAGCTCACCTCCTACTTCGGGGAGCACTGCGCCGATGGTAAAGACGCCCTTTTCAGCGGTATAATATACGAGTCGGACCAATTACTAACCGTTTTATCGCTTGCGACTTTGCAGAGAAGGGAGCGGACTTTAGTGGGGAAAGCGTGCTGCAGCGGGAGTTCGAGCTGGACGGGGACGTGAATCAGATAAAGATTCAGCTGGCCTTCTCGACGCTCGACCGGCAGCGCACCTCGGCACTGCTGCTTCTCCAGACGGAAAACAAGTACGCAAACGCCGAGAAAGCGAGTTACAAGCGCGATAGTAGCGATAAACATGTTGTTAAACCTCGCAGGAGGAGCTATTACCTGCTGGTCGCCCTGACGTCCGAGGGTCAGCTCATCTTCGAGGAAGATCGCGAAGGCTCGGCCTTCGGGGTTCGACTCAACGACCGAACCTTCTCCAACGGGGCTCGCCACAGCATTTACTACGTCAGGGACAACAATACCGCCACTCTTCTGGTAATTATCGAGTAAAAGTTTATTACCTCCGAGTTCGGTGCTTGAAGAAGCCGTTGCCTTTTGCAGATCGATCGAGAGCCCGTGCAACTCATGCCCATTCCAGCCCTCAACTCGGGCGACGACGAGGACGAGGAGGGCGTCGAGGACGACGATGGTCCAGGCACCACGGAAATCCAATTGGGTGGTCTCAACACCACCGACAAGAGGTTCAGAGCCTACAAGGGCTACACGGGATGTCTGAGCAGTAAGTCCACGAAAATCGAGCACTATATATAAGCTCGAGCGAAGGAGCTAGTTGACACGATGCGTTGAGCGTGTTTCAGACGTCGTGGTGTCGATCAACGGGGCAGTGGGCATGAAGCCGCTCGAAGAGTACATGCTGTTCACGAAGAAAGGCAGCGAGACCGTGCGGGTGACGGCGCCGGCCGGCGTGAGGAGCGCCCAGTGCGCCGTGTTCCACACTCAGCCCCGGGGTCTGGAGCCGCCCAAGAACGACAGCGTGAACCGCGACAGGTCCTGGGGCGAGGATCCGCCCAAGCGCGTCCTCTACAAGTCCCACTACTCGGACAACACGCAGGAGGAGCAGGGCGCGGGCACCTACATCTTCTTCGCGCTCGTCTGCGTCTTCGTGCTGGTCGTGCTCGGCTGCTCGTGGGAGGTCTGGCGCAGCGCCAGGAAGGCTCGCAGGCGCCGCAAGCAGCAGCAGAGGTCCAGGTCCGGTTCGTCCGGCTCGGCTTCCCAGAGGTGGCCGGCGGCGGCCTACAACTCCGACGTGGCTCCGCTCACTCCGAGCGGCGGCAAGAGCGTCGGCTTCAAGAACGTCGTCGTCGAGAGCAGCGTCGACAGGAAGCAGCCCAACGGCACTCACAAGAGCACCATCAACACGACCGAGTACAAGCCCTTGCCCAATTCCGATCCCAGCGACAAAAAGATTAGCCCTGTCAAAGGTACTGAAGCATTTAACATTTTAGCATTACTTTTAATTTTTGAATAAGCGTTCGGTCAATCGTCATGTTCCTTCTTCTTCTTGCATTGCAGGCGAAGAAGAAGCCGAGAAAAAAGAGCTGCTGGGAGTGAACGCGAGCTTAGGCCCGAAACCGGTCAAGCTAAATCCATTTGTAAAGACTTTATCATTCTTTTCCATCCCTGTTGGTGTTGATTTTATGTTTCAGCACGCTATTGCAAGCGCTGAGAGCTTCTGCTTCGACGTATTAAAAATCACTAACAATTGACTAACACACGCATTCGGCAACTAACTCAATGCAGCTTTTGATCCACCCACGATAAATAAGCCCACTACGTACTTTACTCGCACCTTTAACGTTTGTCTGTAATCACTTGTTTAGTCGATGGCCGATCTGCGCGAAGAGGACGAAGAGGAGGAGGAATCCGAGGCTGAAGCTCGAGAGAGCAGCGATCCCCAGGACGACGCCAAGCAACAACAGCAGCATCAGCAGCAGCAGCAGCAGGTCGAGCCCAACGGCCGAACGCCGGTAAAAATCGCCCCGGTAAGAAGCAACAATGGCAAACGCAAAGCTTTACTGCAGACGAACTTTTCGATAACCGGCTTGAATGAGATCAAGACCGAGCGCATAGCCGACGATCAGGACTCAAGATTCGTGCTGCAGTGCGACGTGACTGCTCGGGACGTGGCCGACGGCGCGCCAGGTCGGCCGGGCACCAATCGGCCCGTGAGCTTACACTTGAACAGCACGTTCACGACCTTCAAACCTCCCAGACCGTCTAGCGTTGTGCTCGAAAAAGTCACGGCTAAGATCGTTGACGGCAGCGGCGGCGGCGGCGGCGACGACATCGATTGATCGTGCCCATCATCGCCGCCTGTCTAATTACGAGTCGTTGGCCCTTTCTCGTCGCTTTTACGCACAACAATTTTGGACTTGTAACTTTAGCTGTAGTCGATTCGAGCTTTTTAGCAACTTGGCTTCGGTTTATCGCCAAATTTTATCCCAAAACATACGAGTAACAATTGTAAGCTTTTGTACCATACAAATAGGACTGAAACGTTCGCATAGACTCAAAGTCAGAACAATAAGCTGGACTATACTTTTAGGTTTATTTATCTCGACAATATCAAGTACTTTTGCGGTACTCTTTTAAATGAAAATGTAAGACAGTAACGAACGATGGCTTTTAAAGACTTCGTTTTTTGGTGCTTTTTAACTTTTTGTATTATAAATGCTTTTGGCATGAAGCATCCTATTATTAATTATTATTATTATAATTATTATTATTACTATCTTAATTGTACCTACTTTATGCACATTATTATCACATCACAAGGCAATTATTCACCATTGATCACTATAATAAGTATAAATGTGAGAACGACGAATGTGAAACTCGCTTATAATTGGAATGACTTATTGAAATCTTGTAAATAATCAGTAATTGCACTTTCAGATGAGAAAAGCATCATTGATTAGTATCGATGATGACAACGTTATACCGTTAAATTCAATCTTCAATGATGAAAATGAGAGTTGTAGTGATGAGTCTTGAGGTATTATAATTTTAATAGCTATAGCGCATGCAGTTCTTCGAGGCTTCGTGCTTAAAAAAATTTCCGTATTAAAATCCTTCTCTTTTATATATATTACAAATATATCAGGGTAAAATAATTTGCTATCATTACTTGCAAATTGTAAAATTTCAATGATGAATGCGAGAATGCTCTGGTCGATCTGTGCGCTGCTCAGCAACAACTATTACTATACTTTTACTTTGGTCTCTATAAAAAATAAATATAATGTAACATGCAAATATGCATACAATCAATAATTTACTAATGCTGTACATAAAATATTAAAAAATTGATATTTAATCGTTTTCTTTAAATTTTTCACACGATATTTTCATAACATCACTAGGTTGCATGTCCTTCTTTGATTCACAATGCTTTGGTCTGCAGTTATTCTATTTGTTTTCTCACAAACAATAAAAAAATAAAAACAATCAAATAATGCTTCAAGTCAAATTTTTCCCTTTATCCAAACGCACACTACAAGTTATTAATAAAAATATGCTACTACATGTGTAGGCAGCAGATGGAAGTTCAAACGGACAGGCGAAATTATCAAGCAATATGACAGCAGCAGGTTGGTGATATTGAAAATTATTGACAACCACGCCTTTGTTTATTTTTTCTCCTGCATGTGCTTAACTGTGATTTCAGAAGAGATTCGAAAGCTGCGTAACATGAAGCTGTCGCCGATGTATTTGTCACCGCAACAGCGCACTTTCAGTAATCCCATAAGTTATCTTGGTGGTCCACGGCTGCCTGCCTCGAGGAGTGGATCGTCTATCGAATCCGTTTTGTCACTGGACTAGTTGATAATGTGCTATTTTTTCGACTATTCGAGTCGACATAACGTACGATTATTACGCGGATGCTCTACTTAATCCTTCGTACCGACGGCCTGCGCGTTTCTATGAGAATCTCAACAATTTCTGAGTTGATAGCAAATTACATGTGATAGACTTTTTCTTATGAATGAAACGATCAACTTTTACGAGCTAAAATTATGTTCATGTGAATCATTCCTAGCTGATAACAAAGAAAGCAAATAATTAATCAAAGAGGACAAAGTAAGATTTATGTGTTATGTAGCACATTGAATAAATTAGTATCATTGATGTGTACTTGCAGTTCATAAAATTAAGTCAAACTCTTAATAAGTAACTGCTCTTCAAACATTTTCATTGCGAAAAGCATTAGATAAAATCAAAAACGCAATAACACAATAACTGTATATTAAAATTTTAATCATCTTCGAAGTATATTATATACATCTGAGTCAAAAATATAAGTATAAATATATAAATGAATATAAATATACATACATTTCATTGTATATATATGTATATAAATATATATTAGACATATATAAATATTTAAACAAATATTCTAGTATTGGTTGCTTAAATGATAAATAATATTAGTTTAGACTCGTCCAAGTGATAACAAAAACAGTTAAGTTAAGTACAATTAGGTATGAGATTACAATATTGCTTGGGACCCTCTCCAGGATGCGATTGTATGGTGACCTGTATTACAACTTTCGTTGCCCTGCAAATACACGATTGTATTATATTGAATTTTCTTATATTGAGCTATTTAAAAAGAAAATTGTTGAACGCGTTGCGTCTAATTCACCTGTGTAAGCATTAATAATTCGTCTTGAGTATCGACAATTCTAACGGGAAACGGTGAACCTGGCACTAATACACCAGCCCATCTAACTTCAACTCTATAGTCTCCCGGCTCGGTTGGGTCGTAGCGGCACAAAATAATACGATCTTTTTGAGTCTCGCGTTGCATTTCTACTCGGAACGCGCCCTTGGGTCCACGAACTCTCACTGTCAATTGACCGGCACCAGCTCCTCGAGTGTCGCAAATAAATCGTGACTGGAAAGTCGCTAGAACACCGTGTTCTACTCCCGGTCCGTATACGCGCACCTTCGAAGCATCAGGAGCTCCGGATACTTTCAGAGTAAATGGAGAGCCAGGTACGTGTTCACCGGCGTATTTTATCGTTAAGGCGTGTCTTCCTGCTTCTTGAGGTTTTATGTTGAGAGTAAATGTCGCATCACCATGATCATAAAGTTCGCAATAAGCAACTTTATGAGGACCTACACATTGAGCTGTTAGTTCACCTAAAAATTCAAATAATTTTAATCAAACAGGCTCTAAATCAAATAGATGACAATTTAGACTGTTATATAAATACCTGGACCAGCTCGTCGAGTATCGATAAAACTTTTGATCTCTTGGCCAACAACGCCATACTTCAAACCTTGGCCTGAACATATGACCCGAGAAGCATCAGCTGCACTTGTGACATTTATTTGCAGAGGACAACCTTTAAGTTGCCGACCGTTCCAAGACACGGTCATCAATAGTGAATCTGTAGTAAATGGTGTATAACTCGCTCGATATACACTATTACCGAGATGTTGTAAGACTACATCGATTTCGCTGGTCGGAGAAAATATCTGTACTTGTGGGGTACCTGATCCAGCTTGCGACCCATCAATGGTGAAACTAACTTGTTCTCCGCATTTGGCTGAAGTTAATCCACGACCTCTCAACATAACTCTCGAATCCGTAGATATTGACTGTAATTAAAAAATAAATTAGAAAATCCACTTTATGTACATTGTTTACAAAAAGCCGTGAAAATAAAATAAAAATACCTCTGATTCAGTTGCAACAGCAAGTTTCGGTGCTCCAGGGAAAGGCACTCCATTGAAAAGAATTTCCATAGGATGTTCGCCAGCATTAACTTGTGGAACTACGAGTTTCAATCGATTGTTTGATGTCATTTCAAAATCTAAAGGTTGATCAGCTAGTGTTCCAGTAAGTTCGCCTGGTCCAGCTTCGGTCGTATCAAAGCTTATTTTACTACCAGCTGCTAGTTTCAAACGTCCAAATTCGTCACAAAGTGCTGGCCATCCACCAATCACCCGAAGATTACGACTGTCGACGATCTTTGGGTGCCAGGGTGATCCTGGAAGTTGATGTCCAGCGCATGCTATTCTTACGTCGAAAACTCCAGGCTCGCTAGGGACGTACGAACAGTTCCAAGTTCCAGGACTGGGACCGGCTTCGATCGTAGGTTTAGCAACACTATCGGGTCCGTCGACTTGTATGGCAGGGGGACTGCGACTACCCGTTACAGTGAAGTGAGCGGGTTTACCTACGTGACCTTGAAGCAGACCTTGACCTTTTGCACGCGCTTGACCAGTAGACTCTACGGTGCACACGATCGGTGAACCTGGTACTGGGCAGCCTCCATAGCTGACGTTGATGCTATACGATCCCGAGGTGCTAGGAGAAAACTCAACCATTTCTGCGCCATCGTTCAAGCTAGTTATGTGTAGAGGTAATTCCTGGCCCGATGGACTTGTAGCAGTAACGTCGAGCTCGGCAACGCCTGCTTCCGATTTTATAACTAATAAAAAAAAATGGAAATAGAGAGCCGTCAAGAGATGTGTCCATCGATGGAAAGTAAACAGGGCAACCTATACTTACTTTTGAATGCAAAATGATCGTGCACGGAGATGACTGAAGGCCCCAGCTCGTGTATTTTTATTTTGTTTGCATCGAACGCTTGACAGTAAAATGGTGAACCCAATACCGGTTTTGCTCCGTGAAGTACATCAATTTTGTAAGTTCCTATAGATTGCAAAATGTTAAAAATATCGACATGGAAATAAAGAATCAAAACACGAAGAAAGTAACGATGATTTAGTGTTCATTAAATTGGTATAATCTAACGTTGAAGAAAATGGCAATAGTAAAATAAGAATACATAAAAAAGCAATTGAATTGTCTCTTACCAACTGAATGAGTCGTGAATTCTGCGAGTAAATTTCCATCACGATGCTGATAGCAACGCACCGGCACAGCATTGCCTTGTGGACTGCTTATAACAACGTCGAATTCTTTTCCTGGTCTGCCTAGAGTCTCGATGGAGAACGATGTAACTTTTCCAATGCTCGATTGATAAAGACCTAATCCAGTGGCAGTGACCTCGCGACCGCCAGTGGGGCCACGCACTGCAACTTCCAAAGGACTTCCCTGTATATGCACGTCGTTATATTTAACATGAAGTCTGTGCGGGGCTGCTCTCGTCGGATGGAATATAATCTCGTACAGCCCTTTATCCTTTTCACGAACGAGGCTATCTACATCGGCGCCTCCAGAGCGGACATGGACGCTTAGCTTGCCGGGGCCTGCATCTTTTGGTATAGCAACTACGACGCTCGCTGGTCTGTGGCATATAGCGTCCGATACCTCCTGGAGGACGATTTTGTTCGGGTCGAATGCTTGAATGGACTGCGTGCTCAAGACTTTCGAGTCTTGACTGAATGCGACGTTGTACGTTCCAACTTGTCTCGTGCGAACCTCAACCCGATGCAGATGTGAATCCAATTTGATTAAACTGCAAGGTATTATGATGCCGTCCGGACCTGTGACTTCGGCGTTTATCGGCCCAACCAAGCCACCCGTATCTAGATCTATGTAGGCCGTGTTGCCAACTCTGACCATCGTAGGTCCATCCAAAATACTGCCCACTACCAAACACTTGAAGGGACTTCCAGGTACATTATCGTCGTTGAAGCTAATATTCACGTAATGAGGAGCTGTTGTTTGAGGTACAAAAGTAACGTCGTACAATCCTCGCGCACAGGCCACGACCTCAGCTTTCACGGTATTATTTTCCGTACTGACGACGAGTTCCAAGGTACCCTCACCAGCTTGAGCAGCATCAACCGTGAAAGTCGTAGCTTGACCCAAAAGCGCCTCGGTCAAGCCGGATATGTGGACTTTAGTAACGTCGTAGACATTGCAAGCGAACGGAGAGCCGTTGATCGGCTCACCATCAACGAGTATACCGACATTGTGCCGACCTACTTCGATGGGCGTGAAGGTTATTTTGTATTTCTGATCCAGAGGTTCGATGGTTATGGGCAAGGCGATATTCGACGGAGGTGTAACGATGACATCGCACTTGTTGGAGGCCGCTTGTGGGTCAACGACAAACGTGATCGGCTGCTTGACTGGAGCCATTTTCAAGTTATGTCCGGATATGAGAGTTTGGCCAATGCCGAATACTTGACAGGTAAAGGGCGAGCCTGGCACTGGCTCACCGTTGAAACGTACGCTCAGACTGTGCAGGGCAGCTTCTTGAGGCTTGAAATTCACGCGAAATTTAGCGTTTCCCTCGCTCTGCACGAAATTCGGCACGTTTTTGCCGTTGACTGCGACGATTATCTCGAGATTTCCTGCTCCAGCTTGGCTCGCATTAACTGAAACGTATGTCAAGTATTATTAGAAAATGTTTCACCAACTAACAAGCTTGAGCTCATTTTTCGAGCTGCTTGCATACTCACTACTGAAAAAGACGGGCTTTCCAACGACTCCACTGTTTATGTCCGTGACTTTGACTTGATTAGCGTTATAAGCTTTGACAAGGAACGGACTGCCCTGAACATGAGCTCCCTTGAGCTTGACCTGGACGCTGTGGTCACCAACGTCTTTCGGGGTAAAGCCTGCATTGTAAGTAGTTGGGCCAGTTTGATCGATGATGACCGGTAGGCTTTCGCGGGTCGGTGCCAGCACGTCGACGGTTGGCTTGGAATCAGCCTCGATGACGAACGAAGCAACCCTCTGGACAGACACTTTCTCCAGAGCCTCACTCACCAACACTTTTGCCGTGTCATTTACCTGTGTCGAGTAATTGAATATTGGATTATGGGATGATTCACGAAGCCCTCGGTCGGAGGTAAAGATTATTATTCGTCGTGCTGACCTGACAGGTGAATGGACTACCAGGTACATCTTCGCCATTGAATCGGAGATCAACCGTGTGAGTGATCGGCTCCCTCGGAGTAAAGGAGATGGCATAGGTGTGCGGGCCCTGGGCTTGAGCCGAGGTAGGAACTCGGCCGCCATTGACTTTGACCTCCAGGTTGCCTGGTCCAGCTTGGCTCGTTTCCACTGCACCGGAACGGGGATTATTTGCGACGATTACACAAATCCCGAGGGTATAAGCATCTGCGTTACTTACCGAGAAATGTGACCGGCAATCCGATAACGCCGCGTTTCGCGTCCTTGACTTTGATAGCGGCCACGTCGTATACCTTGCAGCTGAATGGACTACCCAATACCGGCTGATTTCTGTGGCTCACTGAGATACGGTGTTCGCCGACGATGCGCGGGGTAAACGACACCGTGCACGTTGTGTCCTTGTTGTCGGTCACTTGAGCCGGCACTGCCTGTCCGTTTGGTCCTATATCGATAGCGAAATTTTGCAACCATCCATAAGCGTAAGTCAATACAATTTTCAATCTTTCAACTCTTTTCCATAGCAGCTTTTTTTTGCTCGGCAGATAGAGAGATTAACGTGAAGAGTGGGCCACTCGGTGATATATATCGAGTTTATCATTATAATTATGTTTTTCGTTTTCAATGTAGCTGTTAGTTATGATCAAGCGCTTTTCATGCAGACGGCACGCATCGGTGCTCGCGTACACATAAAAAAAGTGACTTGTTTCTACAAGCGGTTCAGTTATGATTGCCAATTGTTTAGCCACAGCGTAACTCACAGCTTTGAAACAGCATTTAAGCAATGTATATTATAGTAGTAGCTGCGCGTTACTTTTTATCGCGATATAATTATACATATACGAGCTGTACCACAGCTGAGCCTTTTACAAGCTAAGCAAAATAAGCGATAATTATGATTTAAGTACTTAAAGTTGTAAATGTTTATGGCGGCTTTGTTAATACAATGTATAAATATATGCGTTTAATATAGATGTATGTTTTACAGTTAGGTTTATATTCAATGCGTCCACCACCAATCATCTAAAGAGAATTAAAATGAAGATAAAAATGCTGTAACGTTAAATCGGTTATTTATCAATAACAGCAACAATAAAAAACAACAGTAGCGATCGTCTAGAAAGCAATCGTCATTCAGCCACAATAAATGAATGCGTGCAGGTTAATTGTGAATGTGAGGAAAGTGTGAGTGAATTAACAATAATTATTTAGCAATGTCGTAGTCTGAAAGTTGGCCGACCTGTAACATATAGAGAGAAAACATAGTTCTGAAGGGTCGGTGCAGTACAACTGATATTAAGTGTTTTCGGAAACTGATATCAAGGTAGGTTGGTACAATCACACACATAAAGTAACAAAACACAACAATAACAAGAAGACAAACAATTACAACAAGGTGGGTTAGAAAAAAACACACGAGACAAGTGAAAAGAGGAATCGGATAAGGAAGATGCGAAACGAACCTTCAACGTTAACCTCGAGGTCCTCGAGACTGCCAGCGACATTGCTGAGCGTGAGGGCACTTTGCCTGCCCAGCGGTGCGCTGCTCAGAGCCTGACCACTGACGGTGACGTGGGCGTCGGGCGCGACTCGTGCCACGATCGGACAGCCGGGTACGGTGCGCTTGTTGAAGGCTATGTTGACGAGGTGCTCGCAAGCCTCGAACGGCACGAAGCCGACGGAGAAGCGAGCGTTGCCCTGGGGCGTCACCTGCGTCGGGATGTTATGACCCCTGGCCGAGATGGTGATCTCGAGATTGCCCTCGCCCGCCTGGGACGCGTCGACCGAGAAGTGCTGGGGCTGTCCCACACTGGCTCGAGCCAGCGGGCCCACGTGCACCCGCTGGGCATCGAAGGCCTTGGCGAGGAACGGCGTGCCGTTCACCGGGTGTCCGTTGTAATCGACGTTGATCGCGTGAACACCCACGTCGCGGGGCGTGAACTCGGCCGTGAAGCCCTGGTGCACGTCGCCCGTCACGCGGACCGGCAGGTCGTTCGTTCCGGGCCCTCGAACCGACACCACGAGCTCGGCCGCGCCGCTCACTATGCCGGCCCCGTCCACCTCCATGTGGAAGCTGGCCGGCTCGTTGACGGGCAGCAGCTCGAGGTGCGCCAGGCTCAAGCTGACCCGGGACGTGTCCGACACGAGACAGGCGAACGGACAGCCGGGCACGGGCTCGCCGTTGAACTTGATGTCGATGTAGTGCGGCTTGGCCGTCTCCGGGGTGAAGCTGACCAGGCAGCGACCCCCTCCGACGACCTGCACGTGGTTCGGCACCTCGCCCTCGTTTATCGAGATCTCGAGTTGGCCCTCGCCGGCGGCCGACGCGTCGACGCGGAACTGACAGGCGTGACCGACCACCGCGCTCGGCACCTCCGTCACGTGGATCAGGCTGCTGTTGTAGACTTTGGCTACGAGGGGCCCGCTCGGTAGCTTCTGACCGGCTATGCTGATTTCCACCAGATGACTGCCCACCTCCTGGGGGATGAACGAGACTCGAAATTCGCCTTTGCGGCTCGACTCTTCGTCTATTCGAGCTCCGATCTGACGTTTCGAGGGGGCTGTAAATTCAATGCGCGTTTAAATAATATAATTGCCGCTTCGAGCATTTCAAAGCCGGAGAAATTTGTCGCGAAATCGTGTATTTATTAATATGTAATTTTATGCAAATTATTAACGCCTTGCAGAACTCAAGAGCTCGCGACGCTTTTAGCACGACCGTATATCATTGGGGAGCGGTCGGATTACAATAAAAGAATCTACCGAAACTAGAAAAACAAGATTCTTGAGCTCGATCATTTTTTTCGAATTTTAAGCAGATGCTCGTGTACTCGTATCGGCTGCCGGAGACACCGCCGCGCGCGAGATCGCTTGACACTAATCGGTGAGAAACGGTATGTCCTACATTTCACGGGAAATCGCTCCGATGCATGGCTCGTGTGTACAAACAATAACAACATTTTTCTCGTTCTCGATGAAATATCAATGCCGCAGCGGAATTCCGGATATTTTTCGAAAAAAAGAAGTAAAAATTTGGAAAGCTTATTGGTGAGTGTACTTACTTATGATTTGTACTTGGATCTCGTTGCTGCTGAATCCAAGTGCAGATAATTCAAAGACAGCCGGACTACCAGCGGGCACCAGACGCACCGAGTCGCCGAGCACCGACATCTTGGGACTCGGCATTATATTCACTTTCCAAGGTGAGCCTTCGATAGACATGCAAGAGAGAAACACAGACAAATGGCATATAAGACAATATTATTGGCACAGGCACTTCACACGCATCTTTCACAGTATTTTTATTTTCATCGTTGAATAGCAGATAATGTGTATTCACCTTTGCTCGCACAATGAGCGTTTACAAAAATTCAAGTCCAAATATTATCGATGAGTATATACCACTAGCCGAGCGCGTCGGAACGTAACGCATACAGAGAAAATTGGCTGCGAGAGAACGAAACGATATTCGCGACGCGAGAGGATAATTACGAAAGAAAAGAGAAGCTGCGGAGGTGTGTGTGTGTGTGTGTGTGTGTGTGTGTGTGTGTGTGTGTGTGTGTGTGTGTTAGTTTTTATTAAGGACGGGAGCGCGCGGGGGGGAAAAAAAAGGAGCAGTTAGTGCGGAGACTACGGCTAATGTCGCGAAGAGGCGAGGAAGGTGCTAATCGAAGCCGCTGCGCTAGGAAACCGATCCCGTTGTAAAATCGACGTCATCGTCGTCGACGTCGGGAAGCGAGAAGAACATCTTAGCCCGGAGAGACGATCGATTATCGCGGCCCGCCGAGCCATACGCGAGAGGCTAAACGCCGAGAGTCGTGTGTGTGTATATAGCGAGTCGTGTCGCGTATGCGCGTTTAGAAAGCAGGTGAAACGTCAGCAAGTCGCGATTTTTCTCAGCCTCGCGCCACAATACCGCGATCGCACTCGCAAACGCGACGCTTCGAGAGACGCGCACGGAGAAAGACTACTACTGGCTGCGCGCGGAGAGTGTATCGCGGGGCCGGCCGCGCGCGATCCCCGCGGATCATTCAGGAGTGTGTGCGTGTTGCCGTTCGCGTGTATACGTATAGCGAGCCACCGAGCGATCGCGAGAAAGAGAGAGGTGGAAGCGAAAAGACCTGTAATATAGGATACCGTCGTGTCAGGCCCGTAGCCTCGGATGGTAAGGCCCCCTGCGCGCGCTTTCGCCTCCAGAGGTATATACTCTTTCCTAATGGACGCCTTGGCACGCTATACAGCATAAAAATACTCCTCCACTCCCTACTCTCACCTTGCATTACTACTGCTGCATGGCATTCTTTTGCTGCTGCTGCATGCTACAACGCAGGAATGTGTGCTTATACCTATGTGCGTGTGCGCCGCGTTGCATGTATACAGATACGGCGATCGCACTCGAGCTCGACCTTAACTCGCGCCTATTTCGCGCTACAGCTCTCCGCGGCTTGTTCCGGCTTCGGGCATAAATTTGCGTACGTGGGTAGCGCCGCGGTACTTCTCTATCGCCTTCCGACTGATTTATCTCGGTATCGTGCGCAGATGTGCGAATGCGTCTCTCTCAGCTCGTATAGCCGATTTTGCTCGAGACTTTTGTTCGGGACTCCCTCGAAAGCCGTAGTAAAGAGGTCTGCGCGTCGGTCGTCGCGATTCGTCGCGAGCCGACCAAGGGCTCGACTCGCGCATATTATCCCACAAATGAGCGAAAGCGAAAAACGACCGAGAAGTGAGTCGCGCTTCGAGTCGCACAACGTCTATAAGACGACGCGCGCGCGCGCGAACCTCCATATACACGAGTGAACGGACCCTGATCGCTTCTGCATTCCCAAGATATAACGGCTTCTCTCTCTCTCTCTCTCTCTCTCTCACTCACTCACTTGCATCGCGCTCATATACACAGCTTGCACATATACTACACTGCGCCGAGTCGTGGCTATGCGTTTGAGTCTATTATTTTCATACTACATGTCTAGTATGATATCAGTCTATATCTATCGGTTCTTGCGTGCGTGCCTTGTATTCATTCTTCGCATTCTCCTCTGCGATTGCTCGCACGAAATTGTTTTCTTTTGATTTTTTTTCTTTAGCACATTTGAATAATACGCACGCAACATCAAACTGAAAACGTTTTTTTTCATTTCATATTCGAGGATAAAACGATTTCATGCGCATGATGTAATGTTTTAACGACATCGCTGTCACATTTTGACCGAATTTATCTTTATAATCGTATATACACAACTTTCAATTCGCTCGGCTCAAGTGAAAATCTTACGTACGAGTAGGATGTATTAGTTTCCTCTCTGTATATTTATACATCGTGTACATGTACTTCGTATGACGAGGTTTATATGGCGTTTATTTATTCAGGTCAATGGAACAATAAATGAGCACGTGAGCGTGTGAAATCGACGCGGCAACGACCTAACAAGACAACGCTATACTCGCTTCAATGTCACTTTGTGCTGTACAAAGTTGTGCGATAATTTTCATGCAGTCAAAAGGGTACTAGCATTTTCTTGCTAAGAGAAAAGAAGTTGCGAGATATACGACTGGATCGATTACTCACCTGGAACGGCTTCGCCGTTAAAAGTCATTTCGACTAAGTGAGACACTGCCTCGTGGGGCACGAAAGAGGCGAGAAATCGTTGATTGCCGAGCGTTGTGACGAAACTCGTGACGTGCCCACCATTCACGAGAATTTCCAAATTTCCCGAGCCAGCGTCCGAGCCATCGACTATTTAAACCGATCAAAAAACAATTTAAGCCCTATGCGTTTAAAAAAAGAACAAATTTAAATTTTGATGTTTTGCAGTGACTTACTTTCGAATTCGACCGGTTCGTTGATTACTCCGTCGGGAATGTCGCCGACTACGATGGCTTGAGCGTTGTAAGCTTGCGATCTGCAAAATAACAAAATAGCCTAAATATCGTGCGAGTTTAAAATTTTGGAATTAAATGTATTTAATTAATTTACCTAAATGGCGAGCCGGTTACATGTTTTCCATTGAAAAGAACTTGTATTGTGTATTCACCTATTTGATCAGCAGTTATCGTGTAAGTTTGATTTCTGTAGTTCGATTTTTGTACCGGTACTGGCCTTCCATTTGGGCCTGTACAAATAAAATCGAGTATAAATCTTTATTGATCCAAGCTATTACTTTTAATTGTAACAATTAAAAAATTGCGCACGCACCTGTTACAATGACCGAAATTTTACTTGCTTCTAAACTCGAATCCAGAGTGAACGAGGTAGGACGATAAAGCGGCAGATTTTCCAAAGCGCTACCTGTCACCATGGCTTGATTCGCTTTCGGTTGCATTCTTGAATACTTGTCTTCCAAATACGATTTGGCAACGGGGGAAGAGTGAGTTTCTACGATTTTCACTGGGATTTCTTTCATCGCTAAAATTACATCGACTGGTAAAACGAATGTTTTCAATGTTGCTGAACTATTAAAAGTTTTAAATACCTCGAGAGCTTAAAATGGATTCGTCATCGCGCGTAAATGTCGTTACGTACTCTGATTCTACCTTTTTTCTTTGCAAAGATGAATAGTTCATTACGTTTTTGTACTGTTTTTCTTCAGAATACAATCCATTGAAATCGTCATCAAAGTCCTTATTGCTCTTTGACTCATTGGCCACTGATGATTTGGCGAGATTTACCAGCGACTCCAAACTGCCATGAGAGAGAAGCGACTTTGTTTTTGCTATGGCATCCCAAGAATCACGTCTCAATAAACCTTCTCCGACCGAAGACGAGGAAACTGGAAAATAACAAGTGCTGTCAATGTAAGTTACGAATTTTGTCATTTTCTACAGCGAGGGTATAATGTACCTTTCACGTTACTGCTCGTATCAACGACGCCGTTTTCCGAAACATTTCTTTTACTCGTTGTCCCGTAAGATTTGGCTTCGGTCACTTTGGAATTCGTGGCTTTGTTGTAATAATTTTTTAGACTAGATTTGTTCTCGTATGGTACACCACTTTCGTAGCTCGACTCCGTCTGGTACTCATCTTTGGATTCTTCGTTAAAACTTGACTGACGCCAGTGATTGGAATTTTTGTTGAGAACATTTCGGGGTGGAGTGACGATACCGTGGTCATAAGTTGACTTGTAAAGTCTTTGCGGTGTTGAATCCTTGCTGCTACTATTACTAGCGTTGTCTCGGACTTTAAAAGAGTTCGGGTAAGCCGAGGACAATGGACTGTTCGAGAGCTTGGACATATTCAGGCCATTCATTTTGCGCTCCAAGGAAGACGTACTCGAAGATCTGTCCAAACTCTCGTTCAAAATACTATCTTTGGAGGCTCGTCGCGATCCTCTTGTGTTTCCAATCTTCAAGGGGAAAGGCGACCCGCGCACGTCCGAACCGTTAAAGTACACGTACACTCGATATTTGCCGGGTTCTTTGGGTAGAAAAGACACGCGATACTTCATGTCGCTGAGCTCTTTCGTGTAATGGCTGATCGAGCGCTTGTCGTGGACTATGTCTATGGCGATGTCGCCGAGACCACCGGTACCGCTGGCGTCAATCGTAAAAGTGAACATTTGGCCCGGTACGGCAGCTTCCGTGTCGAGTAGTCGAATACCGTGCGGATCGAAGACGAAACAGGTGAAGGGGCCGCCCTGTATGTAAGCTCCTTTGTGAGTGATGGCTATGCTCCATTCGCCGGTCTCGTCGGGCTGGAAGCTGGCCACGTGGACGCCGTCGTTGGCGCGCACGGGGCAGGCCAACGAGCGACCCGACGGCGACAAAGCCGTTACCTTAATACCTTCATGACTAGTACCGAAACTATTGACTAGAACTTCGACGATCGATCCAATGGCGCATGGATCCATGCCAGCTGCTTTAATTTTAGTTAACGGCGGATGAACTCGGAAGTAGTAAGGACAGCCATCGAGCAGTTCACCGTCGTTGTACACCATTAGCTTGTGCATACCGATTTCCGATGGTACAAAAGTTCCTTTGCCGAATAAACCGCTCCAAGATAATCGACACTCCACACGATCGCTAGGACCGATAACTTCACCCCGAACCTCTTTTGTATTGACTTCTTTGGATAGCAATTCGAGTTTGAAATGAGCCTGCAAGAGTAAAATTCGTAAGTATTATGTGCGGATAAATTAATGTCAAAAGTAAAATGAAAATCCTACCGGCTGATGGATCCTAGCAGAAGTGCTGTCGATGTGTATGAGCACTTGTTCGTTTATTTGCGGACGCGGTTTTACCCATTGGAAAAAGGCAGCGTAAGCCATGACTCCCAAGTGCTCAACATTTTGATCGGCCATGTCTTTGGCTTTCAAGAGAGGCTCGACGCCCAACTTTTTGCCGGCGTCGATGCCCAACTGCAAATTGTGCTCCCAAGCCGAAGGTCTCGAATCGATTCGATCGTAAGCCGGCGCCGGTCCGCCCAATTTGCGAACCAAACTGCAAAGGACTCGACCGTCGTTCCAGTCGCTCTGAAGCAGAATATTTTAGCATGATAATGCGAGTGTCTCGTTGAAACGGAGTTGCCAAAAGCAAGCGTCAACTTACGGTGAAGTTTTTAACAGGACAATGCGGCACTTGAGAATTGACCCATCTGAGCGTGGAATGAAATCCCGGCGAGCCGTCTTTCATGAAGTAAGAGAGATACGTCATGCCGGAGAGTTCGTCGAGATAGGGCGAGGCCAGGTACTCGGGTTGCAGCACAATCGGTATGTCGAATTCTCGCTTCGCCATTTCCATGGCTTTTTCGCAATTGTAAACTCTGAGCAAAAAAAAAGTTGGATCGAAAATTCCAAATTAGCTGCGAATCGGTAAACGCAGATCGACGAATCGTTGGTAAAAATGTACGCACTTGTCATGAGGATCGAGATGCCTCCAGTGAGGGAACAATCCAGGCCTGCAGTAATCCAGCAAGGCGCTCAAATAGATGCCGCTATTCCAGTCGGTCGTGAAATTGTTAACTCTGCATTCCGGCAAAACGGCCTGTAATCGTGAAAAAAAAATTGTTTCAGGTGAATCGTGGCTCGCGCAAGTCGTTACGTAACATAGACGGCGAGCTGCGGCGCACGTGCGCTCATATATATATAAAAGTTTGACCAGAGTCCAATTATTATGCATACATGCAGAGCGAGAGAAAACGACGAGTACGAGCGTTATTTACCTTGAGCCAGGAGAGCATCAATTTTCTCGGTGGAAATTTGGACTTTCCTATTTGGTACCTAACGATGAGCGACCAAATGAGACCGAGGATGAGCTTGTGATTGCCGTTGACGATGTCGACGTTACCTGAGGAGCAGACGAAATGCAGCGCCGATGAGTAAACACGTAGCGATAATTTAAATTTATGCAGAGCGACAATGCCCGAGAAAAGGAAAAGAAAAAGGAGAAAATAAAAAGTGTCGGCGCTGTACGGGCGTGTATCATTATCGGCTGCTCATTATGCATGGAGATTATGTTTTGAAGTTATAATGTATGTGGTCGAGACATTGTTTGGCGCTGCGCTATCACGAAAGTCTAGATGGCGGCGGCAACGGCGGCAAGGATGAAAAGGTCACGGCTGAAAAGTCGCGCGCGCGGCTCTGCTGCGGCTTGTAATACACGCTTGAGAAATCGCGCCTGTTGCGGTTGTTGCACCATATCCGGCGTCGGCGTCGCAGCCATAGCTCCGGCTCTCTCGCGAGTTTATACTGCTGCGGCAGAGCTGGCGCGCACAGGCTAAATCCTACCTATATTATATATGTATAAAGTGCAATTGACTCGCTGTATCATAGGTGGGTATGCGCTGGACACGGGATATAGGTGCGCTATTATAGGTAGGTAGTAGGTGTAGATTGGCACGCTGCTGTACGAGCAAGTGGCAGTGAACGATCGAGCAATATAAGTGGATATACTGTCTCACCGATGTTGACGAGCTTGACACCGTCGGCCTCGACGGCCTTGAGGGCAGCCGAGACGTTCTCGAGGTGCTGATGCTGATTGACGGGGTCGCGGTGCCACTTGAAGTGCTTGTTGCCCGTGAGCTGCTCGACGAGGGCGCAGAGCCTCGTGCCGTCGCCGAAGTCGCTCTCGAGATCGACCACGGGCCCGAGCCGCCTGCCGAGCTCCGACTGTCTCAGGTGCTCGTTCACCCAGTTGCGAAAGGTGTTGGCCTGTATGTCGACCCAGAGGTCCTCGTGGCCCTTGATCGGCATGCCTTTGGCGGCCGTGCCCTCGACCGAGCGAGCCACCAGGCCCACGAGCTCCGAGCTGTCGAGCTGCTCGGCGGCGGCGGCACCCGTTTCCCGACGTCGATGCATGGCCGCGAAGGCGATATTATTCCGCTCCCTGGCTCGTTATTATTAACGCAACGAAACACTCCAACTCTGCATTCGTTATGGGAGTCGCTCGAGCACAAAAACACGTCATACACACAGAGAGAACACGGGCCGCAACCACACCTGTTGAACTGTTACGTATTATATTATATAGCTAGCCGTACAGACAATGAGTTTATTGTGTATATTTGTAATATGCAGGAGGCTGCAGAGGTAGCGCCGCCGCGTGCACGCGGTCTACGCTAGACAGCTCGCTAGCCGCTACTGACTGCTCTCGGGCCTGTATCACTCTGTTATGCGCTGGACGCCGAGTCGCTGCAGTGCTCTCCCGCTGCTGCGGCACGGGTCACGGCACCAACACTGTACCTATCCTATATATCGCGTAGAATCGCGAGCCACGAGTCGCGATGACGGGCACAGGCCGTATACTACGACACAACAGCTTGTGCGCCTCGCTACGCTCGACCACTTGCGACTTTGTCGACTCCGCGAACCACACTGTACGGAATCGTGTGTACATTTAACTCGATCGCGACAGGTCGCCACTCGCCTGTATATATTAACTATATGTCGCCCCCGCGTCTCCAGTCTTGCCTATACCAGTATAGGTACCTGTGGCTCGTGCGCTACAAGCGTGCGAGCGAGAGCACATGTAATAATAATCCAAGAGAGGCCCAGGTAGAGGGGATAGCGCGACACGAATCGCCAATGGTGCACACTGCACGCGCCACTACTTCTCTCGCTCGGCGGCTCTGCTCCGACTTTCCGAGCAGGCCACTTTGAATTTGCCAATTTCGCAGCTGCTCCTCACTCGCTTTCCTGCGCGAACGAGAGCTGCGGCAAAGGCGATTCTCCTCCGCGACCACACCAATCATCAGCTCTCGCTGTATACACATTCTCTCGGCACCGAGACCGCGAAACGCATCTCTCTATACCGCTGCTCTAATTTTCCAAAACGTTTTCGAAATATCCCAGAGTATGAGATGTATATAGCGAATTGTCACGACGCTCGATGTATTAAATTTGCGATCGGTATAGCAGCCGACTTTCGCCGTACCATGTGAGCGAGAATTTGCTGTAAATATGATATATAGAGAGCCGCGTGCGAATCGAATTTTGATTTTCGTGCTCGAGTCTCGAGCCGATTAACGACTTTCGAGCGCGCCCATCGAGTCGGTTTTTCACCAATGAGAGCAGTATCGGACACTCACTGGCAGGTGACTTATCGGTGGACAGTGCAAAACTTATTTTATCCAAGACAAAGAGAGAGGTAAAAGATTCAGCTAGCCGACTATTTTGACAGTTGAACGAGCAGAAGATCAATAGAATAGAATATGAGCACGTGTACAGCCAAATCAGATGATCCTGCATTTAACATCGCCAAACAGGCGACGCATCAGGCACTCTGTGTTTCCTACGGTAAGATATTCGAGCGTACGACGGAGGCTAAGTTCGTGTGCACCATGTCACTGGTTCACGACGAACTCGCACTGATGGAGGGCTCGTCCAGCTGGACCCACCGCTGCTTCACGACCGAGACCAAAGGCAAGTACTGCCTCACTTGGCGAATGGTCATCAAGATCGAGCGCGAACGCGTCAAAGTCGAGCTGTCGCTGCTGCACCCCCTAGACACGGCGCTACGCGTCCGGGCCCAGATTATCGTCACGGAGCCCACCAACGGCAGCAGGGATCAAGAGCTCGATCGGACCCTCTTCGACGAGGCGTACCACCGCGACTCCATCGAGCCACCGTCGCACGATTCTAGCTACGAGCACCGAGGTGTCCTGCCGGACTACTGCACGGCCAAGATCATCGTTTTGCACGCGGAGACGGCGCCCCAGTTGCCGTCCAAGCTGACCTCGCGAATCAAGACCCTCTTCACGTACGGCACTCTGAGCGACGTCGTCTGCAACGTCCAGAACTCAAAGTTCAAGGCGCACAAACTCGTGCTGGCGGCCAAGAGCGACGTGTTCGTCGGCATGTTCGAGCACGACATGCTCGAGAACAGCAGCAACGTAGTCAACATCGACGACATCGAGCCCGAGGTCTTCCAGAAGCTGCTGGAGTTCATGTACACGGAGGAGCTGCCCGAGATGACGTTCGACAACTGGAGCAAGCTCATCGTGGCCGCCGACAAGTATCAGGTGGACGACCTGAAGCGACTGTGCCAGGAGGGCCTCATGCGCACCTACAGCGAGGGCACGGCTGTGCGCCTGCTCGTACTCACGGACCTGCTCGACTTGTGGGAAATCCGCGAGCCCGTCTTGGACTTTATCATTAAGAAGAAGGAGGTGATAGCCAACACGCCCGATTATCAGGATATGATCAAGTCGCATCCGCACTTGCTCGACGCTCTTTTTCGACGTGTTCAGCCGCGATTGATGCTGGCTCAGCGACCCTCCCTGTAACGTATTGACGAGCTACCCCGCACCCTGGAATATCGACCCAGCTCGCATTTTCATCTCTCTTTCATGATTATTATTACATTGACTTTTTTAAAAATGTATATTTTTAGCGACCAATACTCTATCCAATAGTGTGGAGAATCTCACGTATTTGGGATTTATATAATTTATAACTGATTATAATGATCCAACATGTTTACATTTACAACGCTGTCCATTGATATTGTAATATTTTAAGTGAATAACTTACGTATTATTCATGTGATGGTTGTCACTTATTTCTCTATCCCCACTAACGACTCTTCAACCCCCTTATTTCCACGATTCATAATCAAAACAAATCCAAATCTCATAGATTTGTGCCATCTCGCGATATGAAATGTCGAAAATCGCGCCAATATAAGAGTCCTTTATAAAAGTATCCAAATCTAGCACCATTGGCGACCTAGCGCTGCGATCGTGACGAAATTTCGGTCGTACAACATTGCTTGCAACTATACAGTTCTCAACTGCTCGTACTGCCTCGTAACAAGCGCATCAGTGCACTCGTGCTCATTGTATACGCAGATGCTTGTCCTGTCTCGAACTTCGGATTGTCAGAAATATTAACGTCGCATCTCAATTTTAAATGATCGTTCCTCTCTTTAATATTTGAATAGATCATGCGACAAAAAGTCAATATCAGGCTTGTTTATCGATGCGATACTTATCAATGGTGTGAGTGGCATGCAAATTCAAGAAAGTGTCATCTTTAATTATACCACGACTCGTTCAGACTTGTATCGCAATCTCTACGCTGACGATTGTCAAAAGTCCAGCAACGCTTCCCAACTGTGTTTATTTCAATTGATGTGACAACCGATGCTGTCTTGCATTAGCAGTTTTATCAAAATTTCTATTAGCAAAACTGCTGACAATCAAAAGTTATTAGTGCAAATAAACCTCTAAAATGGCTGAAGCACAAACAAATTTCTGTAGTGGTAATAGTTCTAATATTGAAAAACAAAAGGACGATCAAACTGGTAAATGGCTCAATTAATTTTCAATATTGGTACTTTTTAATCAATTTTGTATTTAACTAATGAAACTGTTTATCAACTTTTCAGTTTTGGGAGTACCTGAATGCGCTGTGTGCCTTCAACCATGTATTTATCCTGCTCGGCTACCTTGCAGTCATATATTCTGCTTTTTGTGTGTCAAAGGAGTTGCAAACCAAAGTAAACGTTGCCCAATGTGCAGGCATGAAATTCCGCCAGATTATTTAGAACACCCCCAGTTGATAGATTTAGATGAGACAATACAAAAAGAAACTATTAATACTACTAGCACATCTGATAACCATTCTCATGAAGAATATCAATGGTTTTATGAAGGCAGAAATGGTAAGTTTTTCCACATAGTTACATGTCGAAATTAAAATTAAAATTATTTTTTATTATTTCTCAGGTTGGTGGCAATACGATGAACGTACAAGTATTGAATTAGAGACTGCTTTTAAAAAAGAAGAAGCAACGTGTGAATTACTTATTGCTGGATTTTTGTATGTAGCTGACTTCACTACCATGTTGCAATACAGACGAAATGATAATTCAAGAAAAAGAAAAATAAAACGAGATCTCTACAACGCACCAAAGAAAGGAGTTGCTGGTTTAAGGCTTAATCACAATCAAAATCGCACTGATCAAAGTGAGCAATTGCAGCATCACAACCAAGTACAACAGCAACAGCATCAATTGCAACAACATCAATTTTTTAATAGTAACAGAGGAATTCTTAGGACTGAAAGATCTGCAAGTCCTTCAAATGATAATACAGGTATTTTAAATGTCTTATTATATATTTTCTAATAACTTTTAAAAGAAAACCTCTGGAAAAACTATTTATTACATAGGAGGCGAATCTACTTCTCCCATTCCACCAAGTAATACTCCCCAAACTCCAGCTGGAGGAACTCTTAGTGGAGACGCAACACCTTTAGCACAAACCAGACTTCTGGATCATCGCCCGGATTCTTTACATCAGGTTTTGGAACAAATGCGCTCTTTAGTATTAAGGGAAAATTTATCATCACATAATTCACAAGATTTACAAGATTCCATCGACGATGGCTCATTTTCAGATAATTCAACTTTTCCATGGCTCCAGTCGTCTTTTGCTTCTACCCAGAATTATTCCACAGAGGAGGAGGAGAACTCGTAGAATGAGAGAAATTGGAAATACTGGCCCTATTGGAGCACTAGATTTATCCGTTGCAAGGAAAAGAGATTGAAGAAGCTATTCAGAAAAGCTTCAGAATTTTATTTTTATTAGTATTTTTCATTAGTATTGCCAACAACTGCATTTAATTGTATATTATTATTAAAACCATTTTACCTAGTGATAAAAGATTTTAGATATTACATAAAAGCGGACATAAAGAAATATTTCCAAAAAATAGTATCAATATTTTTAGAATATTATAAATTTTATTTTCCAGGTAGCTAGGATTAAATTTTAAAAGTCCATGTATCAAATAATTATTTGTTAAGTTTAGTTGTTGTAATTCATATCTTATTGAATTAGTCAAAATCTTTAAATAAGTTTTATATTCAATTCATAATTTTAAAATTCAAGTGTGTTAATAAAATGTCTTTCACATGAAAATAAATATTTTTTAAAAAATATACAATTTTTATTTACATTCAATATTTTTGATACAATACATTTTTCTATGATAAGTTTACAATCGTGGATTTTTCATTTAAAAGGATCATTTTATATACAACACGAGTTGTATTTAATCATGATTAGTGAGTCAAAATTAATAATTATACCTTTTAATTTAAATATAACCACTGCTATAAAAAAGTCATCACAAAATAACAAGAACTTTTAATGATTTAACATTCAATACTAAAAATCTTGATTTCAAAAAAAATAACGCATACTGATTATTTTTATTTTATATAATATATACTGTTGAAATATTGATGGTACTTATATTGCGAAAGGACAAATAACGACCGAGGGTATAAAAACACCTGAGTACAGATAGTATCAGTAAAATCAGCACATAATATCACAGAAGACATATTGAAAATCCTTTTAGTACCAACCATTGGTACTCATAATAATACGCTCTGTAGTTACAAAAGCTATTGTTTTTCAATGATTTTCAAATCATTTTAATTCTAACTAAAAAAATATTATCAACAATTTTATTCTCATACTTAAAAATTGATTGTTTTTTGTTCATTCTCAGTTTACAGGCCCTTTTAATCATGTTCAATTTTTTTTTTTTTATTGTTAAAAGTTATCTTCAAGACAAATATATTGTTTTAGACATTACCGTTGAGGTTGAAGTTGGAACTTGAGCGCTAGAATCATTTGTATTTTTTTTTAATTGGTTACAATCACATATATCTTTAGTCTTGGCCATGTTTTGATTATCAGTTTTTGAAAGCTCTCTTTCATATTTACATATCACAGCGTACATGTCACCACCCAGACGCTTAGCGAGCCAACGATTTTTTACGACTGCAAGTTTGAGGCATTCGCACTTAACTCTGGCATAGAGATTTGTATGCAAAGTTCGACCCATCCCTTCGATGACAATTAAATCAACATTTTGTTTTATCATTGCGACACAAAGATCCAAATTCAGTCGACTGAAACAATCGGAAAACATTTTAATACATATTGAAAAAAATCACGTTCAGTGTCTATAAAATGGATATCACTTTTTATTTTTATTTAAAAAGGTTGTACAGCAACAAAGGCCCGCAATTAACTTACTTAGAAAAATTTTCTTTATTCAAGTATTATTTTTCAATAATTTCATTGATCTACATTGGCCTCTTCAGGAGTTAAACGAAAACAAGTATTGGTGACAATCCGCCCCTACTCAATTAACTAGCCGACGTAGATCGCCGAAACTGCAGAAAACAGTACTCTAATAGGGAACCTTTATCTAATTAATTCAAGTTTGGTTTTATGCATTTATTTTTGTACAACCTCTTTAAATCTATGTTTTTTTTTTTACCTCAAATCTAAACAAGGGCCAGCTTGAGCAGTTTCCATCGCCATTAAGCGATTTTCATTCAAAGCATATTTAATGATGTCACAGACTTTTGCAGCATCTTTCAAAATAACTTGTAATTCAGGGTAAGTAACATCATTCAGAGCCGGCATTGAATTGGCACATAGAATGACTTTCGTTCCTCGTTGCAATAGATCTCTTACAAACGGTAAAATACCTAGAATTATGTCCACTCCACTATTATCTATAAATACTGCAGCACACCTGTGAGGAGGTTCTTCTTGTAATCTTTTTATCCAATTATCTAAACAGTCTTGCAACCAAGGTCTTTCTAGAAAAATGAAAGTACGAAATTGAAAAATTGTTGAAAGTTTCAATTTTTTTCAATGAAAAAATTAGCACAACAATTTTAAATGCGATTTTTATGATTCATGCAACTCATGTTTCATTATGATTGAGACTAGCTGAAAGCCAAAACAAAGGTCACTAGAATCTTATGACAAAAATTCAGTTAAAATTATGTGACTTTAGAATTTTTTGGAAATTGCAGAAACATACCTGGTATCTTTTTTTGAGCATCTTCAAACAGAAAATTGGTTGTTTCCATTAAGAGTGCAACTTCTTGAGCGCCCCAGTCAAATATATTTCCAGTTAATACTCCTTTGATAAGTTCTTCTATTTTTTCAGAACCTTCCAAATTATCTATGACTTCTAGCCTTTTTTTTAAATGTTTCAAAGCCTCTTCATTTTCTTGCTTTTTTTGCTGAAATAATACTATAATTAAAACGACCATACTATGATTTTACAGTGCTATATAAATGATAATTATTACAAGAAGATAAGGGTCAGGAAAATCAAATTCTTTCATGCAATGTTCTATAGTATCCAATAGTGTCCTAACAGTTAAAGTACCATACCCACTGAAAATCAATTAATACATGAATCATTACAATGTGCTTTCAAAAAAATTATCATGATTTCCTCTTACAATGGTTGCTCATGAAGGTAATGTAACCGACTGATGTATTTTTCTTTCAATTTTGAAGCTCTGTCTTTAGCAGTTGGACTTTGAGGCTGACTATAAATTGCTCTTGCAATAAATTTGTCAACTGACTCTTCAAAACAATTGAGCCAATAATCTCTAAAAAGTAATTTTTAATGAAAATAAAACATAAACTTACACTTATTTTTCATTTTACCTAGCTTCCTTATCTTGAGATAAATCAGTAGTATCAGGATTATAAGTAGCTGGATCAATTAACAATGGACAAAAAGCTACAGCATTCTCAGCTTGATCAATTTCTAATTGATCGATTTGAATGCCAAGTTGGGCAGATCTAGTATTAGATTTTAAACCAGAAGAACCAGCAAAATTTTCTAGCCAACTACCTTTTTCAGATTCTGGCTGTGCTCCATACAAGAATGCACCAATAGCTCCTAAGTAGCCTTCATGACGCAAAAAAAGAGGCTTTACTTGACCCTGGTTTATAAAAGAAAATAAATTTATTATAAAATTAAATAAGAATTGGAAATTTTTAAATAAAATTCACCTTTGTCCAATATTTAATTGCATATGATATACTATGCATTGACAATGGGTGGTTGCGGAGAAAATAACCACCAAAATATACTTTATTCATGTTGTGCATGGAAGCATACAAACTTGCAATTTGACCTATGTCATTGCTTATGAGGAATAATAAACTTCTCACTATATCTGCTTCAGAATAATTTTTATTTCCTGGAAAGAAAAAATTATTAGTTTTGTGCTTTGTAACAAACTGAAATAAAATCCAATTATGCAACCTGATGGATCTTGACTATTAAATACTGCCTTTCCAAAAGACGATGCGATAAGATCACCACTAAGGCCTTGTGAAGAATAGTCTCCTCCATAAATATCTTTTACTAGCATATCAATGTTTCTGTGGTCACCTTTTTCAGCTAGTTGCAATAATTCATCGAAACCCTATTGATAACATTTTTTTTTAATTTTATAAAACCATAGCTAGGTGTTGCATGATTAAAATAGAAAATATTTATTTTATTTATTTTATTAAATAAATGACCTTGGCTTGAGTAAGTAATGAGCCTAAACCCCAAAATGTTCCCCCTCCTGTGGCTGTACCACCAACTCTCTCAAATTCTTGTTCAGATTCAACCTAATAAAATAGAATAGAAATTATTAAAAAATATTCTTTAAAAAGATAAGTTAGACTCTAAATAAGATTAAATTACTTTGAGTATGCTAACACCACTACCAATATTAACTAATAAATATGGAAATATATTGGGGCTAGCTTTATGAAATTTGTACTCTGGATTGGCATGGCGTTCATATTCAAAAGCTTCTCCAGGTATATTTTTTAATAAAAAGTTGCAACCTTTAATTAAACAGCATATCTCATCTTTCTTATCAACTCTGTAAATAATAAATGATTGAAACAGATTGTATAACTTCTAATCAAATGTTCAAGCTGATACTCACTCAGTGCCTAGCTTATCTTGGAGCAATTTTTTGTATTTGTAAGCTCCACCTCCTGTTACTTGAATACTTGTACCTTGAAATCTCTCAACATTGACTAAATTTTCTTTTACAAAATCCAAACAACTTTCTATATGACGAGTTTCAAATTTAACAAAGTGAAGTCTATTTCCTTCAGAAACTTGATAAGAGTTCTCTGCAGGGAAATCTTCATTTGATTGTGAATCTACACCTTTGTACAAGGCTTTTCTGTATCGCACGGTTGAATAATAAGCGATTTTCGTCAATGACAGACCTAAAATTAAGTCATTTTGTGCAAATTAAAAAAAAAAAAGTTTTTTTCAATTAGGTATAACCTTGAAAATACAACTCGAGGCGGCTACATTATTGTATTGTAATTGTTAAAAATTGTTAAAACTCACCGATATCAATGGCAAACTTTTGAGCATTTTTGAGATTAGCAAATATTTCAATTGCAGCTGGTAATTTAATACTTTGAGGGTGAGAGGAGGTTTCTTCGTTACTGACTTGAGCCATTTCATTAATCTGTCATACACACAGTTTATGCGTGCAAATTATACGCGAAGACTGCTTGTGCAGTGCGTCGAGACAGTGGCACGAGCGTGTATACACAAAACGCGGTGATGCAAGTCTTTGAGCGTGATATACAAGCGCTCTTACACATACGGCAGTCCGTGTATTTGCGCGATCGCAATTGAAAGCGCAAAAAAAGATCTACTGATGTTTGTGCCAATGTTAATCATGCCCAATAAAATAATAATAACAAAGTGCTTTCAATGTGCATACACTTGCGCGAACACAATAATACAAACTTACTCATAAACAGCCAATGTAATTTTATTCTTTTCTTGCTTTCGTCAATTCATTCGTTTCGTGAAGCGCTTGAATCACGCTACAATCGGTTTAATGAACTTTGAATCAAATAATAAAATGCATGATTAGTTGAATAAACACGGGTTTTATGTAGAAATAACAAATTTTAAACTTAGAAATCAAAACTTTATTTAATTCTATTGCAAGAACTTTCTTGTCTGCATTACATTCGGCTAACAATGGGACAAATTTAATTTACATACATTTTATACACTCATACTTAATATTTATAGATTATTTGTGAAATACTCAAATTCATTATCTAACACATTTTTAAGATTTATTTGTCAATCAATTATTAAACAATTAAAATTATCTATATTCAATTCTTTTGCATATTCATTAATTGTGTGAATACATTATTTCTTTTTTTTTTAATGTACATCTAAGAAAATAAGTTCAACCAAAGTGTGCAAGTAGATTATGAAAAGATAAATTTGAAACTTGATCTATTCAAAAATATTACGCCATCATTTGATATTTAAGTTACGCTCTCCTTTGACGTTCTTTTTCACGTGCTAATTCTGCAGCATAATCTACTGGTGAACTCCGTCTGTAAATTAAAAGAGTTCCAAGTTAAGTACAGTACAAATTATACTGTTAATTTAATCAGTTTGAAAAGAATATGCTTGTGTTACCTTATACGGTGTCTGTCTTTGTCACGATGTCGTTCTTTACTTCGTTCTCTGCTACGATCTCTGTATGATTTGTCTCTACTTCGACTTCTCATATCTCTGGAACGTCTGCTTCTTTCTCTGCTTAATGAACGTCCACGATGACGATCTCTATCGCGGTCGCGTTCTCTGTCTTTACCTCTATCTCGATCGCTTTCACGACTTTTTTCTTTCTTTCTACGTGGTGACCTGTCCCTTCGACTCTCATCTGATCTATAAATGAAAATAATTAACTGAATAAAGTGGTTATTCTGTATACAAATTATGTAATGTATTCAAGGTCATACCAAGATGACGCACCTGGCTCGCCAATGACTTGCACGTCCAGCTTCCCCCCATTGAACTTCATCGTCAGGCACATGTCTTGGCTCTTCTTTACGATTATATCCTCCATATTTACTTTGATTATTTAGAGTTATGGATGGTTTTGAATTTCTAGAACTACTTGAATTGTAAGGAAATTTTTCTGCTAAACGTTGTTCCAATTCTTTTTGAATAGGCACTGGAATTCTGGGAAATAATGTTGAAAACCATTCTAACTTTGTCAAAAATTGTTTCAACACTTCTCCCATTTTCATGGTTTGACCCCCACCAGCTTTGACATCCAACTCTTCTTCATCTTCCAAATAATCATCATACCATGAGAATAAATCAGCTGGAGGCTGAGTATATCTACAAATTTAATTTTTTTAAGACACATAATTTTTAGTAACATATTTTTTAGCTGTAATAGAATATAAAATAATGAAATATTGCCACTTACTTACCTAATATACATAAAGCCCAAAGCCCGAATGTATGGTGAATCAGGGTGATTGATTAAACCATTGAGCTGTTTTCTTGTAAGTCGTAATGTAAAAAGCTTATAAAGGAGACAGTATGCGGTAGACACAATACCACCAGCCCCAACTCCCCTGACCTGTAATAAACGCTAAATTAAAACTTCCAAAGTATAAAATTATCTCATGTGGGCTTTTAAATTGTATAAAGGCTTTCCTGCTATAAATTAGCTAAGATACTTGTTATAAATTGATTGATACTTACTCCTCCGCACATTCCAGTTTGACCAGCCGTTTTACGGCTTCCTTTTTCCCATGGTTCAAGATGTGCAACCTTGTAATAAATTTCGTCGATAACTTCATGATAAGTTTTGAGGTCATATAAATTGACTTTGAAATAATGCGACGATTGGATGTTGGTTAATATCAAAGGATTAAGGTTCATGGTACGTTCGTTACCCCATAGTGGCAAAATGTTCGATTTTTTTCCCTCTTTAGGTCCAGGCTTACGGTCCTCCTCATTTCCACTGGAATTATTCCAAGGTGAACCTGAAAAATAATAATTGAAAAATTAAGGAATGGACATAAATAACAAAATTTCATTATAGGTTAGGTCAGAATAAACGTTTACAAAGTTGTATTTTATTAACTTACCGTCCGTGTTCTCCATGTTGAAAAGAATGTAGCAAAATGTTTGGACTTTTGAATACTTTGACAGCTAACAAAATTAAAAAATTAATCCAGCTACCGCATCCCTTTAACCCGACTTGAACATTTGCAAAACGACGAAGCCAACATAAATTGATCTATGTTATGATTTGCACAGTTTACACTTAACGCTGCAGCCTGCAGGCAGCGTTGCAAAAATCCGCAGGCGCTGCAACGTAATGTCTTATAAGTAGTAGGTACGGTACGGTACGTACTACGTACTGTCTACTGGTAACAGTACCAGACAACAGTAAGAAGTAAGACTCATGAGTCACGTTCGCCGTTGGAGCATCGGTGTTTTTTACAAATTTCATGAGTCTTCTTTGACGATACAGTACCATTTCCAAATTATGAATTATCGGTCAGAGCGCAAACGCGACTGCAAGATAACATGCGTTACTGACTGTCAGTAAATATTTTAAAATGCGCATTTACTTATGTCCAAAAATTACTTTATGTAAAAATATGAAATTTAAAAATTTTTTAACTTTATGCATACAAGCGTTATTGAATAGAATTGAATTAATGTTAATATAATTAATAGAATCTTTTTTCTAAATATACTTATTTAGCAAACATCATATGGGGTGCTTTCAAGTCTGTGGATGATTGTATATTTTTGGAAAGTATGTTTATATTCATATTTATTTCATCGAATAAATAAATAAATTTTTACAATAATTTTTTATGAGGAAACTTGATTGAAAGCAGAAAATTTACAAAAATATTCCTTATAAGTTGAATACATCGCAAGTGTATTTCAAGTTATAAAATATCTTGATTGATCACCATAATCGACATCCTTTTACTATTTTGTAGAAAAATTTACTTTTGCAATTTGCAAACTTTGCAAACCAACATTGCAACTATAGTTGCCACTAGTATACAAATGAAACCCACGAAGAAATTGAGTATGAAATATTCTGAGACAGGAATGAATGGTATATGTGCAAATGTCATGCGAAGCTTCATCCTATTTTATAGAACAAAATATGATTAGTAAGAAAAAATAATCCTTATTTTCAATGCTCGTAAAATAACGAGAATATTTTTTAATCTCACCAACTTGCAATATTTTTGAGATCCATCTTTTTTAATATCTTCTCAACATTAATTTTAATCCAGTTTGCATAATTTTTACGAACTTTTGAGATTGGACCATTTGATTGATCATAGCTGTTCATTAATAAACTAGGTTTCTTTAATGAATTACTTGGATCTATTGCTTGACAATTGACTAATTCGATGAACAAACTTTTTTCCTATAGCAAAATACATCAGCGAAATCCTCGAGTGTTTATTGAAAAATAAGATAACTTACGTTTAATTGGCTTCGTGAACTCATAGCTCGATTTTTTCCTATTCCCATCGGTTTAATAAATTATGCAAATTGATGAAGTACGTCTCAATTCCGTAAAAGTCGAGAAACCGTGGATTTCATGTCGAGTGGTGTCAATCGCGTTGAGACAAACTGTCAAGTGATTCTCGACGCACGCACAATATTTGTACTTGAGCATATTGATATCATTACAAAATTAGTTTACAATTTTGCCGCCCCGTCAATATCCTTTTCTTTCAACGTCTAACTTGCTAGCATATAAAAATTCGATCCGATAAAAAAATGAATTCAGATCCTTTTTTTTTATTTATTGCTGATCATGTTATGTTCAACAGGCTCACAAAGCAGTGAACGATTGTGAATGCCTCACTAAATTGAAAAAAATGTATGATTTAATCGTAATATTTATTATGAAAAAGGTTTTTGTTTGAAATATTGTCAACTGTAAATATTATCGAATGAGTCTACTAACTATGACAACATTACGAGAATCCCAATGTTGTTGTGTATAATTTAAACGAACTTAAATGAAAGTTATTTTCAAAATTAACCGAGACTGAGAATGAATAACGTTTTCCGAATGTAAAGCTTTCCTTCGCACTTCATCAACAAATTTACTCAGTTCCTGACTTTAGTCTCACTGAAGAGTTTAAACGAATAGGTACTATTCAAACATAATTATTTAATATCTTTAAAATGACGAAAAAACGATCCAAAAATCAAAATGGTCGTAAACAAAAAACTCACATTGATGAAGAGAGTTCTGATACTCTCAATGGTCATAAACAAAAAACTCACATTGACAAAGAGAGTTCTGATACTCTCAATCAGATAAAACGAAGATACGAAAAAATTGAAAAACAAAGAAAAAATGAACTTGTTACAGATGCTACCAAACCCGTAAGCTGGTCATCATTTCTCAATTTCAATAATATTTTAATTTAATTATGTGTGATTCTAATGAATTAATTATTTTCAGAAAAGCGAACGATTCTACGATGAACTTCCGAGTGATATACCGAGAAAAGATCTTTTGCATAATAATCCATTATACAGTCTTAGAGATGAGACGAATTTAGTGCGGATTCATAAGCCATTGACAAAATTTAGAATTGGGTCAGTAATATGCAGCCAGATAAATATATATATATTTTTTATTAAAATATTAATTCTCATTTTTTGAACAGTTATGATTGGCTAAGACAGTCCAAAGTTATCGTTTGCGTCCTTTGTTTTTCATTGAGTTATCTTATAGCAACTGTATTCCTAAGCCTGTGTATGCTCAGTGCGATAACATCTATTTTTGATCCTGAGGACATCGTACAATTTATCAATAACTTGAAAAATATGTTCAGATAAGCTGAAACAAAAGTACTCAATGTAAAAATTTAAGCCAAAAATGCACTCAAAACACGTTGACTCTTTATTTATCGATTGCTTTTGTAGAGAAATTAATTAATTGAGTTAATACATACACATGTGTTAAATAAGACCACCCCAATAAAACATAATTTATATTGTGGCTCATTACTCTCACGGACTAATAGATTCTAAAACTAAACCCTAAGTCAGAAAATATCGTCAAGATGTACACTTGAAATTAATTACATTTATGAAAGAGTTGACCATTTATGGATACAGCTTTTATGTATTTGTTAATATACAGAATTCGCAGGATGATCAAGTTGAAGTATTCCACAACACAAGTAATATCCGTCAATGAATTTAAAATCATTTCTCATCATTCTCTTCTGTATTTGTAAAAAATATCCTTCAATTCTGACAGAAAAATTATTTTCTCGTTAAATACGAGTTTTGTATTGTTATATAAAAATTTGATAAAAACATATTTTTAAAGAATTCACTTAGATATATGCATACATGAATTTTTTTTCTAAAAATTTTAAATGCATTTTTGAAAATGCCGTATCAGAGATTACATATGATCGCCTTAGAACAAACAATTTATATGACTGTCAAAAGCCATAATTAAATTATAGTTTGTTGAACCATTCAGTGAAATTTATAATTCATCTTAAAATGATTGATCTGAAGACAGTTATTTTTAATTTCGGCTTAAAAAAAATATAATGTAGAGAAAAAAAACGAAAAATCTGTAGTGTAGGAATACCAACAGCAGCCGTGGCTTGTTTAATTTGCTAAAATGATGAAATGGAAGAATAAATTATAAATAATGATCAAAAACGTCGAAATAATTGAATATAAATTACTCCAATGTAATTTTCAACTAAAGATAGATCTGTAATTCACACTAAATAATACGAACTACAAGTTTTTTTACTTAATTATTAGCTAATCAATTCTCAATGGCTCAAACTGAAGCTGATACAAAATCATAATAATGAGATTTTCATATTTAAAAGAAAATTTAATTAATTTTTACAATTCTGATAAGAAATAGTATATTATGCAACAAGTACGTAAAGAAGATGACTCACCCAGGAGTTGTTTTCGCCCGATCAGCGTATCTTTACGCACCTGTCGGATAACATAATATTTCTATCCGAAGTATGAATAATATTGCTACTTTAGGAAAATAAAACTTATGAAAAATTGTACATGTATGAAAATTTACAAAAATGCTTTATTACATTAATACAAATGTAAAATAAATGAACCAATGTGAGAGGTTACAATGATAAAAGACATTAATATAAATTTGTATTTATAATCATGAATATGTATAAACATAACTTTTTCCGATTAAATGAAGAGTATATTGATAACATTAATTAGATGAAATTTCTTTTAACTTGCATTTCTTTTTCTCATTAATTTCATACAAAATTTCTGAAATTTTGTATAACTATTAAAATTTTAAATTTTAATTTGATCAAACTATGCATCTATACTTTAAAATATTAAAAATGATTTATAAGTGAAAAGAGAATACCATATTATTTATCTATACATTATATATTATTACACTCTTTCAGTCGCTCAACGTTTCGACTTGCTGTACACAAGTCCTCTTCAGGAGCTCTCTATTAGATATATATGATATATAAATTCTAAAATATTCTTTTGGTTTTGGTTATTTATCCGAAATGAAACAAAAAAATTCTGGTAAATGACGATCAAAAAGTAAGATATCGGAATGCAGGTGGCATCGAAAAAGATTTTATTTATAATCGTTTATGAGTATATTACATGTATTTCGATTTAAAACAAACAGTAAAAATAAAAGTATTGCTCATTAAGAATGTTCATCCAATTATGTTGAAAATGTGTTCATTTTTTTCTACATAAACTAAAAGTGAAAGAAACGATTAAAGTTGACAAGTAAATATCACTCGTTTCATTTCATAAATCTTACATCTAATAGTTTTATACGTGCGTAAATATACTCATTACGCGCATTAACAATTCACATTGATATAAATAAATTATAATTCACTGGCTTCATGTTCAATGCCCTGGATATATAGATGAAATCTGGGAAAGTAAAGTCAAAACGGCAAAAATATTCAGAGTTATTGTAATACCGTTCCAGTTTCTGTTTGGAGCAAATGAATGATGTTTATGATTGCCTCTTAGCCATATCCTGGCGAACGCATATCTATGAAAGTTAAAAGAGTTTTAAAATTAATTAAAAAATAGTTTTAAAATTAATCATAATAAAATTATTTATAATTGATTTCGTACGCGTATTCTGCAAACATCCTTTTTTTGCTCCAATAAGCCATTACTTGTGTTGGTAAATGGTTAATTGGTTCGTCTATGTTGATGTCTCTACAATACTCTTCGTTTATTGGATCGTCTATGTCATTGTCACTACAATCCTCTTCACATTCTCGTTTAAATTGTTTTATATCTGCTTCAAGTAAACTTACTTTCCTTCTTACTTTACTTCTTACTTTACTTCTTTCCTTTTTTCCTATTTTGTTCCTTCGATTCTTTGGAATTTCTTTATTCAAATCAAGACGCGATACATTTATCGACGACATAGAACCACTAGGAGATTTCAAACGCATTTTGTACAACAGCCAATACGGAACTGAACTTAGTTGAACTAAAAAAGTGTAATATTATCGAATTGGTTTGCCCATTAGGTAACACATAAGAGTGGGAGAGCTGTAGGTGTTGTATTTCTATAAAAGCGAGTTAAAATTTCCATAGATAAAACTATTTTGAAAAAGACACAAAAATAGAAAAAGGGTCGGCATAGGCGTGCCTCAATTCTGTCATGAGTACGACTCGTTAAAAAAATTACAAGCTTCTAAATTCTAGCATTCAACGTGATAATTTTGATTGAAAAATATAGAATTGTTACCAAGCATCGATGCTATACATTAAAACAATAACAGCTGCGATATGAAGTTGATGTGAATAATTCTTTTGCAAATAATTGATTGTTAGTTTATTAATGTGTAACTTTTGTACATTTATTCTCGTAAGTATATGGTTGATTCTCCCGGTGTCTGCTTTTCCGGGTATAAAAAATGAAAAAAATGGTGAACATTTTTTTTCACATTGAACGGCACGAACTAGTTTACCCTTTTTAAAGCCATAAAATATGTAATCATTGGTCCAATCTAGGTCCAATTTTATGCTTAAAATGGACTATTTTCGGTTACGGAAGTGACACACACGGAGGTGACAAATCGCTGCTTTGATCAACTAAATATGAAAAATAAGAAACGCACAAAATTTTCCGTACAACCTGAAATTCGGTCATGAAAAACGAGTCTTTTGACGAGGCGAGCGGTTAAAAAGAATCACGATAGCTCAAGATATTGATATCCACGGAGGTGACAATTTTTTTGAAACACGTGAATTTTCCAATAGAATAATTATCGCTGCATAGCTAAAATGTAAAATTTGAACCCGCAACCTACACTGATCAAAAGTTGGGTCATAATACTTGACATTTACGTATCTAGGGACATAAAAAATGAGTTAGCGACCCAAAGCAGGCGGTATATTTGATATTATTCAGAAGGATGATTAAAATCCAAGACATTTTTCTATTGTGTGGGAAATTTTTTAAAAACATTTTTCAAAGCCCTATGATAGACTTAAACTTTACTTCGGATGTATAGAACCTGGTCTCGTAGTTACTATAGGGCTAGGTGCTTATGAGAATGCATGGCATATGCAAATAGAGTTGATTTGGAGATCTAGACATGACACGGAGGTGACATTTGCCATGTACCATCTCCACGGCAAATGTAACTGGCACTAAAAAATTGAAATATTCATGTCCAATCAGAAAGAATACAATAATATTGAATGAACGACCGATCCAGATTTGGCTTATCTTCAATAGTTTAAAAACATGGCATAAAGACATGCAAAAAGCAGACTTCAGGAGAATCAACCATGTACTTCATTCATATAAAATATTTTTTACAGAGTAATTAAGAGTTAGGTAAATAATCAGAAAATAAGGAATTGTGAGCAGTAGTAGTATTATTTATCACAAATCGCTATATTTATTTTTAATTATATCAGAATCACTGTTTCTAAGTAGAAATATGTACTCTACAGAAGTTACGATGGTAGTATGTGATAATGAATTTAGTTAAAAGATAATACCAATTATATTTTTTTAGGCACTTTGATATCGTAAGGTTGTGTGCATAATCATAATTGTAATTATAGAAGAAAAATTAGAAATTGAAGTATGCAATCAATTGAAGTATGAAATTGTTAACGTTATGAATGATAAATAGAATTGCAATAAAAAAAGGTTTGGTGGTATTGTTTTAAATGATACATAAAATTTTATTAAAAAAAAACGACTGCAGTTTAGATAATTATATTAATCATTAAACTTTGACAACACCGAATTTTTTTTATGTGTTTTAAGTTATTTCAGGAACAATTGCACATTATGTACATTAAAAAAATTAATAAAATAACTAATGCTTTCATTAAAATTTATGGAAAAATATCTCGTTTTGTGAATATTTTTCTTAATTTTAGTTTTCATTATTAATTTCCAAATAATGATAATGTACAATTTCTCTCTAAAAATTCACCATCACAAATGAATTTGACTAAAATGTCTCTTTCGAAATACATGGTGCTGTCACATTGAGTCTGTAAAATATATAGAGTACAGTTTTTTTAAATACTTATTAATAAGTAATAAATACATAATGCAAAAAAATACTTACTAAAAAGTAAGATTCATAAAGGTTTTGAATGGAAACCTCTTGACTCCAGTTGCGTTTTATAGCTTCTTTTGCGATGTTGATACTCAAAGCTTCGGTTATAATTTTATTTATAAAAGACCTCGAATTCTATGAATAACAGTAAAAACGAAGACGTTTAAAAAGTTTTTGTAATAAATAAGGAAAAAATGAGAGTTTCACAGTCCTTTTGAAAAAAGTATTGTCTGTTTCATCTCAGCTTTTGTCTTGAACTTACATGATCGAGATCTTTTACATTCTCTAATCCCATTAAACATTGCATGTCATCGACTCGATGTGTCGTGTTCGGTAAAAGTACATTGAAATCATGGAAATCTGGCATATCTATAGAGTAACATAAAAACGAAATATGAAGTGAAATATAATCACTGCAGCATAATAACTAAAACTCACTTCGCTCAAAAGGATTTTCATGAAGAAAAGCTATCAATAAACCTGTTAACTTAATCCCATACGTTGCATAATAGGTTTCTCTACAAAAAAAAATTGGAATTTAATGCAAAATCAAAATTATGCACTCAATATTGGCGTAAAAAATCATTCACTACTCACTCATCAGTTTCTGATGGTACCAAAAATAAACTTAATATATTATGTAAAACTGCAAGGATAGATTAATTTAATAATTTCTGGCTTAACATAAAGTAAAGCTTGTCAACTTACCAAATCGATTGCGAGGATTTTCAAGCTCAGCCACGCTGAAGGGCGTAAATCGTTTTGCTGAACTGTAAAAAGAGAAATTTATGAAATCAATTAATGAATATTATTTGCAAATAAAATTTTCTAACTTACGATAAATTTTTCTGCAACTTTCGAAATTTCATTTCTCCCATAATTCGGCGATAGTTAATAATATCAACAAAATAATTACCAGAAACATGAAACTTTAATAAACTAATTAAATTTAAAATTTTCAAGCAATTTAGAAATTCAAACTTCACCACTTACCTTGTCGTAGTAAAATAAAATTAAATCATAATTTGATTCGTTAGAAAAAATATCTCTAATAATTGCTTTCAATTCGTAAGCTAAAAACTCTTTTTTTACTTTTGTCAACTGAGTTGAAGCATAGATTTCATCTCGAAGCTCTGCATAAATGTTGCTGAGAACCTTCTGTGCAAGGGGAATGCGCGATTTCTACAATAAATAATAAATAATACAATTTTATGAAAAAAAAGTTAAATTAATCTATTTTGTGATACGCACGAGCATTAATTCTTCTTTGAATACTTTGAAAACGATGTCAGATAAACCATATAATTTTGTTTCCTGAAAACAAAATTCCGGCCTGAAATCATATTATAATAAATATCCGAAATTTCCAAGGCATGCACAATTAGAGTTAAAGAGTGATGCAATAAATGCACCGTATCTTTCTTTTTGACATACTTTTCAATAGGATCGATGCTTTGGGCCAAATTCCAATTCAGATACCGTAAATTTTCGGCTACAATTTTGGATCTCATCGCGTAGTCTGCAAAAATACAAAACTGTTAATCTCACAAAATATTTTTTATTAACCAATAATCTTGAATGATACCAATTTCTTCCATAGAATAATCTCTTAAAATCGTTGCAAGTTTAAAAAAATATGGTTTGTTTTTTACAATAATTAAGTCATCATCATTCGTACTTATCCCAAGGAATTTCAATTTATCTTTTAGTACTTTTAACCAATTAATCTACGATGTAACAATTTTTGATCAGTAATGAAAAAACAAAAATGAAAAAACAAAATGTTTACCTGAGCTGTACTTTGCTGAGCAACCTCGTAATACATTTCATTCCATGATTTTATCGTCAATAATTTATAAGTTGACTTTTCAGGATAAACATTTTTCGTGTTATGTACAGCCTAAAATTGTTTAATGAGTGATGCATTTTTGTAATTAATCGTTAAAAAAATTATCTCTTACTTCAACTATTTCTTCCAAAAGTTCGATCGCATCTCTATCTTTTTTTGCAATTATCATCTTAGTCATAGCAGATTTTGATACTCCAACGAACGGTTGACATAATAAATCAATAGCATTTTTATTTTCGTTTATGTTTGATGACCAACTGAATTCTAATGTATTATTATCAACATCTGTTTCATCATCGAAACCGAAAAACTCAAAATCATCAGTTATCGAGCCAGATCCGCTATTTTGGTTCTCTTTAAAAGAAAAATGCAAAACCTTTTTACAGTAGTTTCTCGTTTTGAATTGTAAATTTATAAATAACTGTTTCATTGAATTTATCAATTTTTTAGCCTTCCAATCTTCTACCAACGGAGGTTCTAACTAAAAATTAAACGAACGACGTAACCAACGTTTTACTTATGAGTTAAAATGTTTAAATCAATTCCACACTTACTACTATTATGCTTTGTTTAGGGTTTTTCGGATTAATACCAATATTAATATTAAAAAAAGTGTACTCAAAACCGAAGGCAGCCAACATTTCCTGCTCTTTTAACCAAGACTGAGCTCGAGAAGTTTGATGGAATTTGTGCAAAATCGACTCAAACATGCCATCCATCGTATAATATTCATCTTCATCTAAGTCATTTTCTGAATAAAAAATATCACAGATAATTCGAACGTTCAAAAATATTATTAAAATAAAATATTCATATGCAAAAGTAAAAAAAATTATTTATAGAATTAATTTTACCAAGACCAACCTAGTTTCATACAATTTTTGAATAAGGTATGTTCCACTGCCAAAGGTTTGATATTTCGATCAATTTTTTCATCCTTAAGATAATCTGAAATAATTATTATTCAAAATCATTCAATAGGATAAATCATTAGTACCCATCCACGTTCCAGAAGTCGACTATAATCTTAACTTATTTATAAATTATTAAAATGGTTTATTCGAGGAACCTCTTACCAAACTGTTTCTCTAACTGCATCACATTTTTTTATCAAACTAATTAAATTATTCAATCGAATTATTCAAGAAATAGTCGAAAACTAGAAGGGATATCAGTTGAGGATACATATAAATACTTTAAGCATCATTTCTTACTTTTAAATGCATTCATAGATAACAAATATAAATCATTCATTCTTTTTTCAAATTGATAATTTTTTAGATGGTCCTTATTATCTGTTCTGGCACATATGGAAGAGTAATGACTTATACATTCCTCGTTGTTTTTAAAATCAATATTTTTCAATTTACCTGAAATTATACAGTACATAGATATTTTTGTTTATTCACGAGCAATACATTTTAATATGACGTTTTTCAAATACTTGCTTTTGTTGTCATTTTTAGGAACATCGTCAAAGGCCCACACAAATTTAAATAAAATCAAATAACTAGAAAAATATTACAAGTTAACTATAAAATTAACTTTTTTTTACTATAATTATAAATAACATTTTTACGTACCAAATAATTTTTGGGTAATTTGCTGATAAATACATTGTAATCGTATTATATTATTGTGAACCAGCTGAAGCCAAGAAATAAACTGATTTCTGTACACATTCAATTCATTTAGTTTTCTTCGGACTATATAATTATTCGTGACTATTTCATATCTATGATTTGAACACCATAAATACGTTCAAATTTTCGAGTATATGAACCGGACGTAATTCATTAAAAAAAATTGATAAAAACAGAAGATGACCTCATAAAAAAATCGGTTTTACCTTATTTTACTAAAATTAAATGGGTAATCTTTTTTTTTAACGCTAGAATCATGGAAATGTTCAATAAATATAATTATTATGCTTTTTATACACGATCAAGTAAAACTACCATCTAAAATGCTAATATCCCTATGTTTTCCACTACCTAGGTCAATTCGTTTCTCACCATATCATTTATGTTTACATGTGGCATCAGGCGAGCGGTGAGACGGTGTACTTGATTAAGATAACATTGAATAACAATTATATTATAAATAAAAAATGTTGAGAAATTTGGCTAAACGATCCATCGATTCGCAAAAATATAAATGGGAAAAAATGTTATCAAGCAGAGCCAGCAACATTACCGCTCAATCAATCTCGTTAAATAGATTTTGCATGAAACATGGAGTCGATGAAAATACAACCTCAGCTGCCGCCGCTGCCAATTCTTTGGCCGAAATAGCTAAACGTTGGCAGCAGCGTTTTGAAGAAGAGCGAATAAGTGAAGGATTTGAATCGTTCGCTCATATCGCTGCTCATGTTTTAGGCATCAAGGTGGTCAAAATGTTCATTTTCCCTCGTTACTTTTACTAACAATTCAACATTGATATAATTTTTGTAGAGATCTGGGCTGGATGCAATCATGGAAAAAAAACTAACTCAGCAGCAAAGTCAAAAATTGGAAGAATTGTGTTTATGTAGATTGTCTAGGTAAAGTATTTCATCAATTTTAATAATAGTTCAAAATAAATAACAAAATATTTTTTAGCATGCCCGTGCAATATATTGTAGGAGAATGGGACTTTAGAAATATTACTCTAAAGTTAGAACCACCAATTTTTATACCTAGAGTAGAAACTGAGGAGCTGGTTAGCATTGCATTGAATAGGATTGAAAATATGAAAAAAAATCCAATAAAAATTCTAGAAATTGGTTGTGGTTCTGGTGCAATTTGCTTATCTTTATTGCATTCAAATCAATCTGTAAGTTCAGGAACAAGTTTATGCCATGGTGGTAATACAAATAAGTTTTTATGTTTTTCAGATACAACTGGTTGCTATCGATAAAAATCATCATGCATGTACAGTAACAATAGAAAATGCAAGTAACTTAAAAATAAACAAAAACTTGAAAGTTTTGAATGCATCGATTACCAAAGAAGGATCAATACAATCAGAACAAAATATTTCGACAAATGAAGATGTGAACTTTGAAAAATTGAAATTTGATTTGATTATTAGTAATCCACCTTATATTCCAACTAAAAAGATTTTCCGTCTGCAACCAGAAATTAGACTGTAAGTTATAATTAAGTCAATTGGTAGCACAAATGTTTACTTATTTACTTATTTTACAGATACGAAGATTTTTCAGCTTTAGATGGAGGTACAGATGGATTAGATGTAATTGATGCTATATTGAAGTATGCTTGCAAAGCTTTGAATTCTGAAGGCCTAGTACTTTTGGAAGTAAATCATGATCATTCACAAAAAATTCAAGAGCTAATAGAAAAAATGTACTCTAAAGAACTTAAATATCTTGCAACTCATAAAGATATATATGGAAGGGACAGAATAGTTGAAATTATCAAGAATGAGTGAAATTTGGTTTCAAAGTATTTTTGTTGTTATTAATATGAAAACTACTATAGTACAATATATACAAGTAATTTTTTCTAAAAAACACTTAATAATTAAAATTAAAAATGTCATTTAGTATTTAAAATTATCTAAAATTATGTCTTCGGCATCATCATCATCATCATCATCATCATCGTCATCGTCATCATCATGATTATCATTATTATCGTCATCATTTTCAGAATCATTATTTTCACCTTCGGAAGAATCTTCATTTTCACCTTCAGTAGAATCTTCGTCTTCGTCTTTGTCTTCATCAATATTCATCCCAAAGGCTTCATTATCACTTTCATCATCATCATCTGAAAATAACTGGAGTTTTTTTGACTTGACAGTGTTCTCACTTTTATCATCTTTTTCAGACTCTTCAGTTAAATTATCACAAAACTTATCTTCTAAAATGGATTCTTCTTCCCACACTGATTTTAAAAGACTTGTTTTGTTCTTTTTCTTCAATTTTTTGGAACTTGGTTTCGATGGTTCCACATAAGCTGGAGGTGGTTTTATTTTTCCTAAAGGAGTTGGATCATCTAAAACGATTTCACCTTTAGTTACTAAGTATTCAGCATATTGTTCAGGTACACTTTTGAATCGATTGATTTTAGCTCGTATTTGGTTGCTAGTCAACTGATAATGATTTTTACGATCTCTAGCCATTGCCTGAAAAATGAACTCTTATTTAGTCAAATGTATTGATACAAAGATGTTTAACACTAAAGGCATGAAAATTTACCTTATAATCATCTCCATATTTGTCTAGCATATAAGTGGCAAATGATACTTCATTTTTAGGTAACCTAAAGAGCCTGACTCTTGGATGCTTGGCATCTTCTTCTAAACTTTTGGCAACATACTGCTTTGTCGGGATTATTGTTTTAGTATTTTCAAAGTTTTCCCCAGACTTTCCAATACTTTTTAATAGCACATCTTTTGTTGAGTCTGGCATTTTTATTACTTTGTTAGGATCATAAGCTAAGCCCATGTTTAGTAAATTATTACGTGTTGATCTCCTCTTGTCCCATGCCTCTTTGATTTGGGGGCTATTGAAAAAAATAAACATGTTATTATTTTCTGAATTTTAATTCATGCATACTGCACTCACGTCATTGAATTGAGAAGTATTCATTATACAGTAACATTTATAGACTATTAAACATATTGTAAATCTTTAATGTAAATCCTTACCATCCGATGCTGGGTAATTTATTTAATCTGTTACGCAGTCTTTTTTTATTAATGGAAGACATTGTGAGAATAACTTTCTGTTGAATAAATGTCTTTTACACAGTTTGTTATTAGAGCTGGCAGCGTGAACACGTGCATTCACTATTTAGCTCTGCTGCCGGCGCGATGAGCGACTACTTTAGCCAGTTTAAGCTGCCATCTAGATACGAGCGGCAGATTTAAAATGATTTTGTCATTTTTTTAATTTTTGAACCTGATCTTTTGATGGGTAAAATTTTATTTAGAAATCATGGAAATGTTTTTAAATACTTTACACATTTAATAAAAAAAATTTTTTTAATCAACAATTAGGCATTAACATTATTGATATTATAATTAAAAATATATTTTTAATTATAATATGTACATTTTTAAAGTGCTTCAATCAATGAAAAAACATGTAATATTTTTGCAGGATCCCTCCATGATGGTCAAAGTAGGGTATTTCATCGATGATCGATGAATTACATGGTTTCACATCGTTAGTATTCGATCATTGCCCTGTAAAAATTACAAATACACCGTCTTTATTATTTTTTTATCTCAAAGTGCGGAAAGTATTGGTTTTCAAACGGCTGGACATCTTAAAATTGACTTGAGCACGCTATAATAACAAATATAGTAAGCAATTGTGAGGCAGTTGCAACACGACTGTAATATAGGCCCCTCTCTCGTTATGTAATGTACTAATTATAATAATTACAATAAAATGCTAACTTGTTTCATGTCATGCTTTGTATTAGAAATATATAGTATGAGTATTAGATTAGTATCATTTTAATGTTTTTTTATTTCAAAAAGAAATGATTTAGGAGTAAAAAAATCATAGAACAAAAATTATAGCCAAAGAATTGATACGAAATTTTCCAGAATTTTTCGAGAGCTATTTTGAATTTTGAAATGGCCTTTTCAAAAACGGGAAAGGTTTAGCGACTACTTTTAGGACTTATAGCAAATGGCTTATCCTTTCATGGTTCATAACCAACTATTTAAAACGTTGGCACGATAATCTAATCAAACAGCGACCACTCTAACGCGTATAAATATAATTTATTTTTTAAAACTTTAAACCAATATGTATTGATTATAATTGGATGATTTTATCAACATAAATGATATTATACGGATTTTTTTATGGAACAGCTTAACACGTTGATAGATTTTCCGGGCCAGGTTGTCATAGCTATCTTATCGGTCTTCTTTTTTCCTGTTCAGCGGTTAGTAACAAATGAAATATTTAAAAAAGTATGTGAAAAATACGTATCTTCAGTCACGATTTTTGAGAACAATGCTATATCGGAAATCGTGACCAGGCGAGTATTTATACATGCGCATGCATACTAGAAAGCTGTTAATGTATTCATGATCATACAGAGTCAATGAAAAGGTATTGTAAAAATATTGCATTCAAAGTGTTGGCAAATCGTGCTTGCGAGGAGTACATTTTCCTCCTGGTGAAAAATGTTACCAAAAAACTGTAACCGGCGCGCAATCGCCTACTTTTTTCTACCCATATTTTTGGCGACCTTCGAGCGTGAGTAGAGATTCAGCGGTGGGATAATCGAAGTATACTCGAGATAATCGGGGTGAATTTCGCTTGTTTTCGACACTGTACGCGTACGCAGCTACCGACGCCGTCCTGAGCTACGAGGACGAGTATTACTTCTGCGCGGAAGCCGATCGCTACAACTGGACGAGCCACCCGTGTAAAAGGACCTGCAAAGATGGCGAGCCGCCTCGACAGTGCCTCTACGTGTTTGTCGTCGAGCAGTACAGCACCATGAGCAAGGCCTGCTACGACTGTCCGTTCAACATGGCCGACTGCTATCGGCCTCACTGCTTGCCGGGGGATGGTCGGCCCAAAACCGTTTTCACGGCCAATAGGCAAATGCCCGGGACACCTATCGAGGTCGTATTTGCAGCGCTTGTTGCGCTCGAATGAGCTTTTTTTTGTTTCACGAAGAACAGGATGTTTTATGCGCAGGTCTGTCAAAACGACCTGGTCGTCGTGGAAGTGAGAAACACCATGTTGTCCGAGAGCACGACGATCCACTGGCACGGATTCAAGCAGAGAGGTACGCCCTACATGGACGGTGTGCCCTTCGTGTCCCAATGTCCCATCTTGCCTGGTCAGACCTTCCAGTACATATTCAATGCCACAGAGGCAGGAACGTACTTCTGGCACTCGCACATCGGTAGGTGCTGGTCGATCTCTAAATCCTTCCGGTTCGGTTGATCGATTGCAATCGATTCGCTTGTCCTGCAGGATCGCAGAGAGCCGACGGGCTGTACGGACCTTTGATCGTGAGACCCTATCCGAGAAGCAACCCCCACAGGAATCTGTACACGCACGACGTTCACTGCATGTTGCTGACCGACTGGATGGTGCAAGAGGGCGACGACGGCTTCGTCGAGATGTACCATTACCGATCGCGAGTTCGCCCCGAGACTCTTCTGATCAACGGCTTAGGTCGATACCAGCCCTTCCGCCGGAATAATACGCGCGGCCAAATTTTCACCCCGACCGAGACTTTCATGGTCCAACGGGTAAGGAATGCGAGCAATCGGCCACAGCTTGTTTCTTCCTTTTATCGCTATTCTTATGAATGATTCATAGGGTAACCGATACCGATTCCGAATGATCGACGCCGGTGCAGAGGATTGTCCGATCGAAATGTCAATCGACAATCACAAATTGTGGATCGTCAGCCTCGACAGCAACGATGTCGATCCAGTCGAAGGTCAGTATAGTATTTGATAAATTGCCTCCTTAACGATTCGATCGATAAAATTCATTGTCCAGTCGACTCGCTGACTATTTGGCCGGGGGAACGAATTGACTTTGTCATCAATGCCAATCAACGAGTTGGCAATTATTGGATAAGATACCGAGGCCACGGACAATGTGAGCCATCGAACACAACAACTGGAATATATCAGGTTGCTATATTAAGATACAATGGGGCAGCCAACCAAAATCCAAGTTCGGCCGTGGGCTACAACATACCACCCATGACCAATACGACGAGGGTACGCAATTGAAAAATCAATTTTACATCGACTTTTTCGATCTGAAAAGTTTGGGCTCGTTTCAGATATTCAATCCATACAATCGAGGAACCGAAGCGCCACCCTATATATTCATAAACGTACCCGATTTGAACGCAACTGCGCCAAACGATCCTTCGCTGACTCGTCGACCGGATGTTCAGCACTACATCAACTTTGACTTTTACCCGATCGACAACTACGATTTTCATCGTCAAAATCTCTATGGTTATAATCAAGGTAGTCAAATTTCGTAGGCCGCAGATTTAATATGACTTACCGGTGGACTGGACAACGTGAAAATAAGCGCTATTGAATTTTCAGTACCCGCTGACCGGCGAATGGGTACGTTTCAATTGAACCACATATCCCTGAAATTTCCGCCTTTTCCACTGCTCTCGCAATGGGAGGAGATTGGGCCGGATACCCTGTGCAACAGAACCCACACACCGAGAGCGGATTGCCAAAGAGAACATTGCGCTTGCACACACGTGATTCAAGTGGGACTGAACCAAGTCGTCGAGTTGGTTCTCGTCGACGAAGGTGATTGGTCGAGTTGCGACGTTTCAACGATCGTGTACGTATGCAAGCCTGGCTTCGAATGAAATGATTTTTTCTTTGTGGCAGGTCGATACGTCGTAGCGAATCATCCCTTGCACTTGCACGGCCACTTTTTCCGCGTGGTAGCCACGGAAAATTTACGCGGAAACGTGACGATCGATCGAATCAAAGAAATGGACAGACGCAACCAGATTAGGAGAAGACTCGATCGAGCGCCGATCAAAGATACGATGAAGGCACCAGGTGGTGGCTATACGATTCTTCGATTTCACGCCAACAATCCTGGTACGTTAAATATTATTGTAAATTTTAGATCCATTTTCTGAGGATATTTTTCCCAGTCGATATAATTTTGTCAACTTATAAAAAAAATTCATCATTTAAATGGATATCGATAAGAGAAAGGAGTTGTATGAATTTATCCTGATGAAATAATTCTCGCTGGGGAAAGTACTGATGAATCAAAAGTTTAAAAGAAGCTGCTTGTGTCTTTCAACAGGATACTGGTTTTTCCATTGCCACTTTGAGCAGCATACAAATGTCGGAATGTCGTTAATCTTCAAAGTCGGCGAGCACAACCAATTCCCTCCAAAGCCCCAAGGTTTTCCTAAATGTGGAAGTTACACTCCGATAACGGGAAACTCCTTTAACGAAGCTGGTTAAACGGATCATTTATCTTTTTCATAGCTAACAATTTTCTTGTATAATGATAATAATAAAAAACAATAACGATTGAAATAACATTTCTATACATATTGAAGAGTACTTTGTGAATTTTGATAATACCTTGCTATAGCTGATTGAAATTCATTGAGATATTTTCTTAGGCAGTTTTGATTGCATCGTCTTTTTTTTTTAAACGAGGTCTTATTGCGTTTCCAAACATCATCGACTACAATATTTTCATGCTTCGACTAATTTTAGTGCTCAAAATTTTAATCCTTGCCAAATCTAATTATAAAATGTCCAAAAATCAAAAAAGATTACACAGAAGTAAACATTAAAACTAATAACTTTAACTTTACTTATGCTCAGTTATGTATAATAAACAATTAGTTAAACTACTTCGCGGCTCGCGCAGCCTCGACGCAATATAAAGCAGTCCCTGCCCAGTTATGCAAACATGCAGTGGTTAGCGGACAGGGTACACTAAAGTGCAATAAGGTGCGAGAGTATATTGTGCTCATGCCTCATATGCTGCCTCTTGGCTCTTGCTAAAATCGTTCAAGAGATTATTTAAAACGTAACCTAAAAATAAATATTTTAACTCAGTTATGAGATTTGCATGAAACATTCAGTAAGATAACCCAAGTTTAATGCCCAGTTTTTTTATGCAGAAGTATTGGTATGAGGCGTAATTATCGAACCCAAAACAAGACTTAGCGACCGTTCCATCTGATGAAGTTAACACAAGGCGAGAAGAAAGAAAGCGGAATGCGGCACAAGCATATCAGCTACATGGGTAGATGATTTGCAATGCAAAACGTTCGAATTAATTTATAGCAGGGCATTGTGAATTTTTGCTTCCATACTCGCCAAGTATATGTATAAAAGTAACGAAGAAACAAAACATTTTCTAAGTTCATCGCATACACAATGGCCAGTCCAATCAAAATAAAAATGACAGTAGACCAGTGGTTTGCAAATTACAAGCAATGGATTACTAAAAATCCAAATTTAGTTTCCGATATAGAAAGTACGATAAAGTACTTATCATTTTTCACAGCGGGTAAGTATTCTATGTGACTTTTGCAACCAATAAAGATTGAAACTTATTAATTTGATATTTTAGGAAAGTTTAATAGCACAACTTTGACATCTGAAATTGTATACTCTTTACCAAATCTCATGGTACTTTTTAACGATCAACTTATTAGAGCTAGCAGAAATACAGAAACAAAATTACCATCTCTACAATCAAAGATAAAAATATGGTTGACCATTATTGATTACACTGAAGCTTTGTTTGAAGTATCTGCTAAAAAAGTCTGGGGAGAAGGAGGTAAATGGTTTGTCATTGCACTTATTCAATTGCTCAAGTAAGTGAACCTCTAATTATAAGTATGTATGTTTACAAAATTTGATTTCAAAAACTTACTCTACACTTGTATATATTCAACAGAGTTGTTATGCGATTATTTCTGGTCTTCCGGTATAAAGAACGAATTACTCAAACACCTGCAATACCACCATTAGACAGAGAAAAATTTAATGAAAAGAATGATGGACTGCAGCCAACTAGAGAAGCTTTTTCATTGAAACGATCTGGAAAAGTTATCAGAACTGTTAGAAGCAGCGCTTCACATCCAAGAACATGGACACCACCAGCTTCTTCTACTTTTATTGAAACAGAAGAACTGAATGATTCAACTATTGGAGCTCTAAAAAAATCCCTTCTTATAGCTGAGGTATGCACTCAGTTAAATACTACATTTTGATATAAATGAGAGAAAATAATTTTATTAATTTTCTTAAAGACAATGTATATTGTTAAACCACTTTTGCACCTTGGATGTTTGTCCATGAGTGGACCCAAAAATTGGAACCCATGGCTCTTATCATTCCTTATTGATCTTGCAAGGTATTTTCTTATTATACAAATTAGTTTTGTTTGAAAAAAAATATTCATGAATAACATTATTTAAATCAATATTTTTCAGTTTAAAAATTTTGAATCAAGAAACTAGACTCAACAGAGAAGAACAAGAGGAATTAAGTCGAAGAAGACTTGGGCTGCTTCTGTATATATTACGATCTCCTTTCTATGATAATTGTAGTAGAAGAAGAATCAATGCTTTACTTGAAACTGTTTCTAAAACGGTTCCACTTGCAAGATTAATTGCTGAGCCATTAGCTAGATATCTACCACATTGGCAAAATACATATTTCTACATGTGGTCAAGTTGAACTGATAAAATTGGTATTTGTACATGAATCATTTGGAGGGTGTAACAGATAATATATTGTTAATCATAAGAATTTTTGAGAATCACTATTGTTTTGTTGTTAAGCAGTATCATAGAATATATGTCTCTTGGATTTAATCAGGACTTGTATTTTTAACTATTTGTGATGTAAAATTATTTGAATTTATAAACTGTGGAATGTAATTTTGACGTTTGTAACATTTTTTATTGTTTTTTTGATAAGAATTTTTTTGTGGCTAGTTTGTAATTATTTGACTAGAATTCAGAGGTTTATATAGAATTGTAAATTCAATATAATTGTGTTGATCAAGTGCCATTGCGCATCAAAATATTGAATAGTTGATATACTCAAAAACTATACATTGAGCATTCCAAACACAATATTTATAATTTGAAGGGTTGAGGAAATGAATAATTTATACTTTTCATTAACGAGTAAATAAATGACTTACGAAAAATTTCAGATTTTCATTCTTTTCTTATTTTAAATTTTTAGCTGGAAACAAATGATAAAAGTAATAATAATATAGAGTTATAACATAAACAATATAACGTAGACATATGTAACATCTTGAAAGGTATGAATACTTATACATCAAAATTTACTTTAATGACACAAGTGATACAAGTTGAATATATTTGGTTGCATTTGAAAAAATGTATCTTGAAATTAAAATATTTTATTCAATCATTTGTAAGAGCGAATTCACAGTCACATCTTTTCTACCACCATTCACATCATAAACTGATTTGATTACTTCTGGATCTATGTTTGAAAACATTTCATTAAGCTGAAAAAAGCATATTAGCATGAAAGTTTTATAATTTGTAAAAACGATAATAATGTTTTTACCTGTTTTAATTCTTCTTCAGCTTGAGGTCTTGAACTTGGCAAAACATTCATCTCAGGATTGACTGGAGGCTGTGTATAAACATTTACAGGAGCAAATGGAATCATACTGTTGGTTGGATTTGTTGATGGCACCATCACCACATTTGAAGCCATACCCATGTAAGGTCTTGGTACCCTTACCTGAGAGGTAATAAATTTAAATCATTTATTAACTTTGTTCATTTGGTGTAAGTTTATATTGGTTTTTTTACCTCATAACTTAAAACTACATTGATGGACCCTTCTTGATCATCTCCTTGTTTTCCACTTAATAAATACCAGTCTTCATAAGTTGTTCCCTTTTCTAATACTTGGGATGGAATAGTAATGTGTCCCCATGCAATCAAGTCATCCATTGTAAAAGAGCATTCATCATAAATTTCTACATAAATTTGTTTGATTCCAGGTGGAAGGAAGCTGCAAGAACAGATTAAATTAGAAAGATATACTTTGATTTGAAAAATGGAGCAAATTTGATATCCTTACACTTGAATGACTTTATTCCAATGGGGGTTTTTACCACCTTTTCTATCTGTATGAGTTTCATATATTGTATGGCCAACTCTTAATCTTACATAAGGATCCATTCCAGTTAGTCCATAATTTTTAACTAATTTGGCCTGAAAAAAGTATGTGTACATGAGTTGAAGAAGATCATGCTGATGTAAATGAAGAATCTTACTTGTACAACTGTAATAGTGAGTCTGCCCATCGAACACATGGTCTGATTTTGCATTTGAAGCATGGCATGGGCAGCTGCAGATTCATGATCCCTCGATCTTGCCTGACTCTCGGTCAAGTCATTAGTTCCATCATCCAATCTCAGAAAATTAGCAGGCAATTCACCCAACATGGCCTGTAAGCATAAAAAAGTTTCACGCGAATGAGTTGTTACAAATTTTTTCGCAATATTCCTAATACCTGGTAAGCTACTTATACGACTATTACTCACTCGTTCTCTCCACTCATCAGTGAGACGTTTTTTTGTGCCTTCCATGTCGTTGCTATGTTTTGCGTATTATTGTGTCTCTCGATGAAAATCTTTGTTGCGAGTAGACGACTACTTCGATGCTTAAGGCTGTACGATTCAGTCTCATCCAAAAGGCCTCTAGATTATTTCTTTTTTTTTAACGGAGCAAAGTGCAGCTATCAGGCATGACACTCGTTAGGACTAGTAGCTTCGTAAGAACTACTCGTTGCGAAGTGTCAATAATGTTGTTGTTGTCGTGAACAGCTGCGGCTGACGAGCAACTCTAGAACGTTTTGCACGGCATATAGCTATTGAGATATGTGTGGAATGACAGCGCGCGTCACAAGTGTCACAATACCCGAGAAGCTCATGTTGCTATATGCGTGCTTTGCGGCAAGCCAACCTGCTCGACTGCCTCGCAAGTGACAAGTTCTGACCGCACAATTTGTGAATGATCATTCAATTTTCAATGTGTTATATTGCTAACAAGCAGCGCATGCGCGACTAGCAACATTTTTCCATTTGCTGGAGCGATGCATTAACATTTCATAATTTTATCGTTTAATTATGTAGTCGCATGGATATCGAAGTAAATTGCAATACAATCGGAGTTCATGAGTAGGGAAAACATTTCAAATATTTTTATGAGATCTAAGTACAGGGAAAAGTCATTTGAATTTTATTTGCATGAAAATTTAATAAAAGACTGAAAGCTAATTGAGCTAGTCTTCGCACACAATCATTTTTATTATTATTTAGATTATTTATCGATTATCAATTATATGATCAATTTATTCTCATTAACTCCTAATCGTATCAACTACTTTCTGTGTTGGAATATCGAAAATTACCTAATTATTTAATGGTATAATAAGCCTATATGCGATTCTTAAATTTTCCGGTAACTATAGAGAATATGCCTTCATTAGTCCCAGTCTCGTTAATTCTGCAAGCAGATACCTTATTTGTTCCAATAAAAATAATAATAATTATATATAAACAATTCGATTTTCGTCGCTTTTTTGGTTCGGCCCTCGTTATATGCGGTAGTTATGTTTCAAAAAAGTACCGAGCATAACGAGAGAAAATGCAGATGGTTACGTTATCAGTGATTAATTATTGAATACATTAATATAAAATTATACAGAGGTTTCAGGTTTCCACAATCCCATCTACTAATCATTCTGTACTAAGAGGCATTACTAGATCTAAGATTTACCAAGCTTAGAGATAATCAAATCCTTCACCTGTTCGACCTTTCGGCCGTCTTGAACCGCGAATAAGGTGAACTTATCGTTGCGTTTGTCAATTCGCGTGTAAGGGTAAACCGCGAATACGTAAACTCCGTATAACTAAGGTCACCTGTATTTCGCAATCTATTGTAACATTTTCATCGTGCAACTACTTTGCGCGTTGAGATAGTATCCTAATTATAGAATTTCAACATAATTTTTCAAAGTAAACAATTTGTTTTAGAAATTGCCTACTTTCACTCGTGCTATTAATTGCAATTATATGTGCGAATATCATTTTTAAGGCTATTTACCTATCAATTAATTATGAATTGAGATATTTTTTAAATTTATGTACGAAAAATTCGCACCGTGATGTTTGAACTTAAAAATATATATGTTATGTTACCATTTTCCAATTTGAAATGATGAAAATAACATCGGCTGTAGTTTCTCGGAAAGAGTCGATTACTTAAAAGACGTGATAAAATATTTCAAGACCTAAAGAAACAATAACTATTTGAGTATCGCAATAATTTGCTCTAAAAGTTTGGAAACTATTAACAAATTGTAAACAAAATTCAAGCTGTTCTATCCATTCTGGCCATTTCTGGCAATATATGCAAATAATACATTTTTTTTTAATCGTTGGCCAAGCTGGAAGATAAATCAAGATATATTTTTGAAATTAACGTGCTTTAAAATGTATTTTGAGACCATTCAAATGTTAACTAATTTACTTTCTCCAAAAAATGAAAATGCTACTAGTTATCGAAAATAAATATAATTAGAAATTTAAGGAGTACTTGTCGATTCCTTCCATCATTTTCAGTTCATCGTTTCCCGACTGCGAACATGATATTATGTGGCACATACGTAAGTCCTAAAGCCCCATACTCGTGAAACAAAAAAAAAGTTCATAAAATATAAAGAAACGATGTTAACTATATCAACCCGAGTAAAAAACGTGATATACAAGGTATTTTACGTATACTATTGCATGAAAGAGATTGTCACATCACATACTTGAAACGGTTCGTAGCTTTTATATCATAACAACATTATTTCTCATTAAAACCACCATTAAAACATTATTTATAATTAAAATTGCTTTGAAATTTTCAATTTTCAAATGTATGAATTATACAAGTTATCGACATGAGCTCATCGTAGGTAAAATTTGTGTACAAATGTCCAAAAGAGGAAGACAGATCAGTTGTTGTCTTAATTCTATTTATTTCTCAATAATCACATGGTATCTATGGATTTGACAAACTAATAACACGACAGAGAGTCGGTTGGATAATTGTAGACAGTCAGTCGTCTGTGTACTGTGGTATGCGATCGCGCATATGTGTAAATATAATTAGTTTCACGTGCTACTATTATACTTGTCGTTGCAATTGATTTATAAAATCAATTTGAAATGTCTTCTCAGCAGAAAAAACACACGCAATTCGCGACTCTTCAGCCAAAGGCACCCGAATATTCCTTGAACGTGGAACGCATTGAGTTCCAAACTGGAGTGTATGCATTTTTATTACGAAACATACAAAATGTTACGGTACAACAATCGGTGCATGAACGTATTATCATGCGGCAAAATTTATTGTCACAATTAAAGGCATTAGCAGTTAATAAAGAACTGCATTCCTCACAGAAAAGGTCAAAACTCCAGCAACTATTGACAACAATTCAAGATTCTGGATTATTTCTAGAGATACAAGGTTTCAGCTGGTTTTTGATGCAAGCAATTTTTAAAAACGAGAGCGACGAAGTTATTAAATTTCTCATAAGATGTGGTTGTAAAGTTTTCGTCGACATGCAAGGTACGTCGGCCCTTCACTTAGCGGCCTTCAGAAAGAGAATAACAATAGTCGATGAACTCTTGCCCTTGGTGAAGACTAATTTTTCCGATCAACACGGCTTGTCGGTCTTTCACCTAGCTTGCCTATCCCGAAACGTTTATCAGATGCAAAGATTCATAGATAGCGGTGCCGACGTCAACCGCCGATGCCAGATGCCCGAATCAATCCATTCGAGGTTTCATTTTTGGAGCGAGGATTTCCATGCCGATTTCAAAGATCTCGAATTGTGCGGCAAGAGTGGCTTGACGCCTTTGCACCTTTGTATGTCGAGATTTTTTGAAAAACACCAGTGCCAGGACTGCCAGTGCGAAAGATACAAATCAGAGGCCGCGGCGGTGCGACTGCTCCTGCTCAACGGAGCCGATCCGAACGCGAAAAACAGCAGCGGCGAGACCCCCCTGCAGATCGCCGTGGCCCGCTATCAGTACGACGTGGTCAAGGAGCTGCTGGACTTCAAGGCAGACCTCAACATGCTGGTGGTTGACCAGCCGCAAACCTTCAACCACTGCAGGCACTGCTCCTTGAAGTCCATACTCAACTTCTTCGAGATACTTCAGCTGTTCGAAAGCAAGGGAATGCTTCTGAGCCCGATGAAAAAGTTGCAGCATTTCAAAAATTTTATCCGTCCACATTTGTATCTTCGTAAGGCTTCGCATTCCCATACATTAATATAAATTATTAATAAAGGTGATCTCAGAGTGGACCTTTTTTTTAGATAACCTGGTCCACGGCTGGAGTTTCTCGAAAAACTGGGACACCGAGTTTCACGATGACACGGCCAAGGCTTATTACAAAATGTTTGTAAACTTTGACGAGCAGGTAAAAAAGGCGTTTAAACTCATGAGCCAAACCAAGATCAAAAATCAACAAACGCTTTGCGATATCTACAAATCTAACCCAGACGAAGTATACCCGATTGTGGTAAATTCCAACTATTGGTCGGTAGTGAATTCGAGAGACTTTGACAATGATTATTTTCTCTACTCACGAATCTTAGTTGACATAATTGCTAAAAGTTTTGTTAGAAGATATTGCGAGATTTTGGCCAACGAATTTTTACCCTCATTAGTTGAACTGTCAGATGCTTCTATTGAATATTCAAATATAGATGGTCTAATTTATTTGTGTGATACCGCTGCTGATGCTCATCCTAATTTATTCAACTCGACAATAATATAATTGCACAAAAACTATAGCATTGTCAGTCCTTGCGTAATTTTAATTAGAAAGTTAGCTTAAAAAGCTTTTTTGACTATTTCTTTAATTGCATAATTATTAAAGTCATTGATGTATCAACGATTTCATCGTTACCAACCAGATTTTGTGTAATTATCTCAAATGCGATTGGCATTGTACATTTTATGCGTGTGACATTAGTACTCATTTGAATCGATTGTTTAAGCAAGTTGGTTCGACATTTTATGTGAGTAATCAAATTTTTTAAATATATGGTCTATATTATTATTTATGATGTAACGATAATTGTTTAACCTACTACATAATCACCTTATACATAAGTATTATTATTCAGTCGCAACAAAACAATAACATCACTTTAGCTTTAAAATCACTGATTTACAATTAGTTTAATTTAATAAAATTCAATTTTATTACTTCGTGAAGAACAAAATAATTTAAAGAACGAACAAATCACAACTTTACTTTCAATTTATATCAAATTAATTCAGGTATTGCCCGTGGGGGTTCTGCTGCTAAATACAATGTTACAGGGTTGAATTCGATTCAGAATTTCATTTAATTTTTTTTTCAAGAAATTAAATTTATTAGATGGCTGTAATGAAAAAAAACTATCGAGAGAAAAATAAAACGACTATTAGTTTTTTATATGGTGTTGTGAGTATTGTAGTGAGCTGTGTTGCCGCTAGGTGGCACAGAGTGAAAGTGCGGTTCACGCGAATGAGTTTGTCAAGTCTGTGCGTTAAATAGACCTAAGGAAAGCTTGTAAGGAAGGCTTGTAATTTTGATAACGAAGTGTTTGTCAATGAAGTTGCTAACAATGGAGGTTCTGTACAGAAAGTATTATATTGTGGTACATAGCTCGAGTTTATCGTAAAACTTGTCCTTACCGTAGCGTACAGATTAGCATATTCGGATTGGAAGTGCTCGTCTTTCGAGTAAGAAAATCGACTCGCATATTCAATGACGTAATTGCATCGTGGTGGAATATCTAATACTTGATGGCATGCTCGGCACAAGACTGAATTCGAGCTGTAGCTTGAAAGCAAGTCCCGATATAGGTCCGAGCACATCGGCCCGGTTTTGGTTGATTATTTTTTCGTTAATTCGAAGACTCGAGGAACTTTTTGCAAGTTGTACGTCGCAGCCCTTCCGAACAATTTCAAACGTCACCTGTCCGATGCAATTCGTATTGGACGAATCACGAGCCAAGGTCACTATCATGCCTACCTTTTCGAGCCTCGAGCATCGCAGTCTAATTAAGTTGGGCATCAAGTTTACCGTATATCTATTAAAAGCACATGCTCTAGGAAAATTAGAACTTCTCGCGAGTCGCGGTTATATTTAAAGCCCTATCTCTCCGCGCAAGTAAACGTCTTTTCTGCTTGGACGGCGTCCAGCAGCGCGCAAAATCGTCTTCTCGAATATTATTCGAGAATATCGTAGTATATGACAAGCGAGAGAGATTGTTGAACTCTGAATAATTATAAACGCGCCTTAAAATGTATATTAAATGTCTTGCCCCTCGTGGAAAGCTCAAAATTGAGTTTGCTTTCGATATAAAAACTTAATTTCACATGTAAGTGGAAAACTTTCGGTGGAAAACTTTTAATTTCAAACTAATCGACGATCATCGAAAAACGGAAAGAATTATTCGAAATAAAAATTGTTTTTTGCATTTGAAGATTATTTAGATCGAGGAGAATAAATATTTTGCCACTGCTATGTCTTGCAGTGTCCATGGAAAATACCCCTTAAATTACATTTAAAAGTAACCACTCGAATTTGATAATTTGAGCATTTACCTCGTTGTTATTTCAGCATCGTGCTCCATTGCAAAAGAAAAGTATCGAAATTTGATGGAGACGTTTGTTCAAGGTATGCCGCACAGAACTCGTGCGAAAGTAAATTGCAAAAAGTCAGTGAGAACGGGATGCAGCGCCTGTCAGGTCGCTTTTATCATTTTAAAACGGCCAGTGCTATCGATGCAGAGAACGCGTAAGCATGTGCAGCGACGATGCAACACGTAAGCTCGAGTCGCGTATGTGGTGGCAGTGGCACGCGTGTGAGAGAGAGTGTATCTTAACGCGAGCGAGCTCGCCGAGTTGGCGTTCATGTGGCGTGTGTGCGATGGGAGCTCGCGCCAACGGGGGCAGGGCAGGCAGGCATATCGCAGCGAATTGCGCGAAAAGCTGTGCGCGTTGGAAAGTCGACGACGAGGTGGTGGCGGCGGCGGCGGTGATGTCGCCAGTGCGTTTAGCCGGGCGTCGCTCTTTCTCGTGCATCGTATACGCGAACGAGTCAAGCGAGCGCCAGTGTTCGGCGACTGCTAAGGCTCTATGGTCGTGTGCGCGCCCGTGTCGTTGTACATGTGCATTCCGAGCTTTCGTCGAGAGCCTCTGGTGCTTTGTTGTCGCAGACAGTCAGCAGCAGCAGCAGCAGCAGCAGCAGCGAGAAGAAAACAGAGCTGGCGAGCGAGAGACGAGCTCGACATGACAGAGGCGTCGTTGTGCTCGCGAGTAAGCCTCGAGTGTCAAAAAGTGCGAGACGGCGTGTCGTGCGTGGCTCGAGCTTTGTTCCTTGTCGGCTGAAAGCTCCGAGTCCCGAGCAGTGCGTATGCAGGAGCTCGGTCGCGCGCGCGGGTCAACGAGCGCGATACACGCGCGCACCTATACACCTATAACTTTTACGCGCCTCTGTCTCTCTTTCTCTCTCGCTATCTCTCTCTGTCTGTCTGTGTGCAAAAGTGCAGATGAGCCAGGTGCTCGTCTTTGGGTTGAAAATAGACACACACGCACGAGCTCTCGCGTCTCGTGAATCGGCCGATTATAAATTATAAATCCTCCCTCTCGCGCGCCAAGAAATCTCGTTGTAGGCGCGAAACTCGCCGTCAGCTCTCGTTATCGCTGCCTCGAACATTCTGCTGTTTCCAGTGAAATTTGAACAAAAAAAAAGGCATAACAACAAGAAGAAGTAAAGTCGAAACAAATGGGATCAAAAGGAACGAGACGAGTTGCCGAGAATAAGTCAAATTAAATTTTGTTTGCGAAATGCTTAAAAACCCGGGCCGGTTTTGCATATAGACAGCGCGCGTATGAGCAGAGCAGATATATACGTATTCGACATACGCTAAGCAGCACATGGCCGAGCGCGTAAAAATAAAACTTGAAACATCTCCGTAAGCTGCGGAGCCAATAGAGCATTATCCGCGGCGTGCATCCCAAGAGTGAGAAAAAAAAACACGTACGCACGCACACGCCTCGTGCTGAGAAAAACGCCGTCGAGTGCGTGTCGCTTGGGGCTTGCAATTTTTCCCCAACGCGTAATACGTGCACCGGTTGTGACAAGAGAAAAAGACCAGCGGTAAAGTCAGGACCAGCGGTAAAGTCAGGCTGGACACTAATGCCCACGTTCAAATTCACAAGTGATAGTGCAGCTGATGAATTCGGAAGATTAAAAGTGCGTGTACAACATTAGTCGTGCGTGGGTGGCTCCGTAGTCGCTCGCCACTTCATATAAGTTAATCAGCAAGTGCGATTGGTTACTTAGTTAAAAAAAAAAAAAACAAAGAAATAGAAAAGACAATGGCCGAGACAAGCCCATACCACAACAATGCGCAGATCCAAAGCATGAGGCGGAAAACGCGCTCGGCCTCGATCTGCGCGCCTGGCTCGCAGAGCATGGAGCAGATGTTGAACAATAGCGGCGGCGGCGGCGGTGGCTGCGGCGGGATACCACCCATGCCAGCCATGGCCAGGGAAAGGGATCGGCTGAGGAAGGACGGCAGCAGCGGCAACGCCACACCCGAGAGCAACAGCACGCCGATCAAGAAGCGACGACCAGCCGTCAGGTCGCAGAGCGCCAGGGTGTCCAGGGACAACAAGAGCATCCGCAAGAAGAGACAGGAACAAGGTTCACTTCTGTTTTCTGTTTGCTTTGTATCGCGCCTAACCAACGACTCGAAATCGCTTTATGTTTTTTCGCGCTTCCAAGGAGTCGAGACGAAAAAACATTGACTTTTCGTCTCGTTCGGAGCAACAGATTGGCAAACTTTTTTCATCGCTCGCTCGACAACTTTTTCCGCGAATCTTAGGCGCTTTTGTACATTATCGCGTCGACTGGGATTTCGAATTCGCAGCAACTAGCTAGCGCGAGACGAGTGCAAAATCCTCATTTACGTCAACAAGCACAATACTCTTTTGCAAGCTAGACAAGAGAGAATTAGCTTTTTTAACGTACATATTGTTTATACAGATGGACATTTTTTTCACCTAGATATTATAACGTGAAAGCGTCTATTGTTAGCCGCGGCATGCGCCGCGCTGCTCTTTTTCTCACGCTTTTTTCATTATCGGTTATTTTTTCCCTGCCTCTCGGCAACGTGTCACCATCGCGGCGATGGCACGCGAGCGAGCTTGCGAGCTTGCGCCGCGCACCTCCAGCAGCAACCACATTGCGAGCTCTTACATAAAGTCTCATTTTCCTCTCTTTTACACTTGCTGCGTTTGTAATGACGTTACAGTAAATAAAAGGACACGTGTGCCTCGTCGTGTGTACGCGCCGAGATTTATGCAAGAGGGAAAACCGTTACAGTGGAAAAAAAAAGAAGAAGAAGGAAAAAAAGCTAAAACGGACAATGCGACGTGACGTAATTTAAAAAGAAAAATCTTCGCGTTGAAGCGCGCTCGCGACGCAAGCTATCGTAATGACGACTTTCGTCGCTAGCTTTTCTTTTTCACGGCTATTATTGTCAGCGCGTATTATTATAGAGAGCTTGCGCTTATACATTGTTTAAAGAGCAAACCGACGAGTCTGCGATCGGTCGATTTTACCATCATTAGGAATAAATTAAATTTCACATTGTACGCATAGCCGTTAGCTATCTTCAATCCCCACAATGAGCCAAATCACCGCTTAATTAATCATCCATCAGTCAGCCGTCGTGTGACGCATTCCAATCCGAATCTCTGCGGCTAGCCTCCCTTCCTAGCGCTGCCTCTAGATAATTCGTTCCTTGACAAAACCAATCCTAGTACATTTCCTGTCGTCGTTTCCCGTCAAATTGAAAACGCGCATACACGGACTTTTCGCCGGATTCGTGACCTCGGATAAAATGATTGATCGTCCAGTTTGTATGGGCAGAGCCGAGCTTGCACTTCCGTGACTTTGATCCAAACATTTCGCGTTTATTTACGCTTAATAAGTTTTCATTTGCACGCCTCCGTTCGCTAACGAAAGAATCGTATATTTTTGCACTTATCATTTTGGCCGTGTATTTTTAGAGAATATTTCGAGTAAGGTCTTGGTGGAAGAATTTGCGCTTGAAATAAAAGAGAAATTTCCACGAATTCGCGTATTCATTGCAGCGGACATGGAGCTTCGACAAAACTGTTTCTTCAATTTTTCCTCGCTCAGCCAACGCAATGTCTCGTTTGATTCAGTAGATCGATTGTGCACATGGTGTCTTAAAATATGTCTAGTAGATAAATTCATTATGGATTTCACACAAGTTACGATACAAAGTTGCATATAAATGATCCTTCAAGGGGGATTTTTTTATAAAAATAAAGTTGAAATACCCTTTCTAACGAACGAAAAGTCGGGACAAACTTCTTAAAAAATTTTTTCGTATGAGCACAGACAGTCATGTAATCTGTCATACTTACCAGACGAATAGTTCCGCAGTTTCTTTTCGTTAAAATTCGAAGCTAGTCAATTTGTGGCAAACGTGTGCAAGCCGCCACTACATGCAATAAATCTAAATCTACAACAAAATCTCAAATTGGAAGGCTACATTTTGCACTAGTTGCTTAAATTTTTATTTGCTATAATCAAGTCGGTGCAGCTCTGCTCTTTATACTCTTTAGCAGCTAATATAGCAGCAAATCACCGTTTCTCGTTAAAAATATTTTATCAAGTTGTTCATATCCTTGCACATTAATTTATGAAATTGGTGACATAACGCGCGGTATAGTGAAAGTCATTAAAAACTACTTAACCATTTGCTCTCCATCCGATAAATTGAGCTCGTCAAAAAACTCGACTATCGTAATCGAAATGCAGGCGGAACATTGTAAATACTGCTAGCTACTGCGAGGAGCATAAAAATCAACGCTAATTATACGTCCCACTTGAGATGGGAACCTTTTACACAACTTTTTTTTTTATGCTGCAAGGAACTTTAATTAACTTGGCGTGTACTTGCGTGTGGATAAACGTAATTTTTTCTACCGATAGCCAATTAAGTATTTTGAAATTAAAAGGAGAAAAACATGGGCAAGGCGAGCACGAGAAAAGCACGCGCTTAATGATTACTGCAAATCGAACGTTCGACGCAGCAGTGCACCGCAGCAAGCAATAACAATCGAAAGCTACAAAACTTCCGGGGGCATAACGTATCGCGTTTATTCGCGCGGCTGGCCGATATCCAAAAATAAAATCATTTCGAATGAGCGATGAGAGAGCAGCTTGCGTGCCTCGGCTGCTCATACTTCTCCTATTGGCGAAAGTCTGCGCTTGTTGAAATTTAAATTTTCTCCACTCTTTATCTCGGCGAGGTAAAAGTTTAGAAAATCTGCTGCTTCAAGTAATTGTTGCACTCGCGTTTACACTGAAAAGAAAGAATATTTGAAATTCATAGTAGATACGCAAGTGTTGCCGACTCCATCTCGTTTCAGAACCAGCAGTGAACAATGGAAAATACATATTAAACGTTGAGAAAGAAGCGCAAGAAAAGGCCATCGATTATCCGCCGAACGCAATCGATCATTGAAATAGTTAAATACCGAAAGTTTCAGGTAGCTCAAGGGGTCACTTATTCGTTTTTTCAGCTCTACTTGAGAGTCCACTCGGTTGCTTTATTCTGCAAGTAAGAGGCCCAATAACGTTTCGAAAAATCAATAGCTACGGGAAAGGCTCGAGATCTTGCCGGAGCAATGCGTTGTCAATGCGATCGAGCCTTTTCTTTGACTCTTGCCCAACGAAACAAAGTCGTTTATCGTCTCGTCGCGAAGCTCGACGCGTAGGGTACTTTTGCCTCGGAAGAGCACAGCCGGGCCGATAATCGATATGCAGTGTGTGTACTGTGACTGTGTGGCTGTGTATCTACGAGCTGCGCTGCACCAGATATGTTAGGTCTAGAGCTTGGCCAACGAAACAAAAAGATGATCGTTGCGGCATTGAATTGGAGGAAGGCGCATTTCGGCTTGCTAAAGACGATTCTTCGTTCGCTCGCGATGCAGCAGCCCCGAAACTCGATCTTCGTCTGCTACTCGTTGCATTCGAACGAAGAATTTTCCTGAAGCAGCTTCGATAAATCGAACTCGAAACGAAAGATGGGATACTCTGGCCGATTACAAATTCGTACGATCGAGCTCTATTTCAACGAAGAAAGAGAGAGAGAGAGAGAGAGAGAGAGAGAGGGAAAATATGTTGCAAACTGTTGCTGTTGCACATACGTGTGTGCAGTGTGGAACAAAATGTAGGCAACCTGTTGAAAGTTTACAATGTAGGTCGAGCTAACGGCGGCGCAGCAGCAACTTGTTTTGTTGCGATCACCCTTCAAGAGTGCGAGCATACTTAGCTGCACACAATGGCTGCAGAAATTAAAGTTTCCGACAACAGATGTTTCGCTTAACTATCGAGGAACTTTGGATTAACGAAAAACCTTCAATAAAATCCTTTTGCTCAATGAAAACGTGTCATTAACCTCCCTTCAAGATAAGTTGCCCCCCATACAAATTGAGCTCGTGAAGAAGAAGGAGGAGAAGAAGAAGAAGATAAGTCATCGTCGTCATGGTTATTTTTCCACAAAAAGTTGCCTCGACTTGAACGTTTTTGGGTCATTGACTGCTCTTCGGCTCGCGCTTAATGCTCCTTCTCTCTCTCTATCTCTCTCTCTCTTTCTTTCTCTCTCACTCTGCCGACTTTGCAGCCGACTTTACAGCCGTCGAGCTGCCGACGAGGCAGCATCATCTCTTTCTATATACGCATGTAGCAGAATCGTCGAAATGCTCGCGCGCGTTAAATATATACAGACATATTCGTCGAGCGCATATAAAATAAAAATAGTTTACGATTTGACGTCACGCGAAATACGTGCAGGCGCGCGTGCGCCTTTCCTGCGCGCCCGCTAGATTATAAATATTTTACAAACCATCTCTCTCTCTCTCGAGCTGCTGCTGATTCTCGCTAAGGGATCGAGTGGAATTTCGCATCGTCCGAGTCAGTCACGTCTCCCATACGCACGAGCAAAAACATTTTCTCCCCTCGCGCTTTATCTCTGCAGCAGAGCGACTTTTATTGCTCTTCCGAAAATGCGTCGCTTCCATCCACTGCTCGCCCCCCCGCAATCATTCATATAGCGAGTACAATTTTTCAAACTCGGCGAAAGCTCGATTCATATACTTTTCTCCCTCTCTCCGCTCGCTCTTTCTCAGCTTTCTCAGCTCGACATTTCTATACATCGAATCCCTTCAGCATCTTTGTCCGCGATAAATACGCAAAGTTTCATTTTACTCGGAGCATTTAACCTGCTTCGCTGCTTTGTAACGTAAACTAGCATTGTTTCGAGTTTTAAGACTGTCTCTCGGCGTCTGTGTAGCTTGCGCTTGTACGCTCTCATACAATCTACAATTTACTCGCCGACAAAACTTTCAATTCAATTATTATTCCCGCTGTAAACTCGAGATATATTTCAGCTGGGAAATCACAATTGACAATTATTATATCTTCTGTTGATAAATTTATGTAATTTTTCTTTTCCGACTTTTCGCTCTCGCTCGCTATCAAGCCGGACCAGGCCGCACGAGAGCGAGTGAGAAACAATTTCATTGTGCGCGCCTGCAGATTACTCGCGAGCTTTTGCAAGCTGCGCGCTGGCTAAATTACGTCATAAATTCATGCGTGTTTTTACATGTTTTGCATCCATGAACATGCGCATTTCGGTATGAGCTTTTTGCGAAAAAATTCACTTGTGCAGGCGCATATACTGCATAATATGCATACGATATGCTTTTCCAGACTTGGAAATACTTCATTAGATTGGCGGGAAAATTTGACTTTCTATAAACTTCAATCGATGATTCGAGACTGAAACTTCCTCGCGACAGTTCGATTGTCATCTCCGAGATTTCGTTGAACGAAGCACGATTAATGCGCCACATTTTGTAGAGCAGAGTGTGACGTGGAAAAAATGAGCATCGAATTGGGCAAAAGCTCAAAGCAAGAGACGAAGAGTATATTAACTTAGCTCTTAGCTGTAGGGCGCGTAATTTTTCCTTATATCAGCTCCTTGGCCTTATATCAGGCCATTTAAAAGCAATGGTAAGCAATTTCTTTTTCTTCTGCAGAGCTCAAATTATTATTGTTGATGACGATGGCTGTGCAGAGCTCGGCGTATAAACACAGCCTCGGAGAATGACAATATTGATTTATCGGCTTAGACAAAATTCTCTCGTATACGTGTGTATAATATACATGGCAAAGCGATGGAAGTTTGGCCGCTCTATAAATAGAATAGTTCAAATTTATTTATACACACGTGAGATATTCAGCTAAATTACAAACTCGCGAATAATATTTTTTTTAATCCAAGCCAAAACATTTGTGTGTTTCCTAGAACAAACAAACCGAGAAGCTCGGCTCGAGCACAGCTGATATTGAAACAGAGTTATTTAAATCCATGAGCTTTTGCAGAAAAAAGGTGGATAGTTGCTGCTCTGGAGAAAAATGTATGCATGTGCGCGCGCACACGTATACGTACTATACGTACTCGTGTGCGTGTGTGCGAGCGAGCGCGATAGAAAGTTGCGACGAAATCTACTCACGGAAAAAGCTTCGGTAATGACCACTCTGAATTTCGAGTTGGATGAGCTAAAACCTGGTGCTAATTTAACTTTGCGGTACGCAACAAGCACATCTATAATACGCGCGCCAGTGAGCTATGCGAACGAGCCTCTATTCAATGATTCGCTCAATTTATCTCGATCTTTTTTTTTTCCTCTTCCACGAGTCGAGTGGCGGTTCGCGCGCATCGTCGATATTTTACAATTTTCAATGATTCGCCAGCATCGCGTCGGAATTTGACGGTAATGAATGAAAATTTGAATTTGACACAAACGGGTGCGTCGAGTCGTCAGGGAATCGAGGCGTTGATTGCACCGCCTGGTACATAATACAATACATCGAGCGCAGAAACGTAGAATATATAGATAAGGGTTTTTCACTTGAAATTGTTACCACGACCTTCGCTGACGCATGTAACGTATTTTAGCACGACAGCTTCGGAGCTCGACACGCGGCAACGATGAAAGCTCGCACGTATATGATTAATAATATCCTTGAAATGCAGAGAGAAAGCGAGAAAGTAAAAGTAAGCAAAAAGTCAGTTTGCATTGGGAATTTAGTACGAAAGCTGAGTTGACGGGTCATTTGCGAGGCACAAATACTCGAAATCGTACGTACACGGCAGAGGCTGGTGTTGGTATAGCTCGGCTCGCGCGCAAAACATCTAATTCAATCGAAAGTGAGGCTTAGGCATATAGTCGAGGCAGCTTCGAAGCTGGGCGCGCAACGTGTGCCACAACGGACGGCCGAGCACACGTACGCGTCTGTGCACAGCCACACGGTCGCACACGCCCCCGAGTCCGAGTAGTCGAGCGTGTATCCCTAACCACCGAGACTTTGTGTGGCTAAGCTCTAATGAGCTTGCTAGCCCGTGAACTGCATCTGAGCACAAAGTTATGCGACGCTCGAGCTTGCATTCGTGTATATTTACGCGCACCTGCCGCGCTCGCTTCTATACGTCGTTAAATATTCACCGATCAAAAGCTTGAAATATCCGCATCTGCCAAAGTTCATCCGAAAGGGGAAAATTCATTTGGGCCATTTGTTTTCATCGTGGCTGCGAAACAAATGATTCGGAGATTATGCCGGCTCGAACGAACGAAGCGACTCATTTTTCTCGTACTCGGTCCCGAATAAAGCTCGGACCGTGAAATGAATTCACGCGCCCGCGTAAGCGCCGTAAAGCAGCATAATCTTCCAAGCTCCAAAAAAATGAGCCCCGAGTCTTGCACGACAAAAGACTCGGAGAGATGTACGAGTCCGCGTGAGAAATGTCCCCAAGACGAAAGAATCAATGCAAGCTCGAAATTTATTTGAGCCGATAAACTAACTTACTCGCTCGTTTGTTTGTTTGTTTGTTTATTGTGGCACAGCAGCACAGCACAGCGAGTACCACAGCGAGGCGGGCGGGGTGCGCTCGGCGCACTGCATCAGCGAGCCCAGACTAACCGACAACGACGCCAGTCCGGGCCTGCGTCGACGGAACAGCCGCAGGGGCCAGAGCGTGCATCATCCGCATCATCACAACCGCAAAGTCAATGCGTACCTCGACGTTCCGGACGCTAACGGACCGACCAATGCCCAGCGCGAGGCCGAGCTCATGCTCGACGAGGACCTGTACAGACTCAGGAGCTTCAGTCTCACCAGCAAGGGTAAGAGAGCGATTCTTTGCACACGCTTAAGTTGCAATTAAAATTTACAAAGTGTCGCGAGCTCTTCTGTCGAGCGACGCTTCAATGTACTCGTTTACCTAAGGACGATGCAAATCCGACGTTGGTTTACATATTCAGCTACGCGTCGCTTTCACTTTTCGCTCGTCGAGTGAACGTTGTATTTTTGTACTTTAACAGCCAAGTTCTTTGAAACTTTTTCAACGGCTGCTAACGCATAATTACGCGCGTAGGTGAGCTGTTTTTTCGCTGTGCATCTACGTTACTTAATCATATCTTCTCATTCAGCGGCGTTATATTTTTAGAAAAAAAAATCGTGTTGTAAACGCAGCTTATAATATCACTACATTTATCAGCTGCTTACAATGAAGTGTTATCCATCTGTCGTTGATGCATCAGAGATAATCCGAAAAAAAATTGTGAGCACCAGGCCAAGGACGTTTATAGAGCTTTAATCTTCGAGTGTGAGCTAGTATATGCCCGGAAGTAAAAAGAATAACAAAAGAGAACAATCTTCTTGTACTAATTGTGCGTGAAAGCTCAACGTAGTGACGCCTCAATATTGCCTGAAAGCTAAACTTTTATCAGAACACAGCCGTATACCTTACAGCAACGCGAGTTATGATATTCGATATCATGAAGAATTGATGGTATCGTAGTTGTAATAAAGAGTAGCAAAAAACATCTCAATGACTTCATTTCAAACATCTATAAACGGTAGATCATAGCGTGGTTTTACCCTCATGTATAGAAGTATTGAAAAATACAATAATTATTTCGTGCAAAAGCGTCGTGTTAAGTAACTCAAATGTAGGTAATTGATGAAAATGCCGAGAGGGCAACTGATAACTCGAATATAACAAATGAAGTATATCGTTAAAAAGTCAATGAAAGTCAAGAAAAAAATAGGATTATCACGATGTTGGAGGCAGAATAAATGACAGGAGGCGTGCGCGAGCGAACATACGTATAGGTCGTTTCGCGCAAAGCGCGACATCACACAGCACGCGACGTATTCCACATTTCATCGATCCATTCACAAGAGAGCGAGAGAGAGAGAGGTTCGTTCGAGCGTATATTATACAAAGTTCTGTGAGCGAATAAAGCTCGATCCTAAAGCGGTAGACACACACACACGTGTGGCTTGCGCGCCCTATATCAATATTCCAATGAACGAAGGAGCTTTTACCCGAGTGAAAAATATTTTTATCCTAGAATATTAAAATAGTTACAGCGATTGATGTACGGGATGATGGTTACAAGTCAGGGGTATATTTATTGCAAACGAAGAAATTTGAAACTCCTGTGGCTTTGAAACTCGCCAATGAAATATGAATTTGACGGAAAATTCAGGATATACGCACTCGGCCGCGTAAGCGAATCACGCTGCTCGAGGATGATTAGCACGTCCGACCGTAAACTGATTCGAACTACTGATTTTCTAAAGCTAGCAGTCGCTCCTGGCTTTTTACTATACATCCTTTTTCTACTTCTATCTTTGTTTATCGAGGCAAAGTCATGATTTTTCCCGCCCGTAGCACGGCCGTATTCGAAGCACGCCGTCGAGCTAATTAATATTCTTTTCCATTCGAACCCGCAGCTTCACGCGCTTCTATAAGCCTGTACATAATTAAAATGATTAGATCTTGCCTGGCTTGTACAATTTACTCTATGCGTGAGAGATTGAATATCGCTCGTATAATCAATTTCGTGAGTCAATGTTTAAAACCGCCATTGTTCGAGTCACTTGTCCAATTTTCTCCAATATTTATGCTCCAAAAATTCACCCACCCGCTCAAGCAAGCAAGTAATTTCCATTTTTTTTCTTATAATTTCATACTCAAAGCAAGCAAGGTAAGAACGTTTTGTCGAAAAATCATACTCGTACTTGTTGATTGAGAAAAAAAACCATTGAGAAAAGAAATAATTTTCATCCCAATTCTCTAGTTATTCTCACATGAAATGACCAAGCGACGGTGAAATTATATTTTCAAACTTTTCATCGCGTTCGTGCGCTGAAAACTCACTTGAAATATCAAATATAATTGAATCATGTATCTCTATTTATTACTACTCTTTCAGTCGTAATAATGTTGGATTACTCGCGCTTCGTCTGAAATCTCATTCCTTTTTCTATCCTCGAGCTGCTACCATTCACCTCGCTACAATCAGAGGCGCGCGAAAAAAATCACGACTACGTATAATATTTATATTCTCAAGCGAGCACAAACGCATTACGAAATATCGAGGAATATTACTGAAAGCTGCATAAATTATGGAACGCGTATCAATTTTTGCCTCGACAAAAAATATGATATTCTCAAATAGAAAATATTTTTTATACTTGGTATTAGGTTTACAACAAACGAGAGCAGATGAATGATATTGCATTGATAATAGTAGCAGGTCGTTGAAAGAACACGAGTCGAATAACAATGCAATAAGCAATTAAGCTCATTGGTTTGTATAGAGAGGCGAGAGCTCGCGAGCGCATAGTCGAAAGGCAAATCGTGTCAACAGGAGCCGAGCCACGTATGTTTACATACGATACGCGCGCGCCACACACGTGCTCGGCGCAGGTACACAATAGTCGCTGCTACGTTTTTATTTTTAATTAAATTTCACGAGTACACCTGCGTACGGTCCCTGAAGTGGAGAAAAGCTCGCCTGCACGCGACGCCTGTAATTGGATTGCATAGACGACGACGACGACGACGACGACGATGACGACACACAGCTGGCTCGGCGCGTCACTACTAATGCCACTCACACTCGAGCAAGTCGAAATATTCCTCGAGATCATTAGCAGGGCGAATCGGTTAATTTGCACAAAATCACGATACCAATCAACGAGTTGAACAAGAAAAAGTGGCCGTCGGGCCTCGGAGCCATATATCATGTAATTAGTGATAAATAGTCGCGCGGACGTAGTAAGTGGCTCGGTCGTGTAACGAAACGTCGAGCGCAAGTAGCAACTCGAGCAAAGTTTCGACAATGGCAAGTGACGAGAGAGAGCCGAGCAGCACGAGCCAACGGTCCATCGAGTTCCGATCGATTCGGCAAAGTTTGCGAGCGCGAAAATAATTGCGAGCGACTAATGTACCATACTCGGTACACACAAACACACCGACAGGATGTGCATTGATGCCCGCTGCTGCGTTGCTTGTTGCAGGTGTGATAAACCGAGGCGACTCGTTTCGCAAGAAGCGCTCGCGCTCCAACTCGCTGGCGCCGAACGAGGCCGAGAGCGCCGAGCAGGAGAGCAGCAAGAACAGCAACGCCAGCAAAGCCGCGCCGCCCAAGGAGGTGATGTCCTACAGCGTGGCCATACTCGGCGCCCGAGGGGTCGGCAAGTCGGCCCTCATCAGCCAGTTCATGTCCAGCGAGGGCATCAATGCCTACGAGCACGTCAGGAGCAGCGGTATGACACACTCGACGTATAACGTATAATAGCTCTGCTCGTATATAATATGATGTAGCCGCACGCGATCGAGCCGAGATCGGGAATTCGCTCGACTGATTAAAGTCCCCCGGCTTTGTCGTTTTGGCCCAACTCTCGTGCCTCGGATCCGTACCGAGTTGGATTTTTCATTCGGACGCATTATTGTCGAATCGAGCGAGCCAAGCCTGATAAATGGCTCGTCGAGCTAGGATCCTCTTTTGTTTTCGACCTAGCCAAAGGATACACGAAAACGAAGCAACAATAGCTGACACGTTTAATAGTTGCGAGGCTTTGTACGTAAGCGACGCGTTCCCTCGAGTGATATTAATCCCGCTTGGAGTGTGATCGCTTTCCTTTTTTTCCTTCCTTTTTTCCTTCCTTTTTTTTCTCCCTCCCGGCCATTACTCGGGTCTTACGTGCGCGTCGACCCAAGGGCGCAGGGGGAATTTCGCTGGCGCGCGGCCTGGACGATATCATCCGCAGGCTCACCTTTGCTCGACTTTTTTCTCCTAAACACGAGTATTCTTTTTTTCTTTTTCATGCCTCCGCTCATTGTTGCCGCTGCAGATACTCCGAGCGAGCAGTCGGTCTTTGTAATGCTGAACGGCGAGGAGAGCGAGCTGCGCTTCGTCGATATCACCAATATAAAGGTCAGTTGTGTCGTCGCTTCTTTCTCTACAGCTTGAAAAAGACCAAGAGCGTTTCACCTATATACTTCAGTCGCGTACTTGGTAAATATAATATATGAAAACGTCACTCGTCCGAGCGCGACGTTATCGTCACGTTTCCAACTTACCCCAAGTGAAATATATTAAATTAACAGCCTAGACATTATGGCTCTCCCTCTCTCTTTCGCTTTATTTAAAGCCTCGCGAGTATTGTCGTACGCGTGTGCGCGGTCCAACTGTTTTGATTGTCGCGCTGATGATACCGTCTAGCCAAGAGAGTAAGTCATGTTTTATAATTTGCCCGCTTTTCTGCCTAAAAATAGAATCGCTCAAGTAGGCTATTCAACGGCCAGAAACGTGCGTGTGAGTATGTCAATCGTCGCGCGAGTCTAAAGACTTTTCTGCTTTAATTACGTAAAAAAGAAAAATAAACATACTGCTCGTCGAGTCCTCTGTCGCTTGTTTATTAATGATTAGCCGTACATCGTCTTGTTTGAGTGCAACTTGATATTTGCGGACGCCGTTTTTATCTCCGAAGCTTTTGACACTGACTGACTTCTTTTGCTTTTAATGACATTAAATGATTTTTAAGTTCAAAAATATGCAAACGCGCATTTATTCATCCGACGTAATGAGACGATATGAATTCGAAAAGCTACCATTACACATTCAAGTGGGTTTTCGCTTTTTTTGCATGAAAACATTTCGTACGTAATACTAAACCAGGGAATACATATTTAACAAAACTATCAAATTCTGATGCGTCTTGTGGAAATTATTTGCACAATTTATATGAATTGAAGCAAATATTCGATAAACGACTGCCACAAATCGTTAGTCGATGCATAATATTATCTACCTTCGAACTACCTTTGCCTAATTTTCGGGAAATGTATAATAAAACACATAAAAATTAATTGATCGAATGAAAAAGCTGCCACTAAGAAATGCTTTCTTTAAATCAGTTCAGAGATAGGGGTGATTTTTATCGATTACACGAGGTGGGAATTCCACTAACGTTTGCACTATTTATGCAAAATGATGGTTTTACCCATTCGGGTTTCGAGTGACGCTCGTGCACGTACAGCTTGTAAAAAATAGTAAAATTGAGTTTAAAAACATACAAGATCTATTCTTGGTTATTGTAAAACCACGTGGCAGCTTCAAAGAAAAGTATTTTCTGCCTCAGGCTTCAATTTGTAAATTTTTCAACTGAATCAGGTATCTAGATAAAAATGAGAACTTAATCATTTACATAAAAGGTCGGTGCAAGGGTAGACATCTGGGCGAAAAGAAATTTCTTTGTAAAAGTAACGATACTGCGCTTTTCTCGAGGATTTCGTTCGGTTGAATTGGCTTTGAGATGTTAATTCGCTAAACTTGGATCGCCTTATAAATAGTTGCCCGTCAAAGAGTCGTTGTGCGAGCTCGCGATAAAAGAAACTGCACAAAGAAAATGCACTAACGGCAGCTTGGAATCTCAAACGATATAAGCTAAGAATTGATTTTGCCTCAGGAACTGGAAAACATAGCGCAGCCACACGCCTACGTCTTGATGTTCTCGGTGATCGACAAGGCATCTTTTCAGCGCGCCGAAGGCCTCCTGTCGCGTCTTCACGAGCAGGACATTCGCGGCCGGCCCGTCATCCTCGCGGGCAACAAAATCGATCTGGTCCGAACGCGAGCCGTCTCGTCTCAAGGTAAGAATCTCTTCGAGAACGAATTACAATTGAAAAATTAACGTCGCTACGAGTGTGTGACTATTTTTTTGTTCCTCTGGTCAAGACGGCAAGTGCTTGGCGTGCACGTACCGCGCCAAATACTGCGAGATCTCCGTCGCCATCAGCCACAACATCGACGAGCTTCTGGTCGGCATACTGAGTCAAATCAGGCTCAAGGTCGCCCAGCAGCAGAACAGCAGCAGCGCCGGTGCTTCCGACTCCGAGCACTGGTACAAGTCTCGTGGAATCGTTCGGGCCAGCATGAAGGCGCGACAGATGCTCACTTGGCTATTTGGCAAAGAGGACAGAAAGTTCAAGAACTGCGAGAATCTTCACGTGCTGTAAGAATACAAAGACGACAAGTTTTTAGTGTCAAATTAAACATCGCTTCATTATTTATTAAGTAAAAGTCCATACAAAGATTAATTATTCGCTACGCACAGTGTGGCAGGCTCATACAGATTTTTTTGTAAGAACAAGTAATCTTGATTCGTTGTTTATTTTATATACAAACCCTTTTTGCAGTTTATCAGCTAAACTAGCCTCATGATATTCATACGTAATGTATGGAGTCTTACGAAAAAATTTATACAGATAGTAGGTGTATAATTTTAAATGATATTTAATGCTTATGCAACAAATAGAGTAAAAATCGATTCTCGAAGAAAGTATCAAGTCAAAATTTTTATCCAGCCTTTTACTTAAAGTATAAAATAGATACTTGTTTTAATAAGCTTCAAATTTATATACGAGTCATTTTTAGTGTTCTATTTAGATTTCTTCAAAATGTCGGTCAAGTTTATACTTGCACAAATTTCACTTACATTAAAAGTGAACTTAAAAGTGAACTGCATAAATCAAAAGATTTTATGGTTAAAGGTACTTGCGTATTAAAAGGATAAAATACGTACATACATATATACATAAATCAAAGGGCCAAAGTATGCAATATCGTAGTACATGTAATTAATCACGCATAGTAAACAAACATTAAAATAATTATTAAAAATATCGAGCGCAAAATGAAATTTTTTGAAAAAAGATGACTGAATAAAATTTGTTCTTCCAAACATGAATTATATCATCAAAAAAATCATAGTACTTGTTTTTTTTTCGTTGCTCTACATTACCTTCGAAGTAAAACAATTCGCATAAAATTCTTGGGATCAAATAGAAAAAATACTCAGTAAAACTATTTTTTCTATGTGACTATACGTGTATCTTTGCGATGCTTCGTACATTCTTATCTATTTGAAAATGTTTACATTACGATTTTACGACTAGACAATAATCGTGTTCATTTAACCGGAACACGCAAATTACGATAGGACGCGTAAGTGCGACGCGACACTTTAACAGCTGTGCATAAAAATGCCCTGAAATATGATTATAAATAGAAATCAAATTATGCAAATTTTCTCGACTCATCGTTTGATATCAAAGTTTTAATTTAAGTTTCATTTACAATCAAAAGTTCTTGCTACATAAGTATTTTACTATTTATTTATAAGTATGAATTAATGTTTTTCACTTTGTGATAATTTTCGTATGTATAAGGCTGTTCGTCATAAATCAAATTGCTTCGATTCTCGATTCAACCCATATTAAAATGTTTTTTAGAGCCTAAAAAAAGAAATTATAGCTTCGCCAAAAAATATACTTCCTATAATTCCAACAGTGTGAAATACTTAAAAAAAAAGCATTTAATATTTGCCAAAGGCTAAGACTTTATGAAAAAAGGCGTGAAAAACTTCACATGGAAAAATATCCATACAAAACTTCGCATCCCTAAAAAGTACACGGAACGAAATCCTTAAAACTATGTAAAGTGTAAGTGTAAATTGGCTTAAAAAATATTCAAGGTATTGCATGAATTTATTAAATATTTCAAATACCGAGCTGCAACTGAAAATTTATTAACTTTTTTATCCCAAATAAATTTTGCAGAAGATACGAGTGAGAATCTGAGCAATTTAAGACAATAGGCGATCATCCTAATATGTACATGCTTGGCTCTTAAAATGAGATATCAGTAAAAATAAATCATAAACATTTTTTTAAGCAAATAAAATTGTGTATACTTGTGCGTTGACATAGAATAAAATTGATTTAAATGAACGATGGTTGTATATAATAAAGATTATGTTTGAATCAAAATGTGAGGATATTTGTCACTGTAACACATTAGAAATAGGAAAAGTACACCTAATACGAAATGATTCATTAGCTTTTATTACTTGAATTCATAGCTTCTAAACAAATGCATCAGTTCATATTTGGTGTACATCGTGTTATCAAATATTGTGAATAAGTTCATGTTAAGTGTGTGAATGTAAAACAGGTAAAATAAATTTAAAAAATCTAACTTTGGGAACAATGAAATGTTTATAAAGAGGCAAATTTTAATCATTTCTCGATAAATATATAATAATTCTAATGTCTTCGTTGATAGGATGCATGTTTAAATGAATTTTAATTTCGTTATCTGAAATAGTATCATGTAAAAAATAGGCCATGAAATAAGTTATGTTGTACTTTGTACATGCGTAAAGGGTAAAATCGTCTATTAGTGTGCTCGATAACAGGTCTTGTACTGGTTAGGAAACACTTGAATTCATTGGAAAATTTCATTGAATTTAACTGACACATTAAAAGGGATCCTAATGAGCCAAAACGTTTGAGAAAAGTTATCAAACCGTTTTGTACGTTATTAGGAGATGTATTGCCTCTTTGATCGAAATACTTTATGTAAGAAATAATCTGTACTATAATATTGAAATGTGTAAAATATATATTTCAATTGATCCGTCAAAGTAGAATTATCGATTTCACTGATATCATGAAGTATAAGAAAACAATTTCCAGCAACCCTCGGTCTAAATTGCTCTTCGTCCTAACTTGAATACCAGACCCTATACCCCACCTTGCACGAAACGTGGATCCAGTGACTCATCAAGAATAAAAAATACCAACTATTTCGAACGTAAGAGGGTCTGAATAAGGGTAATTTTGACGTAATGTCATCACGCAAGAAGCGAAGAAATTGACGCTCGAAGATGGAGAAGTAAGAGAGGGTAACTTGGTCGATACCGTAATGTAGATTATAGGTATATATAAGTTTTCGAACTGACTTTTCTCGTGAGCGACCCATTGAAGAAGAAAAAGCAAATTAAATTCATACACGTGCGCAGAAAAACAAAATAAAAAATCTTAGTGTTACGAACGTACCTGGGAAAAATATTATTCATTTTTTTATTATTATTATTTTACTTTTTTATTCAATTTTTATAATTTTCCATGAATGTAACTGTCATATCCGTATCTCGTGATATTGACCGAGTGTTCGTAAAATTCTATTGGCTACGAGGGACTTGAGTCCTTAGACGTAAAAATAAATATATCTTAAAAATATAAAGTATAAATATTAAAGTGAAAAATGGTACGTTCACAGACGAAAAACGGTGACATTTTAGCCAGTTTCATAATGCTGATTAATCAGGATGTGAATTCGTATAACAGGCACTTGTCCCCCACTTGACATGTCATCACTGATCATGACAATTAAATTACTGCCGATTCTTTGAAAGTCAGCTTTTGATGTTTAATTGCAGCTCATTGAATAGATAATTATTATGAATTGATGCAATAAAATTGTTTAAAAAAGTTATTATATCTCATATATAGAGAGAAAATTGCTTACTCTCCTGAATTGCTGACTGCATTCTGGAAGTTATAACGGATAGTCTATAGTCTATACTTGAGATATATGTGGCTATGGGAGGAACTCATAAATATCGATTAGCTTGAATTCTTGATTCTCGTGTCTTGTGTCTACCAATTCAAGAGTGACTGCCTTTAGCTATGCGTGTAGTTGTTGTCGCCAAAAATTCCAGACAATGATCATCATTACTGGTAAAATCAGAAGAAGCTTCATATTACAGAATATCCAATAATGTCAATGTAAACTGATTAACTAGCTGCAATCAACGCTTACGAATATTGACTCACATTTTTATGCTGCAATCAAGAGTTTAATTGTTCAAGTCATGCATGGAATTTGGTTTGATAATTAATAACGTTTATAGAAAATAGTTTTGATTTATTCGTATTTACTTTAATTACATACATAAGATAAGAAAGTTAATATTTTTATTCTTTAATTCGTTGATTTATGTAATACTATTATTATCACAATTTTAGATTTAAGATCTTCCATAATTTCAAATCAGATCTATTTTTTCATATTTTGTCATTTTTAGCTCAATCGTAAATCTAGCGTGAAAAATATGTGAGCGTTGAAATGAATAAAAAAACATATTTATCATTGTTTGTGCATAAATCATCTCAAATTCTTAACAAATTAACAAGATGAATTAAATACGTTATTATACTTACATATATTGAATTAAATTAAAATTTTAACTTTTAATAACAAATACCACAAGTAAAGATATGTAAATTCAAATCACACTAAAATAGTACAAACAACCTTTTTCCAATAATTTAAAGTTGCTGAACAATTTTTTCAATCTGCCTAATAAAGTACATTGTGTGCATAAGTTTCAACATCTTATAGTACAAAATAATTAACTTATTTAAGGAACGAATGTTTTTTACATTTTCAAATCGCTGTGAAGAACGAATAATTATAGTTTTCCATTACCAAGAATTAAATCTGAATAATCTAGCGCTATTTCAGTTGTAAAATTAATTCATGTATTCATCGACTTATCTAACAATGGCAGTTACACTTTCATGAAAATATATTCTCTATACATTTTATTTCATAGTTTCGTCACATGCGGGTTAAATTTAAAATAATTTTTTTCTTTTCTACTTTTTCTTTGCGAACTAAATAACTCGGTTAAAACCGTGCGTAAAGAGAACGATTTTCACATACATTCGTGGAATGTTCTAATTAAAAAAAGGATAAAAAAAACATCATAAATATATTGTATGAAAACTTACGTTATTTCATTGCGAAATTTCATAAAAAATTCATTTATGTATGTGAAAATAATTGTGCTAACAAGGAGACCACACCAACTCCGGGTCATGGATTAAATCCAAAATTTTTTTTGGGGTCTCCTGGTGCCCAATAATGAAGCTCTCTGTGTTTAGTTTAAGCTCATGGGGCGCTTGGGGCACATTATAAAAAAATCGTTGTTATTTTCTATATCGATTTAGAAGCACTCAAACAAAAAAATGCATATAACAAAAAAATCTTAAAATTGTTCAAGGAATCTGTCTGAATTTTTTCAGAATTTTTAAAACCGTCTATCACCTAGGTTCAGAGACTTCGATTTGACATTTTTTTAGGGGCTTCAGATACCTCTGAAAACAGGTGATAGACGGTTTCAAAAATTCAGACAGAATCCTAGAACAATTTTAAGATTCTTTTGTTCTTTGCATTTTTTGGTTTAAGTGCTTTAAAATCTATAAAGAAAATAACAACGGGGTTTTTTTTTTACTTGGAAAATCTTTTAATCGGCTTAAGGCCCATGAGATTAAAGTAAACACACAGAGCTTCATTATTGGGCACCAGGAGACCCCAAAAAAATTTTGGAGCAAATCCATGACCCGGAGTTGGTGGGTCTCCTTGTAAGTACATAATGTTTAAATTATAGAATTGAATTTCCTAGAAAAAAACATACCTTATATTTACAAATACTTTTTCCAGGCCAACAATTGATTAATTTAAAAAAAGCAATACTAATTAAGTCAAGAAGTAGTTAAATAACATCAACTTTCAATTTTTTTTTCAAATAAAAAAGAGAAAATCAGAATTCAAAATTCTTTTGTCGGCGTAGTGTTGTAACCGCACCGAGGAAATATTCGTGCGATTAGCCGACGCAACGGATATCAAAGTCTAAAGCAAAAACAGCTAGGACTGTCCGTTGGCGGCACTTGCATTCTTCGAGACAATACCTTCAACAGTTGGCAGTGTACTCTAGAAACAAAAAAAGGACAAGTCGATCAATTTTTCGTCCTGATATTTATCATTTTTCATGGTTGATGGTCTTACTTGATTTTGACACTCGGTGCGTCGATCACTTCGCCGTCGCAATTCCAGACGCTCACAGCTGTTCTGGCGACGCTGGACTCTGTGCCGACGATACAGTCGGTTGACGCCGTCGATTCCAAGTTCAACGAATCCGAGGCTCGAAATACGAATTCTCGAGCCCGGTAGACTTCGACAAAGGGTAAATCGTACAGAGTCTTGTCTTTGCTGCTGAGCCGCCACAACATGCGAATGTTGTTCAGAAGAGACGTGTGACGGACGAGAATGACGTCGACGCAGCCGTCGCCGATGTGGCAATGAGGACTGAAGCCCATGGGACTCTTTGAGCAGGCGCACGACACGTTGGCTCCGTTGACCATGAAAAATTTACCCCTCACTGTCAGCCAGCCTGAGAAAGATTAAAATTTTTTTTTAAATAACTCAGTACAGAGAAGATGAATTTTTTTCTTACAAATATTACGGACTGATACTTTGACAAGAAATCTTTATGCTTCAATTGAATTATCATCAGCAACTTTTAACGAGACAAGTATTGAAAAAGTTTTACACGTCGATAGCATATGTAGCAGTTGGGCGTTAATGAAATTATTAGCAGTTACATTTACACTTGGAAAATAATTCGGTGCACTCACCAAGGTTGCTAGACAGGGTCTTAAAACCTCATTAACATTTTAGAAGGAAAAGCGTAAATTATTATATTAAACTTTGGTAAGAAAAAGTTTGTATTTTTTTGAAAAAGTGTATACTTTGAAAAAGAATAAATAAAATAATTGTCTAAAAATAACACGATTGCCTAAAAATAAGCGTCAAACTTACTGGAAACTTTGTCTTGGGAGTCTTCGGTGCGTGATTTTTCGATGCAACGATTGCAATTATTTGTGCATTTCGTGCAAGTTGACGGGTGGTCGGTCTCGGATAGCAAAGCGATCTCGCCCTCGTAGCCCTTGTTGGCAATGATTTTTTTGAAGCCTGAAAAGGAAGCAACGATATGCGATCGAAGCATGCGATCAGGTTGATCTTATTGTCCAGGTGAAAAAAATGCAAAATGTGCGCGACGTACCGGAATAATCGTAGCGCTGCGGTCCCATCCAGCGGAATTTCTCGCTGTCCCTGAGCACGTCGCCCAAGTAGCCGTAGCTCAGTATGCTGGCGTAGACGCGCAGCAGTTGCTTCTCGCTGTGGACCGAGGAGACGTCGAGGCCGCTGCAGTCGCCGAAGATCACGTGTATGCAGGCCGTCTCGACGTCGGTGCTGCCGTGCAGACTGTAGGCCAGGGTGTCGGTGCTCCCGCCCGGTATGACGCCCACGGCCAGTCGTGGCTTCGGCAGCTCGACCGCCGGGTCGTTCAGGTCGATTCGTCGATCGCGAGCCGTCCGCAGAATCAGCCCGTTGAATAGCGCGGCGAATGTCCCGTCGCCGCCGATGCACACTGCGGCCTGAAACCCACCGTTTCAATAATCAATCAACCATACGAACTCGATCTTTTACTCGATTTCAATACTCTTAATTTTTACGTTTCCTTTACAGCTCCCTAGCAAGGTTAAAATTGACTGAGTTTTTTGAACACTTTAAAAAATCTCAAGGCTACTTATATCGTCATTGTTCTTTAGCCTTGTGGCTTCGAAAAAGGTCAGTCTCTTTTTCGACCCACAGAACTCAATTTTTAACTATTTCTTTTTCAGAATTATTAGGCTGAGAAGCAAACTGTAAAGTCATGACCTCACGGATCGTTGTGTACAGCATACTTTATAAGCGTGTATCCAAACATTTATTTTATGAGATTACTTTAGTAAAACTTTTTTTACAGGGGAAATATTTGAATTCGACAACTTGCCCCTACTTCGAGGAAATCCCGTATAATCTAACTTTGTTTAATGTTTAAAATATAATTTTCGTTAAAACAATTTTTCACTAATTTTTCTATAGTTTTCTGAAAGTAAACTTTTGAATATTATTTTGAACGGAGCCATGCTGAGCTCTGTTTCAATAATATATATAAGAAGCCATGAATAAAATAGGGTTCAAACAAAGAATCCGTAAAAGTTTTTAAAAACAAAATTGACACATGCTCTAGCTTACTCTGCCTTCAGCATTGTCTAAACAAGGAACAAGTTCCATAAAGCCGATTTAGTAATTATTATACTCTTCTCGCACTTTGGCACTTTAGTAAAAAATATCACGCATAGTTTATTGCAAGAGTGAATGGACAACTATGAAAATAGACAAGTAAATATTAGCATGCAGCATTAGATTGCGTATGTAGATAAGTTAAGCTATAGCTGGCGTGCGTTTATAGTCACTATGACTCGATATCCAAGCACTTGCTCGAGTGCACATCGGGCGCTAGTGTTATACACGCTGCTGCACTTATCGATCGCATTTTAGATGAATACTTTTAATTGGACGAGAAATTATTCTCAAAATAGATATATTCGACGGAAAAGTCACGATACACGGCTATCGAGTCCATTTTTTTCTGGCAACAAAGCTCGCGCACTGCATCGAGAAAATCTTTTGCAAGTCACTGCTCATTGAGAGACTCATAGCGCGCACGTGTGTCACGTATGCGCAGACAACTTGAGTCTAATTACACGCATGCACATGTCCTCGCGCGATGTTTCATGGCTATATTTTGCTGTGTGGCTTTCTTATTGTGAACACGCGCATCGATCGGCACGTTTGCTTTCCAATTCAATGGATCAAAGTAACTGCAACTTCGCCTTTTTCAATAATGACTTTTTACTACTTTGAAATTTAACTTAACGACGAGCATTAACTTTCTTACAAGTTGGCGACAAAAAATTGGTTTTATTCAAACCTGATCATTTCTTCATACAACCTTAAACGGTAAACTTGTCTAACTTGATAGCGTGTCGACGTTTGCCCAGGGAAAAATATTATTTTGAATTATTGTCCGACGATAAAAAACAGACTAATAATTTATTGATTTAACAGTAATTTCGACATAAAGTATTTATAAGTTTTGAGTTATAATTGCACGGATGTATTAGATAATATTATTCAATCGATTTTCAAATAAAATTCATTCATAGACAAAATCAACTCAGTCCATCTTACCTGATAACTGTCGAGTTCACAGTTCATGAGAACTTCCTCGATATGACCCGGGCGCTGTGTGACTATGACTTTGAATTCGATTCCAACAAGATTCATCAGGGGTTGAACGGTTTTTTCCCAGATTTTAAAACCTTTTCTCTTACCCCCAAAAGGATTAACGAAGAAAAGAATTTTCCGTGGTCGATTCGTATGCTCTAAGAGAAAAAAAAATTCAAATAAACTCAAGCGAAGAAAATTTTTTCCCATATTAAAAAACAATAAATTAAAAACATTTGAAAGTCCTTCGTTATCATGAAATTGAGCGAGCATGCATATTCCAAATATAAAAACAAAGTGCAATTCAGGTATAGTTTTATATTAATTAGTTTCACAATTAATTTTTGTTAAAAGATTTATGTGAGATTTGTGCAACGCTGAACATTTCCATCAAATTCGTAAAAGTTGTCACATGAAGAATTGAAGAAAAATACAGTAGAAGCCAGGAAAACTACTAGCTCTTTGTGTGCAATAATGCAGGTGTAAAATTTAAATGTAAGAGGTAAAAAAACAGGTATTGGTCATTCTTTCAAGTATGTTAATCGAATTTCGAGAGCGGCTTAAGCCATTGATCCTTTTTTTTCTTTTGTAAACCTCGCCATTAATCAGTGTGCATAAAAATGAAATAAGTGGGTTGTTGAACTCACTGGCTAGATAATTGCGAATGGTCTTGACCCATGAGGCGACTTGTCTGGGATCGTCGTGGCTCATAACGACCTCGTGGCGACGCCATTTATTTTTCGTATCTCTCGCGGCGTAATGCAGCACAAAAGTCGTCGAAGTTGCCGGCACGACTTGCTCGGCTGGTTGCATTTCCTTGCACGCTTCGGCGAGCGGCAATGACGTAGCGGCTTCATTGCCGTACGTCGCTGTTAAGACATCCGTCAGCGGTAATGTCCATCTCGCTGCGAAATTCACAAATTACTATTATACTCTCTTTACAAAATAATCGGATCGATGATCGAATGAGATCCGTAATATTTATGGAATGTATTTGCTGGTAAATATTTCAAGGACACGATAATAGTTTTGCTACAGCCGGACAACTTGGGTTTACCACGAGATAATGTATGCAACGACCTCGAGTTGAATTTTTATTCCCGGCGTACGTGACGCACGAGTGTCAGTATTTGTACAAAAGTCATCGAACTTTTCCTTTCAGTAATGGGCTCGAGTGATTTCGAGAACTTTGAGGAGTCGTGCAAGAAAATGTCCATAGAGTCCCGAGTCGGAAATGATAAACGGCTGCAATAATGTATTAAATGTGTGGCCAATTTAGACGCTTTGCCTAGTATCAGTGAACGCGAGCGAGCGACGAAACGTTTCATAAGTCTCGTCATTGACCAATTTTTCGTGTTTTTCCGAAACTGCAAAATTCGCAGAAATCAATTCGCAAAAAGTGCTATTGCTTAACTTTTGTTGTTGTTTTTTCGCTCCTCGATTACAAAACTCGCGCAACGCACGCATTTTGCTTGCGTCAATGAAAATGATTAAATGCTCGAACGTTGGAAAACAAATTTTCACAATTAAAAATTGCTTTTCCGCAATGTCAATGTAATTCATATACTTATGCCGATGATTGCTTATTATTTCGAATCCGCTTCAACAATATCACAGTTAGGGCTTTGTTCCGAAGGCAGAAATAACGCGGCCCTTTACTAAAACAACAAAACGTGTTAAGAAAATGTTTTTTTCACAATAATAAATAAATGAGTTACATATAGGCAAGCGTTATTGACCCGAATGTACAAAGCAAAGTATAGATCGCGTAGAAAATGTACAATTCGTACGTAGATGTCTGCATATATATCCGAAACGAATACAAGTGCAAACGAACTTGATACGAACGTTGGGATTAGGAAAAAAAAACATTTCATCGATCAGTTACGAGGGTGTCCGACTGCCATGTAAAAGAATCGAATGGAGCTTTCGAGGGTGTAAGGCAAAAAGTGCTATATTTAGCAGTTTGTAATAAGTGGGTCACGAAACATTATCTCAGTGGGTGCTGGACTTTGCTGGGTAGGCTGGGTGTCAAGTAATATTAATCGAGTTAGAATAAAAGCCTCGCCGACACTCACCGATCGGAGCTTTCATGGTCTCCCAAATGAGGTAGCCGCGATGAAAGCGAAGCCAGCATCTTTTTCGCTTGATGACGACGGTCGTCACGAGCATCGGCTCGTCGTCGCAATTAGGCTCCGGCAGCTGCATTCTGTCGGCTCACGTCTATCGGTCGCGCGATCTCCAAAGACGCTTATTTATTGCGGCCGTGCGAGATCCAGCCGCGAAAGTTTGAAATAGCTGCGCTCGGAAAATCGATCGTCGGGCCGTCCGCCTGTGTACGTGTATGCGAGTACTGCGACGAGGCACATGTCCGATAGGTCGGCCGCACGCGTCAGAGCGAGCTGAGTGCAACGTACATGTATACAGGCAGCGCCGCGGCGCACGTGCTCTATAAATGTCAAGGTTGAGCAGTCGACTGCACTCGAGCGTACACTTCTTTTCAGCGAAGCCTGTGGCCTTTGAATATTTTGCACGAGCTCGCTCACACGCGCTGGACTCGCAGCAGCAGCATCCGCGTATAGGCTCGACTTCGCCTTTTAATTCTGCCTATACACGAGTTGCATACAGGCACGTTGTCAGCTTATACTTGCCGCGCTGCACGCCTTTCTACGCCAGCTGCAACGAGCTCCGAGCGCTCGTACCTGTGAGAGTGTGCAGTTGCAGCAGCGAACGTTTCCTATCCCTTCCATTCATCGCGATCCCATGTACTCTTTCGTCTCGTATACGTAACGCAGCGAGGCTCGCACGACTCGCTGCTGCTTTGGCTCGGAACGGCTCACATCCTAATTGACACGACAAACTGCAGCGGAACCACAGACACCGACGCTCGTATTTTGCATTCTGCGCGTGAACTGCTCGATTATCGAAGGCGCGCGAAAGAAGCGACAAAAACGATCGCCACCGCCGCCGGACCGACTTGCGGCTTGGACAAAACTCCACCGAGAACTGAGTAGTGAGTAGGAGACAACAGCTGCGGCATAACAGCTCTATATACCGCACACTCGCACGCACACTCGCTCGGCCAGTTTTGCACGTTGATCTATACTGCACGGTGGGAGGTTGCCTGGAGGTGGAGAGGACCTCGATACAGCTAGTATATGAATGTGCGACTAGCATCGTACGATCGCATTGCTATTTGTAAGCGCAGCTTGCCAATTTACTTCTTTTTTCTTCTCCTCTCATCCTGCTCGACTCTCCAGGAAATTTCTCAATTCTATTGTCCATCTAATCTGAAATATCATTCCTTCGGTAAATATTACGTTATTTTTATCAATTCGGTTCAACGCACATCTAGTCGCTGTTTTGTTTATTCGCTTTACCAAAGCATATGAAATTCGAGACAACTTGGAATCGTCGGATGAATTGGTGTTGAAAAAAGTGATTCACGAACGAGAGGAGTAAAAAAAAGCCAAAAAAGCCCAGCTGTATCGTTGCCAAGGTTAATGTCACACATCAAACAGTGCATGTGTGCAGACTTAATTGGAAGATGAGACACAGTGACACAAAACACGTGTAAATTTGGTCGTACTTTCGCATTTCTATCTAATTAAAAATTATTTTTTTTACTACGAAAAATCGTAGCAAAAAATACCCCACTATCGAGAAAAACTATTGAGATTTTATCAACTCCAAATCAACTCACCAAATATAATTTGAATAACAAATACCAAATTTTAATAGGCTGAGTGAAGCGTAAATCTCACCTGCACAATTTCAAATCATTTTTTGTTACCAGTGTAACTAAAATTTTTGTTTACATTTCACACTTGCACGTGACTTAAAATTTTTGTGAAGTGTTAATGTATAGCTAAAGATTATTGTTGAGCCGCATCCATTTATGTATTTTCAGGTTTCTTTTTGGATTCTATTTGAGGATGGTACGGATGGTGGATAATAAGTGATATTCATGCCCTTTGGAGACGAATCGATTATTGTTTGGAAACTATCTGGTAAATGTCATACCGAGTGTATAACATGCATCTATGTTGTACCATTATGCCGTGCATTAATATGATCTTTAAGATGAGATCGGAATTTATAATTTTGAATTAAAACTGCTTTGTGCGTGTTGAGTAAAGAAGAAAACCTGCGAGAAACGAGTGAGTGCAATAATCGTAAGAGTATATAAGCTCCTTGGAGAAATATTATTTTGCGAGCTGTGATTGGCCGGCGCGAACGTCAATGCTGAGGGTCCGCTTGCCCCAATGTTCATGATCATTCAAGTTAAATTTAAAAAACATTACTCATTTTCAAAATCAATAAGAAACTATGTAAGAACAGCTGCTAGAAGTAAAAATTCAATGTGATACCACAGATTAATTGAAGTTGAAGCAAATAAATAAATTCAACTAAATCACTAGATTATCTAGTATTCATAGGTAGTAAAATTTTGTGGTTTTTTTCCATTTTTTTTTCAGGTGTTTACCTATTCAAGGTTTATATACTTTTATTTTAGCAATCTTCGATTAAAAAAGGAAACACTTCACGAAAAAAAGTTTTTGCATCAAAAAAAAATTCATCAAATTATACGTGTAAATTCAAAACATTTTAAAAAAATATAAATTTACAAAATCAATAATTGATGCTATGATGATGGGAAACTAATTCATAACAAATCTTATTAAATGAAAAAATAAGTTTGACTACATAGTAACAATCAAATATTTCACTAATGTATTTCACATCTCGTACGAATAATAATACAAATTATTTCCTTAAAGCTACATTAAAAATGTTGAATGTGAAATTGATTCAACATTTCATTATGATCTAAAAGTAAATTCGATTGCTAACAATAATCCGACGAAGAAAACTCCGTAGAATCAGAAAAATGACCTATTTTGACGATGATAGCCAACCACACTTTGGAAAGTTTTTAGGCACCGGTGGAAAATCCGAGTGCTCTCCGACCTTGAACAAAAGAGCCATACCATTGGACGTATGGTGCTCGTAATGACAATGGAAAAACCAGTATCCAGGATTATCGGAGAAAAATCTGACGATAATAAAGCCGTTGCTGGGTGCTTTCATGGTGTCTTTGAGGGGCGGCCTGTCCAAATTACGTTTGATTTTCCCTTGTCGATCCAACTGTTTGATTCGATCGATTGTCACTCGTCCTTCGAGCTGCTCCTCTGCCACGACTCGGAAATAAAATCCATGCAGGTGCATAGCGTGGTTCAGAGCCTCGTACTGGCCTTCGTCAACGAGAATGAGTTCCACAACTCGATTGAGTTCAACTCGTAAGAGATTAGTGCAAGAGCATTGCTCTTTAATACAGTCAGCCTTGGGCAAGTTCCAAGTCGCGTTGCAGAACGTTTTCGGTCCGATCATATCTTGCTGCGACAGCACAGGAAAAGGTGGAAGCATGAAATTTATGTTGTTCATCTGCAACGAGCCAGCTCGATACTTTTTGTCAACTGAAAATTAATGACAAGACTTAATTTCTAATCTTTATGTGTGCAAATACCTTCATACTTTCTTACCATCGTAATATCCATAAAGTCCTTTTCGATGATAATCATCGTGATCCAAATGATAGATATCAAAATTAATGTACAGCTGCACATCAGCTTTCTTTTTCAATGTGATATCATTTGGTTTTATGGATTTCAAGTCCAGTATGCGCACCTCTTTAGAACTTATCGAAATATTGCCTCTAATATTTGGATTCAAGATCTACGATAAATTATTCAAGGGTTACGTAAGATCATAAATTAAATTTAATTCTTTACTCACTCTTATATTTTTATCGTCTAATTTTTGCTTGTAACTCAGAGGATCGTACAAAGTATTATTATTGGCGCCTTTGTACCTCAGTAGAGTTACTTGGTGCAGGCCAGCGCAAGCTCCATGTCCTTTGTATCTTATCCAATAATTGTTGACTGGCTTGTCTGGATTGATGACGAAATCGATCCTCTCACCAGGAAATAAAGTTATTGCGTCGACTAAAAAAATTATCAACGAAATCAAAGAATTGAATCAAAAGTCGCGCCGTAGAGCGGTAAGTTTCCATTACCTTCAATCGGTTCGATGTCGTTGGCATCTAAACTTATGACTTGCAAAGGGTGCTGATCAATGGACATTTCTATGGCGCATGGCCTGCCACCAGCGTTGATTACTCGAAATCTATTTCTTTTGCCTTGCTCAACATTGAAAACGGCAAAAGGCGTGTAAATCGGCAAGCCCAAGCTCCAGGGGGATGCTGAAAAAGGCTTGTTTCTCGCAAGACCATTGATGAGGAAGGACTCTGGCTTGACATTGGGCACCTCGTAGTACTCCTTGACCGTTGCCGTACCGCTGGGACGCTTCATCCAGTCCATGAGTACCATGATGTGCTCGTCGACGTCGTAGAGTTTTCGGTGAACGTCGCGTTTGGGTCCCTCGCGTACTATCATCGCTCCGGTGAGGCCGTCGACTCGCAAGGAACCTTCGCAGTCGGTAATGCATCGATTATCTTTCGGTTACACTGGTGTTGCGCGAGAAAGCTTACCGATGTGCGAATGCCAGAACAAAGTCCCACTTTCGGTTACGGTGAAATCGTACACGAACTTTTCTCCCGGCAAAATGCCGCATTGGGTTACGTGATGCACTCCGTCCATGTAGGGTGTACCTTTTTGATCGACCCCGTGCCAGTGCAAGGTCATAACTTCGGTTCGCATTTTGTTGCGCGCTTCGACGATTATCCTATCGTTCACGCACACCTACATCCATGGATAGAAATGTAATCCCCGCGATACAATCGAGAAAAAAAAACTGCACTGTTAATTTATTGAATTACCTCGATCGTGGGTCCGGGTAGTTGTCGATTAGCCACGACGATTGTTTTTCTCTGACCATCTCCTGGCAGACAATCGGGCCTGTAGCAATCGGCCAGGTTTTGCGGGCAATCGTAGCAGGCCTTGCTCATCGTACTGAACTTTTCTACGACGAATTCGTAGCGACATATTCTGGCTGGCTCGTCATCTCGACATGGTCGTTTGCATGGGTGTTGCGATACGTCGCTTACATTTCCTAAAATTTCCCCAAAGCTCGCCACTTGCCTAGCATCCGAAACTGGAAATTCAGCACAATTAATAAACGAAAGCGAAACGCAGCTGTACGAGTGATAACTATAAGCACTCACGTAGAAAGCTGAGATTCAATAAATAAATGCACAATAAATATTCCTTGCTGCTCATCGTTAAAATTTTCCAATAAATTGTTGACTTGATCACTCTATTCTAGCTCTGCCCAATGGAAAATATGACGATCATGACTTTACAGTGCTTTTATATGCACGAGCAATCAAACGTGTCCATTCTCGTCCGTTTTTATCTCTAGCTTGCGAAATTAGTTATTTATGCAGCGTAGTATTTTATTCTTAGAGGCATAATCATGGATATAACATTCGTGTCATATGCGTTATCGCTATCGACATAAATAATCTCCAGGTGGCATTATTCAAATATTTATTGATTAAGGAGTTACAATACTTTGAACGGATTCGCTCGACTATTTAAGACGACGCGCTTTCAACTCGATCAGAAGTTATGCTGGCTGGAACTCTGACGGTAAGAGCCAGCGATTCAATTTGGTGACTCATCCACCAACAAATGTTCCGGAATTTGTTTTCATCGTTTTTACTGAGGTGTGCAATAGAGCGAAAGAAATTAAAGTTTTGTGATTTTACGTGCTTTTAACAAAAAAGTGCTTTCAAATATTCAATTCGAATATCTCAAGTGACGTGATTTCCACAATAAAAGTTTTACCTTACCCGAGTGGCTGTGAAAATGTGACTGCCGCAAATTTTCATCGTTTGAATTATATTATATTTGGCATTAGTTATTTTTAGCTTTAATATTTGCTTCATTTATTTTTTTATTTTATTTTTTCATTTTCTCATAAATCGATTTACAAATATATTTTTATTTCAATTTTATCATACGTAAGAGTGCAATCACTAACTGCTTTGCTATTTCAAATAAAATGACCATATTTTTAAAAATAGAAAAAAGAATCCATTCTTAAAATATTAATAAAAAGTTAATTAAACTTTAGTTTTATCATTTTATTTTCTTTACTAGTGCAATAATTTTAAGCAATCATTTATATAATTAATTTTTGCATAGAATATAAATCTTTAGTACTCATTTAACTGATATTCGAAAATACGGTGAAAAACGACATTGATTTTTTCAATATCTATATAAAAATAAATGGAAATTTGAAAATTATTCGAATTTGATTATACGCTATTAATGCTTACCACGGCAAAGTTTTCAAAATTCATGTTGCATATACCTCCAGCTGTGAGAATGCATGGCTTGGAACATCTTAAAATAAATATTGCCAACAATTTTCGAGATCTCATGGAGCTGTCGTACCACTGGCTGTTATAGCTGCTCAAAGATGAATGATGAAGTTTTTTCAAAGAAATTAAATAAAATATATGAAACTCACGCATCTCGAAAAAGTCCACTGCTGTGGTCAATCAATTTTTGACCAGGCCAGCAGAGATAAAACAAATGAATGATTAAACCAATAAGAAGCATTGAAAACCTAACAAAATCTAATGGTTTTTCCAGACTCATTAAAACCTGTGAATATAGAACCATTTTTAAAAATACCATACACAAAAAATTAACTCGATAAACAAGTAAGAGTATTTACCAATACCGACAAAGAACTAAAATACAACAAGTTTATTCCCATAATAACAAAGAAAGCCAAAGAATAGGATGTTTCGAGTAAACTTGCAAAACTGAAAAAAAGAGTTTCTATTTTACGTAGTATGCACAATTTGGTAATTCAGCATACTACTAAACTCTAAAACAGCTGAGTGAAGGCGTATATTTTCAACTAGCCACTTATACGAAACGTCTTCGTATCTTGGGTCAGTTTTTTTAAGATTCTCCTTATTCGGTATGCTCAATCTGTATCTTTTAATAAACTAAGCGTGAGTATTTGAATAAATAAATTCATTAAATCCAAAAAAGTGCTTACTTCACAATGGCAAATAAGCCTAAACAGTGTTCTGCACAATTGGCGTAAAAACTATCAACGGTCATAATGACCGTACTGGCCATGATACAACTGATAGAGTCTATTTGAAAAATTTGCCAATAATGTTCATCCGCATCAAACCAAAATTCTCCTTTTAAAAGATGCATCTTGGGTCGCGACTCGTTTAATGGAATGACCAAGTCCAATAATGTTGGTATAAAAGGTGTTGATATGTACACGATTAAAGCTAAGCTGATGTAGCCTATCGTATAAAAAATTTATGAACATTTCAGGGATTAAATTTTAAATAAGTTGAATTAAAAAAAATATACTAAGGCCCATATAATAAAGGAATAAATCTCATACTCATGTAGCCAACACTTATCATAAAACCCCTTTCAGAGTATTGAATAAGTATTGCGCGCTCTGTTTTATCGACTATTTTTATCCAATTTTTACGCATGTTATCCAATAAAACTTTCATCTAAAATTTATAAATAAGTTGTCAAACCATTTTTTTTTTTTTTTAAATTATTTAATACTTCTTCTCAACTTTATCTTCAAATATAATTGAAATGAGGAATTTGAATAAAATTGTATGCATGAAAAATAATGTTCCAACTCGTTCGAATAAACGGTATATATCTTTATCTCGGTAACTTACACGTAAGCCAAAGAACTATATCACATAAAAATTATATTAGAGTTGAGTTTAAATAGTTTTATTTTTGGTTTGGTGTTTTTACCTGAGGTAAAATTGTAACTACGCCTATAGCTGCAATAAAAAAACTACGTTTGATGTTTTTGGTGGCTTTATCGTCGTACGGCCACAATCCAACCAAAGATAACATTTTTTTATTTATTAGAAAATAATTTGTTTCAAAGATGTCCATTTTTTCTAAATTCCGTGAATATAGTTCACTGTGATTCAGAGACTTGCTCAAGAAAAAATATTATACCCATTTACCGAATTAAACCGCAAGTTTTCCGTTCGATATCAGATAATAGTGGAATTATTGATAATTTATATCCATTAAAATAAGTGTAAAGTAGTCATTTTCTGAATTATTCACATGCCGAGAGAAAGAAAATAGGAAAGGATTGACTCTATTATCAACCGGATTTCACGCAGATAATCAAAAATGTTACATAATTATAAGCAAGACTTTTTTATTTGCAGGGTAAATGTTAAAGTACAAGAAATTAAAAATGAATGCATCATTTTTTTAAGTGGAATGTCAATCAAGATTAAATAGATTTTGTAAACAACCATCAATCATCCGATATCTTATACCATCAATCAATTAAAGAGCTTATATTCAAAACTGAATAATCATCTTAGAGATAAGAACTTTCTTTGTTCATCAATTCAGAACTGTTTTTTTTTCTTTTAAATAATATAGCTTATTCAAGTGTCCGAGCAGAATTAGCTCATTGATCCCCGCAATGCTTTAACTTTGAGTAATACTACATTTGAAGCGGCTCATGACAATCAAATATCATGGATTGATTATGAATATTATATCGCAACGAAAGTCGCCTTATGTCTAGGGGTTTTCGGACATCTACAGGTCAAAAAAACCATGTTAATTCAGCTTTTAGGGAATGGTTGGCCCTTTTTCTTTCAATCATGCACAGAACACTCCATACTGACCGAATACTGGCTTTTAATTATTAGAGAGGGTTTATGGTGAAAAAAATATTCCTTCACAAAGAATATTTCCCGGCATAGGGGCCCAGGTTTAAAATGAAAAATTTTCACTTAATTATTGAATAGGATCTTCTCTTTTCTACTCCATTTTTTTTAAATGCTTAAAATTTAATTTTTTAACTGAGATGCAGTCGCTCTTGAGAACTTTTTACATATACTTGACGTTTAAAATTTTTTTTGTTTTTTCTAAACAGGTAAGCTTTACTGAGAATTATTCTTTTCACTATTAACTTTCTCTAGTAATTAAAATGTCTGCGTAGTAGTAGGTTACAACCACAACAAGTATATTTTATCCTTAAAAATCAGTTCATAAAAATCTCAAAGAAAATGTATCATTCGAAAGGTGAAATAACTTTGGACAATATGTCTAGTAATCATAATAAAGTATTGATCATTTTATTGTTGGCTACATCACCGGTTTATAACTACCACATTTGGGGAAACCTCTCGGGACAGGTGGAAAGTCGCTATGCTCGCCTACTTTAAATACTAGAGCCATACCAACTGCTGTATGTTGTTCAAAATGGCAATGGAAAAACCAGTAACCTAAAGAGTAAAACAATAATTAAGCTCGCAATCAGAATTTTTCGAAGCTCACGGAGGCTTTACACACCTGGATTATCAGCGTAAAATCGTACAATCGTATAACCACCACCGGGAGCTTTCATGGTATCCTTCAAAGGTGGACGATCGAGTCTTCTCTTTATCCTACCCAATCTGTCCAACTGCTTGACTCTCTCAATAGTCACTGGTCCATTCAGATTTTCTGTAGCGATAACTCGGAAAAAGTGTCCGTGCAAATGCAGAGGGTGATTAATCACACCGTATCGACCCTCGTCGACGAAAACGACTTCGACGACCTGGTTCAGGCCGACTTGAAGTACATGCGTGCAGGCGCATTGCGTCTTGGTGCAGTCTCGCGCGGGTAGGTTGGTTGAATTACAAAAAGTATCTGCTCTGATTTCGTTACGTTGAGAGAGCAAAGGGAAGGACTGCAGCTTCAAGTTTATGTTGTTGAATTGAAGAGAACCAATTCTCATGTTGCTCGCCACTGGACATTTAACAAAATTAGTCGCACAGTTTTTATCGAGAAATGAAAAACTAGGGTATATAATTTATCCAACCTTGATTGAATCCATACAAGTTTTGACGATGAAAGTCATAATTGTCCAATGGGTAAAAATCGAAATTAACGAAGAGTTGAACATCGGCATTTGGTCTTAATGTTGGATCATCCGGAGAGATTGAGCTTAGATCGGGAATGTTTACGTTTATTATTGGAGCTGATTCAGTGCCCTTTTGATAAGGGTTCAAGACCTACGAAAGAAAACCAAGCGCTTTAAATATTTGTAAAAAAATTATTTTCCAGATGAATTCTGCAATATAAACCCTCATATTATTTCTTCGTGGTGGTAAATTGTACCCGATGGCCCCTGTGGGTTCTCTCAAAGGAGCCCCCTTGTACTGTAAGGTGGCTACTTGGAATATTCCGTTATTAGCGTTAGCCGTATCTTGACATCTGCCGTATCCTCGATACCTGATCCAATAGTTGTTTACGTCTTGATTGGCATTGAGAATAAAATCGACTCGCTCGCCCGGCCAAATAGTTATGGCGTCGACTGTAAAGTAGGTGCATGAATTATTATATGATGGGAGCACGCGAGTGACTCTGTGAAGTACCTTCGACGGGCTGAATAGGGTTACTGTCGACGTTGATGATGGTCATGGTGTGTCGATCGATGGACATCTCAATGGGACAATCTTCGGCTCCAGCGTCGATCAATCTGAATCGGTATCTCTTTCCTTTTTCCACGGCAAAGGCTGCCGTGAGCACCGAAGGTCTGCGATTGCCCTGGACCCTCTGCTCGACTCGTCCCAAGCCGTTGATGATGATGGTCGTGGGAATGACGTCGGCGATTTGATGATAGGTCTTGATCAGGGCCGTGGCGCCGTCGGGCACCATCCAGTCGTTGATGATCATTCGGTGCACGTCGACGTCGTACATACTCCGGTGGATGTTGGTGCTCGGATAGGGCAGTATGATGAGCGGGCCAAAGAGACCGTCGGAACGCTGAGTGCCGATGTGCGAGTGCCAGAAGTACGTGCCGGGCTGCGAGGCGTTGAATATGTACTGGAACGTTTCGCCCGGCTGGATCGGACACTGCGTGACGAAGGGCACTCCGTCCATGTAGGGGGTGTTCTTCTGCTTGAAGCCGTGCCAGTGGATCGTCGTGCTCTCGGACATCATGGTGTTTCTCACTTCGACGACGATCATGTCGTTGTGACAGGCCTGCGGACGCGCCCGAAAAATACAAAATATTTTCACGTCATTGCATCATTTGGATCGTTGGGGGATTTAGTACGAGGAGAAAAGGAGGAACGGGGCGTACCACGACCGACGGACCGGGTAGCATACGGTTGACCGTGTAGACCATCTTTTGATTGCCGTCGCCGGGCAGGCAGTGGGATCGCAGGCAGTCGGCCATGTTGCTGGGGCAGTTGTAGCAGGCCTTGCTCATGGTGCTGTACTGCTCGACGACGAAGACGTATCGGCAGATTCTAGGAGCGTCGCCCTCTCGGCATTGTCGATTGCACGGGTGCTTCGACCAGTCGTACAGGTCGGCGGTGGCGGAAAAGAAATTCTCATCCTCGAAGTTCAGCACCGCCTGTGTGCCTGCAGCAAATTGTACCGCGTGAAAAAGGCTCGATTTACGGGATTTTTTAAGCTTTCTATTGTCCTAGCTTGCTACTAGGATCCGGGTAAATTGCGTGTTTTATGGCCAATTTGTAATTAGCTTTTTTGGAACATTTCAGGTGATATTCAACTTTTTTACGCATCAGATAAAAGTCTTAGCGTTGATATCACTTGACTCTGAGATTCATTTTATTTTTTTTCCATACTTGATTAAATTCGTTACAACAATTCAATTTTGCCAAAAGGTGATAATCGACTAATTGATCAATTGGCTCTCAAGTCAACAACGAAGATACCGCACACGACGTTATCGAAATTCTTTCGATGAAGATAAATAATGTAAATTTATGATTGAACCAATTGATAATTATTTTGTTATTTTTATTATGCTGACGAAAATTGTTTACCTTCGCATTAAGTTCTGTAAACAAATATGCAACAAAGAACAGCAAACGTTTTAATTAATAAAAAGCTATTGTAGATATTCATTTTAATAAAGACATTTTTCGTCATACTATTGCATAAAATAATTTTTACGAGTATGATATTTCGAAACTAACATTGATTAACAAAAATTGATCAGTCAAATTGATTTAAAAAGTAGTAAAATACGTTATTTTAATTGATTCATACTTACTAGTAATGGCCAATGTAAAACTCCATATAAACAATAGACAATTCTTTCCTATCATGTTTAATTATGAAAAGAAAGCGATGATCTTTCAATGCGATTCGATCGCCTGAAACGATCGATACCGACTGATCAAACGGAGAACCAAAATTCATCGTTTTTTCAGGGATTATGTCCGTGAACGGGCAATATTTGAATTATTATTTCAAATGAAATAACAAATTATTATCACGTATGCAATTCTTAGCGTTAAATAAAATTTAATAATGCATAATTAATTTGCTCAAATTGTTCGTGGTGTTGAATTTGAGTCAAAAATAAATTTTAGTATTGTTATTTAATGGTGAAAGCTATTATAACTTGTAACATGACGATTTGTGTAACTTTTACAAAAAGTTTGCATACCCTCGTGGACAAGTAAAATCCAACAAGCAATTACCTCGAGGAAAAAATTTCCAAATTATATTATTGAAAAACCCTATGCAAATCTCTATATCGAAGCACCAGATTAAAGCGATTTTATCGTCTTATGATCTGATTATATTTACGAATAAATAAATATTAAAATAAATAAATGAATGTGTAAAAAGTCAAAGATTCAGCAAATAATCGATATCTAAGGAAATCGATTATTTTATAAGCTACCTTCGAAGCTCACTAGATGGCACTAGCAAGCACGTTCAGGTTTTAAAATCTTGTTGTTTGGTTATCTCTTTCCCTCCAAAACCAGTATTGGTTGGCAAACGCACACGCGCATGTTTGTGTCAGTTTAGACTTTTTGAGTGTTTTGAGTTTTGAAAGACGAGTCTCGTCGTTGTTTGTATACAAACGTAGACGACAACTTTCTCTACAGAAGCTTCATCTTTATTCAATCGCAGATTCTTACATGAATGAAGTTTTTTATTTCTTCGCAAATACTATTACATTTAAATAATGTCTCGGAGACGAAGTCAAAACAGGCGTTCATCGGCCCGTCTATCAATTCCTACTGGTGTTTTGAATGATAACACAGAAAATTACGATGATGGTACATTGATGCATTATTAATATCATACTTGTCCTATTTTTTACATTTTAAAAATATGACGAGAATAATTAACTAATATATTCCATTAAAAAACTACAGATGCTTATATATTTCATAAAAATTAATACCCTTTACAATTCATTTGATATAGTGTCAAAAGACTTACTGTGGTATAATGAAAGCCTTGTTCGTCCATCAACTAGTTTTACTAGATCAAGAAAAAGTCACACTATCTTGGATGCAGACACTACAGCTTCTACTGCCGTCAGTACAAATTGGTACAATAATCTTACAAAGTCTGATTCTACAAAATTACTAGAAGCTACTGTACAGAAAAATGTACCCATGAAGAATAATGATGGTATTAAATCAATTTATTTAAATTATATACGTTTTTGAAAATTTTAACTGTTATTAAAATTCTCTCCAGCTCAATCTAGTGCTGAATCTGAGGATGATTTACGTCCATCTCAAAAGCGTAAAGCAAAATTTGGAAAAAAAAGAAATAAAAAGTACAAAGTAGATGAGAGTAATATTTTCCACAAAGCTTTTGAAAAAACTACTGATTCTGTAACAAAAAATCTCTCTCATGCAGTGACCATTGAAGGTAATAAAGGTAAAGCTAATTCTCTAGAAAAATCTGTAACAAAAAGATCAAAAAAAAGTAATAAACATATTCAAAATTACAGATGACAACTCCCATCAAGTTTCTAATACCAATATACCAAAAAGACGATCAATCAAAATAATCAGTGATAAGTTATTAAAAAAAGCAAGCAATAAAACATCTCATATTGAAGATGCCAATTTATCTGCAAAAGTATTAAGAAATAGAAGTATTTCTAATAGCCCATCCAAAACATTGAAAAGAAAGTTGTCCTTGATTAATCAAGAAAGCGACAGAGATGACACACTCAATAACAGTGCTAGTATTATAAAAAAGCCTAAACATAAAAGACGGGTCTTATTTTCTAAAAATAAAAACAAGTCAGAAACTAATGTATTTGATGCTATATTAGATAGTACAGGATATGATTCCATTTCTGTAAGTTTCAAACATTTTTCAATTCAAATGAATTCTTATATTCAATTTTATTATATTTCTTTAGGAAAGTATATCCAAAAATAATGCATCAGGAGGAGATGACCAATTGAATGAAAAAAGTTCTGCAGCAAATATAAGTGTACCAGAAAAAGCAGATATAGAAGATGATATTCCTAGTGATAGTTCATCTATACCAAAGAATATTAGAAGATCAGTATTTATTAAAAAAAAATCAGGCGACCTCAGTAAAAATAGGGTATCTTTCAAAAACATTTTTTACACAAAAATCAAGAGATTTGATTCCTTTATTATTGAAAATTTATAATTATGTTGAATTCAGGTTAGTGATATTTCTACAAAATCAAAATTTGAACTTTCCCAAAAATCTCAAAATAAATCTGGAAAAATAGAGGATTCTGATGAAAAAAAAGAAAATGTGGAAAACACTGCATTGCGATCAACAAACCTCTTGGAATCATCTGACGATGAAAATATATACGATAAATCCCATACTTCACAGGTGTGTATTATTTAATGATTCAATTTCAATTAATTTTTCACTTATTTAAAATTATATTTTTAGAATTCAGAAAATGTTAAAGACCAATCTGTAAAGTCAAAGACAACTGATTCTAGTGTATCGTCAAAAATTGCTTCAAAGCTCAATATGAGCAAAAATAAATCAAAATCTAGGGTAAAAAATTCTATGGATGCAAGTCAAATGAGTAAAAAATCTACATCTTCAATACAAACCAATGATAAAGAATCCTCATTAAATCAATCGAAATCAAGAGTAGAAGCCAATAATATTAGTTATGTTAGCAACAGATCAAAAAATTCTGAGGGTCCTCGTTTCACAAATCAAACTTTAAACAATGATTTTGCTGTACCCAGTCCTGTTATAAGTCAATCATCACAACCATTTAAAAATAAAAATTACTCTTCAAAAAATAAAACATTGGATACTTATGAAAATGTAATTGTAAGTATTCCTTATCTATTTATAACATTTTAAGAAATAATTTTTTTAATTTATGTAAAATTATTTATACAGTTGGAAGGTAATAACTATCAAACACCAAGTTCATCACAGCGTAATCCAACACAAAATGATTCTATATCATCTACACTTTCGTTACGTAGAAGTCAACCAATAGGCACATCAACCGTTGATCGTAACGCAAAACCAAAGCGTAAACCAATTACAGAGAGTCCGAAAAATATTTCGTATAATTCCAAAGAAAGTGAACATGAAGAGTCTACAATGCCTAAACATATTAGAAGAACAAAATCAAATTTATTTCAAAAAAACAATAGTAATGAAGAGAATAGTATCTTTGATAAGGGTAATGAAAGTTTTGTACCTGAAAAACAAAATCCAAATACTTCCATAATTTCTAATACGTCAAAAAGAAGTAATACTTCAACTTTACGCGATGCTTGTTTTCAAAAACAAATGCTAAACATCCCATCAAAAGAACCTTTAGATTACGTAAAGCACACTACGAAAAAAGTTTTGGAAATGAACGAGAATTCTTCTAATGACAGTTTAAAAGAAAATCAACAAAACGATCATTCTTCGATTAAATTGAAACTATCCGAAGCAAGCTTTGAAAAGCGAAAAAGTAAAAGTGCTTCAAGTCAAGTTAACGAAGAACAAAAAAAGAATAACTCCGATAATTCTTCGGTGAAAAAGTCCAATGAGTTTCTTGATAAAGATCCAAGCGATGTTAGTATTGAAGGCTCGAGTCGATCTAATAGAGACTCAAATGCAAAAGTTTCTAGTGATGTGAGTTTGGAAAATTCAAATCGATCTAAAAGTTCCAAAGAAAGCAGACTTGAAAATTCTAAAGAGAAGAGCACAAGAAAAAATTCTGTATCAAAGGATAAAACTCCTAATTCCAAGGTATTTGTTTCAATAAATTATTCATAAAAAATTATTATCATTATTATTATTATATCCATTATTAACTATTGTTTATTAGCAGTTAGATACAAATCGTGTATCAATGCTCGAGCGAGTTAGCTCGAAAATCTCTGATGACTTTAACGATGATGTATTACTCACGCCACATCCAGCACAATCTACTCTTAATCCTCATGGAAGACCAGTATCTCGTATTACACAGTTTTCTCTTGGAAAAACTTTACTCGCTGAAACCATTACCCCTAATAAAATAACAAAATTAAAGGGGGGAGGATATACAAAAACAGCAGAATATGAAGCTGTACCTGAAGATGATGAAGATGAAAGCGATTTAGATGATTCTATCGGTGATAAATCTAAAATTAATGAGACACAAGAGAGCAATGATTCTGTTAATGATCAACAATTGTTGTCAAGACATCCTGATGATATCCCAGAAGACAATGATCTATCGCAGGAAGAAGACATGACTCCGTTTCTATCGGAACAGTAAGTAATATTAAAAATCTTCATTATATTAGAAATATACTTTTTTTATTCTATATTTGCTTTACAGGCAATCAAAACAAACTCTCAACAATTCCAATCAAAGTCCCTCAACAATACCGGAAGAAGTTTGGCAAAATGTGAAAAAAAAGACAGATGCTTTTAAGCTCATGATGGCGAATAGAATTCAAGAAGAGCGTAAAGTTTTGCGCGAAAAAGAAGTGAAAAAAGCCCGCGTTGATGCCAAATTCAAGCGCACAATAGCTCAACAAGAAGCAGAAAAGAAGAAATCTCAGAAAAAAACTCCGAATGAAGCATATCTGGTAAAAGGCAAACTTTACAAACAACCACGATTACCCAGACCACAAAGTTGGGCTACGGATCGTTTGTACAAACACTTGTGGCAAGTTCTTGAACCGAAATTTGGTTTAAAAACTCGTGTTCGTTCCGAGGAGTTTGTTGTAGAACTTAGCAATACTGCTAAATTTATAAAATCGAAAAAAAAATATGAAGCCTATGAGTCAGAATTAGAGGAATTGATCCAAAAAATGGCCGAATTAGGAATAATTGAGGATAGAATTGATTTTTATCGATGGTGCAGAAATTACATGCCATACAGTTTTAGAAGTAAGGTAATACCGATGATGCTACCAGGTAATATAAAAAGCATTCCGTCGTTTGATCCTAAAACTGCCTATAAGCCAATTTTAGGAGGATCTGAAGAAGTAGAAGATGACAGCGATGAAGATCAAGAGAATTGACATTTTGAGTTTAGCTTTTTTACTCAAAATCTATTTATTTAGTTTTGTTGGATTATATAACTGATAAAATAATAATTTGTATAAAAATATTGTAATTACCAACGTTGAGATTTGTATAAAATTTTTGTTGAATTGTAACATTATTTTTTTTATTAATTGAAATTCGAATTCCTAATTCATAAATTAATTGTATTGTTAAGTTGTTGTATTCATAAGTTGTAGAGAGTTGTATTGTAGTTTGTATTGTTGTATTCATAAATGAATTGTATTGAATTATATCACTAATAAAATCATAAATGAAATCATATTTTATTAAAAAATAAAGAATGCGTTTGTTTTTTGTGAATTTTTTTCCTTGTATTTACTATTTGCAATATTTACAATCATAATTATATTCTTATTTTGCGAAAAAAGCTTTTGTTCAATAGTCTTAATCTTAGCCCCATAAAATGTTATTCAGTCTCAAGCGATGACAACTTGTTCGTATTAAAAAGTATGATACACGTAATATAAGAGACATATAATATTGTAAAACGTACGAGGAATAATCAACAAGAAGAAAAAAAAATATAGTTCAAAATGATTATAATTATTAGTTGTCAAGATTGTTGGGGAACTAGAGGTTCACTAAAAAAGACGCTTCAATTTCGATTGTTTTACTATTAACATAATCTTTAAGCACATCGCGTTCAAAAAGAGTTTGCGAGTCAATTTCATTACCGGTGAAGTTCATGTCAGGCTGCGGATACTTCCTCAGCATGGCATCGGCCTCGAGGAGCCATTCCTCGAAGAAGGGATCGTCGTTGACTTCGCATATGTTGTGTATAACGCAGCAAGCACCGATTACTTGAGGCACGACTTTGTAGCTAAGATCCAGCATTTGACATAAAATAGGAAATCTCGATCGCAGGCGCGAAATTACCGTGTCCCCGTAGCCGCGAATATCGTTTAAATTCCTATTGAAGATCGCCTCTTCGACGGTGGATTCCGGTTTATAATCGTTCAGCAACCAAGGGTAAGATGGTCCATTTTTAGGACTAATTATTTTGTAGGACATGTCCACACCATTGATACTTTTCTTTTCCTGAGTTGAACAATAAAAGAGATTAAAATTCATGATATTACCGAAGTAATTATGTACCAAAAATACTCACAGTCGGCAAAACTTTTTCAGAGTACTTGTAAATATTAGAGTCCGCGATGATGTTTTGGGGCTCGACTGCCCCTGTATGTCTAACGCTTATATCTCTGAAACTAAAAGAAACAATTGATCGTTTAAAAATTTAATTCCTTGAGCAGAAAAAAAAGTCAAAATTAGACTTTACAGGCAATTGGAATCCATTATAGCTTGTAGTACGAACGACGGGTACAAAAGTGAGTTCAAAAATTTGTAGTTCAAATTGATGGGCGAACATACGGGTATGTGAATGACTGACATGACGCCCAAAATTTGTGGAATTTCATGAACGTGCTCGAAATCCGCCGCAACGGCTTCTGCATCCTCATTTTTGGGCATTTTTATGATTTTGTGCAAGAGATATTTATTGATAGCCACAATGCTTCGATAAATAATCTTGTGTATAGTTGTTTTGTGTATTTTGAATTTTCTCGACATTTTCATGTAATCAACGCATGAAGTCAATTTGTACAATAATATGGCAACTTGCTTTTCGGCGCATACTCCTGTAACGGAAGAAATTTTTGATCTGAACTTCAAACTATGAAAAACATGCATACCTTTGCCCATATATGATTTGCTGCTGTCGAAGGTCGTTGAACCAGCACGTGGTGCTACGTAGGACTTTAAGGATTTAACGAGGTAAATGTAAGTCTTTCGAGAGCAACGAAAGTATTTCTGACATTTTTCGTCGGGATATTGTTCCTTGACGAATGTTTCCCACCAGTCGGGCTCGTCTGGAATAGTTTCGAAACTCATTTTTTCCGATGTTTCTCCCTTTCTCGTTAAGAACTGCGACTGAAAAATTGAAGTATTTAATGAAAGCGAGGTAATAGCTTCGTCATTTCATACTTTACCTGACTGCTCGAAGTCATCGTTTGTGCAAGCTCGTCGAGCTTGGCACGTCAAATACACGACGCAGCAGAGAATTTTCAGCTGCAGCGGATCGACGTTCCATTTTTAACGCCCCATGCTTGTTTTTGCGATTTTAGGAAGAAAAAAAAAACAAACGCGCAATGCTCTCGTTGAACTCGAGCTTGCAATTTATAAATAGACTCTTTACCGAGTGGTCGCGCGCAACGAGACAGCGTACACCAGCTTCTTCATTTCACTTTTGCGGCTATTCGATATTTTCATGGCTTCTTGACGTAAATCACAATTATTCATGCTGACTGTTTAATAAACAAAAAGTGCCATCGGAAATATTGAGCAGGTGCAGAAACCCCCGCTCAAAACTATGCCAATATTTTTTCTCTGCCAACATGGAGTGTAAACGTTGAAAATCAATGCAAGTTTTTTGAGACATTGTGAATTTTCGTTCAATTTAGATATATTGTATTGTTATGTGCACCAAATGTGTTGCCGTGCACTACAGGTTAACTGCATTTCTTAAAATAGAAGACAAATCTTGGTAAAATCAGGGAAATGCAGAGTGAATAAAAGCTCGCTTGCGTAAGCTTCTATTTTATTCCCACGTTACTCTATGACATTCGATACAGCGCTATTATCAAACTTATCGAAAACAAGTAGTTTATTCTGTCAATTGTTTACTTTGATAGATTAGAGAAAAAAGCTGACTTTAAACTGAACAACACGCTCGGCAGCGTGAGCTGTCAAACTCAACCCCCAGCTGATTTTGCTCCATTCCCGTGGTACGGGAATAGGGGCGAAGGGGTTGGTATCAAAGTGCGCGCGCATATCTGAATCCGTCGTGTATGCGCCGAGAAGAGTACAAAAGATCATAATAAACACCATGACTTTTTCTATAAACATATAATATTCCAATTAAAACTTAATAAATATGCAACTATAAACTAAATTCGTTTTTTTCTTACTTAAATTTTTACTATCGTGAAAGTATTTTTGAAGGTATGACTTTTCAATCTATTTTTTGAATAAAATAATTTTGAAGAAATAAATAAAAATGTACGGCAATAGACTTTGTTTTTACATAAAGTTCTTCGCAATAATAAAAAAACATTTAAAAAATGTGTTGTTTATGGCAACGTTCAATGCCCGAGGTTATAAATATTACACTTACAAATGTTGCGAGTTAATTATATAACTAATGTGGACATTTTATCTGAAATATCTCCTTTTGTTAATTCAATCTTATATTTTGTTTTCTTGTATTATTATTATTATTATTATTATTTTTATTATTATTCATATTCATTTTTATTCATTGTTAAAAATCATACATAAAAGATTCAATTTGATTCCTGTTAATTTGATTTTTCTCGAGGAAAAGAGCTTCAAATGGATGTACCATAATAATAATTATTCTGATATTATATATACATGTGCTCACGTTGTCCGGCCGCACTAGAGCTCAAGTGTGAAAATTATTATACTTTAATTTTTTAAAACTACTTCTATTGTCTTTTCTAACAAAACTGATAGCAATCTTTTTTTATACACTTACTGGCAATTTTTTTGTTTTGCAAGGTATGCATCTTTCGTCAATGCTGTTATTACTTTGAATATAAAAATATTTAATTCAACTGGTAATTATCCGGCGTATATGAGAATAATAGCTTTTTTCGGTGCGAGAAAATGAATACGCCTTTGCGGAGCGCACGGGTGTCCATGAAAAAGAAGTGTAATTAAACCCATCGGAAAATCTTGTCGGGTTTTACCTCTTATTATAAATTAGTTCTCCTTTTTTTTATGACGATCATTAGAGTCCTTTGCGAGGCTATTCCAGTTTCCTGTTCAAATAGAGCATGGCAGCGACGATGATTGGTTATTTTTTTTTTTCGTAAATTACATCGTTACATGGAGTGAGTAAGCGAGGCTATCGGCGGCGTATACGATGTCAATGTAGCGCGAGGCAAATGTCAAAGGATCGTCAAAGAAGCGTAGAAAAATTTTGCATTTCATTTCCAGCGGTACACTTTTCCATCGAAAAAATCACGTCCATAAATCCGCAGGCATGGTCCAATATACTCGTCTAACAAAGTCAAAGGGATAACAAAAGAAAGAGTCGATGAATCGACTCAGCACTCGATATAGCAGCGACAATAAAGGTCAAACAAAAGGTGCTGCGCGAATTAGACGCCGGAGAAGCAGCTTTTTCTTTCCATTAGAGTGGATAGCTCGGCGGCCTAGCTCGGGGACCTTTTTACGGGCTGCACGCGCTTCTGCGGAGTATATAAAAATCCGGATTACCGTAGCGAAACGTCAACAGTAGTGTCGCAGCTCTCGGGACAGCCGCACGCGAGCTCGATTTTTTTTCTCGTATTTCCTCTTCGAAGTTCGCGCATCCGATTTAGCTGCACACACGATGCACGGAACAAGTTGTTTCCTCGTTTCGGCGCTTCTGCTGCTGCGGATTAAGCACGCGTTTGGACAGATAGCAAGTAATAATTTCATTCCACCATTGGCCATTCAAAACAACGTAATCAGTAAATATTCGTATATATATATGTAGTACTCGCGATGCACATAGTTGTAATTGAGCGATATAGAAAAGACGGTCGGGTTCGCGGATAGCGGAAGCAAAAGGCCGGCCTCTGCACGCGGATGGAATCATTAAACGCTCTGCTATTTTTTTCCTCTTTTTGTCAATTTCAGCTCCATACATCGTGAACGATGGCCTGACTATATGCAAGTGCGCTTATCCGGGCAGCTGTCCCACAACAGTCATCGACGTGCGAATAGTCAACGTGAGTGCCGAGTCAAAGTGAGCCGCGCATCCGTATACAATTGCGATTACACGCGCGAATTGAAATTGTTCGCAGGACCCAACGAATTCAGGCTGCCCGGCGGGCATGATCATGTGCTGCACCCGGGACGGCAACAATCCGAGCCCCAACCCGGCGCCCGACACCTGCGGCATCCGCAAGATACCGGCCGTGCCGCAGCAAGTCGCCGGCCGAGCCAGTTTCGGCGCTTATCCCTGGCAGGCGATACTCAAGGACCGCTCCAACAATTACTTGGGCTCGGGTGTGCTGCTCGACGCGACCCACGTACTGACGGTGGCGCACAAAGTCGTCGCTTACGTGTGAGTACCCTCCTCGTCGGCTAGACAATCTTCTCCGGTATAAAAATACAGTGAAAAAAAAAAAAATTGGAGAAAGTCGTCCGAGTCTAACGGTAAATACGCGGCAATGATAAGGAAAGATTCGCAGCCATCGGGGCCCGCAGCGCGACAAAAAAAACGTCAACGACGCGTGTGCGCACGTGCATTAATTGTCGTTTCTTTCACCGCTGCAGGCCCGTGTTTGAGAATAATCGCCACGATGGTTCCGTGTGTATACCTGCGATATATACATAATATGTGTTTATATCCGGAACAATAGCCGCGCACGTGTGTCATCCCAGTTTCATCACTTCCGCGCGCGCGTCGCATAGTTTCAATTTATCGGGGAAAAAACGTGCATTATCTTCGCCGTTAAAATGATTTATGCAATCTAAAACAATGTATAAATTGTCATAATGAAATAATACAACGAGGCGCAGCGCATTTGCTCCGCTAAAATTATAAGCGATGGTCACGGACTAATGCACGGCTGAGCAGGCATATATAATCAGAACGAGACATTGTGCGTTTTTGCCTGTCCTTTCATTTTATTACAATTACAATAATATAGCGTGACTGGTCGATTTCAAACGGAATAACTATAACTTGATAAATAAATAAAAAAACACTAATGGAAAGGAGTAATTGTCTTTGATCAGCTTTTGATGAATGAAAGCTCAATGCGTGATTTAAGCTGGCTCTTTAAAATATATAAAAAGGAATAGAAAAATGTTTTGAGCAAGACTCAAAACATTTTCTAATAACTCTCTAATAATTACTGATTGAAAACTCAAAATCACGTATGCAACATCAAACAAGGTGGAATAATTAAAAGGATGAACATTGATTTTCAGCAATAACCCGCAGGGAATGCTAGTCGGTCTCGGTGAATGGGATGACCAAAGCACGAGTGAAGCTTACCGTGACATAAATGTAAACGTCGCGCGCATAATTCTTCATCCGAATTTCAATTCGGCTAATTTGGAAAACGACGTGGCTGTCATCAAGCTCAATGGACTGGTGCCGATAGCTTCTTATCCGAACATCAACACGGCGTGCAGACCCACCGCCGCACCCGTAACTGGCACTAGATGTTTCGTTTCGGGATGGGGTAAGAACGCCTTCACCGGCAGCTATCAGAATATCATGCGCGAAGTCGACGTGCCTATTCTCGACGGTACCGATTGCGAGAATCGGCTGAAAAACACCAGACTCGGTGCCGCCTTCATTCTCAATCGCAACAGTTTTCTTTGCGCCGGTGGCGAGCCCGGAAAAGATGCCTGCACGGTTAGTATAGACAATTTTGTATAAAGCCGCTCTCGCGGTCATCTAATTTTTTTACTCGTGTCTCAGGGCGACGGTGGATCACCACTCGTTTGTTTGAATAGTCAAACGAGCCGCTGGTCGGTCTATGGACTTGTGGCTTGGGGTATTGGCTGCGCCACGACAAATGTACCAGGAGTCTATACGAATGTTTACAATTTCTTACCTTGGATAAATCAGATTCTCGCTACAGTATAATATTATATGCTGAGAACTATTATTCTTGCATTTTTTACTTTTTTTTTAAATTTAGGTTATCAATAATTTAATTACACAAGAATTGATTTTTTATATTGTTACGTGGGAGGGGGTTAAATAAAAGGCGAAATAACTAATTAGGCTCAAAATATATCAGAGGGGAGGGGCCGTTCGCGCAAGGTGTCTCCTCGTCGCTTGATGTACTGATACTACCGCCGCTGATGAGCTATGCTTATGACTCTCATTGTAGTGCGCCGCGTCACTGGTGGGGCCTTGTCGTCCCACGTGACAATATGTACAGACTAAATAAAATTTATATTTTCAAAAAAATCATTCATGTTACTTCCTCCGTCTTTCAAAATGCATCTTACATGCATCACAAATAACTTTACAACATCTTTTTTATAAATATTATTTATAATTCTATAATTTGCAAATTTTTTTATGTATATACAATTTATATAATTTGTTCATTTTTACTTGAATCAAATGAGAAAACATTGCAAAATATCGCTCAGACATCACTTTCTATGCGTATATTACATAAATCCATACAGGTACCATATGCCTGTTGGAGTGTCAGGCGCTTTTATCATCATTAATACATTCTTGAGTGTATAGAACTATATTTTTAAATTGTTTTTTAAATTTAAAATTAAAAATAGTAATTAACTATGGGTGGGTCTATAACGGACGAATACGTTACTTATTTTTACCATTAGAAAAGTAAAAGAAAAAAGATCAAGTTCAATTAGAAATTTGTATAAGTTCTGTTTTAAAAATCATTGGAACTTTTGATCTTTCATTTGTCTTCCGAGCAATAGAAATTTGTATCGTCGACATTTTCGAGAGAAAAATTTTTTATTTATTTTCATTTTATTCAATCATCTATAAATTGTAATTCATTAAGAGGTAAAAGGATGTTACGTAAATGATGATTGTCAAAGAAAACAATTTCATTCATCGTTTATTGTTTCCCTAAATATAAACGCTATTTTCTTTCTATAAAAATTCATTTCATTCGTGATATAATAGCTTATCAAATATGAGAAGCCCCCGTGAAATTAGTTTAATTCCAATTTTTTTTCACGTGAGTCTCTGCTTATTAAATTGTTAAAAAGTGTAAGAAAAGGTCTTTTAAGAATTAAGAAATATAGGTGCCTGAAACTTCGTGGTTTCTTAATGTTTATAAACATTTTCATTTTTTTTTTTTTATAAATAGATATTGTATTACACTATATCCTTCGTAGAGTTGTTCCGAATCGCATCGAAATCGTTATTTAATCGCTACATGTCACAAAATCACAATACATATCGGAATTTTAAAATCAAGTTTTCTTTTTAATAATTATCATTCATTATTTTTTTGATTACCGTTTCAAAGGTTAAAAAAATACAAATGTCTTACTTGTGAGAGTAAAGTTTTTCAACACATATTTAATCAACAACATAAATCATTTTTATGTACTTAAAATTCGTTTAATTTTGATAAAATTAAGTTTTTGTCAAAATGTAATATCAATTTGTTAACTAATTTTCAGTGTTTTGTAATTCAAGTTACAAACGATGGCTTAAATTTTCCATTTAATTTTAGAGAGCAAGTGTTATTATACATTTATTAAGAACACAATAAGTATATAGTCTATAACTCAGCGCGTTATTCATTCTTCAAAATGTTTTTTCATTTACACCGAGCCCTTGGAGTTCCTAGATTTTTTTTATCTTTTAACTCTGGAAATTACAGCAAACCAGATTATTTCACAAATTCTTCTTTTTTTTTTTTAATTACAAAAATCTAAAATTATTTACACCTTGTCGTGAACAAATTTTAAAAAACTTTCTAACTACATAATTTGTGCATTTAGATGATATTTATTTCATTAAAAAACTGCAAAATTATGGTGAAAGTATCAGTGCGAGATTTTTATAATAAAGAAACAATTAAAAACGAAAGTTGTCAATTTTAAAAGGTATTTTTTCAGTATAAATTTCGTTTACTCATTATTTGAAAGACATTATAAACTTTTGAACGATCTAACTTCATCAAATTTTTAATATTGAACGATAAGAAAGTCATCCAAGGGTTAAGAGAAATGTTCATAGTATTTTTAGAATTAAATTACACCTTATAGTATGTATTCTTATGTACATCAAGTACTCGATTAAATTGTAAAGAAAGAAATAAGTTCATTCAATTTCTCTCAATTAGAATTCATTGATCTCTCTATTTAAGATGATAGCTTATAAATCCTATGAAATCAAAAAACTTTTCATAAGTATGTTTCGAGAGTAAGTAAATGAAACTGAAATCATTTAACAGCACTGAAATAAAATCACAAGTGGCCTTTAAACAAAAAATTATCGACTGAAATTGATGAAATAAAAATTATTTGTGAATTGAATAGTGTTCATCAGCCAATGTAATCTATAAATCAACATTGTCAGAATTAGTTCTTTATCTCTTGGTCATCTTCAATCTTTCTCTCCCACATGTCTAAAGCACACATGCTCAATTTATAATCTAACGTACTTCTGAGAAACGTATATGAAAATTCTGAAGTGTGTATGAAACCATGTACACATAAGCACGCCACGTATGATCACAAGAGCGATTTGTGCCGGCCGCCTATGGTTTTGCACATTCCGTTCACGTAACAAGCGCAAATTAGTCATCAATTTCAACTATACGAACCACGACATTTTTCTCTTATCTTTTTCTACGGTCTAATGCACGTTTGTCCCTGGGATCAGTTTTGCTTTGATTGTACTTAAGCAACTTGATTTAATTTGAATCCGACAATGAATTGTTCTTGACTTCCGATTAATGCATGATCAAATGAATAGCGTTTAAAAATTAACTGTGCACTTTTCCTAATACTTATCGTTGTGTAAATAAATAATATATAAATTCATGTTTCATATGTTGATATAATATATGTACATGATACAAATGCAACCCTAAAATTAAGCCACAGACAAGTATCGTGGCTTACCACCAAAATAACTAAATAGATTTTTTTTATCAGCTTTTCAAATATAACAAATTATTCTTTTTCTGATAATCAGAAAAAGCCATTTCACTATTTACAGCCACGTGAAATACTCGTATTACATCTTGGCTCTTTCATAAGTTTGGTGATTTTTAATTTTATAACTTTAATAACAAAATATTTGTTCTACGCTCGTCTAAACAATATTTAAAAGAAATTTAAAAAGCCAAAATGTTATATTATGAATAAAAAATCACCAAAATCACACATTACAACGGATACACGAGGCATTTTTTATATGAACATTCACTCAAGAGCAGCACACACCATTGGCATTCCTATTGTAAAATGGAGCAATAAAAATGTTTATAACATATTCCTAGTATACGCGGGAAAAAATTCGCTTATCACTTCGATTCTTGATCGAACATAAAAACGATTCTCCGTATTCACAAGCTATTTATTAGCTTAACAATGATTTATTCTCTTTTTCTTTTGCTTGGTACTGACTAAAACGCTTCGTGCACTCAACGACGGAAAACATTTAATCACTACTTAGCAAATAAGAGACAACAAATTTATACCTATATCGCATACATGCAAGCACATTTTTTTTTCTTTTTTCTTTGCGCGTCCTTGACTATTAAAAATTATTATTAGATATTGTAAGTATCTGTACGCGGCCGAACTCTCACCACACTCAGGCTTTGATGCATTATCTTATCTCAAAAAAATGCCTTGATGAAAGAAAAAGAAAAAGAAATAACACGCGCTTTAATATTTTGTGACAGAGTACATCATTTCTTAATTTCTTTTTCGATACCTGGGAAACAAAGAGATCATTCGCCATCAGCTTATTTTCATTCTTTTTCTCTTTCACTTTTCTAAAACGAATTTGATCATACTTCTTTTGACAAAAATTAATTGTCACGTTTTATTTTACTGAAACAGAAAAAAGAAAAAATCATGAGTTGTTCTAAGAATAACAGTAAGTGCTACTGGGTGATATTCAATACTTCCTCGTTATCTTGTGTCTAATTCGAAACATTTACGAAGAAGCTTGATATTACATTGCTCATTCTGTTATTCGTAATAATCACTACTAACCTGCATCTGAGTGGAGTTGCTAAATTGATAAGTCTAATTAAACAGCCGGCGAAATGAGTTGAGAGTGCGGCTGCATTTGCGAGACAGTGTTGGTCGGTGTAACTGAGAGCAAGTGTCCGCGCTCGAGCTCATGAACATTGATACCAACACCGGACAGCGAATTTGTCGAGCGTGTCAAAGCGTTACGCTGTCGACACATGTTCGGAGTCTCTCCCGGTGATGGTGTTTCGCGTCCCTTGTAAAAAAAAGGAAAAAATTATCAATCTCAACAATGTACTATATAACATGAAATACCTCTTATTTTGCGAGATATCATATCGAGTTAATTAATATAAAAAAACGTTTTTAATAGATCAGTGATTGATGATAAGGTTATCGATCTCAAAATATCGCATCCTCGAGCTACGTTTAATTAATATTTTATAATAGCAAGAAGGAAATAAAAAATTTAAAACGAGGTACAGGATAGAATATAAAATTTAGTCATAAAAAGCTCGAATACGCTTGTATGACGTTTAATGTAACATTTTTTAGTGCAACATTATGATGAAATTCAAAATGACATCGCTTATTAGTTAAAAAATAGTTATTTTTGGTAATTTTTCCATTTGTCATAACAAAATTTTTTAAATCATTCATTTATAACCAGAAAAACAATTTCTATTTTGAATTACTTAACTGTACTTATGCATAATATCTAACGGATTCCTACAAAAGAAAGAATTTTATGATTCGTAAAAGACGAAAGTGAAAATAAAAATAAGGTTTTACCCATAAAAATACTAGTGTCAGATTCAATAAAGTCGAGGCAATAACCAATGCATATGCAATTTGGAAATGGTGAAAGGTTTACAGGGTCGTTGCTCCTGCTATTTGTTCTCAGCTTGTGCTATATTAGGAGAGAGGATTATTTTTAGGGATAAAAAGGAAAGGAAAACCATTGGGAAGGTCATTTATATGGACTTGCTTGAAGATAGTTACCTGCTTGGATGGTCCACAACACGTAGCTTGATTGCAGGATTTGTCAGTTTTTGGGCAATCGAGAACGCAGTCTTCGTGTGGAGTTACTTCCTTATGACTATTTGATTGATACTGGAAACGAAAATGTCATAAATTCATTAGCTGTTGACACAATAAATGTTGCGTTATTCATTAAATCACTTACATCTATGAATTCGGGCTGTATCGTAGTCGAGTGTATTCCTTCGTTGTGGAAAAACTCTTTGACCTGTTCGGCGATTTTCATGTATTCCGAAAGATTTCGGCAGCGAATATGCGCTGAAGCGATAATACGATCGCCAGCCAATTGCCATACATGAAATTCGTGAACGGCTAAGACACCGTCGACATTTTCCAAGAGCCTCTGTTGGATTGCATCCACCTGTATATGAGTAGGCACCGTTTGCAAAAGTATCAAAGCGGAATCTTTGAGCAGCGGCCAGACCGACTTCAATATGAGCACCACAAGGAGAAGAGATAAAGCCGGATCGATGTAGAATCTAAAATAAGTGCATGATAAGATTTTTTTTGCTTTTATGATAATTGATGTGTAAATAATAATAAGTAGATGTCAGCAGTGATTATTTTACCAACGACGCTACTAACATGGGAAGTGTATTTTGTTATAGCATCTAAAATGTTACATGTCCGAGATTACGTTTTTTTGTCTCTATCGCGATACATTTACTATTAAGTAGTAAGAATTATTGATAGGCAAAATATGTATTTTTATCCGATGGAGAATGAAATTAAAACTCAATTGAAAAAATGTTCGGTCTGTACGAAGAAGAAAAAACATGAATGAATAAAACACGATGGTTATCGCGATGAACGATCTGTCGCTCGCACGATTGACGTGCCTCAATGCAAAAGTGAGCTGCAACCGATGAGATAGATTGGAGGAGAGGCGAAAAAGTCAGGTAGTATGGCGGGTCAGTCGAGTCAGTCGCTCGCATATTACCTTCCGCTCCATTTGGTGAGCCAAACAATGAGCGCGGACACGACGACGATAACCGATCCCAAGGCGTCGGAGAGCACGTGCAGGAACACGCCTCGCATGTTCATCTGGCTGGCGTCGCTGTGCGCGTGATCGGCAGGAGCGTGCTCGGTCGTCACCGCGACCGCCGCCGCGACGTTGTTGCTGCTGCCCGCGTTGCCATTGTTGCCGGCCACTTTGATCGGCGTGTGCGGCCTGAGGCCCGGCGTATCCTCGACCTCGGCCTCCTCATTGCCGACCAGAGCGCTTAGCCGATTGTGACTGCGGGATATGCCGTGCGCGTGCGAATGCGAGTGCGAGTGCCCGTGTCCGTGTTCTGTGGAAGCCATCGAAAGTCATAAATATTTTCATTTACGTTCGCAAATCCTTCGGCGGATTAACAATTACGCTCGCGTTTCCGCCTGCGACCTGTCTTATATATCTATATTTACGTCCATGCACACTGCACGGTAATTAAATGTCTTAGGCGGTGAAAGGAAAAAAACAACAATCGTTAACCTTTGGCCAGTGAGATTTATTGAAAAGAATATTCTGCGTTTTTCTCCGCAATGGTCTCGTGTGCAACGAGAAAAAAAACACGTATTTTTATTTAACGGGATTTCACGATGATTTTCGGTTAGGTAATTCTCTTACTTTTGCGCACGAGACCATCGTTGCCTTCTATATATTCACGCTCTCTTTCTTTCTCACTCTTTCTCGCTCTCTCGCACTTGCTATGTCTGCCCGTCTGACGCACAATAGTTGTGAATCATTCATGCATTACAGGGTAAAGAAAAAAAATCTCGCGTGCTTCTTCTAAGATTGCGAATGCATACGCACAGATGGAAGCGTCTCGTCGCAAAATTGGAACATGAGCGAAATATATATGCGCGCAGAGCGTGTTGCTAAACATCCTTGTGATGAAAAAGAGAAAAGCACGACGCATAGAAAGTTTCGACAAAACACATCGATGCGCGCACGGTGAATTTGTTATTGCGACTTTTGTAACTATGCTCGAGAACGAGAAAAGATGTTTGTTTTATTATACGAATCGAAAAATGCTGGATAAAAAGAGTAAGCGATTAGCACTCAACAATTATTCAATTTTGAGCGCATAGCAGCGCCATTCGCACTTGCCACTACGCGCGATAATTACAATTGCAATTGATGAAAAAAAAAACAACATTTGATAAAGAAATAAAACACGTTTAACCAGTTCATTCATTATTCAGAACTTCGATGCGAGAACGACCTAGTTAAAATAGACGTGTTTCACTCTTTCGTATTATTGTTTGTAAGATTATGAAGTATAATAAAGCTATGCTCTCTTATCTCGATGCTCAAGAGCAACATTGCAACTTACCGTGGAAAAGACAGAGTCCGATGAGATTGACAAAAAGTCCCAAAGCACCTACGATGGCTAAGAATTCAGGTTTGTGAATCTCTTCGATTTCAATGAACCTTTTGCAGGCTTCAACTGTGATGCTGAAGCACAAAGCTACAAGAAATACGGCGTTAACCAATGCTCCTAAAACTTCGGCACGCGCCCAACCAAAAGTGTTCTTGGACCACTTTTTTGGAGACATCTGAATTAAAAAAATCAAGAAACAATGAGTAATTTAAGTAACAATGAAACGGTATCGTGATATTGAATGATCTATTGTATGGACTAGCAAAAAACTAGCCGATACTGATTATTAAAGAATGAATAATAGAATAAAAATAATCATAATTTGACGTACTTTGACGGACAAAAAAGCGACAACGAGAGCCGCTACATCGGACAGCATGTGGAAACTGTCGGCGATCAGAGCCATGGAGTTGGTCACGTAGCCGACGATGATTTCGACGAAGAAAAAAAAGGTTGTCAGCCACAACATCGTCAGGAGGCGACATTTCTTACCCGTAAATCTACCCATTTTTGTTTGAAGTATTTTTTGTCTAAAAAAAAAACAAAAATCGTAAATTAAAACAAGCCGTAATAAGCCATCAAAAATATTATCATCGCGGCACCTGCAAGCGCAGAGATAAGACTAGTGTAGCAATGTAATAATGTCTTTATAATTGCTTTTAATTGATAATAGTTCTTTTATAGTCCCTATACCTTCAGATAACATATATATTTGAATTAACAAAAATATCATATCACTATTATATTATTCACGAATTTTAAGTTCCAAAAAGTTAATGAAATTGAAAAAAAATTTTTTTACAAAATTTAACAACTTGAAAATATTTTTCGGATATGAAAACAAAGCTTATCATAATGATGTGTGCATTTCAAGTTATATTCATAACAATGCATTATGCAATAAAGAAACCTTCGTAATTTGAAAAAAAATTTAGATTGTTAAAAGTGTACAGCTATTTCTGAACAAACCAATATATTTAATAGCAATAATAAGACATATAAGATTAAACTATGTTATCAGAAATCAATGTGTAAGAAATACATGCTATTATAAAGATGGTAATCATCTATCTAGGCCACTATTGTGCCACTTTTCAATTTTAATTTCAGATGAGATATAAAGTTCTCTATAATATTTTCATGTATTATCTTTCAGTTTATTGCCCTCAAGTTCAACAAAATAACATGTGAATTTTTTGATGTTCAAAAAATGCACCTTTTAAAATGAATTGATACAAATAGATAAAAAAATTAAAATTAGCATGATATTTTAAAATTACTTAAAAGATTCCTATTCAGATATAATTACAGTGCTAATTTCAAGTTTGTTAGATAATTTTAAATACTTGTTATCATGGGAAAGCTGACATGGTAATCACAAATAATAGTGTTCATTTATGATGATCTCTTTGAATTGTGTTACTATTATTTGAAATGAATTTAGATTTTTTGCCTACAGAAGGTCATTCACATGTGGATATATAAAATTTCTTGTATGATACTGTAGAAGCATATCTAATGTCATTGAAGAAGGTGTAGATTAGAGTTATTGATGCTCTTAATTGATTGATATGCTAAATTCATGTTCTATGCATTCCTATAAGTGGACCTTTTTAATGACTCAAATTCCGTTCCAACGTGGTGAAGTGCAAGTTAACACTGATATTAATAAACACTTTCTTGTTTTCTTGTCCTGTTCAATGTACGCGTTCTTTCTCTTCCCGACAATTCACAGATCGATTCTTGTAATTTTTTAAAATTTGTTCAAGTTTCCATTTTGACTCTGGTACTAATAATAAATGTAGAAATAGTAAGCTGACCCCCTCCGCAAAAACGAGCAGGCGTATCAATCCCGAAAGTTATTTTTTGACTCCATTAATGTTAGCGTCAAATTGGTAAAACGCGAATGTTGCGTTCGAGCCTAGCAAAAATGAAAAGAACTCTCGCAATTACTGATTCTCGCTGGTAGACGCGTAGACGTTTATTTATGAAATTATTCGCTATCTCTCTCTTTTTGCACAAAAAGATTGAGGAGTGCAGCGCCCCTTTATAATAGAACGAGCAGAGATTATATCTTCAATCACTTAAAAATAGGTTAGGTATGTACAAAAAAAACAGTCCAACTCACAGTTGTTTTGCGTGTAAAAATCTGTTGGTAGATTTCTCTGGTGATCTTTATGATATTGCTATCAAGACATGCCAGGAAGCATAGCTGCAGTACTCATCGACGAATGCAGGCCTTCGCGTTGTGCTCGTCGAGAGGTTTACTTTACTTGCAACGACACTAAAACACACTGGCGGGTATCTATTTTATCAATATAGTCGCTCGGCTATTAAAAACGTGTAAATGTCCGTGCGTACGATGCGACACTGCAGCGTGTCAGATGTTCTCTGTGCGAGACACGAGAGAAAACTAAGCTGCGGGCCGCCGACGCCGCTGTACTCGACTCGAGAGCGCAAGCAATGCACAAGTTTATACCGTATTATTATTGTTATTATTATACCTACCGACCGACTCTGCGAGCGACAGTCGCTGACTGCTGATGCATATGGCCATCGCGACACGCGATTCGCTTAGGAAGGGATTCGGCATGCTTCGTGACCGTCATTAATTTTTATTTTTTTTTCAGCAAGTACTGCGAGTAATAACGTGTTCATTTTATGAAAAGGGTAATGCATATATGCTTTTTTATATAAAAATTCAAATTTTTATTATCGTAGATATACAAAATAATATACTTTTATTTCATAATAAAAGTATAATTGTTATAAAGCTATCGTACAGTAATTACGATTTGAAAATACTACAAGAATATCGATTATTTTCATAAAACTTCGAGCATTTGTAGTAGTCGCAAAAATTTGCAGATTCGAGTTTCTTTTACTTTTTATCGTGATATTAGGCAATTAAAATTAACGCGTAAAAGCTCGATCAATGACTTCAGTTTTATGAAAATACGATGATTTTTAATGTTTTGAATTACTTAAACGTTTTTTTATTCATTTATAGTACAAATACAAATTATAAAATGTCAACACTAATTTTGTAAGTAATTACAGTGTAACATAGTCGCTTAAGTCAGTTTATCTTACTACTTGTCGTGCTTACTAATTTAAAAAATCATATTCTTGATTATCACTTTCAAAGTAACTAACATATCTATTCTTTTTTTTTCAAAGAAATAATCGGTAAATTAAATAAAGCTTACATAGAAAATTTTCACATGTATCTGGATCACTATGTAACTGTGTTGTAAATAGTATTCAATTGAGACTTCATTTTATACGACAGAGTTTCTTTTGCAATGGCTATTTTAATTGAAAATTTAGATTATTTAGCTTGTATTCAAATTATATTTGGACTTCAAATCCAACGGGAGTCGATACCAATTCATTTTTTTAAATCATAAAGGACAGAGCTTTTGTTCAGTGTTCCAGTTAATTAATTTTATGGAACAAATTAGTTTAGTATGTACAAGTTTTCTCAATTGAGATTCCTAATAATCCTAAGGATCGTAAAAAATCGACAAAATCAAACTTTCCTAAATTGAGAGCTATCAAATAAGTAATACCTCATTATAACAATTACTTACTATCTATTCAATAAAATGAAATGGCAATACTTGAACATGGATGATGAGAGAAGTGGAAAAAACTATAAATATATAATAATCGAAAATTTTTATACCAATAGTTTGGTTCAATGCGCTAACAATGATTTGAGGAAAATTCATAATTCAGTGATGATGATATCATAACACGTCAACATTTAACGTAACTTGCAGAAAATAACAAGTTTCATACCAATAATTATAAAGTTTCATAATCAACATAACTACGAAAAATCTTACATCTCTCATTTTTTTTGCAATTTGCATTTTATGGCTTCATTAAACAGATCAGAAAGTTTACAACCATCGATATCCCTTACTAATGTTTCAAACATAACTTGTCGTTTTGCAGAATTTTCAGTTTTAACGCGAATTTCTGGAGAAATGAAATCGACGAATGATTCAACTTCATTTGAGCTTTTAATGCATCCGTTTTCCGAACTAAGATTTTTAGTTAATTTGCTATTGATAATTGATAAGAGCTCATTGACACTGTAATGCTCAGCTAAAGCTTCTTTAAGTTCAGTTGGTTTCATAACATTTAATAAATTAGCCGGTTTGAGATTTTTTTTGTACGTTTTTAGTACGGTATCGTAAAACTCTTCGTCAGAATCAAAAATCATTGGAAGTTGTTGCAAAACTTTATGTAAGCCTACTGTTTTCGTCGATGCTTTAAAACTTGCTTCGCTATCATCTGTAACATTTAACCCAAGAATGTTGAGGGTCTCTTTTTTGAGTTCTTTCTCTGGTTTCTCTACCATTTTTTCCTGCAAAATTTTGTTTCAAATATTAAATAAGACAATACGATAAAACATTTAACATAACATACCTTATAGGCTTTGAGCAATCTTTCGTAATCAAACTTTTTAATAAAAGCTTCAAACAAAAAATCATCGTCGCAATGATCCATGAAATCTTTACAAGCCTCTTGATCGTTTCTCTGCTTTTTAATGGGGCTAGTTTGGATGGCGTTGTCTGTGGATGCTCTTTTCATAGGTTTACTTTCTTGAACTGCCGAAACATTGGATTTTATTAGGTCCTCGAACAAACTTTTTGTTCTGTGACCCAAGGGCGTACTAGATGATACACCAACTGGTCGTGAATCGGATAATTTACCAAGACGCTGAGCGTGCCTTGACAGGGCAGTTTTTACGCACACAATTTTTGATGGATAGTTACGAATTGGAAGTCGATTAATTTCCCTTTCAGTCAATTGAGCCATATCTCCGACGGAACTGATAGCTTTGGCGGCTAGATGCTCAACTAGATTGTCTTTAAACAATGGATCAACTAGATCCTTACTCAAAGTGTCGATTCCATCTGTACAGGAGGTCAATGTTGGATAAACTGGCAAAGTGGAATCGAGGTTCTCCGGTTCACTCAACTGAGCCACGCTGTAAATAATAATAATTATAAACGACTATTAAAATGTGCTGCGATTGTAAAAATAGCTTGATGATTTCGCTAATACGATTGCACATCTTTAGATTGGCCCATCGTTTTATTTTGCTAACATGTGTTATTTTAATGAGGTTACTATAATTCAGGTATCACTAGAAAGTGATGTATTTGCGTTTTCAATTTACTTTGAATTTTCACCCAATTTTTACCTACTAAGAAAAACTAATAATTTTGCTTTTTAACTTACCTATTTTGTGTCTCTTGACTAATTATTGGTAAATTAGAAAATACAGAATCTGTAACGGGTAATGTATCACCAGGTTCCCCACTACCTTGAGAACAACTTCCAACCGCTTTATCTGAAATATTATGCGAATTATCGAAGCTGGATGATATATTTTCTACATCAACCGTATCTTCGAGCGAACTCGCATTATCAGATTTGTTGATACTTGACAGATTTATAGAATCTAATTTAATGGAAGTATTATTTTCGGCACTTTGATCATCATCTTGTGATAGAGGAGCCTTAACTTCGCAATCTTCATGTTCGCCAAAAATATCAGCATCTTGAGAATTACTAGGCTCAGTCACGGATGTAACGGCCGTAGATGTGGCTGACTGAGATGTAATTTCCGATATGCTTGTGTTACCGGATGTACTGGTTTGCATCGATGGAGACGTCGCCAACGTAGTCACTGTTGATGGAGTAATTGACTGGGTAGCCGTTGAATCTTCGAGTGGATGTTCTGCAAGTACCGTAGTTAGTTTGACTTTTGGAGAAGCAACTGTAACTTCAATTTCCATTCTTTCTGGCGTTAATTGAGATAGACGCGTGCGTGTAAATTTGCGATTCTCTCGACGAGAAATTGGACTACGCGTAGGTGGTAACTTCTCTAGACGAGGAGGTGATGAAGTTTCTGTTAATATCTCATAACCCATTTCACGAGATACTGGTGGATCGGCAAAGCTCACTCTTTTTTTCTGTAAAACATAAATGTTAAAAGTAACGCTGGAACTTAGAAAGATTAGAAAAAATTAATTTACAAACCCTGTTGGGTGTGTCGATATCTGTGTCATTCATTCGTTTCAGAATGCTAGCACTTGGTGATGCGTTGAATGACGGTGGATTTGCATTTGTCCACTCAAGCATAGGCAACTCTCTGCGAGATTTTCCACTTGGAGATTCGATTGTGCTACCGTTCTCGGTTGTCAGTGAACTTATATCCAGATCTTTTTCTTGATTGCGCTGTTCCAATTTCGGAGAGATACGTTCACCTTTATTTCTCAAGTTACAAAACATCGACATAGATGGTGAGAGCGATTTATCGCCAGACTTTCGATTGTTACTCATATTCATGAACATTTTTTCTTGTCGGCTCCCAGTGGTACTTGGACTAGATAATACTGGTTCTATTTCTCTAAAACTATCTTTTTTCACGGTAGATAATGATGGAACATCATCATTTAGAGAATTTTCAGTTTTATTTACGCTTGATCCAACTTTAATTGGCAATTGTTTAGAGACTAAACCGATCATATGGGCAGCTCTATTGTGAACTGGAAATGATTTGCGCTGATTAGCCTTTTTAGGTGAAGTTATATGGCTCATTATAGCTGGTATTTTGCCTAAAAGAAAAAAGAAAGTAATAGTACCAGGCAATTGGAGGATATTTGTTATTTTTACTGGATCTTACCAATAATTTCGTTCCTCTCAATCTTTTTCTGTTCTGTTCTTATGGAAACAGGTTTTTCTGGCTGTATAGTAGCTGGAATAATTGATGTATCATCCAATGCAACAGACATTTCTTGGATAATTCGACCTGATTTTTCTTTTACATCTTGAGAATTTGTTTGCGAGTTAACAGCCTTCAAAATGAATCCAAGTTAATTATTATAAAAATATTATAATTATTAAGAAACTTACCATTTCGATATCATTATCTTTAAGAATTTTTACATAGCAATCAGGTTTATCTATTTTCATGCTGATTGTTGGTTGTTGCGAGCATTGTACAATATCTGAGTCTTGAGATGCAATGGAATTCACATCTTGGTTTTCTATATCATGGTCATCAATAGCTGAAGTTTGAATACCCAAAATTAATATATTTTGTAAATTAAAATTAAAATTAAAAAATTATTGTGAATTTTTCTTACAATTAAAATTATTTTTTCCGATTTGAATATTTTCTGCAATTTTGTCAGTATTTTCCGCGATGTCAGTAACTTTTGACGTTTCTTCACTTTCGGGTTTCTTTGCAACTGGTTTTGTTTCAATAACAATACTATTGGGTAGTGATTTTCTTGACGTAATTTTACTACTGCTTACTTCAATGTCCAATGAGTTTTTATTACCATCTTTTTTTGATTCTTGTTCGCCATTTTCGTTAGATTTTAATAACTTAGATGATCGTCTTCTTACAATAATATTTTCTTGACTATTTGATTCTAATTTTCCGGACTTCACATCGCTTTTTGACTTCTGTTCTTTGACATTCAAACCATCATTATTCAATGGTTTTTTACTATCGGATGCGACAGTAACAGGTGTTTCTTTTTTTACAACACTGCGGCGATTTGGAAGTGGTTCAAATCTCATGTCGATTTTAAGCCGCGACATTTCCGTCATTTGACGCTTCGAAAATTTTTTACCATCACATTCGGAGTCTTGACTATTAATATAACTCGAGGCTTGACTACTTGATAAACTCGATGCTTGACTCATCTGCAAGAATTAAGATTTATAGATGTAACATTTCATTTTAGAAAAAAATTACACGGATTTATCTAATAATAATAAAACAATTTACCTCACTATCAGTAGCAGATCTCAAACTGTCCTGACTATACTCAAGCGTTTCAGCAATCACATCGTTCGGGTTCGGCAGTCTGGGTCTCTTTTCTCGTTCAATGTATAAAGTACCTTCGGAATTAGAATCCGAGTTGCGGCGTTTTCGACCTCTTTTATTAAGTAAATTCTCACTACTGTTAGATCGTCGCAAATTTCCCGTTGTTGGTTGCATTGAGCGGCGACTTCGAGATCCTGATGCGGTAGCGGTTTTTAAATTACCTTGACCGTCTAGCAATAATATTATGTATATCAATTATTAATTTTAAAATAATGTATTATCAAACTGAACGTAATTAAATTTCGCATAGAAACTAGTTTAAGGTATTTAATACAAATTTTTCTAGTACAAAAGGCAAATTTTAAAAAAATGTACAGCAAATAATTTAATAACTCGTGTTTCAAAACCGCAAGTGCAGGAGTTATGAATCTGACAGGTTGTTTAGGTCGTAGCAGAAAAAGTCCGCTGTAATTGAGATATATTATATTTCAAATTCTATAGGTTATGTTAACACCATAATTTGTAATATAAATCTTTAGTAAAGATCAATAAAATGCATTAAAAAGATATGTAAAGAAAATCTACGGATTTAAAGTTTTTTAGTATGAAACTAGCATAATATGCATAAAAAATTCGGTCATTATTTTTTCGAAAAAATGTCGCATCATAACATTCATAAGTCATAGACTTTAACAAAGTATCAAGTACGAACCTGTTCCATTCATAGATTCGCGCCGCTTCATTTTGCCTTTTTGACTATCATCAATCACATCCTCGTCGTGTTTTTTATTATTGGAAACATCGACTGCACTAATGTTCGTTACTGCGGCATTGCCGCCACCACCAACACCACAGCCACTAGTAGCACTGTCAGCAGTCATTATTTTATTGGCGGGGTACTCCAAAGTCGAATCGAAGTCCAATTTTTTTGGCAATGGTATTGCACTCGTGCCGCCGTTGACGCCGTCAGATTGACACTGATTTTTATCCTTACTCGCGACATCGTTGCTACTACCACTTCTGTTGGTCAAATAATTAATTCTGTCATCATAAACGTAGGGTAATTTACGTAATAATACCCTCAACTGCCTCATTACGATAAAATATTAAAACTGTGGTTTGACCTTTTAAAATATTTAAAAAACTTGCCTAATCTTGGAATAATTATCAAGAAATTAAAATTAAACTTATATTCTTATGAAATCAAACGGAGCAACGTTTTCACGAACTAAGCAATACGTGCAATTTTTTGACACATCGACGGCTACTTAAAAACTGCCGACTTAGCGAATAAGAAATACCATAATTAGCCTATTGTGTTCGCGTGTTTGTGTACTTTGATTTGTCGAAGGTGCAATCATGTGATTGGTCAGTTGCTCGCACACTTGCGTATGTAAATAATATTAATATTTTCTCGCTCTCTCTTTCTAATCACGTGGATGATACATTTCATGTATTTGTGCGTGTAGACGTTGCGCGCGAGAAAATCAAGGTCTTAAAGATAGAGATAATGTCAATATGATGTACGCGATTATTTTGAGGCGTTGACCTCGTTTTCTGTTATGTTTCGATTAAAATAAATCGATAATATGCAGCTATTAAAGTACGCGATTTGCCGATTGTTTATACATGTAAGCGCAAAGTGTCAATGAACTCTTATGAATGCAAAGAAAAATAAAATAAATTTTACCTTTTACTGTTGGATGCTTCGGTTGTGTTTTTTGCTTCAATGGTAGCAGCTGATATGTTTTCTGCATCTTTATTTGAGAATTTACCAACGTTTTTAAAATTTGGGTTAGCCTTGTCATCATGAACTTTTGGAGAATTCGGTACTTTAATAGGTAAGGGCGTTCGTCTCGTTTGAGCGTCAAACCAACGTTGGATTTCTTGTGAGTCTTGAGTACCAGAATGAGATACATCGTTATACATGCCTGGAATGTAATCCCGGCGACTTTTTAATTTTTCTTTCTGATGCTCTGTTAACCGATTAACATCGAGTTTTAAGTCTGTATTGATGACCACAAAATCCTAAAAATACAGTACAATATTCATTTCATAATTTTAGAGTTTTTTAACAACACAAAAAGTCTAAACGTGAAAAAATTAAGATTGTTTAGGGGATAAAAACTTCTATTCACAGATTTATATTTCGAAATATAAGCTACAGAAAAAGTGCATTAACGAATAATAGCGATTTTCACAATTGAATTCATAGATTACCTGAGAATCCGGTTCAGGATTAACTACTTTAACTTTAGCATTTTCCTTTCCAGGGGTTTTATTACTGGAACCCAAAGATTTACGATTTAAAAAACTGCCAACTGGTTTTGTGGATACCGCTGATTTGGATTTAATTTTGTTATTGATTTCTTTGGCTTCTGTAAAATTGCTTTGACAACCAGCTGTTTGCAAATCCTTAACCAATTCATCAATAAGCTAAAACGATGAAATTAATTTTTATCAATACAATGATCATTTTAGGGCTATAATAATCATGTAATTTACTTTTTTAGATTTATCATCCAAACCATCTCTAAGATCAACGATTGAACACGCAGAATGAACAATATCTTCGTTAAGATGTAACATAGCTAAAGAAATAGTTTCTCGGTAGCTGAGTAAAAGATCGTAGCTGAACTCTTTTTGTAAGTTTTTAAATAAGCTTACTATTGTCGTCCATGTATTAACAATTTCTTTTTCTAAAAACGAATCATCATTTTTAGTGAGCATTTTTTTTATAGCAGGCTCAATGATCTTTAAATATGCTGCAGTTTTTTCAGCACTGTGTCCAAAAACTCCCAAAAGTAGTGAAGAAAGAGCTTTGAGTACACGATCGGTGTAAATACTGTTTGTTTGTAGGCATGTCAGAATCAAATCGCGAAACAGTATCAGTAAGGGAGATGTATCTTTATCTAAAATTAAAATTTAATTTTTTAGTGTAAACCTCAATTTTTAATATTGAATGCACTGAAATAACTGCTTACCTTTAATCAATTTTTCATAATTGACTGCAGCAAATAATCCATCAATGCAAATACCAGTAAAATTACTGATATTTTTATCTTTCTTTAAAATTGATATGATCATATTTGCAGTTTTATAAAGGATCTCATTACTTTGCACAGTAACAATCAACTCAGCCTGAAAGTCGAATTGTACATAAAGATCTTTCCAAGATTTAGCCATACTTTCCAACAATTCATGGTCACTTTGAATAAAGGTGAATGGGAAAGCAATAATTCTTTCTAGAGTACTAAAATTGTGCTTGGCAAGATTTCCTTCATTAATGTTTTGTGAGTCTTCTATATATTTCTTTGCAGTATTAGCAAGGACACACCATAACCGACTAACAGCAGCACTGAAAAAATAACAAAGCATTATTTTAGTTAGCAAACATAAAAAAATTTGAAAAGGCAAAAAACAACTCACATCTTGGTACAATCAGTTTTAGCTTGATCTAAGCCTTCCAGTACTTGTTGTAAAAGTTCAATAGTTTTTGGATTATAAACATCAGCTTTTTTTGGTTTGATCAAATGCCATAGTAGAGACTCTATAGTTTTACAGCTTTCACTAAAAAAATTTTTTCAATTCATACAAAAAATTAATATCATTATATGTATATAATTTTGTAGTGTATTGATAAATACTTCGAAAAACTGAAGCAGTCATCCAATTGTAAAATTGTCTGTAAAATTTCTTTTAAAGAAGACTCATTGAACTGCATATTACTTGTAGAGGAATCTAATTGGTTAAATACTCCATCAAGGATAAAATTTCTTATAAAAGGATGTTTTAAATAGTTTTTTTTAATCAATTCTTCAACTACAATTCGAATTTGTTCATACATCTGCGTCTAAAATGGAATAAAATAGAATATTTGAATTATTAGTCAGAGAAATAAAATTTTTTAAAATACTAACTTTCATTTTTTCATATTCTTCAACTCGTTTTACTAAATTTTCCCACAAAATCTTGCATAAAGTTGGCTTGTTAAAAACATCACTTGGTATATCTATTAGTAAAACAATTATTTCTGCAAGACAATTGAAAAAAACTTTATACATTTTTTCAAAAATAAAATTATTAACTGGGCTGATTATATCCACTTTTGGAGCAAAATTAGGAATCTTAGATTGATTTTCTGTATTTACAATAAGTTGAATGAAGGCATTTATGGCGAATATTTGAGTTTTAAGAAATTTTTTTCCTAATGGAACATTTTCATCTGACTTGTGTATGAAAAGCGGTTTCTTACTAAATGGACCAAAACAAGTACTCAAAAATGGTTCTAATACAGATTCAGTGCATTCCCCTAAGCTTGGATATATTTTGTAAATTAGATGCCACCAAACTTCAAGTTTTGTAAGCATCATGTCCTCTGTTTTACTGTTCTTGGCATTCAGTGGTACGCATAAGAGCTTAATACGTCGACTGGTAGCTAGCTCACGTTGATCCAAAGCAAAATTATCAATTAACGCCTTCCATGATACAAATGCTTGCCTAAAATATATTCATAAAGTATGAAATCAAATTTTGAATTAAATTTTGAGTTAAATTTAAAAATTATTAAAAAAACAATAATACTTTACCTTCTATTCATATCAACAGATTTGAATCCTATTTCTTCAACTTTTAGCAAAGTATTTACTAAATTAGCACCTTTGTGAAGATCAGTACCAATAAATAAAATGCTTGTTTCCCATTGAATAGACCAGTCTAAATCACAAGCAAGAACTAATAATGTCATGCGTTTGCAGTAAGTACTCTGAAGCATTGTCCTGTATTGGTCCCAAAGTGGTTTATTTAATGATCGAATGCGTAAGCCCATATCATTTTTTACTGCTTGCTTAAACACAACCAAAGCCCGTGACCTCTGCTTGCGATGACCCATGTAAGCTAGTAGTAAGACCTTATCCATGATAAAGCTATCAAATTGTCTAACATTAAGACCCATAATATATACATCACATACTCTGCTGAGTAATTCTAAGGCTTTATCTACTACTTTTTCTTCAAAATCTTCTTCAAAGTTATTTAATTTGGATTCAACAGTTTGCATTAATTCTTTGTTATCAGCATTTTCTTTGAGCAGCCACTCCATTTTGTCTGGCTTTATAGACTTCAAGCAATCTTCTAAAAACTTAATAATCGACAGCTTGTTGCACACTGTTGCCACTGTTTCGTCCTTTAGAATGCTCAAAGCTGTAAGTGCTTTAAGCCTGCAAAAAACATTTTAAGCATTTAATATACCAATTACTTTATCATAGAAATTAAAAACTGTTGACATACCTTTTTTTTCTATTAATTTGTAAAATGGATTGAAAAAAATCGAATTTTCGATTCTTTGTTTCGGGCAAAATGACGTCAAGCGTCCGGCACGCCTCGAGATGAAGTTTTTCATCATTGGATATACTAGCTTTAACGATGGAATTGCACAGTTCACACAATTCATTATCTTTCAAAGCTTTGACGTTTGTTTCATCTACATGATGCCTAGGAAATAATCATAAAAAAACATATAGTGAACGTGAAGAAGGCTGTAACTCCGAAAAAATGGATTGCGAGCTTTTTGTCATTGGTGATCTTTTTATAAAAACTTAAAAAAAAACAAATTAGAAATTGGCGAGTAAATTAAAACGTTATTTATAAACATGCCCCATCATAAATACGACCGACCCCTACAGTTTGTATCAAAAGGTTGAAGTATCAACGAAAATTAAAGGTGAACAGGTCCAGACCAGTAGGCGAGACGAAGTACGCAGCAAATTCAGTTCAATTGCACGGATTTGTGTATTTTAAAAATGTAGATTGATTTTACCCATTAATAAAATGGAGTCAAAGAGTTGTTTATACCTTCTGATTGTGGTTAAGAGGGTGATCTTTTTATGTGGACTACTGTCATCAGTCTCGATGAAAGTTTTGATAATCTTCTGCAGCGTGTTGACCGCCATGTTCGATTATAATCTCTGGTAAAAATGAAGATATGAAAATTTGTTGTTTACTTTCTAGTTTTTGCACTCGCTAAGAACCACAAATTGGCCGAATTCGGCCGTTTTGAGGCAGCAGCTGAGCAGTAGATTAGCAGCAGGCTGCACGCATACACAAACACGCGAGGCACTGATGGACTGCTGCTGAGATGCCGGACGCGCGGGAACTGGCATCGGCGTCGCGATGTCTTTTGGCAAATTCGCCCGCTCTTTTTTCCGACGAATGAGAATCTAGGAATATTTTTGCATGTTTCGCAGTCAAGCACTTGACAACTTGAACTTGAAAAATTCCCTACTGCTGATTGCTTTCAACTTACAAAATTTTCCTAGTTTGGTCTACTTTTTTCCCCACTTTTTTACAGCAAAGAACTAATAAAACATTAGAAATGTATTCTATGTAGATTAAGAAAATACATATTACGCGAGACTGTTTGCAAATTCGTTGAACATTTTCAACAAAAAAAACATTCGTTTTTAACAAATTATGTTAATCCATTCATCCATTCTTATTATACTTGAGCGATTCCAAGATAAATTAATTAGACTTTATAATCATAAAAAATTCATTCATTGACACATAGCAGACAATTTACGAAATTACCTCAATGGCGGGCTTTTTAAATTCTTCTCTAATCACCGAAGATAATTATCTAATTAAATTTTAATTATTTTTGACCGATACCATTGCATAGGAAATTTTCTTATTTCCTCGATGAATTTTTTTACAGCACTGAGAACTATTTTAAATTATATAAATTATAAAAATGGTAATATTCAGATTTTGTATTAGACAAAGGTTTTCATGAATATGAAATTGGCACTACTAATGAACATGAGCCAGTATCAATTCACTAACGAAAAAAAATTGTTCGGATCGTTTCAATATGTTATTTACATTCTTACTATTACACCAAATACACGAACTTATGACCCGATACAAAAAATACAACTAGAAAACATCGCTAGAAAAGGTCAAATCACAATGCACGAATAGTACGATTTGCTAAATGTTGGAATATGTATATTAAAGTGTTACCATAATATTCTTTACATTAAAAATATACAAACATTGAAACCCGTTTTCACGTGAAAAACCCTGCTTTAAATTTTTTTTCCAGCGAATAATATTGTGTGGTCAATTCGCTGAAGTTTTTTTTCGCGGCCGTAGCTCAAGCGAGCTAGTTTTTGTTTGACTTTATGATGTATGCTAGTTTTCGATAAAAATTTCAATTTTATTATTTTTCGTAAATAAATTGGACCGTGCTAGTGGTCGTTAACAACGTTGATATATTTTCTAAGGACTCAAATAGTCCTTTCTTTTTATGAATTGTACAGAGGCTTATTCATTTTGAGAATGTAAAAATTATGTTTCGAAGGAAAACAAACAATTTTTAAACGGTTTGTGTTGATAATAATTTTCAAAATGAAGAATTCAAGGGGGTTTTCAAAATAATATTCATTATAAATCTCAGAAATTATCATAAATTCCATTTATTTGGTAGCACAGATAAAAAAGAGGTAGTATCTTATCACAGCATGGAGCATCAAGTGTGTGAACAAATAATTTCTACTTCTCCACAAGTCCCATAAACTGTTTTGTTTTGATATTTTTCCTATGGTTTCGACCATGTCCGTAATATCATTCTTCTTCATGACTTCTTTTCTAGTTTGCATTCTGCAAAAAATAAATAAAAAAAGAGGCCAAATATTATTCGCTGAATGGGTAATGAATCATTTTTTAGTTCATAAGCAGTTCATTTACATCGTTAAAGTATGATCAAAAGGTGTTAATATCAATGATGTAACTGCCACCAAAACTGTTACAGCTGCAACATGTCCATAAAAATCATATTTTTGCCATACAAAAAAGTCCCAAGACTCGGTGACTACGACTGCTACCATCGCGTTCCCAAGGATCGACATGATAATTGTTGGAGCAATACCGCACCATAGCTTTCCCCAGCCTTCTATTCTTATTATTTCAGCCATGCTAAATGCATAAGAATGATCATTTTTTTCTGCTTTACTTGACTTGGAATAAAACGAGTCGCATGCAACACGCCTCATGATAACTTCAAAAGGTGTCCGTAAAAAACTGCCAGCAACTTCCACGGCGCCTCCGACTAACAGTAGATATAATACAGAAGGTCTAGTCTGGCTTCTACGTAGATGAACATTTTTCTATTATTTTTATTGAAATCTCAATTAAATCAGTATTCTATAAGCAATTAATCCCACTACAATACTTACTCCGAAAAGTTGTACACCAGTTCAAACTTATAAACTTCGCAGAAGCGGCTGATGCTATCAGCTGCTAATGCCGAAAGTAATCCAAAACGAAATTTCATAATATTTTTAAAGTATCTAAGGTCTCTCGAATAACGAGTCAAAATCGAGAGAAATGAAACGGGTTTGCTGCACATTTGTTGATAGAATTTGACTGTAGTCAATGGATACATTATGGTAGTAGCAATAGACCTAAATGTGTATATATTTTTTTTCAGTTGATTATCCGATATAAAATAACTTAACTTTTAATTGACGCTTACCCGCACAAGATCCATTTATATGAATTCTTCATTGCGATATGATTGATTATCTTTATATTGAAAACGTTTGAAACCAAATTATACCTTGATTGAATTTTTAATCTATTACGCTTTGGATTATAAAAATGAAAAAAAAACTTCATCACATGTAAGAGTATTTATAATAATGTAATGTAATCGAAACTAATTGTGTTATAAACGGATGACGGATATAAACATTCACTTACAAAAAATGTGGATCGGTTATTTCTTCTGACACATGTTGATTGTCTCGACACGATTCTTTTTTATTTATTTATTACATCGATACAGTGAAAAAAACAATTACGGTGTTATCATTGCCGTGAAAACATTTGAGTGAGAATGCGAGAGAATTTCTCTTAATTGAAATAAAATGGTTTTTTCACCACTTTTTCAAAATGCAGATAAAAAATTGCAACTATTAATTATTTAATTAGTGATTTCTTTTAGTAACTACTACAAAGTTATTAATTAATTTGAACTGTATTTCTCAAAGAATTCAAAATGAATATAGAGAAGAAAAACCATACTTGACATATGCAATAGTAGAATGTATTTACGACAAATGTTTTCTCTAACTTGACATCTGTCTGTTATTTGCTAAAAAAACCAAACTCTATCACAATAAAAGCTGTATTAAGTATACTTTTTGTTAATATCAAAAGCAGACGATGGCGACAATCTATGCCTAGTTTCAGGTTAAGTATTAAAGCCCAATGTTCTGCAAGTGGATGGGGTACATATACAGCTTATCCATACTCCTCAGAAAGTTATCAATACAACTATATTATGAATCAAGAAATTTTTTGAGCTGACAAAAAATAATAGATTTTTGTAGAGCCAAGCGAATTGTTTAGACCTTCAGGTGAAAAATCAGTCTCTTAATTTTATGTAAAATGTATTATTAATAAAGAGTCAGAATCCTTATTTAAAAAAATTGTTTCTTATTTATTTTCAATCAAAAACTATTCATTATAATATTTATTTCAATTACTGTAAAATCATTATATATGTATAAAAACACACATCATTCACAACATATTATGCATAAAAATGTTAAAACTGTTTTACATAGATAAAGGCACTGTAATTTGTCACTGTAGATGTCAATACATGCATAATAAATATTGGTAACACTTTAAGATCTGTTTTACAATTCTGAGTCAGAATTAAAATTAATTTTCATCAATTTCAACATTTACATAAAATCATTACACTATAATTAAACTTTGGTTCAACAGTATAGATGAATAATAGTGATGTACCACATACATTTTTAAAGAGTCCTATGCAGCTCTTTTTTTTCTTTTGTCACTATGCTATAAAAACACAAACAAATATACTCCACTTCGTCATGGAAACGATATATTACAATTATGTACATTGAATAAAATTATAAAAAGTTGAGACTTGAAGTAAAACGGCAAACACAGTTTAAATTTTTTTCATTTTATAGAATTTATACTTGCAAACTTGGCTTCTACTTTGTCTCCATTGGTACCATGTTCGAGTACGCAAAGATTGAATATGCAATCAGTAAGCGTTAGCATCGAAACCTCGTGAATGAAGCTCGAACGAAAGTAATTTATTATGTTGTCCATTGCAAACGAATTCTGTAAAGTATACAGGACATAGGAGTATTATCACAAATAATAAACATCAAGCAAAAAATAAAAATAAAAATAAAAAATCTTACTTTGCAACCGATTTTTCTCGGACCGGTGGCGAATAATCAGCTTGATTTCTTCTGCTCGAAACTTCTGGTGGTTGTATTTCTTGTTGTCTATAGGCTACATTACCTAGCATAACATTAGCGCCAACTCTTCGGCCAGTTCTCCATCTCAGAATCAACCATTTAATTCTGAAAATACTGATTACCATAAATACAGCACAACGGAAACGAGTACGTCCTTTTCTATGACCACGATGTACATATTGTTTTTGTTGTTGAGTCAACTGTGACAGGAAAGCAAGAGTATTTGCTTCGACTCTTTGATAACCAGCTATAATGCAATAAAGATATTGTTTTTGATACACTAAAGCTTTTTGTCGACTTTTAGCGCGCATGTACATTCCATAGAAATTCTGAAGCTGAAATAGGAAAATTCAATTGGAAAAAGTGTCTCTTTAATTTAGTATTATGAATAAAAACGAACCCTTTCATTGGAATCACTGCGCGAGACTACAGGTTGTACACTTCTATTTGCTTGTGAAAGCTGAGCTTCTAAAAAGCGAATTTGATCTAGATATCTATCCCTTTCTTCGCGCAATCGTATTGTTTTTTCATGTAAATGAATCTTATCTTGTGAAAGTCCTTCGATTCTTGCATTCAAATCCTAAAAATATGAAAATAAATTTAGTAAGATTTCATTTGTATAGGAAAAGGTACTGAATAACCAAGCAAAAAATTTAATTTTTTTTGTAATTTTCTATGTGTGATTTCTACCGAGTATTTATCTATATAAATACATAGATGTTTAAAGTACAACAAAATAAAATCATCAATGCATCGTTATAGAAAAATTCAGGAAACTCGGTAGAAATTCCAGAAAATTTCTGCAAATTTCAATTTTTACCTCAGTTTCACTATCATTTTAATAATAGTTCTTTCTCTATTTACCTTTATTCTCTGCAAAACTTTACTAGGCGAGCTATTCATATCAAGTGGTGACTTTTCTTTTTTTAGTTCTTCAGCAAGATCATGTTCTCTTCTAAGGTACAATTTTATCTCAGTGTGCTGTTCTGCTATGATGCTACGCAATTTTTTTTCTTCGTGTTTAGCAATTTCTAATTGTTCGCAAAGTTCAGTCTCTCTGTCTGTGAGCGCTTCGATGCAGTGATTTTGATGGGCCTCGCGTTCCGAGGCTTCGGCTAATTGCGTTTTGAGTGTTTTCATGTCAGCTTCGAAATCCATCTGTAAATATGATTAATACAATTAATTTTTACTTCAGATAAAGAATTTAATCACCATATGTAGAACATACCATAACGTCTTGAGCATTTTTCAAGTCTTGTTTTAATTGTTTTATATCAATTTGTTCTTCAATTTTGCATTGCTTACGTTTGTTTTCTGCATCATTCATAGTTTTTAAAATTGATTGTTGCCATTCACAATCTTTAATTTTTACTTTAAGTTCTTCCTTTGCTTTGCGTAAATCAGCTTTTAGTTGATCTTTTTGACAATCGGCAAGTTCTAAACTCATCATAAGTTTTTCAACTTTATCTTGAGCTTCCGTCAGTTGTTTTTCTATACGTTCCTTTTCTAATCGTAGTTTTTTATAATTTTCTTTAATTTCACTGTGTTGGAACTGCTCACACTCAAGTTTAGCTGATAAAGCCATTTGCTGTTTTTTATATTCTGCTTCTGCAACTTAAGAAAAAATAGTAATAAAAATGTATTAATTTACAGATAAACAAATAATTTAAAAATTGTTTATATTTTCTGGATCCAATTCTATTATATATTTCATGTAACTTGTGCGAAAATGTTTTTCCACGTGCATCACAATATCTCATTAATTCATGAGATCATGTTGGCATAAGTGCCAGCACTCATGAAAAACATGCTGGCACTAGTTGTATAATATATACAGAAAGGATAATACTTATATACTATAACTATATAAATATAATGGTAATTTACCTATGGCATCATCTTTATTGTGAATTTTCATAGAATTTGTCAATTCTAAATTTTTTTGTTCCATCAACAATTTATCTCTGAATTCAATTGCTTCATCAAGCTTTATTCTTAGCTCCCTAATGAGTTCGGTGTCCCTTACTTTATCCTCCTCCGTTGTTTGCTTTTCACGTTGCAGCTGGAGTGTTAACAATCTGACTTTGTGCTTTTCTTTTGCAAGTTCTTCTTCAAGCTTTGATACTTTCTTAAGTTCTTCATCCGTATCATTTTTTAACTGTAGAATTCTGTTATCATATTCAGCAATCTGAGATTTGAGCATCTCTTTTTCGATTTCTAATTCTTCATTTTGCCTCTTCAGTTCTTCATATTCTTTATTAGTTTTATCACCTTTAATGATATTACTGATATTAGTGACTTCCGTTTCACTATCTACAGCTTCGAGTAATTTTTGATCCAATTTAAGAGAGAGATTCAATTCCCTTTGAATTTTTTCGGCGATATCGTTATCTTCAATATCAGCTCGACGAGAACTGATCATCATTTCAATCTCGGTACGCAACTTGACAATTTCTTTAGTGAGTTTTACATTATCATTGCGTTCTCTTTTGAGTTTTTGACGAAGTTCAACAACATTTCCAGATTCTTTCATTTTATTCTGAATCGTTTCGAGAGCACGATGTAAATCTTTACTGTCGTCGCTCATTTGGCGAATTACTTTATCCTTTTCCTGTAAACAATTATTATTTAATATTCAATAATTATATAAATAAAGGCGAATAATTATTTAATCATTAAATTACTTTGAGATATTCTTGTAAGTGAAAGATCTCTTGGTCTTTCTCACTCGATGTAGAACCTCCGTTAATGCTACTTCGTCTTGTTAACTCTTCTAGTCTTCTGATCATCATATCTTTGTTACTCATACCTTCACTTAGACGTCTGATTTCTCCCTGCTTTTCACTCAACTCCATTTGATACATTTCGATTTTTCGCTGATACTCAAGTAATTCTAGGCGTTCTGCCTCAAGATTTATTAACCGTTGCTTCAAAGAGTGTATGGCAGTGTCCCTTTCGGACAATTCTTCTTTCAAATTAATAATTTCTCCGAGTTTTTCTGACAAAGCCACTTCACTTTGAATAGCCTGTTCATGCATTAATTTATCATGCATCTGTAAAAGTTGAAAAAAATATCATTGGTTTTGGATATTTTTATGTACGTAATTAATAAAATAACGTAAAAGATGCATTGACTAACCTGGATTTGCTCCTTACAATTACTGAGTTCTTCATCTCTGATTTTCAACAAATTCTCTACTTCTTCGTAATCTCTTTGTATTTTTAATTCGTTATCTTTCATTTTCTCAAATTCTTCTTTATAAAATAGCCTGTCTTGATTCAGTGACTTAATGTTCTCATGAAGTTGTTTTAAATTATTTTGGATTTCCATGAGTTCTGCTTCACGTTGTTGAAGTAATGCTGACTTAGCTACTAGTTCTTGGTGCAATTCAAATGCTTCGCATTCTTCTACGCGCTGGGATGTCATATCGAGCGCGGGAAGATTATTTTGAATAACTGGAGCTGGATGCGTCAAGTGACCATGTCGTGGACATAAGTAATTTGGATCTTCGGATATAGTGGAGGATCCATTTGTTGCATCACTCTCTACATCTTCAGACTGCGATTGAGCGGATTCCCCCTGTAATTTTAATTATAAAACTCAGTATAATTTACACACTTTAATGAAACTTAATTTTTACTAAAACAATGATTAACTTACAGCTTTGGAAGCATCAATTATATTTGAATCTACAATTAATTCCGAACCATAACTTTGACTCTGGGAACCACCCAAATCTAATCTTGGCACTACTGGTGTCTCATTAATTTCTTGAGAGAAATCTGTCACATCTTTTTTTTGCAATACAGCAGGAAGTGGTCCTTTAAAATGAGATATATTTTGACTTCTCATGAAGTTTGACCGCTCTCTGATAGCTTCTTCGGACTCTTCCTCGCCATCAGAATTAATTGATAGTATATCACTTAAAGTCCTGGCACTATTTTTTTGATGCTCATTTTGCCTCAATAATTCGCGTAATTGAGCCTCATCTAATGATAAATATATGTCTAATTGCTTTTCTGTATCAGCTAAACGCGCTTTTATTCGCTCTATTTCCTCGTTCTTCTCCGCTAACATAGTATCGATTAATTGTGGCACATTTTGTGACTTATCTTGCACCGCTAGTTTGGCAACAAGTATACGTTTATCTTCTTCGGATATTTCAAGTTTATCCTTCAATTTTTTTATAAAATCATTTTCAGATTGCACAACATTAACTATTTCATTTTCTTTTTCAGCTAATAATCGACTGACGCGTTCCAACTGTGTTTTAACTTCGGATAATTCCATATCTTTATCAAGTAAAGCCCGTTCAGTAATTTGTAATCTGCCATTTATTTCGTGAAGTTGAGTTTCGAGTCGAGACGTTGCTTGACGTTGAGCAAATGGTGCATTTTGTTTTTGTTGCTCTAGTCTGGCTCGAAGAGTTTCGATTTGGAAGAGTTGTTCTGAAGTGGTTTGTTGCAATATTTCTTGCTCTGCTAACAACTCTTCATTTTGTCTCTGTACGCCTCCTAACTGAATATCTAAATCCTTTAGCCTTTTGAAAGCAACATCTTGCACTCGAAAATGTCGAAGTAGAGTATCTTTAAGTTTAAGAACGTTGTCCAATGGTAGAATAGGGGGAGACGTAGGGTCATCTGGCGTAGGACAACGGGCAGCGTCAAGTTGATCTCGTATTGAAATATCTTCACTAGGCTGACTTATACTGAGAGACGAACCACAAACATGGAGAGATTCCAATTCTCGAGTTTTACGTTCCAGCTGAGATTGAAGATCTCGCAATTCTAATCGAAGTTGACGTAAGGCAGATGAATTTGCGGTCAACTGTTCTGAAGACAGCTGATGTTTTCTCAACTCCTCCTGCAAAAAAATATTTTCACGAGTTTTTCTACGAATGGAAAATTGCTATTATTTTAAATTTCCTCACCTGTAGGTGTCCGATATGATCACTTAATTGCTTATTTTCGTTGCCAGTTCTGATTGCTTCTAGCTCTTGACTCAACTCTTGTTGATTTCTTGTCTGAGAAACTATGATTTCTTCAAGCTGTTCAATTTGTCTCATAAGAATATCTTCTCGTTCACCTTTAGATTGCACTTGTTGTTCCAAATCATGAATCACTTCGCGCAGATCCCAGATTTTGGAAAGAGCTTGGCGCAGTTCATTATCCGTTTCTGCTTTCTTTGCTTCAAGTTCCCGCAACTGAACTGTTAAAGCTTCGACCTGATCATAAAAATAAAATCATCTTTTACTAATAACATGAATCAATGTTGTGTCAAGCAAATATCAAATTATAATTTACGAAAATTCTCACAAACACGTATCGAAAGAGATTCAAAGTAATACATTTTTATTTGATATAAATTTTAGAAGTACTTTGAAGTATTTCGAAACGTAGCTACTATTGTGATTGAATTAACAAGTTCATCAGACTCACTGATCCTTCGTTTTCAAACTCATCGCTTGATTGATGCTGAAGCGAACCGCTTAACGTGGACGAAGTGGGTGAGCGTGCAGACTGCTATTTTTTATGCATTCATTCAAAGTGCGAGTATGTATCAAAACAGAGAAATGAACCAAAACACCAAAACCAAAACCCCAACATATGCGGAGTTAAAAAAGAAAGAAAACCAGGTTAATTGCGTGAAATAAAATAGCATGTGCAAAATTTGTAATTTTGACAAGTTTGCGAGTATTAATTTTGTATTGTACAACATAGTAAAATAAAATAGGAAAATTGTTCATCGAAACAGTAATTAGTATTTGATTATAAAGCTGTGCGTACTGTAATAAAGCTAATGCGTAAAATATTACAATTATTGGCGTAACTAGAGATGAACGCTTTAGTGGCACATTAGTTGTCAATGAATCCTTGTACGGCGGATTACGAAATTCACCAAAATCTAAAGTCTAGTTATATACTCATTTTTAAAATTAAATAATAAAATATATCAATTACCTCAACGGTGGTATTGTGATGATCGCGATCTTTTTCTCGCTCCTTTTCACGTAATTTATCCTGTAACTCTTGTATCTGCTTAGCTGCTTCATCCCTTTCCTGTTCTCGTTCATCTGCCTGCTCTGCTTGGAATTTTCTCGTCAAACGAAGTTGTTTATCAGCAGCTTCGATCTACGTAATACATTTATTCGATTACTTAGCTCAACAAATTAGAATATTTTGTTATTTTAAAATAGAAAAAAAACATGTTAACTGTGTGATCTGCAGTGAAAAGTTTGCTAGACTTCAGGTAAAGCTAATTGTATGGATAGAAAAGTACAAATGCTCTACCTTAAATCTATGTTAAAACTAGGGTAAAATTTTAAATAGCAAAAAAGCACGCTAAAGATAAATTGATGCTCTAATAAGTAAATATCACAGGCAAAAGATAAAAAAAGTGCAAATGTAAAAACGAAGTATATTGGCAAAAAACAATTTAAAATTATCTCCTCTCACCATAAGAGTTTGCAATGTAAATTTTCTGCAAAAAATGTGCTTACGGTTTTATAAGATTAATAAAAGTATTTAGCGAAAAATTTTGCTTAAAGATGAATTAGTTAATCGGTACGTATATAAGCTTATTAAGATGTAATCATTAGATATAATATTCTCTTGAATTAACATTGGACAATGTATACGGATAACATTTATAACCTTGCGATAATATTTAAAATTAGTATTTACCTTTACAGAGCGAACCCTGTGCATGTTTGGGGTGGGAGTAGTAAGATTTAACGAGACCTGCCGGCATGACAATAAAGAGCCATTCATATTATCCTTCCTTCCATTTTTAATTTTCATATATTCACTTTATCAATCATTTTTTCTTTCCAAAATCAAATATTAGAATTAGACTATCTTCGCTTAAATTTTTGGTTTTGAGTATGATTGTTTTCACCATAAAAAATTTTTCATATTAGAGAAATTTCAAAATTAAGTAAGTGACAATATATTTAAATCAACAAGCTTTTTTTTTTAAATTAACTTTGTCACGCGATAGGATCTTGGATATGATGGAATTGTGCATTTATGATATACTTCTGAAATAATAGTTAATTACTAAGTATAAATCCACTCTCATAATATCCCCTAATGTTTGTAAATAATAGCAGACAACTACTGTGAAATAAATCGCAGAGTATCAGATATCAACAAATCAAGAAAAGTCAAGTTGAATAAACAAATATACATCATTTACAAACATCGTAATATTGCGAGAGTTCAGAAAAATAAGCAATATATTTAAAAATAGAAAAATGCATAACTACCAAAAAAATTAGTTATACAAAAAAATCAACTCAAAAAATTGAACCAACATGCCATGAAATTATTACACACCCCATAAAGATAGAATACATTTATGTGAAAAAAAACAAATAAAAAAATGTTGCTTCAAAAGGAATGAGGTAAGCTATACCTGTTTCTGCAAGTCGTCTTTTTCTTTTCTCGTTTCTTCCAAGCTTTTATCAGCTTGCGTTGTTAACTCATCAATGAGTTGCAAGAGATATCCGGTGTCATTACAACCATTCATTACCACATATTTTGCACGATCTTGGAGTTGACTATAATCTTCGCTGGCTTCTGTTTCATTTTGCTCCCCGTAACCTTCGCTGATTATTTCTTTTTTGCTCTCAGCAATGTGCAATCGTTGCTGCAGATCTAACATTTTTGATTTCAAACGCTCATTTTCTTCTTTCAAAGTTATTACTGCTTTTTCAGCCTCTTTTAGTTGATCTCTTGGACTATCCCTGTTATTGCATGAATATAAGTAAACAATTCTGAGGATGATAAAAAGTACAAAAATTCTTACCCAATTCCTGTGGACCATGATTCAGAATCCGAAAACGACGTATTTAATAGCTTGGCACTATCGGATTTAAGCCTTTGCAAGCATGTATCTAGTTCATTCTTTAAACTCTTCACAACATCTTTATCACTGTTAATCAAATCAAATAAATAACTATCGCTTCCAACAATCGACGTGATTTCAGAAGATTGAGGTGCAAAATGAACCCTTTTGGGTTGAACATTAAGTGCGGAATCCAAGCAAGGATCTGGACGGAAAGAAGGTTGCTTTTTCAAGACTTCATTGAGCAGTGTAGTATTCACTTCTTCTTCGCAAAGGACGAAGTAATCAATTAACTGCCCAACAAGACCTTTGAGAGTAGTGAAGGTTTTATGCAAAGTATCCCTTTCTTTCAGTAAATTATTCTGTAGTGATTCGTGAGTTACAGAAGTAATTTTTCGTATTTCTTCGCGCAAACTATTTATTTCTTGCTCACTTTCTTGCTTAACACGTTTAATTTCACTAACATGGCGTTCTTTAAGTTGCTGTATTTCTCTTTTCATATTGCTCGTAAATTTATTACGCAACTCTAATAATTCTGCTGGCCATTTTTCCACCGATTCTGCATCAGCCGCTATCAAAGCCTGATAAAAAAAAGTATAGGGATCAATGAATGGAAGATAATTTCATATCAGAATTTTGTAAATTATTTAAAAAGTATATTTGGAAACGAAAATCGAAACAAAAACACCTATAAGCGTAATTACCTCAACTTTTTCTCTCAAAGCATTAGTGATATCGATACGAGCTAGTTCGATTTGTTCTTGAAGCTGTCTCTGGTAATCCGCTCGAAGCTCATTTAATTCACTGTGACTCTCTTGTACTTCAGTCGATTGCGGGTTTTCGGTTTGCTCGGTTTGACAAAACTACATGCGGGATTAAGGATGTAAGTTAGTCACAATCAAAATGAAGAAAATAAATCGATTGATTAAACGTTCTACGTTCAAATTAATATTAATACAGTAATCATTTTATCAAGTGCCAAACATTACGTCAGCGTTAAAGACAATGGTTAAAGCATATAATAAATGTAAATAGGACTTTTCTGGTCAGGTTTTGAAAATAATGTTTTGAAATTAAAATTTTTTCTTACTTGGTTAATTGCTACAACTGAGTTTGACTTTGATTGTTTCAGATACCCCATTTTTTCTTTAGGTTCAGTTGTAAGTTTCGATCCTTTTTCTTCTACAGTATATTTTAGCCCATTGCTGATAGAAGTATTTGAATCATTTTTTAAATTCTTTTCATTTCCATTAGTAGATGCATCACCACCACCACCGCAATCTAAACTTAGCTCTTCTACTTCACTTTCATCTGAAACTTTTTTTGATTGCTGACTGAAAACTTCTTCAGAATATTGCTTTTCCATTTCTAAACATTTTTGTTCAAAGTAGGTTCGTAGGTTTTCCATTTCTTTGGCGTGTTTCTCCTCAAGCTCTGTTCGCAAGAGATTGAGATCCATACTAATTTCATGACGGTACTGTTCTTCTTTCTCTTCAATTTTTGCTAAAATTATCATATAAATTGTATTTAATATTGTACAGAATAGTATTACAGATTGTAATTGAAATTTGTAGTATATAAGTTGTTAAAAAAATTACCTCTCAAGTCATCATTTTCCCGATTTTTTTTGTCAAGATCGTTCAAAAGCAACATTTTTTCTCGTTCAAATTCTTCTAGCTGATTCCTGCACGTTTCCAATTTCATTAAAACATTGTTGTAGCTTGACTGTCTGTACATCTGGTCTTCGATATCACTTGTTGAATTAAATAATGACTGATTTAAATTTGAGTCACTAAATTTACTGTCATTAAAACCTATTGTTTGATCCAGTTTATCTTCAATCATAGCACACTGTGCATAAGCTGTGGCAAGTCCTGTCTTGAGTTGTTCACTTTCTTGTACTAATTTTTCATTTGTTGAACTAAGAGTTTCTAATTTCTTGATGTACTCTGCAGTTTCCTTATCTCGACGTTCGAGAGTTTTTCGAAGGCTCTCTATTTCAAGCTCAAAACTTTGACTTATCATTCGTTGCAAATCTTGCATATCTTGTCCTGAATCGATTATTAAAGATGGTTGTCTCTGAATATTACTATTTACCTCTGCTTGTAAACATTTACAAGTATTTTTCATATCTTTAAGTTGTTTCTCATAGTCTTCTCTCGCAATATTTGCCGATTCAAGTTCTTTTTGACCTTGCCTGACAAGATCTTCCAAATCCTGTATTTTTTTTACAAGTTCTTCTTCTAAAATAGCTTTTTCTTCTGAAAATTTAAAATTTTTTTAATTTTCATCTTAAAAATCAAATTTAATAACAGAAAATAAATTTATTAATTCTTACCTAGTTTCTGTTTTGTCATTTGGAATTCTATAGCTATCCCATCAAGAGTGTGATACATTGTTTCATCAAACTCATTCAAACTAATACCACTGACTCTGGATAAGGATTTTTCTAAACTGAAAATCTTGTTATTTAAAGTCCGTTCTTGAATTTGATTATTTTCCAATAAGTTTTGGGCAGCAGAATATCTCGCGGTTAAATCATCTAATTTGAACTATTTGAAAACAAATGGACAAATAGAATTAATTTAAAATATCACTTTCATTTTTTTACACAGTATATAATATATTACCTTAAGTGAATCATTTTCTGTTTTAAGAGTTGCAGCTTCACTTTGAGCTTGCTCAAGAGATCTTTCAATGCTCTCTTTTGAATCAAGTACAGCAGTAGCTGATAAATATTTAGTGGTCATTTCTTCCAATTGAAGTTTATGCAATTGAATCTGGTCATTCCACAGTGATTTTTCTTTTTTATAAGTTTTCATTTGTTTTTTCAATTCTGATTCAAATGTTTTACATTTGTTAACACAATCTTCATATTTAGCTTGTAGAGCTGACATTTCGTTTTGGTGCCTTATTTCAAGGGCTTTGTTTTCTTCTTTCAATTTTTGGAGTTCTGCTTCATGTTTTAATTGTAATTCCTAAAAAATAATGACAAGTATTAGTAGCATATCATTTATTAATTTTAGAGTGACATATAATCCCTTTTAAATGGTAAATTTCTGAAAAAATAGTTTTATCCTTTTACGAAAGATGAAACAGAGTATTGTGAATGTATTAATTTGGTTAAATAACATTGTTGACTATAAATTAAAGTTTTTTAATACAAAATTTTATCATTGTTTTCTTTTCAATCTTACAAGTCTTGCCATAAATATTTCCTTTGCAGCGATTAAAAAAAAATGTTCAGAAATTTATCAGAAAGCATGCATATTAATTATATTAATTGGTTTACCTTTATCTCTTTGTCATGTTTAATTTCATTGGCACTAGTTTCAGAAGCAAATTTATTGACAATTATTTGCATATCTTTCTTAATTTTATCTATTTGCTCTTCATATTTTTTCTGTAATTCTTCGACTAGAGAGTGATCAGGACTTTCTTCTTTTGAATTATCACGCATTTTTTCGTTAAGATTTTCTAACTGGTCTTTATAATTGTTCAATTCAGATTTCTGATTTTCTCTTTCATTTTCTAATTTTTTTATCTGTTGTTTTGATTGATGTAATTGAGAAGATAGTTGTAAAACTAAATCTTTTTTTTCATCATAATCATTATTTGAATCTGTAAACTACAATTTTGAAAATAGTGAGTACTCGTGAGATTTCAAATTAAAAATTATTAATTTATTCAGATAACTTACATTATTGTCATTTAAATTTCCATTGCGAGATATTCCTAGCTGTGTTAAAATGTCTATTTGAGTAATTAAGGCATCTCTAGAAGCCAAAGCCTGTTGCAAAGAAGTTGTAAGATCTTCGATCAAATTATCTCTTTGGTTTAGAGCTCGTTCAAATTCTTGAAACTGTTCAACACATAAATTTAATTTTAAAACAAATATGACATGTTTTCAAATATTTTGTAGGTTATTTATGTGAATAATTTGGTTTTGTTTTTTGTTAGTGAATAGTTTCACTTTGATAGTGTAGCTTGAGAATCATTGAGTACAAATTTTTCCAACAATTATAAAAATAGTATTTTAAAGTTTAATCATTAAATCTAAAATAATAATATTTAAACATCAATTTAAAAAGAAATGAAAAATTTTGAATTGATCATAAAAATCCAATTAAAAATGTTTAACATTGCATTATCACTAACTCACCTTTGAATGATAGGTACCAATAACATCTTTGTACTGAATACTACTATTATGACTGTGCGATGATGTTGGAGATGAAGTTTCTGCTCTGAATGTATCAATTTCAGCATGTAATGCTTCAGCAGCAGCTACTTTGTTTTGATATATTTCATTCAGTTCCGTTATTCTTCCAGCTAAACCATCTAAATCAATATCACCCTCTCCTTCACTCATACTAACACTACTATTTGTTATATCTCTTGACAAAGTACTTTCATTAATCTGCAATTTGAAAATATTTTAATGATAATTCAATCATTTAAAAAAAGTTCAGAAGTATATTACACTTACGCTAATGTTTCTACGACTTATAGATTGATTTTCTGGCTCAGCTTGAAAAGATTCATCATCTGAAGCTTGTTCTAAAGTTTTATTGTTAGATTTCCTATTTAATCGTTTGGATTTGTATGATTCCAGCTAAAAATTAATATATAAAAGATTGAATAATATTCTTATAAATTATCTTTAGTTTTTTTAATTAACATAATCAAAAATCATAATTATATTAAAATTAGGTACAAATTTTTTTGTGCTCTAAATTAAAACAATTGTTTGCTGTAAATACATGAAATTAATCTCTTGTTTCTTTACTCATGTATTATTCCTTTTGTAAAAAAATAATGTGTGTTCTTATTCATATGACAATAAATTTAAGAGGCAGTAAATAGAGCCAAAAATGTATTTTCTTCTATTTATAGCCAATAAAATTCAATAACTCCTAACCAACAATAAAAAAAAATATATATATAAATAAAGTACTTTTTTCTAAAACTTAGAACTGTAAATTGTGAATTCTCAAGAATTTGAGATGAAATATTCATTAGTAATGAATATGAAAACTGTATAAGAATATATTGTGATTCGTGTATCAAAATAGAGATTATAAATAGCATAGAAATCTGGCCCTTAGCGATCCCTAATTAGCATCATATGCAGCCTCATGTTGGGGTCTTGCTCTTACCATTTCTCTTCCAGCTTCCAAAGCAGAGTGTCTCCGACGTTTTTCTTCATCCATTTTATTTCGTTTTGCTTCGAAATTGTCTAACTCGTTATTTCATTCCTCGATCGCTAATATTGAAAGGTATGCAGTAGTTTGGTATCCGTAATGATGCATCGTTCAACAACGACGAATTAACATTGTCATGACTGAATATATCGCACTCACTGCTGGTTAATGAATCTTTCAACGAAACGACCGTTTTTCTCGACCCTATTGTATGTATCCGTGCCAGATTGACCGAGCTATGTTATGTGTGTTGTGAATAGCAGCTATGTGTATATAACATACAAATGTCGCATACGCACCGACCACAGCAACCCCACCTTCTTAAAAAAGGCGGTTAAATTGCTGCAGAACAAGTTGTAGTATTCTAGCGACTGCCGAGTGCCAAATTGCAGTTGGGGCGAGTTGCTTTTTTTTCAAAATTCTTGAATCAAAATTTTGCCGCAATTACGAGTAACAATTTCGAGTGTTGCGTACGTTAACAATGTTGATCAACTTGAGCGGCTAAGCGCGATGCTCCGTTTCGCTCAGAGGATTCTAACTGAATCACGACGGAGCTTCGCCACCAAATTGACGCTTGACGCTACGCAGGGCAGCAGCAGCCGCAGTAGGCACTAGGCAGTGTGAGCAGCGTGGACACAACACAAATATAGCGCTTGTATTTATTTCATACCATTCGCCGAGATAGAACCGCTTTTTACGCGGAATTTTATGAGAGCGAACAAGAGGGTAGAAGAGAAGGAGTCCCTTTTCATCGCATGCAGCTTAGGTAACTGCGGCGAACGCAGGGGTTCTCCAAGTGCATTTTTTATTTTCGTCGTAGATAGTAGATCGCATTCGTGCTGTCGAGATCGAGCGCTTTGTAACGTACTCATGAAATTTAAAACTCGCTGACTACTCAGACGACTCCTATCTAGATATGTCTATATTGTAGAGCTAATATAAACTATAAAGTTGCAGGTCTCGGCACGAAGGCAAAGTTAATGTGGCTCAAAAAATGCGGCACTGCAGTAATTGCATAAGCTGAACTTGAGGATTTATTTATCGAGTCATGCAATCCGAATACATATCGATCAATCAAACTTGCATGTATACGTTACTCATGTGATTAATGCTCGATCGAAAGTGTGAATTCAGTTAGTTTCGCTGTAAACTCAACAATTGCAAGATTAACAGATTATCATTATAATTTTACTATTTAACCACGTAATAAAACATCACCAAGTATTAAAAAAAAACTCCGTTTTTGAATAACTTGTGATTATTATTGACATGCGTTCGAAAATGTCAATAATTGGCGTTTCTGTCAAATCTTTTCACCGGAGAATCGAAAAACTTGAGAGTCGTAATATCTAAAAATTCCAAATTGTCATTTGCATTTCTCCTCGCACATGATTGGTCGGCAATGCCACAGCAGACGTCTACTGTTTCACTATCCTGTTGGCCTATTGGCTACAACACATGACAATTGACAACCGCTGTCGTCATACAGTTAGCAGATATCAGTATTCAAGCAATCAGCCAACTGACTGCTGAGCTGATGACTCAGGCTCATGCAAGACGCATGCGCTCCATTTAAATAAGCGCCCTCTCGTTTGCATAATCAGAACGTCAAGTGAAAATTCAAAATACGACAGTCCGTTATTAGATAGAGAGAGAAGGATCAGCTTGAGCGAGCGCGTCTTCAAAACACAACTCGTGCGGCCAATCGTGCAAGTGACCATTGCGTGTCAGTATATACAAGTGTGGAAACTCGTAGTGTTTATTGTGCATCCGATTTTAATTCGACAAGGAAACAGCGATAAATGACGGATTTTCGCGAGCGTTACAAGCGTGTCGGCTTCGGCAGGGAGAACGCCGAAGTTAATCGTGCGCTGAGAAGTCAACGACGCGACGAAGCCCGGCGAGATCGTCGTGATGAACATCTCAGCAGTTTGCGTGGTGATTTTTTCGCTGCAAATGAAAATAGCCACGAGCATGACGAAGAATTTTCAATGCAAAGCTCTTCCAAAAAAATCGAGAACCTTACAAATTCTGAAATGGATGCAGAAGCCAAAAGAAAAGCTGATGAAGGTTTGTTTTGAACTTTGACCATAATACCTTTAATCATGTAATGCATTGGTGGAGTGGTCAAATCTTTCAGTTAGGTTGATTAAAATTATGATAGATTGTAAGAAGCCATAAATGTTCAATTTTCTAATATATATTCATTATTATTTTGTCAGTAAATCTTTGTTTGAAAAAAATAGCTTTTATTGGTCAAGTAAATTTTGTTTTTAATTGAAATTAATCATTTTCAATTTATTAAGTTATTAAGTATTATGTGTTTAATTTTTAGAAAAAGGTGTTCAAAAGCGATTGCAACAATTAGAAAAGTGGAGAGAAGAAAGAAACCGTAGGAAGCAACAAGAAAAAAAGAAGGCTAAACCAGTATTTAAAGTTGGAGTGGTTCATCATAAAGTTTATTCACCCCCAACTATTAAAGATACTGAACCAATGACAGGAAAATTATGTAAATCACATAAATCAACGCTTTCTGAAGAGTCTCACCCTAAAAAAATAACAAGAGCTACTGAAAAGCGATTAGCTGTTAAGGCGATTACTAATCAACAAAAAGCAGAAAATAATCGACTTAAAAAAAAACAAGAGGTATTTCAATTATTTTATTTTACAAAGTTTTTCTTTGAATATATTATTATATTTAAAAATGATTTTTATACTTTACAGTTGAGTAAGAAAAACATAAAACAAAAGATTCCCAAAAATCCATTAATTTCAATAGACCACCAATTTAAAGCACCCAATGGTGTTACACCACTACCAGTATTTGGTCGATGTGCCTTAGAAAAAAATAAAAATAATAAATTGGATTTTGTTACAAATAGATTATCATTTTCTGATATTGAATTACCAAATTCATCATTTAATATGACTCAATCGAGTTTGACATCAAGCAATATAACTTTTGGTTTTGGGAAATCTAAGCGACGTTCAAACATGAACGAATTACCTTCAGCCAGCAATTTTTTGGTTCCTGCAAAAGATACTGCTGCTGACCATGCTGAGAATGATTCAGAATCAAAAGTTGATTTTAGTATGTTCAAAATGAAATCATTTAAAGGAAGAAGATCTTCAAGAGGTCAACCATTATTAGCAGCAAATTCAAGAAAATCAGAAATTTCTGGTTTATCAGAGATAAAAGAACACAAAACTAGAAGAAAATCAAAAGTGGAAACAACATCCATTGATTTAAATTTAACTAGAGAAAATACAGCAAATGGTTTAAATTATAAAGAAATGGAAGAAAATGATACTAGATCAAATTTGAACATTAATTCAAAACATGATACACTTGAAACCAATGAGAACTCAGAAGGAGTGCATGAAGATCAAAAAATGGAAGACATTCCATCAAGTGAAATCAAGAATTTGTCGTCATCAAAATTGAATGAAAGTGTACCTCGAAATTCTAGTTTTGTTTTGAAATTTGAAGAAAGTCCAGATAAACCTTTAAGTAAATCACCTGCAAAAAGAAAATCAATTAAATCACCTCCAAATGTTGAAATATCAGAGACATCATCGCCCAAAAAGAAATTAAAAAATAAAAGACATTCAATTGGCACAGTTTCAAATACTGAAACTTCTACACTCAATTATTCACCAAAAACAAATAATGAAACTATTATTACTCCTAAAAATATCATAATTGATAATGTTCCGAATCTTATGGATTTTACATTTTCCGATCCAGCCACTGGTTTTCGTCGGCCAACAACTATTCCTAATGAATTGCAAAATCAATCTCTGATGAAATTTTCTCCTCGGCAATCAGCACGACTTTCAAGATTAAAAAGTTCACCCTCTCAAGTTAAATCGTCTACATCTGTTGATTCACATAATGTGATTCAATCTCCAAAAGTTATGAATAAATCGACATCTTCCGAGCCAACGATCGAGCAATCACCAGAGAAGCTCAAAATGAAGGACTTGCATAATTCAAGTTTAAATATTTCTTTACCTAAAGATGAGACGCCTGATAGACCACTTGCTTTTTTTTCACCCTACATAGTGACTAGTAGAGGTAAAAGCAGCGTTCGAAAAGAAGTACAAAAAAAACGGTTCAGTCAAGGGTTACGCCAAGAAGAAATCCCTACCAAAGAGACAGTTATGCAAAATTTAAACATTTCAATTGAAGATGAAGAAAAAACAGCTCAATATTACAAATTTATTCTTGATCGTGAAATCGAACGTTTAAATGAGCGGTGTGACACTTGGAATACAATCAAGGAATCTGACGGCACACCAGAAGATATAGTCTATCAAATTCTAGCTGCTGTTGGACAAACACAACTGCTTATTAGAAAAAAGTTCGAACGTTTCCGTAGACTGGTACTTGATTGTGAAACTGGCAAAGGAGAGATGTTAGTTACTTGCAAAGATCTCCAAGGTTTTTGGGAAATGATGTATATGGAAATTAAAGATTGTGACAATCGCTTTAATCGACTTGAAGATCTCAAAACGAAAAATTGGGTTGATGAAGAACAAGAAAGATTAGAAAAAGAAAAATTCACGAAAAAAAAACCAGCACCTAAAAAAACTGTAGTTAAAAAAAAGCCCATAGCGGCTAAAAGTAACATGAGAGCTCTTATTTTAGCAGCAAGAAAAAAGAAAATGGAAAGCAATGAAAATGGAGCTGATAATATTGAAATAATGGATATTGCTACGTGAGTTTATAAAACTTCGTTAAAAAATGTCTTTAAATGAATTCCATTTTATTTACCGTCTTATTAAAATTTTAGGAAACCAGCTGTTCCAAAACGTGCTTCTCCTAAAACTGCAACCCCATCGAAAATTGCACGTCGTAGTTTATCAACCCCCGTATCGGAAAAACGTCGCTCTTTACTTCAAAAAGTTCAATTATCTCAACATCGGAAAGAAATAACAACGAGTCCTCTAATACAGATGAAAATAGCAAAATTGTGTAAAACGCCTGAAGTGCAAAGAGATGAATCTATTATTTACATAAATTCCGATCGCACTCCTGCTAAAGGTATACTCAAGAGCAATATAAATGATGGAAACAAGTCAATCAAACAAAATAAGGTAATCTTTAAAGAAGCACCTGTAGAATTTCCAGAATTTGATAAACTTTCTGATGTTGGAAATGATGATTACATGGGTAAGGTTTTTCTTTCATTTGTTTTAAATAATTGTTTAGTAACTAACTTATTATTCTCATTGAAAATTTACAGATATCGAACCAATTGAAAGAAAACTCAATTTCGAAGATGACAGCTTTAATTCATCATTTGTTGATAATGACGAAAAAGAACTTGAAAGGAAAAGCCCAACAATTTCTGAGGATACATCGAAATCATCACTTCAATCGAAAAAGTCATCAAATACTCCTGGTACGCGTAAAAGTTCGAAATTAAAAGTAATAAAATCTCAAAGTAGTCCTATGCTTTCCATGTCACCATTGAGTTTAGAAGATTCTCGGACGGAAAAAGCAGTTAAACATTCGAGTTCAAAAAAGAAACACATTTCGTTTCAATGTTTGGATAAGAACTATGATGAATCTCCGAAAAGTGGTAAACTTTCTACTCTTGGTACACCTAAACCAAAGAAAAAAATCCAGATTGAGAATGATACAATGGAAGTTGATGACAATGTACCTAATTCTCATTGTGACTCAACATTGACTGATGTAGAGGCAAACACAGTGACAGAATTTTACATGAACGAAAAAGGTATGATTTGTGAAAGGAAAGTACCAGTCAAAAGTGATACTCCAAGAACAAATAAATTAAAGAGGAGTAATTCAGAAGTAAGTGCTGTAGTTAAATTTTTTACCGAATTTCAAATGAAAAATTTTTTTTCTTCAATTTTTAGAAAGTCCAAAAAACTGCAAATAGTACGACCCCTTTAAACATCTCACGATTGCGACGAAGAACTTCTACTCTGGAAGTAAACAAAAATTCTCCATCGACTTCAGCTACACCTAACAAAACCAGGAAATCGATTGCGACTCCATCTCCACGTCGACCAAGCAAAAAAGTAAATTTGTTTATTTCTATTTTCGAAACATATTTGACCTGAATATTTTTGTTGATAGAAAATATCTGAAGAAGTGGATGCTGCTTTGGTAGATAATTCAGATTCGACACCAGAGGTGGTAAGTTCACCAAAGATTCGCAAAAATTTGAGAGTGAAGAAAAGTGTTACGGGCTTGGACGAGATGGACAAACCAACCAATGCCAGTAAATTGAGGAGAACAAAATCACTCGTAGTGAAGAGCAAGACTGATGTAGATGTTACTGAAAAACCATTAACATCGAAAATAAAACGGACCGGTTCCCTACGGGCCAAATCATCCGTTATTTTAGATGGTGTTACGAAAATATCTTCTCCCAGTACAGGCAGCCAATTTTCTAAAGTAAATGAACTATTTCATTCTTATCAATACTGTTCTTAACAGTTTAAATGAAAAATCAACTTTTCTCAACAGATAATGCAAGAAAACGTGGAACCAAATACACAAAAGCCTGAATCAACAAATAGAAGTTTAAAAATACTGAGAACTCCAATCTTGAAACGAAACAAGTCAAATGCTAAGGATGAGCTAGGAGATGGAAGTACATTTATTTCTAATTCATTGACACCAAGCAGCCAACGCAAAAGTTTAAGGGTAATTGATAAATTTCTAAATTTTTACAAGCTTTATGTACTAAATTAAAATATTTTTTCTAGACGAGAGTCAAGCAAGATGCCGAAAAATGAAAATACTAAATATTTGTTAAAACTAAACTTTTCTAATTAGAAAAGAAAATGAGCATGAAATCAACTGAAAAACTTGAGTTATTTTTTATTTGTCACAATGAAAAAAAAAAAAAAAAATTGGTGCCACAAGAATTATATTATGATATAATTTGAATCAATTGTAAGAACCCTAAAAAGTTGATGTCATGATCTTTAACAATTAGGTTGGAAATTTTAATAATTTTACAGTTTTTGATATATTGCATAATTTATGGTATAAATCGATATTTTATAAAATATATGATTAGAAGTTGTAAGAAATACTTGTTTTGAAACTATTTTTATAAGTACAATAAATTTACAATAAAAATAATTTGTTACAATTTTATTACCTACTATCTAGCCAATAAAAACGTAAACCATTATCGCGAAATTTATCAAGTTCTTTATCACAAATTCTAGTACCTGTAGCCACTGCCACTAATGGTAAACTTTTGTGTAATTGTACTCCATTAATACAATCTTTAGTCATTTGAAGTTTGTAAGCTGGATCTAATTCTAATTCTTCTTCAACGTCATATGGAATTTTCCATATTTTTAAAGCCCCATCTGTTCCCCCTGTAAATTTATAATATTTATAAAAATACGAGTAAAAAATTAATTGTATTAGAGTAAAATTATTGTATTTAATTGTAAATTACCTGAAACTATTTCATTACCACTAAATGATAAAGAAAACTGTATTCGTTGATTTGTGTCTGATTGTCTATTTTTCAAGGAATATAACACAGAACCAGGATTTCGCAAATCCCAACATAAAAATTCTCCACTACGTCTAACAGCTGAATAAAGTTTAGTTCCACATGGACTAAATTCAATCTGGGTAACTCCACTACTTGTTTTGAAAGAACAAAGAGGCCCATCTTTGTACAAACCTAAAAATAATTTTAAATATTACTTAGATACTTTCTATAGAGCATTTTAATTTTAACTTACCTATATTTTTAGAGTAAGTACCAAAACCAATGAGCCCAGCCATTGATGGATTTTCTCTTATACATGAAACCATTCCAGACATGTTAGGAAAATCTTTTTTTAAGTATATTGTACTTGTTTGTCGCCCAGGATTATTGGTATCAAATGTCCTGAGCGCATTTTTAAAGCCAGTCCAAATTTGATTACCACTATTTGTGAATTGAATGCTAATAGCAGCCTCAACTTCATCAACTCTGTGGATAAAGTAATTAGGACAAAATTACTCATGTAATATGATAAATAAAGTATAGTGAAAAATTTTGCTTACTGATTGTAAGCCCTATAAGAGGCTCTAAGATGTCCAGTAAAGGCATCCCAAAGATGTACTGGACTACCTTGGCTAGTACTTAGAAAACAACATGTAGAAGGTTCCCAAGAACTCATATGAGGAAACCAACAAAAATCATATATTGTCCCACCTTCTTTAATACTAAGACTAGATTTGAAATCTGAAATTTCAAAATTTTCTGGTAATGTACCATTATACAATTCTTTAGGCAAATCAAATAATCTAAATCTGTAGTCTTCTGATGGAACTAAAACACAGGTACCATCAGGAGCCCATTGACATCCTTTTGTGAAATTTTCATAGTTGTCAGTTGATGCAAATTCTTTGCTAGCCTTGCATATAAGTTTTGGTGTGGTCCAATCGTATGTCAAAATTTCATTCTGTTGATTTTGTGACTCAATCAGAGAGTCCTGTAAACAAAAAAGCACGTGAATTCCGCAAATTTTATGGAACGTTTGAAGAAGTTCCTTACCTGTGTATCATTTGATATTTTGTCATTATTTGTTTCATCTGCGAGGACCGTATCATTGTTTGAAAATTCCGGTATTGACGAATCGAATCTAACCTTCTCTTCATCGAGATTCACTTCTGTGGACATCAACATTTGCTTTTCATTGTCATTTAAATTAAAGTTAACATTTTCGGTCGCCTCTTCTATGTGATCTTCTTTACTAAATTTAATTTCTGTGCTAATGACTGATTGTTCTTGTAAAACAATCGACATTTGGCGGTCAAACAGTTCTTGATCGTTCATTGTTATATACTTGGCACACACATTAATTTAAACGTAATTAGATTATGAATTATTAGTAATATACAAGTCATTCAACATAAAAGCAACATGTGAATTAGGTATAATACTACATTCATATTAAAAAATTTTCTTTTACAGACAAAAATTGTAATCTACCGGCACGAGCTATTTCGCAGTTCGCTCACTTCGCACTGTTTGGGATCGAGCTGTCATTCGAGGCGAGCCGCAAGACATACGCGTGGACTCACTCTGTGAGTCTGTGACGTAGATCGTATTAGAAAGTTAGTCAGATTGGAGCATGAAACTTCTAGTTTTGTTCCGTCCAGTTTTTTTTCTCGTAGATATTAGATTAAAATTTGTTTACCATCACCAAAAGAATGATTCTTGATGAATTCTTGATGATCAAGAAATGATTAAATCTGAAAAATTAGAATTAACTAGTTATATGGGTCTCACTACTGTGTCATTAAGGGTCTAAATAATTTTTAAATAAATTAGTTTTCGATACACACCAAAATTATAAATATTAAAAATAATTATACCATAAATGCGGACTTGGAGATAACTTTTTTGTAAAAATGTCTTTTTGCACCTGTGACATGGATGATTGATACGATTATTTACAGTACCAAAATTAGTTTTCATACCACATGCAATGTGAACATGACTAATGAAGTCATTTGAGATAACTATTCTAATTTAACATTTGTGTACATTTTTCTTATAAACAAATAGGCAGCAAAGAAACTTATGGTTCCAGTTAGCAACCAAAATGTATTTGTTATCGGGCCCATACAACCGAAATATATTAACGTTGGACCTATCTCTGTAATATTCGATTCGGTATTGTGTCTGAATGTGAAAAAGCTGATCCTCCACTGACCATAAAACTTTTCCACCACCATCTGGAATCCTAGAATGAACATTTTTTAAAATGACTATGAACTCATCAAATTGTACCTTTTTATGTCCTAGATAATAACCAGAGACCCTAATTTGATGCTTTTCTTGCGAAATTCAGAAACCTCTAAAAAAGGGTAAAAGACGATTCGAAAAATTCTGAAAAAATTCAGACAAATTCTTTGAAAAATTTCAAAACTAATTCCACCGACCAGATTTTCCGGAAAACTTGTTTGAAAATTTCAAGCCGGGGAAATGAGTGAAAATTTCAAACACGTTTTCCGGGAAATCTGGTCGGTGGAATTAGCTAAAATTTTTACCAGCTATTCAGAGCAATAAAATGAATGCTCTCACAAAGCCGTTTTTCGATATTCGATTTAGAAAAAAAGATATAAATTAAACAAATTTTTCGACTCTATCGGTAAAAAATGTGGGGTACAGACTTCCTTAAAATGGTTAAATTAACGTAAATTAGGTGTTGCTAGGTCAAAAAAACATAATTTTTATTTTTGGGCCTGGCAACATGATTCAGTGGGCAATTTTACATTGGAATATGTAAAAAACTCGATTAAAAAATTTTTTTGGGCATTGCAAAGCTGGGGCCTGGACTAAGATGCTGGCCACACTTCCTATACAGTTGAGCATCTTCAGTAATGTATCACTTGATATACCTATATTACAAGCTCAAACGAGGAGCCGAAGCAGTAAGACGGTTCGTCGAGCGAACATTCATTCCTAAAGAATTTACAGCGAGGTAGGAGTAGGACGTGTTTGCTGCTGCCGTCGCCCGCAGTTCAGTGTTATTATATGTGCGATACAGTACTGCGCAGTGTGTATAGTGACTCCGAACTCGCCCGCAACTTATATCCACGATGTACGCGTCATAATAATAACAACAACACACAGTGAGAGCGAGCAGCAGCATACAACACAAGTGATTCGTGAGAGCCAGTTCTGTGTGTGACTCATTCGCAGGTTTAGGGCTTTGCGGACTTGGGCCTCTTGCTGCTGCTAACATATCGTTTTTGCGATTAAATGCAGTATGTTTTAACGGGACACCGTTGAATTCGCAATCTTTTGGGTGAGTTTTCGACGTGCCCTACTAAGTACTCGCTCAATATGCGCTGATACGATCGCGGCTATTATGCGCTTATTCATTTACGTTACACACTCCCAGTACAAAGCACTCTCGTATGTACACAGTGCACGCATTTGCTCAAACTATGTTTTGGTTCGCCATTGGGTATATTTATGCGTCAAACATGAAAATTACTCGATTGACTCCAAATATATTTCACACGGATGCGATTTAGAGTTACGAAATGAATGGGAGTTTTGATCCTTCTTTCATTGCGAAGCAGGCTTCTTCTTCCCTCCAGCATCCATGATTGAACTGAGTGCGTCTGTGTAGCCTTGGTCTTGATGGATACCAAAGTGATGTTTGTACACAGCATTCGTTACCTTCTTAGCTTCAGCTTTTAAAACTTTTTTAATTATAATAAAACAAAAAATTGTTTCTTCGAATTATAACAAAAAATTTTCCATTAAAAAAACTAAAATTGTAAATTCTATCAACTACCTGAAAATCCTTCATTATTCGAAGAATAGGGCGTTTTCAGATTGACACGAAATGGTCACTTTACTGATTTGCCTGGAGGAACAACAAACAAGGTCTCTCATTTACTTAACCCGCAGCACCTTGTTTGTTGTTCCTCCAGGCAAATCAGTAAAGTGACCATTTCGTGACAATCTGAAAACGCCCTATAGACGATTCTCAAAATTTAAATGAATTTTTTTAGCTATTTACAGTGCGATTTATTTTTGATTTCAACAATATTTACGAACGGTAATTCGACGTGTGTGTATACCAAACTCTTTGCCTTATATCAATTATGTAGTCAAATTCTTTTGAATAATTAAGAGCACTTTAAAATTGTTACAGTTTAGTGTATAAAAATATTTTAATGCTGTAACATTACCTATTTATTCCTGTATCAATCCGCGCCCTCTTTTTTCTGAATCTATCTATATGTCATATGCAACGTCTGCTTGCAATTCTTACTGCACGCGCAGGTTCATTTTCTTTAGTTGCAGTGCTTAAAATAGTACAAGCACTTATCATTTTTCCAGTATTTTGCGATGTATACTTCTCGCGATTGATATAGACATGATCTAAAGCATAGCAACGAATATAAATGTAGATTCTTTTCTTATATTTTTGGAGTGCTAGTTAGAGAATTGGGTTAGATATATATCTTTTAAAGATGTAAGGTGGATACTTAAAAAATTTCATCGTTAACTTTTTTTAGGTGAAATTAAAAAATCAATCCAGCAATCATGAGTTATCAAATGCCGCAGAATCAATCCAGACCAAGTATGAATAAAAATATATTGAATGAAACCTATAAATCTTTGCTTGAGTTAAAACATTAATTCATACTTTTAATTTACAGTCTCGCATTCAAACTACCAGCAAGGTTCATTGGACCTTCCAATGAGCTCTAGTAAGGAACAAACTCTAATGTGGCAACAAAACTCTTACATGGGCGATTCAGGCATCCACTCGGGTGCTGCAACTCAAGCCCCATCTCTTAGTGGCAAAGAAGATGATGAAATTGAGGGTGATCAACTTATGTTTGACCTTGATTCTGGTTTTACTCAAGGTTTTACTCAAGATCAAGTTGATGGTATATAAAAAAAAATATATTTCTAACTTGTTAATTCATCAACAGTCTTCAAATGACATTCTCATTTTCAGAAATGAATTCTCAACTAAGTCATACTCGCTCTCAGCGAGTTCGGGCTGCAATGTTTCCTGAAACTCTAGAAGAAGGCATTGAAATACCATCGACTCAATTTGATACTGCTCAACCAACTGCTGTTCAAAGGCTTTCTGAACCCAGTCAAATGTTGAAACATGCTGTTGTTAATTTAATCAATTATCAAGATGATGCTGATCTTGCTACTCGTGCTATCCCAGAGCTCATTAAATTGCTTAATGATGAAGATCAAGTTGTTGTTTCCCAAGCTGCTATGATGGTTCATCAACTTTCTAAAAAAGAAGCTTCGCGACATGCCATAATGAACAGTTCTCAGATGGTTGCTGCTTTGGTACGAGCTATTTCTAATAGTGAAGATTTAGAATCTACAAAAGCAGCTGTTGGTACTCTGCACAATTTGTCCCATCACAAGTAATATTTAAATCTGATTATACTTTCTCATTTTATTCAATGTGATGAAACTTAATTTATTCATAACTTTTAGACAAGGCTTGTTGGCCATTTTCAAGAGTGCTGGTATACCAGCTTTAGTAAAATTACTCAGTTCTAATATTGAATCAGTGCTGTTCTATGCTATCACTACTTTGCACAATCTTTTACTTCACCAAGATGGCTCAAAAATGGCTGTTCGTTTAGCTGGGGGCCTCCAGCGAATGGTTTTATTGCTACAACGTAACAATGTTAAATTTTTGGCAATTGTCACAGATTGTTTACAAATTCTTGCTTATGCAAATCAAGAAAGTAAACTTATTATTCTTGCTAGTCAAGGACCAGTAGAACTTGTACGTATCATGAGAACTTATGATTATGAGAAGCTATTATGGACGACTTCTAGAGTGCTTAAAGGTAATTTAATAATTCATTTTTATAAAAAAAAGAAACAAAAAAGTAATGAATCGTTTTTCATTCATAGTACTCTCGGTTTGTCCAAGCAACAAGCCGGCCATCGTCGAAGCTGGAGGTATGCAAGCTCTTGCAATGCATTTAGGCAATCCCAGTCAACGCCTTGTACAAAATTGTTTATGGACTTTGCGTAATCTTTCCGATGCCGGAACTAAAGTTGATGGTCTCGAAAATCTTCTTCAAGGTCTTGTTCAACTTCTCGCGTCTTCTGATGTCAATGTTGTTACTTGCGCGGCGGGCATTTTATCCAATCTCACCTGCAATAATCAACGCAACAAAGTAAACAATTTGTCATGAAATATATTAACCTAATACAAAACTAATTAGTACATTATGCAACAAGGCAAGAGGTTGTCTATTTTGCACGAGCTTTAAATTTGCATTAACAACTGTCGAGTGCAAAATTGATAACCGCCCCAGTTGCCTACAAAATTGTTTACTATAACGCTGGGAAAGTCGATTTTAAGATCGCCAATCGTACGCGAAAGTAGCACTCTCTGTACGCAGTGATAAAAAATGATGTAAGATTCTTTGTATCAGGTCACCGTGTGTCAAGTTGGAGGTGTAGATGCTCTTGTTCGCACGATTGTCAGTGCAGGCGATCGTGAAGAAATTACAGAACCAGCCGTATGTGCTTTGCGTCATTTAACTTCCCGTCATATCGAAGCTGAAATGGCCCAAAATTCAGTACGTCTGAATTATGGTATTCAAGTGATTGTCAAATTACTGCAGCCACCATCAAGATGGCCATTGGTTAAAGCAGTTATTGGATTGATCAGAAATTTAGCTCTTTGCCCAGCCAATCATGGTCCACTGAGGGAAGCTATTCATCATCTGGTTCGATTATTACTTCGTGCATTCCAGGATACTCAAAGAGTGAGTCATTTTCGAATTTTAAGGATAGTTTTTTATAATATAACATTAACTCAATAAACTTTTTAATTATAGCAACGGTCCTCGGTAACCAGTGGAGGTAGTGGTAGTGGCCATGGTATTTATGCAGATGGAGTACGTATGGACGAGATCGTCGAGTGTACTGTTGGTGCACTTCACATTCTTGCAAGAGAATCGCACAACAGAACTATGATTAGATCTCAAAATGTTATTCCGATTTTCGTTCAGGTAAGTTCAATAAAAATTTAAAATGTTTTTTACTCAATAAAGTATAGTCCATTGCAATGGGATCGTTTTCACTTAGCAGTAAAGCGACTTTTTTGTAATAATCTGAAAACGCTCTATATTTACATTTTTGATTGCAGCTATTATTCCACGAGATCGAAAATGTCCAACGCGTCGCCGCTGGCGTGCTTTGTGAACTGGCGGCTGACAAGGAAGGAGCTGAAATGATCGAACAAGAGGGAGCAACTGCACCTTTGACAGAATTATTGCATTCACGTAACGAGGGTGTAGCAACATATGCTGCTGCTGTACTATTCCGTATGAGCGACGATAAACCACAAGATTATAAAAAACGCTTATCCCTTGAACTAACTAATTCTCTGTCGTGTCGCGAGGATAACAACATGTGGAATAACGCCGATTTTGGGATGGGCCCTGATTTACAGGCAAGTTAAAAACAACGTAGTTCGAATTATGTGCAATCAAGTCGACCAAATTCAACTATAATATTACATGATGTTTAGCACAACTAATCACTTTTAAATTCATGCCTGTAATCGTTCACGAACTACCTATTAAAATAGTAAACTAAATTATTTATTTTTAAACCCGTTTTCAGGACATGCTGAACTGTGGTAACGATCAAACCTACGAGGGCATGTATGGGCATCAAGGACCACCAAGTATACGTAGCAATCACGGGCAATTGTACAATCCTCAGGGTAAATGAAACTTTTTTGCTTTTTTTCACAGTGATTTTTCACTGGGAAATTTATTTCCCAATAAAACTCAATAGATTCATTTATACTTCTATCACAAAGAAGTTTCGCAAAATTACTAGCTGGAATCAGCTATAATTTCTATAAGAGGATAAAATTACTTTATTATTTTAACAGTTTAACCAATGGATTAAATAATAAGTAAAAGGCTATCAGCAATATCTCGCAGAGTTACATCCTAGGAGTAAGAAAAAATTTTTATGTTCCACATTAGGAACTATAGTTTGTTTTTGCTTGCTAAATGTATGTAATGTTTGTTATTTTGGATACATTTTATGCATTTAGTTATTTTCCCATGGCATGACGAATCAACTTCATGATATCCATTACATTTTTAAAAATATTCATTTGTAACTTAAGTTTTCATGTTATTTTATTTTAATCATTTTCCAATGTTAGTACTGTTCTTAAATAGATCGAAATTGTTTCATTTTTATCCTTAGAATGAATACCGACGTCAAAGTACGAGACGAAAAGTAGGCTATCTGCGATTATTATATCGAGAAATGCTTACAAGTCATCTTGAATTAAAAATAGAGTATTGCGATATCTTACAAATTAGACCAAACATGGTTAATCATTAGATAGTTGCAAATGTTAATACAACGCCAATTACAAGTATTAAAAATAAAGCTTTATTATATGATACTAAATTATGTATCTGAAACACCTGCTTTTCGTTTCGGTTATCATTATATCATATTACATTTTTCACTTTCACAATGTGACAGTACTTTTTGATTGAAATCAAAATTGCACATTAATCCACACGAAAATTTTACAGAAATATCATAATGCACTTTGTAAATATTTGAATAAAAATTTACCGAGACAGTTACTAAAAATTACATCTCATCTGCAGGTTACGATCAGATTCCAGTAGATTCAATGCAAGGCCTAGAAATAGGAGGTACGTCGACTTATGCCACTATGGATGCAATGGATGTGACTACACCAGAGAATGATTTAAACTTTGATCATCTTGATGAACTACCTCCCCCTCCTCAAGATAATACTGCTCCCGCGCCATGGTATGACACCGACCTTTAAAAGATCAAGTTTTGATTTATTTTAGTTGTATTCCCATTTTTTGGAAATGTTTTTCAATGATACGAAAATTATTGATATCTTTAATTGAGATACACATTTTTAATTCACAAGTGTTTTTATAATGGAGATTTTTTGTTAAATGTCAATTTTACAATTGTGTTTTTAGTATATGTAAAAATATCGTGCATTCAGTTTGTTGTAAGATTTGATTTTTAAATTGTGAATTGTAAACCGACACAATTTCATGATGAACGGAAAAATTTTTTAAGCTATTTTTATATTATGTATTTTTAACTTTTTTACATATTTAATTGAAGTACCCTAAAATTTTTTCTAGCTGAAAAAAATTGTCTTGAACCGAGCTTCTTAATATTATAATACTATATTACTTAATTATGTAGAGAATAGTGATAAAATATAATGATATATCACACATATATTATAATATAAACAGTCGCATAATATTATGATTTCATGAAGTATACAATCTTAAATAGATTTCAGACGTTAAACACTCAATGAGTTGCTAAAGCACTGCTTAAATAACATTGAAATACAATTTTCTCCGTAAATTTTTTTATGCAAACACTTTTATAAAAATAAAAGAACTTTGTTAACCATTATAATGAACATTTTTTTAGAGATTTTTAATAAATGCATCTACAGAATACGGGATTATTAAAAGTGTAATACAAATTTTAAATATTTATAAATAAGTTTCTATTCATAATAATTGTTAAGAGATAAATTGAGGAAAAAGAAAGCATTCAATACATTCATAGTAATATAAAAATTATCTGATAAAAGTTTAGAAAAATGTATAACTATTATTTCATAATATAAAAAAAAATTATGGAATGATCATTAATGTACTCTTATAGGAATCATGATTACAAGAACTAAATTGAAGCAAATCAGTAAATCTGATTAAATCAGTTCATTACATAAATCGTGAAAAAGTCTGAAAGCTCTATTGTACATACAATTTGAAGCAGTTAAATTTCTTATAAAAAATATTACTTACAAATCAATTTGAATACAAATATGGTACTTATTGAAAAATGATGTAGCTATAAATGCAACTCTATATTCGCATTATGTAGATGTTCTCATAATCACTCACACCCATGTGATCAACGAATAAAAGGTTCAATATAATACATAAAATTTCCAATGTGTTTTGATTTTTATAATTTTTTTTTTTATAATATTTGAAAAAAATTTTGATACATTATTTCTAAGTGGTAAATTATAAAAACTGAAAGACACCAAAATTCAGAAGTGAGTAAAAGTTGCACTTTAGGTTGAAATTTATGCTTACGTGTCTCAAAAATGTCGTTATTCCTGTTCGTTTAGCTTATTATAGGCATGCAGAAAAAAAGTCAAAGTTTTTGGTCAAGTATTTAATAACGTTCGATAAGGATAAATTTTTACTTGAAATTTTATAAAAACCATTTTTTTTTTCATCAAATATAATTACTTAAAGTTGATTATTGATATCTTTGTTTGTCACTAATTTATATTTTGCACAGTAGCATTTAATTTGGTGACTGTAACTTCTTATGAGCTTTTAAAGTTGGTACAAACTTTGGTGATTTATTTATAACACGTTTTTATAACACCCATACTAGGATGGATTTTAAATGAAAACACGCCAAATAACCAGATAGAAGTTTATGGTAGAACCGTTATGGTATCTAGCGAGACTGCAGGAATCTAGTTGACTTTACCTGACATATTTATCCATTTAAAAAGTAGTTGAGTATTTATATAGCTCAATAACAAAGTTGCACGATTAGAACATTGATTTAATCATTTGTAATAATTCTGAGCTATTACTACTTTATGGGTGTCAGCGTTAATGAAGCGTGCAATCAAAGATTCATCAACACTCATTAAAGTTCTCTAATCAGCAGTAAAATTATGACTAGACTCACTTCGCATCGAGCAATTGGATTTTGAAATATAATTTATCGCCACTTGTGCAATTATCCAAGTTTCGTTAAAAATGCTTCGAGTCATTGACGGTCGAGAATCGCGGAGGACTCGATGATCAGCTTGCTGGGCATCGACCCTATATCTCGCAACATTTAAAACTCTTCCAGGATGAGACTTTAGCCTTGCATAGCTTGTTTCCGAACCTTGACGAGCTATTCTCTCTTTCCTCTTCCATCCATGCGTATCGTAGACCTTTCAAGGCTGCTCAAGGTCTTCTTCGCTTAAGCATCATTTTGTTTTTGCTCGGCCGTCTGAGTGCATCGAGATCGAAGTTGATAGCTCTTTATGTTGCGCAAAACACGGATCGAGCCTGATGTATCGATGCGCGTTACCTGTGCCGGCGAGATAATCGGTGAAAGTTCGTTGACCAGATGGGTAGTACTCGTGTGCGCAGCCGGATCTTTGACGATCGATTTATCAGCAAATTGATTTTTTGAAAATGAAACTCTTGATACTTTTTTCTCTTATGCTCGTGTGCTAATTACGTACTATTGTAAACTCGATTCATTACTCACTTTCATGACGCGCGCGCGCGACCGTTTCCAGGAAGTTCCTAAAAAAATTCAAATTACTCGCTGGCAATTTGAGGAATGGCAATTCAAATAAATAAACTCATATGGAAAATAATCTTTGATTTTAACGTACGTAAGTCAAAAAGCTTCTTCTAGAACGTCCACACACTCTTGATTACTTTCACTCGAGTATCATAACTCGAAATCGATAAAAATTTTCGCATCTGTGATGTACGTTATGCATCAAAAGTTAATCGGTTGATTATTCAATGAATCTAGGTAAACTCATTCAAATGATCTAGTTACATAAAAAATCTTGATTTAATAATGTGTCAATAGTCGAATAGATTTTCTCCAAATGATATAATTTTATGTTACTTTCTTGAAAAAAACACATTTTCTTTATAGACCGCAAAATAAAAAAGGCTACACGTTACTAATCAGGTTAATTTATATTTATACATGCGTATATTTAAATAAGTATTGATAATAAAGGAAAATTTTACATATCGTCTATAATTAATTATTGAATTTGTAATTGAACGATCGATGCGAAAATTTGAAACTTTTAATGAATTAAAATTCATCGAAACGCACATAAAATAATAAAAAGAGAGAGGAATTTCAAATTACGTAGAAATATGTATTCGTCTTCGTCAATAAGTGCAAAGCGTGTGTACGAAGCGGAAAATGTCAGTTTACGAAACGCACGTAAGATCCTAGGCTGCAAAAGTGAAGGCATGTGTACGCACAGTAGAATTTGAAAAATGACGCGGGTAATGTTCGGGGTGTGAGTTTGTTATTATTTTCTTTTGCATTTCGAAAACAGGTCATTTGAAACTCTAGAGAAGAGGTACAGGGAGCAGCTCAGTTAACAGTTAAAAAAATATTATCAAAATTAATAGCGAGCTCTTAACATACTTTGTTCAACGCCGTCCAAACAATCATCAGCGCGAAACTTGCGCGGCTGAAAGAAAAATAAAGGATTGTCGCAATTGGCTGGATTTCTCAATGCGCGAAGGAGCTGCTCGCATGCATAATCGCGTATATATATGTAGCGAAACGTTGCACACGGCGAATTCAAACTAGATTACAAGCGAGTTCCGAAAAACAAATAATAGAGTATTTTCCCATGGGGTTGTTGAATTTCATCGATCGGCGATCGCGTCGTTATTTTCTCTTTAACGACGCGCTCGCGCAGATAAATACAGTGCGAACAAATACATGGACTTTACGCACGCAGGTGAAAGCGCGAACGATTTTATTGCATCGACCGGCACAATGAGTTTTAAACCCTTGTAAGGATTTTTTTCGTCGAGTCGTAAAATTTCTCAGGAGGAATTCCAGGTCCCGAGCGAGTCCCCCGATCGGAGCGAGAAAAAAAAAAGAAGAAATGCAAGCTCTCGCTGTACGCAACACGTCGTCGGAAAATTAACTAATCGGCTCTTGCGTGTGCGTCGTCGCCGCCACCGCCGCTTTATTTGGTCAAATCGAGCGCGGCAAAAATGTGGCTTGTTTTTCTTCCTCGCGTGTGTACCGATCGATGTAGCGTCGTCGATCGAAGCCACTGCGCGTAGACACCTTTTGCCTCTCGTAGTTCGCTATATACTTGTGCCGCACGCGATAAGGTATAATGAAATAAATTTCAACGATTATATTGCAATTCAGATGGCAGCATTGCAATTGCGACCATTAAGTGTCCGATTATTGTGGCAGGTATTGTGAGAGAGAAGCAATTATTAATCGCATTGTTAGTTGAAGCACGGTCGACTATATCTGTATATACTTTCACTGATAGTAAAATGCAAAGCCAAGGTGCACCGAGACATTTGTTATGAATAGCTGCCTGCATATATAGTAGCGCGATCGGGGCCCGATCGCTTTTATTGTGGCGCGGCGTTCTAAATACCACTTGTCAGAATCATGGTCATGATACGAGATTAAAATAAATACGTATTTATGTATTTTGGATGTATTACAAGCGGAGCAGTTTGAGACAAAAGACTCTCTCCGCTCGCGGAAACTTCAGAAGCGTCAAAATCGTCGCCTCTCAATCAGCTGCTAATCGAATTATTATTTTGTTTCTTCGGAAGCGTTTTTACGTGGCGTAGGAGCGCGCACGAACTCGCGTAACTCCATCCGATCTCTCTTTCTGTGCTATCTCGCGCGCGCGCGTCGTCGCCACCCAAAAAATACATCGACCACAAGAGAGCAAAAAATCAGTGCACTCGTTTGCTACATGCTCAATGCTCTGTATGTGCGTGTGTTTGTATGTGAGTCGGCGTAGCCGCATGTAAGTGTGTGCGCGCGTTCGTGTATGTGTCATCGCCAAGGTGAGTAGCTCCCTTTCGTATACGTACGTATCGGCCGGTGAAAGAGAAAAGTGTGTGCGTGAGAGAGCGAGAGAGCGAGAAAGAGGCAAAGCAGGAGGAGTGGAAGCGGCTGCTGGACGAGATGCGGTACGTATATCGCCGCACGGCCAGTATCAAGGAGGGACATTCAACAGTTGGCCACTGTTCGGGCCACCTCACTTTTTTATCGCGGCAAACTCGTTGCCTCTCGATTGTACGTCGCTTTTTTTCTTCTGTATTCTCCTTCGTCGCGCAAAACGGACAAAACGTTTCCTATGCTCGTACCTTGAACGAGCTCGAGTTAAAGATAACGCGTGTGGTGCTCAAAGTGTCGAGCTACGCATCGTTCTGTGCGCGGACTCGAGAATTCGAAGCAAGTGCGAGCAATGACGTTCCGAAACATTTTCCTCCTCGTCTTGTTGACGGCTTTGGTCGGCATCGACGCGGTACCAGGCAAGCTCAATGGTAAGCTCTTCACTTCTTCTGCTCGTATATACATTCGTTCGACAAAATTTATCGTTCAACAAGTTGCGCCGAGAGGGAAAAATTATAAGCGATTCGCACTCGCGAGCGCATGGGCTAAATGTTTACTTTTGTGCACGATAGGAATCGGTATATCCTCGTGTATTTCAAACCTCATAGACCCAAGTAAACGTATCTCGTAAGCTGTAAGGATTATTGAATGCAAAATGCAGAAATGCTCCACTGAGATAAATAGTGTAATTGAACGATGAAAAATAGGGAGAAAAAACATCGAACGTTCATTTATTATTATTACTAAAAGTACATATCTGATTTAACGTTGATACGCTCGATTCATACAAATAATCACGATATATTCAAAAGTCCGAAGTCAATCGATTTCAATCAATATTCCCTTACGATATCGCGGTTCCGTTCGAGCGGAGAATATATATTATAGCCATATTAAACGTTTCCGAATTAATAGGAAAAAACGTCGATGTATTTATCGTATTCATACATAACATTCCAACGTGCGAACGCGCGTAAAAAGTTGCGATTGAATTATATTTCCATTAAAAACTGATAAAACTTTCACTGAGGACTTCAATACTTGCGATACCGTAGCCGTGCCACAATTTTCTTTTTTCCTTTTCTTCAGTCGAGCGCGCGTAACAATCATGCTGTATGCTCGATGTATGATGTAAAACTACTGCTCTCTCGACTCTTACACCAATAATATCCTTCATCGATTTTTCTTTTATTTTTTAACTGAACTTGGAACTAATATCTCTTACTTTACTGTCTAATCAAATCGATTAAAAAAAAAAAACCCTCGCATCTTTGAACTTGCACAATTGTACATGCACATTTGACAAGCGCACCGCCACCTCCACACGTCATCATCATTTCTATCTTGCCTCGTGCACCCGCAGTGACAAACCGACTACAAAACGTCAGTCAAATGTTGCGCAATGCCAAGAAACGCCAGCTCGAATCCAATTCGAATAATCTGCATCAGCAGAGGCAGACGCAGGCACAGCTGGCTACGCTGCAGCCCCAATTTCGGCCAGCAGCGGAGCAGCATCAGCAGCCGCAGTCGCAGCAGCAGCAGCAACAACGTAAGGGGCCGTTAAAATTTACCTTCGCCCAAGACGTCGTGCTGCAAAGTGTCGAAAACGAGCTCAGTTGTAAGTTTATTGCATTTTTATCGCGCGGCTATTCACACGAGATCCTATTATATTCTAATTATCCATCGCCATCAATCCTATTAACTCTGAGCACATAGTTGACAGCTTTGCACTTTAAAATAATCCATTACGGATTTCACGCGTAAATTGCACGGGCCGCTCGCATGAATGCTTATTATGCTATGTAACTAAGGCTATACATCTATCGGTGAATTTCGCGCCGTTGACTCTCTCGATTCAGTTGGATTTGATTACGACACTTAATGAGGACTATCGTTGCCCCTGGCTAAGCAAACGCTCGAAAGTGAAACGCATGAGCTCCGACGCGCAGCCATATAGACGATTCCCTTTTTGTAGCCGGTAAAAAAAATGACCCCGACGACCTTTCCAATGCTGCAAAGAAATAATCGCGTTTCCTCGCTTTGACGAGATCATGCGAAACCAATCGATACGTTCAAACGATTAAGCTCTTTTCCATAAGCAGCATTTCTTTCCATAAGCTATTTTGAAATGTTTACTCTAGCTTAAGCGCATACATTTAATATAAAAGTAAAATACAAGTATATGAAGAAAAATCGTTTGCCAATTTCGTCATTGGAATGCCAACCAAATATGCGTGCATCTCGCGGATTAGCCGCTGGCTAAGTCAAGAACATTTTCAAGCGAATTGCAAAAATTAACGAGCCTTTCATTACCGAGCTATGGAAAAGATGAATTATTTTCCACATCTTCTCGAGAAATGTGTTCGCGCCGGTCCTCGATAGACTTACTAATTAAGCACATGTTAAGGATTCGATTCGAGTCGTGTGTCCCAACCGAGAGGGCACCTACGTAATCGCTGAAAAATTCGAATTCAAGTTCACGGCCTCTGGACGCGGATCGCTCGGACGTCACGAAAAAAAGCCCCTAAGCTGCTCGGAGACCGATCCGAGAAAGGGAACTTGATTCTGACTCGCTGGACTGAATTCACACGTACGGTACTTTCTACCTGGCCGGTGATTCACTTTCTTTGCGGGTGCATTTTTTTGCCCAGTTGCGCAGGCTTATAGCGCTCGCTTACACATGTAGGTACACTGCAGTATGCGTATTATAAAAATCGTTTTGTTTTTACACACACTTATGGCGCGTTAATATGTGACAAGATCGTAGAAGTGAATGTTTATCGATTTGAATAATCGAAGGTTATCGCTCGAATCATTTAAATTCTTTAGTTTATTTTTGTATACAAGGATCATTTTTTAATGCCTATTTATACAATTTACGAATAAAGGATCCTTCGATCGTCACGCATCGTGCATATGTGTAGCATTGAGCATCGCCAAAACGATCGCTTCCTCATTCTCGAGATACCCGATCCCCGCTGGAATTTCGGAAAATACTCGTCGAATTATAAACGCTATGCAGCGATCCTACGCTCGAACTGAACTCATTTTTCTCGTAGATTATGCTTTTTAAATGATCCTTGCGAAAGGGGGTCCATGCAAGATAGAATAGTAAAACTTTTTTTTAAGCAAAGATCGATAATCATCGTGCATGAAACGAGGCTGTAAAAAATCGTTTTATCGCCATCCGAGCAGCGAGTGCACGCGTCGAACATGGGCCAAGTCGCGTTTTACGCGAGAGAAGAGCACTACATATATGCTAGGTATGTGCCGCGACGTGATGCAACACCGGCCATCGCAAAATCGCAACCTGAACTGCTACTGTTGTACGCAAGTCTGCACACACACACACACATAAGTGTATGTACTCGCATTTTTGTCTGAATGTAATTAGAAAGTCATCAGCACGCATGTGTGTTCGTTTATATGCATCGGCGAATAATGAAGTCAACGGAAAAAAGGATAGCCTCCTGCGTAATAGCAGCTGAAAAATTCGATTTCCGCTCTTTCTATTGTTTTTCGATTTCACATCGATCGATTTGTTGTCCGAGATAAGATTCAAATGAAGATAGCGACAATCGGACATGTGATGGAGGAGGTTCAAAGGAAGACTTCAAGAGTTGCCTAATCAAGTATTATACCACTGAATACTCGGTATGTATTCATAATGACCTATTCGAGTGAATAAGCATGATGAAAAAATAATAAATCAATTCGACCCGAAGAGGCATACAGACCATCGATTCAACCTGTTACTCCACATTTTCAGCGAATTTTTTAATAAACTATTTGCAGATATCTGAAAAATGCATAAAATTTTTGCAGATACCAGTACGTGTTTAATGTATTCGTCGAAAATCAAGAAACCGATTCGCTTCGACACACTTGACGTAAATGTGGAATCCCAATTTTTAATAAATCGCAAAACTTGACCTTTAACATGTAAAAGAATTTCTCGAGCTCAAATGTAAGTTTTGCTTCGAGTGAAGTTTTAGTTGTGATAAATTTCTAATAATAAATGATTGACTCGTTTAGACGAGATGTGTAAAAAAAAAAAAAAAGCAACGCCGAAAAATATTTCTCAAGCAGTTTTGAGTCATTCCAAGCACACGCGCCAAAAACAGTAGAATAATGCAATCGTGTCTCTATGTGCGCAGTACATCGTCGGATCATGATTTTGTTGAATTTTTTGTTGGCATCTTGCGCGCGCGCGAGCAGAGATCAAGTCTTATAAGGTCTTGACTGGCTCGCTTTCTCTGTCTTTCGGTATTATTATTCCATGCTCCGCGAGTGCGTAGTGTGTACTGCTACGTAGCGGTGGCGGCGTTCGATTTAACGATGTGAAATGATTGAAAGTTCGGTATCGCGCGCGACACACCGCAAACTTGTAGAAATGTAAATTAAATGAAACGATGATATCGTTGTATAAAGATATACACACGTGTTGGCCCGTATCTATACGGCAAGGAGTTACCGACAGTGACTCGAGCAAGGAAGATTTTCGAAAATTGATTGCTATATGATCGAGTAATGTTATTGTCCCGAGCACACGCACGTAATACATAACGCTGTTAAAAAAAATTAATTTTAATCCAGATTTAATGTAATTATGTAAATTCAGTCATTAAAATTAAAGTAACTGATACTGAATTTTATTTAAGGTACTTTTACACATGATAAACTTCGTTAAAACTTGATGTATCATCACTTACGGTATGAAACTGCAATCGCGAATATTATTTTTTTGGTGACACTGAACAAAAAAATTTAATAAAAAATGTACAAAAATTCCATCATAGTTAAAACCAGTTTCCAGCACTAGATGGCGATTAGTACCTTTACCTGTAAACCTGCAAGTGACAAAGCAAACGTAATTGGATAAGTAGAAGCAGTAATTAAAAATGTTTAATGTTTAACAACTTTTGATTTAAAATGTCCACCCGATAAATTGTACATATATTTATCGTCAGATCCATGTATGATATCTAAAGCAGATGATATTTTAGTACATTCTTTTGACTCACTTGAAAATTAACAAACGACTTGTGACATATATAATTCTCGATTAATCGACAAGATTTTACAAAGACTGGTGCTGATGGAAATTTTGCCGCTTGCCTTGCGATATTTCTTACACGATGGGACAGAATAAGGAATTGCTAGCAATTGAATAATAAGACGGTAGTTAAAACCAGCTCATGATAGACAGATTTTCAAGCGAAAAATTCGCTGATTTTCGTTTTGTTATTTCAAAGATGCCTCGTATAATACTTATGTATCTACTCATAACAACGTTAAAAGATCGATTAAGTTAACGTGTGACTTATCAATCGCAAAAAGGAAGAAGCGTTGCGAGGCGCCGGCAACGTTAAGAATTTCGATCGTTGGCGATAGCAAACTGGTTCTCCACTCGCCTTGAAAGCTTCATATTTTTTTCTCTAACGAAAAATTCCCATTTTTTTCCAACAACAATTGAGGCACACGTTTATTTTCGCAAATCAATCGACTAGTAAATTAACACTTTGGAAAAATTCTTTTTCCCAGATAACGTAGATTTAACATAGAAAACTTTCTTTCACCTGGAACATTTGATAACAGCATTGAAAGTGCCACAGCAAGTAAGCACTGGATTGCTTTTATTCTTCAGTCCACGTTCATGAATATTCATCGTTCCGCGGATTAAGATCTGCATGCTTGCCATGTATTTTGTTTACAATCGTTGGGATAATAAAGTTCCGAAACATTTTTTTTTAAGTAATCAAAACATAAATAAGGCAGGTCCAAGGGATGATTAATAGCCCACCTGCATACAGGCGTTGCTTTTACGCTTACCGATTCGTTAAGAGTGTCAGAAAACGAGTCACTTTGCAAAGTTTTGCCTCAAGGCTCTCTACGTATTTTATCGCCTTTTTTTCTTCCTCGATCCCAAACAAGAAAAACACATCCAATATGGGATTATTCCAGCGGAACTGATTACCAGGAGCTTTGTTTCATTTAAAGTTAGCATAATTAGACTAAAAATCGATTGGGTACAATATTCAAATAATCGATCTATCTTTTAAATTTTGTCTGCAATGTGCACTATGCACATGTCGAAACAATTAAATAATATATAATTTTCCAGCGTCAACTTGTTAAACGTATATAATTTTGCGATTAAAATGTTTAAATTCACATTGTCTACGACAAAAATAAACTAAATGATTAGTTTAGATGATTTTTTTACAGACGACTGTCCAAACTGCGCTGAAGAGAGCACGTTGTCCGGCCAAATGAGATGGACAATGCCGCTGCTCAAGCTCGGCGAAAAGAGATACTATCTGGGCATTTTCTTCAAGGTAAGAAAAAAAAACTCGATCCTCGGAGCTTGAGCTCGTAAAGGAGGCAAGAGCCGTGTTAAAAATGAATTTATTGGCTTGTCGCGCAGGCCAACTGGTACAGAGCGGCGCAGTACTGCCGCTACCACGGAATGCACTTGGCCAGCATCAACTCGCAGGAGGAGAACGACAAGCTGGAGAAGCACATCAAGGACTTTGGCCTGGGACACGAGCACTTCTGGACGTCCGGTACCGACCAGGGCGAGGAGGGCACCTTCTTCTGGATGGCCAACGGCAGACCCGTGTCCTTTGAGAATTGGAATACCGGCGAGCCCAACAACTTCCGGTAATTCGGCAATTACGTTTTTTTATTCTCTTCGCTGCAAAATTGGTCAAGAATAAGCAGAAAAGTTTATTTCCGAGAATTAGAAAGTTTTTTAGACTTGAAAATATCGTAATTTAGCAAAAATACATATCAATGCATATATTATGTATTTCACGTGCTACACAAATAAATGCGAAAGTTAATTATTATTTCAAACGATCGCGTAAAAATTCACTCTACTCGCGAGCAAGTAAAAACAATGCGTAGGCTCTGTTTGTGCGGCAGTCGCGTGGTAAAAATAAAACTATTGCCCACAAATTGCAGGTGCGGATTGCACGAGTCGAGGCGTAATTAGTCTAAGAACGCCTTTTCCCGCTCGAGTCTCTTTTTCTCAGCTGCAACTCGTTTATTTCTGTGTTTCCAGGTACGAAAACGGCGAGGAGGAGCACTGCCTCGAGCTGTGGAACCGCGACGGAAAGGGCCTCAAATGGAACGACAGCCCTTGCAGCTTCGAGACTTACTTCGTCTGCGAGATCCCTTGAGTGCGCGACTCTACTCAACTTTCGCAAAAAGTCGACCATCCAACGCTCGAGATTTTAAAAAGCAACACCAATAATTTGTTATACAAGTGGCATTCTCGATATACGCAATTGTATTGTTGAAATTTTACATTCAACCGAGTTTGTATGAGACGTAAAAGTGAATAAGTGCATAAGTGTGAGTGTGTGTGTGTGTGTGTGTGTGTGTGTGTGTGTGCAACTATGTGAGTGTGTACGTTTGTGCGTATATGTGCGTTGAAGAGCTGATATTGTAATTTGTTCGAGTGCGACGTATTATCATTTTATTCATATAACTTATACATAAACTCGTATGTAACAGAATAGGTGAAAGCCGCTTTAAATCAGGTGTAGCTTTCACATATCATCAGTGGTGGAATCAGAAGATAATTTTTTATCGTCAAAAATTATTCATCTTTGATTGTGCCTTTTCGTAATGCACATCAAATATTGCATAATTGTCCAGATTTTTTCACGCGTGCATAAAAAAAAATGTAAACTCTTAATGTACAGAATATTTACTTTTTTTATACTATTAAAAGAAAACAAATGAAGATTTATTGTATCATTAAAAACATTGAGTAATGTAATTTTTACCGTATCCTATCATCATATTGTAAAGAATCTATTTGAAAAATATTTGGATAAAGCTCGATTCGGCTTTTATCTACATCGACCGTCGATAAGATAGAATATTTTTGTGATTTATACCAACAGTTTAGCTTCATACACGCATTTACATACATGCATCATGTTTTATCTTGATTCGTTTTATTTATTATAATTCAAAGCGCTTTTATACATAATAAATGTTATTTGATACTTTTAAATTTGTTTTTTTTTTCTACTGAAGAAAAATAATAATAAAGAAAATGTTAACATACGATAATCACGGAAATTACGCTGCGTGTAACAGTACTTTTGACTAGGAAAAAAACACACAAAATGATTCTGTATCGTTCGTTGTTCTCTACACAACATTCGTCTCAACTATCCTGAGTTTACATGCAACGACAATTAATTTGTTGCCAGTCAAATGACATTACCTTCCGTATAACATTTCGCATTCAGTAGTCTTTTTGCTGTGGCATTACATGCTCGCGAGCAGTGATTTTTTCGGGCAAATAAAATTTTTCGTGCATCTGACGAGAAGACCATTTTTTAATGCAGGTAAATATTCTCGCATCAATCATTATTTTTCGCGCCAGCAGGTGTACTAAACAGTATGAAAAATTTTATTAGATCATAGGATGCAGTTATGGCCATTGGCAAACTTCGGAAGTCCATTTGGCTTACGTAACGTAAATAATTTTAATTCGAGCATGTTCGTGTAAAGTAGAAAAATAAGCTCTGAAAATTATACACATAACATCGTCGTTCAGTGCTAAAAAGCGCCTTGTAAGTGAAACTAAAAGTTTGCAAAAGTTGGCTCGATCATGAGCGCGCGTGTTTGTTTGTGATACACCAGTTGCAGCGAGATCGAGGAAAAGCATCGGGACAGCTACGATGTTGTTGATGAAGAGCACGATTGGCCGGATCGGCGATGACTTGCGTCAGAAAAAGCTCATACCGCTCAAACTCTTGTTTTTTTTCAATTCAGCCTGTAAGTCTCGTTACGTGCTTCATTAAATTTGCCTGTACAATATACAAATCTATATTCGAAATTGTCGACAGCGATGACGATTTTTTATCCGTACATGACTCTACACATGCGAGAGTTGGGAATCAACCTCGAGGAGATAGCTGTGATGAATGGATTGACCCCGCTATCGACGATCATCCTACCACCGATCGCTGGCCTGATCGCCGATCGGATCGGCAACTTCAAAGTAAGTCCCCGGCGGCCCACGCCTAGACAATTTTACCTTTTCCAATTGTCGATTATTTAGATCCTGCTGTCGAGCATTTCTGCTTTTGCTGGCGCGGCGTCGTTGCTGCTGTTGCTCGTGCCAGTTGGCCGAGTCACTATGCAGCACCCGGACAGCGTCGTTCTCAACGTCAACTGTTCGCACGAGCTGATTCTGGGCATGAATCAGGTCCAATCGTGTGACTCGAAACGCGACGTCAGGTCCAATTTTACGCTCCAGAGTTGTGGGTAATTATCGCGTCGATCTGAAATCGCGAGCGCAAATTGAATTCAACCGGTGAAATCTGCTTTGTACAGGTACTCGTGCCCGATGTACCATTACAACGACAGCGAAATTCAAGCAGCTTCCATGTCGAGCAATTACGTGCTCAGCGTTTGGGACTCGGATAATTCGACCAATTTCTCTTACGAATTCAATATCCTCGATGAGCATATGTCAAAAGTAACGAGCTAAAATTTATAATAATGATTAATTTTATTTCGTACGTCGATGCACAATAGCGCGTAATCGTGTGTATTTCACTCAGAGCGGCAAGCTGCTCGGCGACGTGCGAGAGCACAAGCAGATGAGAAACGAGGAATTTTTCAAAAGCACCATTCGAAGATTGACCAAACATACTCTTTACTTTCCTTCCGACAAATCCGAGCTTTTCGTTTTCAAGTGCAAAAATACGACCGATTGTTCATATCAGTCTCAGGTACATACGCGCAAGTATAGCGAATCAGAAGTCGCACGACTGAAACGTAAAGTTTTGAAAAAATATAATCGTGCATTTTTTCGCAGGTAGAAACTCAAGACTCGGCTCGGCTGATTCAGGAGCTTAATCTGAGATTACTCGGTGGCTCGTCTTACGACAGGAAGGAGCTTTATCAACGCTACGTGCTCAATGCGAGCTCTTCGTCGTCCGCTACCTGCGCAGCCGACCAAGAGATATTGGCCAGCGTTCAAATAAATTTAGAGGCCAATCGGTCACTGACGAGTCAAAATTGCGCTCGAACTTGCATCCTCACGGCGCCTAGGCGGGATTTTTGCAAGAATTTAGAAGTTACGATCGAATTCAATCCAAGTTTGACTTTCTGGTCGTATCTGTCGATAAAAATTATCATACGTAAGATTCGATCAATTGCTATTCAAATACGAACTATAACAGCGGCTGTAAATAGCAAAACTCGGCAGGTATCCTCGGAGGCTTGTCGTTCGCCATGTTCAAAGGGGCCGTCATGGCCATCATACGAGAGGAGAAGGCCGACTACGGCCTGCAGCGGGTCTACGGCAGCATAGGGGGTGTCATAATGGCCCCGCTCTCGGGCCTGCTCATCGACTACGCCAGTGACGGCAAAGGATACACCGATTTCCGGTATGCAGCGTATGAATTTACCGACTCTCGCGATACGCTCGTGGGTCGGTTGAGCTAATTTTGAATTTAATCGCAGGCCCGCCATCTGCCTGTACGCGGCCTGCAGAACTACCATGTCCGCGGTGAAGCTCCTGCTGAATCTGGAATTCAAAGCACCGGCCAAAAACGTCATCAAGGACGTGTCCGCAGTTTTGAAAAATCCGGAACTCGTCGTTCTACTGATCGTCTGTTTGATCAAGGGTACGCTGCAACACTTTGTCTCTCGGACAGCTCCTCTCCCATCAAATACAAATTAATATGTGTATCGATTGCGCAGGGGCGACGTTCGGTTCGATCGAGTCCTACCTGTTCTGGCTGCTGCAGGACTTGGGCGCTCCTCGCTCCCTCATGGGTATGGGCATAACCGTGGGTGGCGTCGTCGGCATCCCCTTGCTCATCATGTCCGGCCCGATAATCGACAAAATCGGCCACCCCAACGTTATCGTTATCGGCCTCATTTTCTACGCTGTTCGACTCATCGGTATGATCGCACGCGCATCTGTTGCAAAATTAAGAAAATACGTCAAAGTCCAAGTTCTTGTATTTATGCGTCTTTTTTGTCACTCGACAGGATACTCCATGATCTACAATCCATGGTACAGTCTGATTTTCGAGGTGTTTGAGTCGGTCACGGTTTCGGTGAGCTTCACAGCTGCGGTTGTGTACATCGCTCTTTTGTCAACAGCCTCGACCGAGAGCTCCGTCCAGGGCATACTTGGGGCCCTTTACTTCGGCATCGGTCGGTTCAGCAAATCACGATCTTAATTGACTCGGATGATTTATCCGAGTAATCGATTAATCCGCGTTTTTGTTTTTGTTTTACAGGCAAGAGCATAGGAAATTTTGTGGGTGGTCTGTTGATCGACGCCATTGGCATCCGTCCGACTTTTCAGATATTTGCCGCTGTCACACTTCTCACGGCTGTTTTGTATTTTCTGTACTTCTTACTCTTTCTGTCGGGCAAATTTAAGAAAGCTCGATCGAACAAAGATGTTGGCGAAACTGTAACGGAGATTCGAGCGGTCGAAAACGGCATTAAAGGATTGAAATGCGACGTCTCGAATAATCACACGAATCTCAACGATCTTAATGTGCGCGAGGATGCTAACGAGAGAAACGATGTAATTAAAATGTCAAGAATAGAAAAACGTGACTGAAAAAATGATCGATTCATCATTAATTATCTATACAACTCGAATTAATCACAAAAACTATTAATTACAGTTTGTAAAAAAATGTCATCTTCTCTCGTCCACTTGACACAGCCGTATGTCATCGAGTGTATCGATTGATTAGCTCATCGTCGAATACGCGAATCGTCATTATCGATTACTTGGTTTTCACTTTCATGGTGCCGTAACTCGGCCATTGATCGCTTGATACGGAATCAAGGCTCGTGATATTCGATGGAATTGCGATACGAGCCGAAGATTTTTGTATCGCGTATTTAGAGCGATAATAATAGATTGATTTTTTTTTTTATATTTGCGCATAGTTCGAGGCTGCAGAAGTAAATCAGCATGTTGCACCATAATGGGATCCATGGAAACAATAAAGCAGTTTTTTTTATTCGTTCTCACAGTAGCCCGAGGCAGCTGCGAGCGAACTTCAAAAAGGCAGCCAATTGTCTCGAGAGTTTCACTTTTTTACAGTAAAGACTCGTTCAATAACGCGAAATGATGAATATGAGGCCAATCGCGAGGATGCGCACCGACATTTATTGCGTCGATGGGTGTTATTTTATTAATTTACTTGGAAAAATGTCTTGAGGATAATTGCAGTCGGTTATAAGATCTCTTTGTTGCAACGTTTCAAGCGCAGTCCGTAGCTCTGCGTACGCGACACCGCGATAATCAGTGCATAATTTACAGCTGAGAATTTACAGCGTAAACAAGAATCCTCAGGCCGATCGAAGAAATTGGGACACGCGGCTAATAAAACAACAAGGATCAATTTCACGTAATCTCGGATACACGTACAATTATTTATCTTAAGCGCAGAACGAGATATGATCGATGACTCGCCAGCCATGTACGATCATTCGGAGTCGATGGGGGATAGGATCGGCCTAGGTCAATTGGCGAGCAAATAAAACGTGCCAAACCGACGCGATGATGTCATTGCTTGGCCTCGGCGAAGGTCCGATTGTGAGTTACTTCCTGGACTCGGATCGACTACCGGCCTGCGTAGGTATGTGCCGCGAAACAAAAGTTTGTAAACAATGAGCCGCGAGAGCAATTAGCGCACCTGCCCACGGTGTTACGCTCGTCGATCGGCACGGGCCTCATGAAAAATTCGTTGCGCAATTCGTGCCAACGCACCCGATTCGTGTGGCTGGGCGAATAAAGTGCGTCTCATAGGATCTTCTGAAGTAGTTCTTGCAGTACAATAATGAGATGGATAAGAAGTAGTCGTGCGTCGGGGATCGCGGCTCGTGCTCTGCACCGCCGAGCTAGCGTTGAACGAGCCTATATGCCGCTCGCGAAGCGATGCTATTCAGTCGCTAGTCCGACACCGATCGGTGCGCAATTGCATCTCTCTCATAGAGAGGCCGCCTGTCCAGTGCCGACCTCTGTGCCTATGTGTGCGTGAGTGTGCAGTGCCGCGCAAATTCGATCGTCCAAATTTCCAGTGCAGCCAGCTCGTTTAAGCTGAATCGAGTTATTAGCACGTAGGTATAATAATAGAGTCAGTTGCATCTGCGACTTTTTTTGAAGGATCGCAGCGAGGAAAATAGAAAATAGAATCGACGCGTTATACGGCCGATATGAATCGTTTACCGATACTCAGCTCGCAGGTAACGTATACTCGGCTGATTTTTCGTACAGAGCTCGAGTCGCTGCACGTCATAAGTAGAAGACGTTTAGACTAGGCGAATTATGCTCAATTCCGGTCAGTACTGCAGGCCAGTGCGACTAGTAATAGCTATACAGATAGACGTCCAAGAGCGTGTATCGTCGCTGCTGCTGCTGCTGGTCGTCGCGATCGCACACAAAGCCCGCACGGCTCGGAAGACGGCAGCTCGTCGTCTTTTCAGACGAACCGTCGCATTCACTCCCCCGATTATTCTATCACGCTGGCTGCAAACGTGCGCATTAGCGAGAGGATAACTTTGTGTTACGTGTGGCCAAGCGATGCGCAGCGCGTATAGCTCGAGCGAGCACTGCAATTTCGCTGCTCTCTTACGCGCAGAGGCACGCACAACCTGCGCACTTGACCTAATAATCATTTCTCGACTTTGTTTCCATCGCTCGCTAGTACGGATCCCCGAGCCCGGCGCAACCCAATTCGTTTTGTCGAGCTGCAGCCAGCTGCGCACACAAATAATGTCACAAGAAGCTATCGACGATAAATTCAAACGATCATTTTTTTCCCCGTCCACGAGGCTCGCTCGCAACGCGATATCGCGTTATGATACGCCAACGACTGCAGCCGAACGCGGATCGCTACAAGACATTGTGACGAAATTTTAGTCCACGTGCAGTGTCGCGCGGGCACACACACACACACAAAGTATTACGGCACGATTCGCCGAGTTTTATCTCCGCGTCTTACGTGTCGGCGTAGATACGTCGCGCTTCGTTGATTCGCTTTTCCTCCCGCGCGCGCGCGCCCGTACATTGCTGCGGACTCTGTATAGCTGCAGTCTGCGCGCGAGCCTCGACGATCGTCTATAGTTTCGCAGCAAGAGGGCAATTATCCATTAGGCCTGATTAAGCCGAGCCATCGCCGACGACGTCCTATGAGCTACATATATTGTTTGTCTACTTTGGACTAAAAAGTCGACGCGGTGCGTGCTCGTAACGTAGTATACGGTCACGGGAGGATTATTTGCTCGCGAATTGGCGCTTCGAAGTCACAAGTAGCGTAGGATGGACGAAAAATCGGCTGCGAGTACTCCGAGTCATTTAGCGACTCCTCGTCTCTCGACGCGAGAGTACACACACGATCGAAACTGCTTCGATATGGTCGCGTAATTATACAGCCGCGGCTCTCGCAGGATTGCACAATTTTTCAATCTAATGACGACCTTTCAAAGTATATATACTATATACCTACACGTGCTACACTGTAAAAAGTATTCTCTCGCGCCGCAATTACCGATTGTCTCTTTCTCAATTCTATGCATTGTACGCGTATACTCTCCCATTAATGCCGCACTTTTGAAATTATTCTTCATTACTCGGCCGTAGATGGAAAAAATATGTTACAAATCCATCCTTGCATTATGCACATGTAAAAAAGAAACTCATTTTTTATGAATCGCTTGTATACGTGAGTTTCTTTCATCGTTCCTGTTTTTTTTTTCAGTATGCAAAATGTGCATTTTTCCACGCAATACAACAGTCGATTCGATTCTGCTCTTCGTGAAAACTGGATTTTAATTTCTCATCGTAAACGTCTTGTACAGTATTTCGGAGGAGAAAAAATATTTCTCGCAAAATTATTAATACACTCGCAAAGACGGCGCACGGCGCAATCGGCGTAATATTAGCAAAAGCAGCGCGTGGATAAGCATAAGCGCACGTAAAAGCCGATGTAAGCCGATCGGCTCGTTTCTCGATTACGATCCTGCATATACATTATGCTCGGCACATGTAACAGCTAGGCATGCCGTAGCGCACCGCCAGCCGCGTGTTTAGCGTACATGCCTCGCAGAAGAAAAAATCCCGCCAATAATACTATTGTGGGGAATTTTTCGCAAACAATCGCGAGGAGAAGAGGAGATACATGCGCGTTTAATTTTCCAAGGTCAGGCGTGCGCGAATTCGTCAATTTGAAACAATTGTATAGACAGCGAGACGAGATAGGAGACGATTTTCCCGCGTTTTCTATTCGACACTTTGCTCAGTATACGAACTCAAGACCGTGGACTTATCAGTAGATTATCTTTTCGCTAAATTTTACACACATTTTTTACGCTTTTGTAGCCATGTCAATGTTAATTATCGTAGTTTTGGCCGAGCACGAGCTTTAAAAATTACAATTAACAAATTGCGTCCAGAAGTTGAGTACTTTTTTTTACAGCTCGTAAAACACACTCCTGAAATTATGCACGAAAATGAGGGAGTTGCGCAACTCGAGAGCTACACGAGTAATTGAATTTTATGGAGTAAATTAGCTCTCCGTGTAGCCGAGCAAAAGACTCGACGCTCATTGTACTGGTGAATTACGACGATCAGCTGGCGCTTAGCAAATACGAGAATGCGTGTCCAATACCGAAAGAAGCTCGGTATGCTCGATCGATCGATTTCAATGTCAAGTGTAGACTTGCCGTTAGATATCGGTCATTGGCGATGCATTAGCATGCGCTGAGCGCATCTTCTCTCTTTCACCTGCGGTTCTCCTCGTGCGTGCTCTCGTCGCGGCTGATGTGCGATGAATCAGGGTCGCGACCTTATAATCAATTTTTGTTTTCGTTATCAAGGATGCGCAGATTTTCCTTTCAGCCGATCGTACACCTCGCGCAAAATATGCAATGACCTGCATTCGAGCCAATGTTATGCGTACATCGGCGAATCGAGTCGGCGTCGTATTTTTACAACAAACGAATAGCTGCCTGGCTGCAGCGCGTAAACAATGGATTACGACGAACGATCGGCATCGCATACCGAAAGTTTCCACGCGATCGTTGCAGCGCGCCGCAGCCTACACTCGACAAAACGCCTCGAGAGCTAAAGCAAAGTGTGCATTTTAATTTTCTTGCTTCAGAATTGGGCTCCCGGTGGGGCGAGCTTTTCAGCTGCTGCAGGATGACTCGGTGCGGATAATAATTGGCCGCCGCTGATTTTCAACCGATTTCGCCGAGCAGGCACACGCGCAGTATCAACGCAGCATGACGATGCTCAAGGGTTTTTTTCGCCGGATCGGCAAGGATCTGCGCCAGAAGAAGCTCATTCCGCTCAAGCTAATATTTTTCGTCAACACTTCGAGTAAGTCGAGAGCACAATAGTAGTAGTCGGTAATGAAAAAAAAAATCGAAAAATGTCTCGGCACGCGTGACCGTTGTTGTATATTGCAGCGCTTTACATACTCTACCCGTACCTGACGCTGCATATGCGCGAGCTCGGCATAAGCGTCGAGGAGACGGCGATAATGAGCGCGATAACTCCGTTCGTGGCGATAATCATGCCGCCGGTGGCCGGTCTGGTGGCCGATCGCATTGGCAACTTCAAGGTACGCATCCGAATACATCCGATATCCCGAATCCCATACCGTACATCGATATAATCATTGGCAATGGTGCTGCGCGCAGTTGCTGCTGTCGCTGTTCTCGGCGTTCGGCGGCGCCGCGTCTCTGCTGCTGCTGCTCGTGCCCATCGGCAGGATAACGATGCAGTTCCCCGAGAGCGTCGTGCTGAGCGCCCGCTGCCAACAAGGAGCAGCAGGCGGCGGCGAGCTCGTTTACGCCATGAGTCAGAATCATCCGTGCGATTCCAAACAAGATGCCAAGCTCGTCGAGCTCGAGTTGCAAAGCTGCGGGTATAAACATTGCGCACTTGGTTACTTCGTTCGTGCATAATTCGCTCTCGTTGCCGTTCGCGAGCTCACACTTTGCGCATTTTTCCCGCTGCAGATACGCCTGTCCGATGAGCACGAGCCGGTACAATCACTCGGAAATACAAGAGGCCATCATGTCGACCAACTACAGGTTCAATGTCTGGGATCCGAACGAGTCGACCAACTCGTCCTACGACTTTGAGATTTCCGACAGCGACATGCCTCACGTAAGCCTTTCATTTGGCATCCATCGAATGGACCAAAATTCATTCGCTACTGATTATTTCACGATAGAAAATGAAAATCATCGACGATGGACGAGAGAGCCGAAAGCTGCAGAACATCGAGTTTTACCAAGTGGCCATCAGACAGCTGTCGAAAAATACCCTCTTCTTTCCGGCCAACAATCCCCGGCTGGTCGATTTTCACTGTAGCGGCGCGGACGAGGCTCGAGGGAGGATTTGCCGCTTCAAACCCGACTTATCCCCGGTGAGAAATCGCTTTCGGACCCTCTCGGGTCACGGTGCCGAGTATTTTCAAGTTGACGCGCGCTTTTGTAGAGTTCACGCTCGGAGAAGGAGAGCCGAATCTTTCCAACGTACCTGAAAGCTCTGGAGGTGTCGGGCTCCGACAAAGAGGACTCGCTACGACGCTACCGGTCAAACTCGTCCTCGAGCTGTCCGGCGAGCGACGAGAGAACGAGGGTCGAGGTCGATCTGGCCAGCAGCGGCGAGTCCATCGCTTCCGACGAGTGCACTCGCAGCTGCATCTTCACGGCGCCCCGGGCGGAGCTCTGCACGAACGCCAAGATCACCGTGGAGTACAACACGAGCCTGACGTTCTGGGCATACCTCGCGATCCGCGTGTTCATGGGCGTGATCGGGGGCACGTCGTTCGCCATGTTCGAGGGCGCCGTGATCGCCATACTGCGCGAGCAGAAGGCCGACTACGGCCTGCAGCGGATCTACGGCAGCATCGGCGGCATGATCTCGTCGCCGCTCTCGGGCCTGCTGATCGACTACGCGAGCGAGGGCAAGGGCTACACGGACTTCCGGCCGGCCTTCTACCTCTACGCGACCCTCAAGATATTCACGGCCTTCGTCAAGCTGCTCATCAATCTGGAGTTCAAGGCGCCGGCGACCAACGTCGTCAAAGACGTCATCGCCGTCCTCAAGAACGTCGAGATCGTGGCTCTGCTCGTCGCTTCCTTCGTTCTTGGTACGAAATATTTTAGGCTTTACGTTCTGTGACTCATTTGGCACTTTTGCATTGCGATGCGCAGGTACGGCTTGGGGCTTCATCGAGTCTTTCCTCTTCTGGCTGCTGCAAGATCTGGGCGCTTCGAGGTCCCTCATGGGTATAACCATCACGGTGGGCGGGATCGCCGGTATACCTTTGCTCGTACTCTCCGGGCCCATAATCGACAAAATCGGACATGCCAACGTACTCTTTATTGGATTCGTTTTCTACGCTATCAGGCTAGTAGGTGAGTATATCGCGCGGTATAAACAGAGGCCGCACAATTTCGGGACCATAGAGCAGACGCATTCATCGATTCCAACGCTCTTCTTCTTACAGGTTACTCTTTGATATACGACCCATGGCTGTGTCTTATATTCGAGGCTTTGGAGTCGGTCACCTCGTCGTTGAGTTTTACCGCAGCTGTGACATATGCTGCCAAACTGTCGACGACAACGACCGACAGCTCCATTCAGGGCTTACTCGGAGGCCTCTACTACGGAGTTGGTGCGTTAATTATTCTAACATCGTTAAACCACTTAATATTAATCATTGTGATTTGAACCTCTAGGCAAAGGTGCTGGCAGTCTAGTGGGCGGATACTTGATCAAATTCTACGGTACGCGGCCAACCTATCAGATATTTTCCGTCGTCACGCTGTTCACCGGTTTCCTCTACCTCTTCTTCAATCTCACGTATTTGGCCAAAAGACCGCAAGTCGAAGGCAACGAAATCGTCAAAAAGGAGCCGAAAGTCACGACGAAGGAGACTGCCGTGCAGAAGGATTCGACGACGCCTCACCTCAAGGAGCTGGAGAACACACCGTATCTGGTGGACGACATCGAAGCCATGAATAATGCCAAAAATCTCGATATAGTCGAAGCCGTTAATAATCAAGACGAAGACGACGAAGTAGAAGAGCAGCGACGAGAAGTGGACAACGAAATGAGACACAGAAACTTGGGCCTCGGTAAGGTTAACATGGCTTTCGAAGCCGATAACGATACAGCCAAGCACAAGAAAATAAGTGAAGTGTAGCCACTGTGACTGCGGCTCCGTAGCTGTTTTTTTTTCAATTATAATATTTGTTCACTCTCCGAAACAACTTTTTTTCCAAGCAAGTGCGTTGGTGAGCTAATTTCACAGTTATTTTTCCTCATTACCTTCGATCGTTTTACGCCCTATGATAATTGTAAATATATACTTAATTTAAAATAAATCTGTAGTACATTTAAGTGCATAATTGTAAATCGTTCCTATTGCAATCAATGTAACTGAAGCAGTTGTTGTATGAGTCGAGCGAAGGATATCATGTTCATTGTTTTTTTTTTTTTTTGCGAATTATTCGAACGCATATACGATTGTAATAATATCTTTTAATAAAATACACGTTATTTGATAAAATTTTAATCGGGGTGCAGTCAATGAGTAATTTGCACATTTCCGACGCCGGTAAGGTAGAAAGCTCGCTCGCTGCCTTTCGAGCTGGGGCTGATTATTGATCGCGGTTAATTATTATATAAGCTGCATCGTTACACGCATCGGCCAATCGAAGCGAGCAATTCGATAAAATAAAATAACCAATTATCAAGTTCTCTCGGCCGATTCTATATCGAATATTTTCGAGCACGCACAAGTGGCGTCAATCAAATAAACTTGGTCTTCGGTCAATCGGAACTTTATGGCCGAGGCACTCATCGCAAAAGCCCAATTGGGGAAAAACGTCGAGGGAGTGCGAATGAATCATGCTCTTGAGTCAGAGCTTAATATCCGCAGCTGGTAGCGAAGCATCTTTGAGGATCGATAGGGGAGAAGAGTCGCCTCCGACTTTCTCTCTCCTGCTCCGTCTCTCTCTGGCTGTTTGGCAAAGCAAGCAAACGACGGTCTCGTATATTACAGCAGCAGCTGCGGAAAGTGGAAAAAGCTCGCTCGAGTTGCCTGCGTATACATAGCTGGCGAAGTGGCAGCCCCGAAAATGCAGGCTTGCGCCAGCTTTCTCTTAGCTGTACGTGTGGAGTCTGGCTACGTAACAGCAGCAGCAGCAGCAGCAGCATAGCTGATATTATACAGATATAGGTGCTAGTGCCGCCCTCCCGGCTGGCCACCCGCCGCCAGCCGCCACCTTCGCGCGTACGTATGTAGCAGCCGCGCACAGTGGGTTGCGATTCGGCGCAGGCGTCACGCTTACGTCGTAGCTCGGCTCTTGCTTATATACGGCTACGTCGTCGACGTCGCATGTCTCCGTAGACCAGGAGAGAGACCCCCAGATCCGCAGTAATCGCACGGGGCTCGGCTCTGCACGACGAGCCTCTCGCGTCGCTGGACAGCGACGCAATAATACACGCGTATACTGTTGGCGAATCGAGCTCGCGGATCCGTCGCTGGCGTGTGTCCTCGTAGTAGCGCGTGACACTCGTCGGCTGATCGTGCGAATGTCCATCTCCCCGAGCGAATCGTAATTTAGCCTCGATTCGATAGTCGATCCGAGGTGCCGTAAGTAGTGCGAACCAGTCGGAATCGCCGCAACGAATCGCGAGAGCAAGACGCGCAATCACGACGTCGGTAGACGAGGCTAGCTGTGCTAGTAGTGCTAGCAGTAGTAGTAGTGCTGGTGCTAGTGGTGCTCGTTCAACGAGAAGAAGAAGAAGAAACAAAGAGGAGGAGGAAGAAGGAGGAGGAGAAGAAGCCGATCGGCAGCCAAAGGATCAATCAAGCGAGGTACGCCACACTGACACAGAGACGACGTACTGGACGAGCTCGCGAGCCACCTACCCTATACGCGACGTCTATCGATTCTTTATAATGCTCGTGCGAGTTTCGCTCTCTGGAGCGCTACATATATACGCGGGGGAGGCGAGTGCATGCCACATTGCACACCTATAGCTATCGCACAACTAGGTGTCCCTCGCCCCCTCCTCTTTAGTCACACTCGCACACACACACACACATACATCATTAAGAAATCGCCCTACCTAGGCCCACACCAACGCGATGATCGATAATCTAATGACAAGACTGAGCTAGAGCTGCACTTAATGCTAATTGTGGCTTTTCGCGATTATGTCATTACGAACGCGCGGCGCGCTATATTGTTTCGTCGAGCAGCAGCAGCAGCTGCGGTGGTGTCCCTTGTGCAACCCGAGCCAGACCATTATAATATTATGCACCGATAAATAAGTGCCGTTGATGCGTTTTCCTATGTGCCTCGTGCCTCGAGCCAATGACATTGCCCAACGCGAGACTCTAATCGGCCTTAGCCGAGGGAAGCCCGATCGTATAGCGCGCGCGACTACGCGATCGACGCTCATGTGCGTGGACGAAGAATGTCAAGGCAAGGGAAAAGCCGCTCGAGAAAATGGACAGATGACCAGTACTGCGCGAGCCACGGAAAATCGATCAATTTTATACGGCCGGCCTTTATGTATGCGCATCTAACACTGACTCATTCACGGTAGATTGTCTGAGAGAAGCAGAGAGAACCACTACACGTACGTATACGACGTGCACTAAAAATACGCCTTCCTCGACCTCAATCTCAATCTCTCTCTGGAGAGCTGTGAAGGGTAGCTTGTTAGGGCGCCTGCGATATCCTGCAAATAAACCATCGCGACTGCCGGATACGATTCGCCTTTTCATCCGACTTTTTACAACCAACGATACATCAACCATCCAAAAGAGCCAAAGTCTAGCCTCGAATATCGATTTTTCTCTCGGAGTTGAGCAATCGAACGCTACTCGCACTCTCTCTAGTATACAATATAAATACGACTTGCCAGAAGAAACGTGACTGCGAAAAGCTGTTGTGCGTGGCGCCGTGCACACGTGTGGCTGTACTCCCCGTCATGTAACCTTAACTCGTTATCCATGGCAATTATGACGGGTTGGCGCGCGCGATTTGCGAATCGAGCTTTCGCCCGCGACACCAGCTGTGCGGTATACGTTACACACGTACAAACACTTGCACACATTGTAATTGGATCGCTGTTGCAATAGTACACCGCCGCCTGACTATATAATTGACTCTGATCACTCGGCCATAAGATAATTATTTTTCAAGTATTTCCAAATTGCTGCGCTTACTCGTTACTGCTAATACCCCGTTCAATCGCGGCCCTCGAGCCATCGCGTCGATCGCTGCAAAAATCATTGCTCTTTGCTCGCGTTCCACTGTAGACTCCAAATACGAAAAACGAGTATCCGTGAGAATGCTCCTGTTCCACCCAAACGATTCAATTTTACTCCGGCAGATTATTAGTCGTGCGCCCCGAGTCAATCCGAGAGATTTTTAGGATAAACGAAAACAGCGACGAAGCGGAGTGATTCGGCATTTACGAGGTCGCGATGTGCATGACTCGGAGCGCAAGAGCGAGAAAGAGAGAGAGAGAGAGAGACTTGTCGTGCTCGCTCCCGTTTTTTTCTGTCGTTTTTTCGTTGTGCTAGGGCTAATATGCGTCCTCGTTCTTGTTACATTTACACGTTATAACCCGCTGTGTTTTCGATGCTCTCCGCGAAATTCCCAACTAGCTCTATGCACCCGCTGATTTACGTACATTTTTTATCGCCGCAAATACAGAAGGGATATCAAGTTGCTGTGCAATCGACTATTTATGCTAAACGTTCGGTAATTATGTATGAAACAACGCGCCTATACGACACCGACGTGCTTAGCGATATATATTAATGAAACTCGAGAAAGGGGCGCAGAGAGATGAAAAAGCTCTCTCATGAATTTTAAAATTACTATAAAAAAGGATGTGCTACGGGTGCCCGATGCAAAGTGTCGGCTCTTTTGCAGCAGACATCGAGCTGAAAATTGCCCCCGATACCCGCGCGGATTCCATGAAAAATGAAAAACCATTCAACGGCTATTCTCCGCGTCGAGTATTGATCGGAATGTTTAATGCAACACTTGTTCTTGTAAAATTGACACGCAAGCGAGCTCGTACTCGGTAATAGTCGGCTGGAATTTCGGCGAGAAATTTTAGTCACCAAGCTCGTAAAGCTGCCAAGCTGCTCTCGTTGACTTTTATGATTATTATATCGGCGTGTATACGGGCCGGGTGCGTTTATACGGAACTAGTCGCGCGCGCTCCAACACCGAGATGCGTATACGCGACGATGTCTGAATGAACGGCGTATAGAGTCAGTCGCTGCTGCTGCTGCTGCAGCTGCACGCCAGTCGAAACTGGGCCGGTAGGTAACGATCGCGCGCCCACCAAATCGTTTCTCGAGCGCGCATCACTCAGCGTCGTGTCGTCTATGTGTGCCGTGAGGCTTTCAATGTGTGTGCGTGGCCATGTGTAGGTGTGAGTAGCGCAGTAGTAGCGGTACGAGCAGCAGTAGTACCAGCAGCAGGGGGGTGACGATAGCTTATATCGATTTTTCCGATAATATGTAACGTCGAGTCTTTTGCTCTTGCAAACTGTTACCAATAATTAGATGCATGGAACGTTCGCAAACCGAAAGCACCGATAAACTCGCTTCTGACAATTTTTCATCATCTCTACGAAATAATTCCGAGAACTAGATTTTATTCAACTTTACTTTTCTTGATTTTCTGACCCGTGCTCGTTTTTCTTCCAACTATCAAATCGTATTTTGTTTTTGTACTTTTTTCACAAATATTACCGTGACAAACACTCGCGCCCAAAATTAAATCTAAATTTTCTCATTTTTTGCGCTTTTCACGCTGCACAGAACAAGTTTTCAATTTTAGTTAGTACATGGCGAGTATAAAATTGCGCACAACTTTTGCAGCCAAATAAAAAACTTGTAAATCGTATTCATTTTAAACCGTATTTTTTCCAACGAAATGCTCGGAAAGTTTTTCCTTTTACTTCTTCTCTTTTTCTGACGCTGTTTCTCTTTCTCTATGTATAATAATAAAAGTATAAAAAAGGAAGTAAAATCAATTTTTTGAAGCTCGGATAATTTATTCCGTCTGCACCATTGTAGCGCGTCATTATTATTGGAAAGCTTTTGTTCGCATTACAGACTCATCCATAAATGTATATTTTATACATCAACATTCGCAGTCACGCTCCGTTTTATCGTTTCCTCGGAAACATAACATTATTTAAAGTTATTTTAATTATTCTGACAAATAAAAATTTATAAAAATAACATCTCGTTTTATTTCAATCCTTGAGTAAATCATAATAATTGTTGTTGGACAAAAAATAATTAAAACGTGAAAATGTACTTACTGCCAAGAGGATGATAAATCAAAAGTACTACCATGTCGATGAAATTAATATCAACTAAAGCTCGAAGCTTTCGTGCGTGCCGTAATAATAAAAATGAAAAAAATGCTTAATCGATATCCTTGTCACGTAGTCACTTTAACGGCGAGAAGATACTTATATTCTCTTTCCCCTTCTTTCTTAATTTGTCCGTTGTTTTTTCCTCCTGTATGTAAAATTAATCAGATTGTTGTAGCAAGCAAACTGGCAGAAAAAAGAAAAGAAAAAAGAACAAGCGGGACGCAGTGATTCCAGCCTTGTCTATAGAATATTTTTTCCCTGCAGCTTTATTATATCCACTTGATGTCATAATACACGGATTTGTTCTTTTTATTTCTCGTCCCTCTCCAACCTTGAGCGAGCTTTTCCATCCTTTATTTCCTCGCGCGGAAAAAGCACGTACAAGCGTCGCATTTTTGCATAAAATACTTGAACGTACAAGTATCCTCGTCGTATCGATGAAGATTTTTTGTTTTCAACGTCAAAGGCACGACTCTGCGATGACGGGATTTTCCCAGAACGACTCATCTACGGGATGCCGGGCGCGCTCATCGGCCAGGAAATAGGATTTTCCGACGCGCCTCGCGATCAGCAAAAGAAGAAACCACCGTGAGCTTGGCGAGTATATTGTTGATCGATTGAATGAGTTGGATGAGAGGCGGTATACACAAAACGGATTTTCTCTGCAACGGATATTGATCGAAATAGCGTCCGTACCAAAGTCATTGATTCATCGAATTCGCCTATTCCGTACTAACAGTATGTTTATGAAAATAATACTTGATAGGAGCCCCAAGCATAGTCAAATCAAATCATAATCGATAATCATTTGCGAATCCCTGATTTTTTCCTTTTTTGACGATTTTTTTCTAAATTATATTTTATTATTATAATATGTAATTAATAAATAATTTTTTGTTAGTTTTTGATTTTTAATCTCAAATTCGCGTCTTATATAATAATCATCTTCGGATAACGTATCTACAGCATCAGCAAATTGAGAGACGGTGAATTGTCTTGAAAAGCGCTAAAGACTCCTTTACGTCACAGCTTCTACTCAGCTTTATGGCAAGGAAGAAAAGCTTTTATCTCTTTTCTGCGCCGCCGCTCGAGTTTCCGATCACCATTTTCCGTTTGTTTGTCGCTGAGTAGGCGCCGATTGTCGCTCTTCTAAATAATAATCCAAACGTTTTTCTAGCATCCCCGTCATTCCGAATTACACAATATCCATTTAAAATTACCAGAGTAAATATTTGAACAAGTTTCATTACATCTAATTTACGAACAATTTAGGTTATTTTTACTCATCAAAAGGGGATGAAAAAAGAAATTAAGCTTCCCCCAATTGGTGCAACGATCCGAATTTAAACCAACAAAAATCAAGAATGAAAATGAATTAGATCGTGCGCGTAAATATTTGATTATAAAGAGTAAACAGAATTAAACTTTTTATGGACTAACACATCAATGAAATGAAAGTGCTAAAACGTCGTAAAGATCCGTTAGCAGAAATGGGTTTCTATGCTTTACATCGCAGCTTTTTTCCGTACTTTTATTATTCGAAGGAGATGTAATCAGCAAAGCTCCAGAAAATTATGGTTATACGGGAAAAACCCCGAGTGAAATGAACTCTCGAGACTAGAGTTCTGCGATAATGGATTCGATCGTTTGTAACAAAATGGTGCTTCAAAGAAAGCTAGGAAGTTTATTAAAAGTACAATTGAATTATGTATTTTAGGCTTGCTAAATATTCTTCAAAATTTCAATGGAATATCATTTAGTCAGGGCTATTTTCATTGCATCAATGTTTTCTTCTCCTAAAAATCATTGGAATTTTTGTGAATTAGCTTTCAATTTTTTCAGCCTATTTGGTTTCATTAGTTAATATTAATAAAAATTAAATTAGATGTTAATTTTCTTTCCCATTTTCACTAAAAATAGTCTTAGAGCTGTTCAAAGATTGGCTTTCGTATTTGTGCTGACAATGTTTTCTTTACAAGTATCGAAACTCAACAGTTTAACTCAAAATTTTCCTCGAACTATTTGACTACATCAGTTTCCAATCCGTTGACTGAGGAAGCAATCTAATGCTAAGCTCTTAGTTTTTTCGAGACGAAGAAACATGGACATGAAGCTTCCCTCAAGTGTTGGCCGAGGTTACAATGCGGTTCGGTAAAAGTGAATGCTCTCCAAAAGTCTCGACCAGCCAAAGCTTGCAGGGTATGTTTGTGTGTCGAAATCGATCCGCAGGCAGCAAAACTCAACCCACTCTACATTCGTGCGTATGTATGTGCCCTTGTGTGTGAGTGAGTGCGCGCGCGAGCTAGGAGTCTCTCTCTTTATCTCCTGTCTTCTTCGAGGGCTGCTTTTATTCTCGGCTTTTTTGTCTCGACTTTCTCGGCTCAATTTTTGCAAATTATGAAAAGAGGAAGAAACGAAACTGCCACGCTTGAAAAAAGAGTTTGAAGCCTCGCTTTTCATAATTACAGAAATTGAAAAATACGATTTGCGTTCGTGTCAACTACGAGTGATACAATTGGCATAACTGAGAAGGTGTTCTATACGATGGTATACGTTACCAAAAATTATACATATAATCTCATATTAATTGAATTTGATCGTTACATTTGACCGTTTAGAACTTTATCAAAACGCAGTGTAGATTTTCGTTTTAATAATAATGCACTCGAATAGAAATAAATAAATGATTTATTTGGTATTAGTAACTGCATAATTTATAGAATATACTCCTTTGAAATTTTTCAAGAGTCAAAAAACGTTCACACTTTGCAGGCAAAAAGATGATTCTTTACATCATATTTTTCATATCAACACCTTTATAATGGTGAAATTTGCATGAAATATAATCCCGATCAGTATCAAAGCTTTCTCGAGAGGCAATTCTATGCATTGAATCTACTAATTGTACAAAATAGCTCCAAGCGTCATTCGATCGCCGATCGTCGAGTAAATTAAACGGCTGCTATGTCGGGCGGATCCTCGAAAGAAAACCAATTAAACGACATACCTGCAAGTCACTCTTTGATCAGCTAATCCACTTTGAGTGGCTTGGGATACATTCCAAAATGCACTTGTGGTTGGTGTACGCACGTATAATCGCATGCATTTGATCGATAACGTTCTGCTGCATGAGAGTGTCGAAAATCACAAGAGCCAAACGTATTGGTGAGCCAAAGAGATACGCTGTAGCAGTTGGCTCTTCAAGATATAGAAAGGATCAATTGTCTCGGGTTCTAAAAGCTAATGCAAAAGTTGTAAATAAAGTTGAACTTCCTACTACCCCTCATGGAGCAAATTCATAACAACTACTGAATCAATAAATTACGAGTTAGAACAATTATGATGCTTTGTTGAGCATGCCGTGAAAATTCAATTAATTATAAAATGTTTGACTGAATTCAATAAAATACTTTCAAAGCATCATTTATAATAAAACAACAGTTAGAAAAACTGAATTAATAAAAGATTATGGTAAGAAGCTTCGTCAAAGATAGATATTATTATTTACATAACTATATTTTTAAAAAATAAAAAAAAAATGTTAATAAAGGTATCAGTTCTCTGGCAAATTATCATTCGTACACATGAAACTTGTGCACGGGCTTTTCTGTACAAGTTTCATGTGTACGAATGATACCTTGCCAGTTCTCTTTACAAAAAGTAAATGAAAATAAAAATAAAAATCATATTACATACTATACGATGTAAATAAGAATTTCGATAAAATTCCATTAATTTTTGTTCGTATTAAAAATGAGCTGAACAAATTTTTTCGAGTTGACAAAATTGAAAAAGTATACGCACACTAAATCTCACCGGAAACAATTTACAACACGGATTTAATCAAATGAGTCTGCTTTAACTCGTTTCCTCGACCAATTTAATTGCTGGGGACATTGTTTGTTATAGGAGATTTAGTTGTCTTAATCCTTACCTGCAGTTAGTGAAAGTTTCACTAAATCAGTAAAGAAAAATAAAGCAATGCACGAATTCATACTTGAACATTTTTTGAAATAAAAATGTAATCTATGTGAAAAATACGATGTTATTTGGCTAAGAAATAAATTCCTTGAAAAAATAGGTTATCAAATGAAAATAAAAGGAAAAAAAAATGATAGAAGAAGCAATAGATAAAAATTACAGGCATTATTCGTCTTGGGTAACGATACGCATCAGATGCTTCAATAGCACATCGCGTTTCCTGCAAAACTATTGTGTGTGTATACACGTGTGTTGAGTCGCGCACATATACACAGAAAAGAGATTCACGCGATCGCAAGATTACGTCAGGACTGTGTTTATGTATACATTCGCGCGCAGCGAGCGTCTGTTATGCGTATATGTACAAAGCAGCGCATAGCAGTAGCAGCAGTCTGAAATCGATATGAAAAATTTTCTCGCCCAGTACCGGAGTCGAGAGCCGATAAGGCGCGCGGACGGCAAATTTATACTATCGGAGAGAGTCGCAGCGTGTGCGGAGCAATGAAAATCGATTGAACTTTTTTGCGCAGCCGTCCCGTGTATATAACTTTACTCGACCGGAGAAAAGGCCAAATAATGTGTGCAGCCGAGCGGAGTCGAAGCGGCAAAGTTGAATGTTAATGCTCGCCAGCGCCGAGTGCAGCTGCAGTCCCTCGTGTGTGTCTTTGTATGTGTGTGTACGCGTGTTCGAGCCTGGCGCACGATAAAAGCATTGTAATATTTCAATTAAGCGCCTTGATTCAATTTGTTAAATGACGAATTTTCCAGTGGCAAGTTGGAAATTCGAGCGCGAAAATTTCTATTTCTCGGCATTTCTATTTGCACGGACGAGCTGCGTACCCGTTGTGCTGTACCTGCACTGGATGACCCAATTCCGAGGCAACTATTCCATTGTATCTTGTTGCTTGCCGCCTGCATGCATATAATACACGTACGGGCGCTGAGCCTAGTTACACACTCGATTCGCTCCAAGCCACTCAATACGGATCCAAAATAATTGTCAGTTTATTAAGTTTAGCGAGTTGCGCTGCAGCAAAGCCCCATATTTAAGTTTGTGAAGAAATGATAACGATTACGGTGAATCCATATATAGCAAAGGCAGCCACATAACCTCGAGTAACGATTGCAGGAAACGATGCCGAGGCAAAGGATGAGGCCGCGTCGCACGCGGATGGACCGCTTGCCGTTGCACATCGGCTTGTTCCTGCTCTACGTGCTCTTCCAAATGGTCTCGCAGTCGCTGTCGAGCTCGTCGAGCCAAGTCTCGTCGGCGAGCGCCTCCTCCGCGCCCCTGGACCTCACGACCCAAGAGTCCAGCCAGAAGGAAGTCGACACCAGCTCCAGTCCGGACGACGCGACCGCTCGAAATCCTCTCGACAGGTCCACGGTGAGCAGTCACGAGCTTCGACTAATTTTCAAGCGACACTCCGGATAGCTTCCTCCAACGATGGACCTTTGTTGTTTCTGTTTCCAGTCGGCTCCGGAGTACGGTTCAACGACCCCGTTCATAGATCCACGGCCCACGTGGCGACCTCGGCGAGAGAACTGCTCGCCGCCGGCCATCGAGCAGTTTCCCAGGCCACTGATGGGCCCCAACGCGAGGAAGCACGGAGGCCTCATTATCCACGTGCTGGTGGCAGTTTACACGTTCCTGGGCCTGGCCATAGTCTGCGACGACTACTTTGTCGCCAGTCTCGATCGCATTTGCGAAGGTAAGACTTTTCTGCGATCGCTTTTTCTCTTAAAATTGGTTCTAAAATCGGATCGACGCTCGATCGTTTACATCGTAGAATTGAGATTGTCACCCGACGTGGCCGGTGCGACGTTCATGGCGGCTGGTTCATCGGCTCCGGAATTGGCAACCGTCGTCATCGGAGTCTTTTTCGCCAAGGACGACATCGGGGTAAGTAGTTAATCGAAATACAAGCTGGATGGTGTAACGCCGTTTTATGACGTATTTATATTGCTCTAGGTGAGCGGTGTGATAGGCAGCGCCGTGTTCAACATAATGTTCGTCATATCGGTCTGCGGCCTCTGCTCGACGACCGTCTCCAAGCTCAACTGGTGGCCGTTATGTCGCGACTGCTTTTTCTACTTCATATCCATTCTCGTGATGCTCTGTACCATTGCTAACGAATCCATCTCGTGGTGAGTTATTATTTCTTGCAGCCCGTTACAATTTACACAGGCAGCAAATTGAATGCTAATTTTCGCCTCGTCGTCAGGGGTGAGGCGCTCTTCATGCTGATAATGTACGCCGTGTACTGCGTCGTTTTGGCCTTCAATGCGCCTTTGGAACGATGGGCAAAGTCCTACAATATTCCCTGGTTACCAAAAGACGAGGAGCAGCCAGCCGAACAAAGTGCCCTGGTGACTTACAAAAATTTGCAAGAGGACCGCCAAGGCTACACGGATCCGAACGCGCCGGTAGATCAACAACAGCAACAACAGCAGCCACCAGTAGACCGTACGTATACTCGCCCATCTATCTTCCAAAGAGACATCTTGCCATTTTTAATATACCGCCTTTTCAATGTCCAGCTTATGCAACTGGGGGAGGATACAACAGTTGGCAAGATTCGAATGTCTCGGGCTCGTGGGATCCCAACGATGCCTGGAACCAAGGAGGAGGTGGAGGCGCCGCTGGCAACCAAAGCCAATCCGACAATTGGAATCCAACGGATTCTTGGGGTCAACCCCAGCAGCAGCAGTACGGCGATCAATCGCAGCAACCAGCACAAATGTCTCCGGAGCAGCAACAACAAGCCCAACAGCCAGTGGCACAAGCTCCGGCACCCAAGCAACCGGCCTATTACAAAGCCAAGGAGCCCGATCCCAACGAGGTATCGCCTTTGGTCAAGCCTACCGACGGCGGCACTTGGGGCCTCTTTACCTGGGGCCTCGTCTACCCCATTCACTACATGTGTCGCTTGACCATGCCAGACTGCAGACAAGGAAAATACAGAAACTGGTATCCATTTACGTTCTGCATCTCCATGATTTGGATCAGTTTCTACAGTTACTTCATGGTCTGGATGATCACGATCATCGGTGAGTTTGAAAATTCACACTTTTATTCGCGATAGATGATCATCGCCCGAATGACGATTTACAGGAAGTACTCTCGGCATTCCGGACACGGTAATGGGACTGACTTTCGTCGCTGCTGGTGTCAGCGTGCCCGACGCCTTGTCTTCGTTGGCGGTTATCAAGGAGGGATTGGGTGACATGGCTGTGAGCAATGCAGTTGGAAGCAACGTCTTCGATATCCTCGTCTGCCTTGGTCTTCCCTGGTTCATCCAAACTGCCATGATCCAACCTGGATCACACGTCAACGTTACCAGTAGAGGTAAGTTATATATAAGTATCATTCGAGCTCTATACCACAGATCGACAGTTTCGTTCAATTGTTTCGTCGATTATTCTAGGTTTGACGTACTCGACTATTTCTCTGCTATCTACGGTGATATTTTTGGTAGTTGCGACGCATTTCAACGGTTGGAAACTCGACAGACAGTATGGAATAGTACTGATGATTTGGTACCTGATATTTATAGTCTTTGCTTCGTTGTACGAGCTCAACATTTTCGGAGAAATGAACCCACCGGCATGCTTCAGTGAATTTTAAATTGTTCAACTTAGTGAATTGAAAAGTGCGACAGAAATGAGAAAAAAGATCAACATTTATTGCTCTTTGCTTTTTCACAACGAAATGATTGATTGGTCGTTAATGAAAAGATTAACGTGCATCCGAAATATCTCTGAATCGTAATTTATCAGTGATGCTTCCAGCGAAAAACGAAACGCAATTGTTGTCAAGATTAGCAATTGAGAAATATAATGGAAAAAAATCGTCTGGGACCACAAAGTGAAAGAAGGACCTAGAAAGATAAGACGTTTATTAAATGAAACACTGTGTAGCATATGTTACTAGAAAATTGTTATAGATTTATTAGTAATATTCATCATCAGTATTATGGAGTACTTTTTTAGTGAGTGCGTAGTTCATTCATTGAAAGTATCAAAGACAAGGCTGAGCCTCCATGTTGTAATTAACCAAAGAATATACGAAACACTGGATGATTTCGTTTTAAGCTAACGAAACTTATTATTTTGTATTCAGTTGATTGAGCCTCGTGACCTTATCGTATAGATCATGTCAAAGTGTTGTAAAGTACAAATCAAGTGTAAATTTCCCTTTCTTTTGTTTTTTAAAGAATTTTTCCCACTTTAATTGAATTATTTGTTTGAAATTTACCTTTAATGAAAGTAATGTATTGAGTTTTTGCAAAAATGTACGAAAACTTACGATAGTAAGTTATATAAGTTAAAAAATATCCTGAAATTCCATGCGTTTGTATATTTATTGATATTCATTAATTTGTAGCTGAAAAAATGAGGTGCAATAGAGCCTTCATACATAATATTTCATAAAATTGAAAAAACAGTGAGTGTCGCTAAACTTGTCGAATTTAAAACCAATTTTCAAAAATTATGTAAATTCTACATAATCATTCGAGTTGTTATGTATTCCATTTGATACCGTGTATTTATCAAATTTGAAAATTTTATGATGTTTCAATTATTCATTATATATTAAAATAAATTAGAAAAATTTATGATTCTACGAATCGCGCAGTGTTAATGTTCATCAAATTTATAAAAAAAATAAATATCAAAGTCACAACTAAATTATCCTACATTAAGTAAATTCATTTTATGAATATTGTTGGTTTTTTAATAATCATGCAATTAAAAAATCATAACGTATCATATAAAGGAAATATAAAAAAATACAAAAAAGAAAAAAATGATTGTTCAATTAAAATTTGTATGATAAAAAATGTAGAATCATTTTATATAACGCACGAATGTTGCTTGCACGTAGCAATCGTTGACTAGCAAAGTGACAAAAAAATTAAGAAAAAATATATGAGTACCGAGCATGTATTGCAAAAATTTACGAAGGAGTATGCAATTTTGACTTAATACTCGCAATTCGTCCCCAATGCTTTTAAATATTTACGCACGAATATTATTATAGATATATATTTATGAGGATAAGACTTGGATGAACTTAAAAATAACAAATAAAAGTTTAGTATTTTTACAATATTTACTGCGTCAAAAATCTTGTCTGTTTTTTAAGATGTACATCCTTTGTTACGATGAGCAGTCAAGCAAAACCGCGAAGCATGTGTATAAAAGCCGAAAAAGATGGCTAAGTAATAATCTTTGAGATTTAAATGCAGAGATAAATGTAAAAATAATAAACTTTTTTCTGGACATATATCAGACAAAATGCAGGGAAAGTATATAAAATGTGACCGAGTTGATATAGAAGATTGATTCCTAGCAACAAAACACACTCTTACAAATGACAGTGTGCATAATTATCAACGGTAGCTGGTTTATTAGATGTCATAGCGGTATTGTAACTTACATTATTTACGTAAATAGCAGAGATTAGTCAAAATTACCTATAAATGTTCATATTATTAGATAGCCGAACGAAATTTTATATACAAGTTGAACTATAAAAAATTATTCTGTTTTTATTAAACACTTATTGACGCTACGTGCAGAAATCAGAATTTTTAAGAAAAAAAGTTTTATCAAACCATTAAACGATATTTCATAAAAAAAATTTGCATATCTCAAGTCCTGTTATCTATAAATACTTATAAATATATATTATGTTCAAATCTTTTTCAATCTGAGCAGTTGCGAATGACGATACTGATTTAAAAAAAAAATAAAAAAAATATCAAAGCAAGTAACCGGAAACTCATAAGAAATTCAGAGGCAATAAAATCCTTTAATATATTTGATTGAAATATAGGTATGGTTTCGAATAGTATACGAATGGAAAGACAATAAAATGAAGCAGCCTTATCCGATGAAAGTATATCTACAAAATCTTTGCGCGTTCCTTGTGTTTCGAAGAATATGATGAGATGTACATTGAACATTTTTTTTCGCTAATTTTCAAGCATATAGAGGATGAAATTAATTATTTTCAGAAATGCTTTTACAGATATAAAGAAAGTACCAATAAATTAAACGTTTATACTTCCTTTATTGGCTCAATGAATTGAACTTTACTTACGTTCATTTGCAAGTGCTACAAAACCGTACCAGACATAAACACCGTATTTCAATAGATTTTTGGAAATTGCATCGAATTAATTTTTTTATAATTTTAAATTTCACGGATTATGCCGAGCTAAAGTCAATATCACACGCTACTTGTATTATATGAAAAATGAAAGTTTCGAAGCAAGATGGATCGAAATAATTGAGTTATCATGACGTTGATCGTTTTTACTCGAATAAACAAAGAAAAAACCATGTCAACTTTTCAACGAAAAAAAAAGATAGTACTTTTTTATACTATACGTTAAGCTACTTTACGCATTATTAATTTATTGTTAGTGCATAATGTTCTTTCATTATACAATTGATTTATATTTTATATATATCGAGAGACTTTGAAGTCGTGTGTGGATGGATCTTCTTTCGACGGCAGTGTCGAATACACGAGTTATTCAAGTGACGTTCGATCGTCAAATTACTTCAACTTTATATCCATTTATCTTGATTATAGCATAAAATATTTTGCATGATCTATATGTGTATCATAGGAATAACTATTTAAACTGTACTTTAAACGGGGACTTTAAATGAATCACGAATAGATGTATTAAATAATTATATAGAAATGTGTTCATTTGAGGATTTTACAACGTAATCATTTTCTGTGATAAAATTTCAGTTTTTAGTTATTTAAATTAAATTTGCACATATAATATATGATTATTAACGGAAACAAAAATTATTTGTCGATCGAGCGAATCAGATACAATATAATGCAAAAAATAACATTATTATCAAAAGAAGAGGAAATGGATCGTACACCAAAATAGCGTTGATTCCTGCCTACATAAAGAAAGTCACGGATGATAATCCAAATAGTAAAATGAAGCGAAATAAATTACCAGTCATTAATTAAATTCAAATGCCGGGTTCGAAAGGGAAGCTCGAAGTTATGATGGATAAAGTCTAATACGAAATTTCCTTGATAAACGTCGCTGCTAACTTTCCATTAAAACAGAAATTATTGTTTAAGATAAACAATTAGGCGAAGAATGTGTATATGACGAGTATTTACGAAAACAATATTATATTTATTAAAATATTAATGAGCTGAAGCGCAGTGACGTCCGAAAATAATATATGTATTACTATATATATTGTCATATGTATTTACAATGTCTCTGCCATACATTTCAGTTACCGTTAAACCAAATAATCGCGATGTATTTGAACATCAACCTGAAAGAATAATGATAAAATCAACGAAAATAAATCTTGTATGTCTTCGGATACTTGTATTGTAATAAAATAACGCATGCAAAATATGCATTGTATAAAAATTGTAACGCTTTGCGCAATCATGAATACGTTGATAAACATGATAAAAATTCTATCCACGAATTCAATGTACTAATTAAATGTTATACGCTGAATAATCTATTGTCAAGTGACTTTGTTATCTTCCATTTAATATTTCTCTTTTTCCATTTTTGTTTAAAAAGAGAGAAAAATTAAGAATAGCTGAAAGTTTTGCTCGGTGCGAACGAAATGTTATAAAGTCAGTCTACATGTAAAATAAAAGTTTAAATATATAGCTATATGTTAAATTCAATTATATTACATCAATCATAAATTACGAGAAAAAACATGGGTCAAAATGAACTTCGATCAATTTGAATGTGCCCTTATAGAAGCGTTGGTTGTAGACTTCATGAAGTTGAAAAAGTCAATATTAGAAATTTTTTCATTTCTAATGCTGTATGGTCAATAAATGATTTTTATTTCCTTACAGAAAACATGTTGTGGGTTAATTGTTGATTCGCACTGATGACCTCACCTTCTTTGCGATCAAACTCATGTAATAATACGATGCAAATAAATTAGGTATATTGTACAATTTTAATTGTATTAATTCCCAACTAGTCAATTCAAACTGTAATTTATTGAAAAATATTGTTTCCATAGCCACAAATATTTTGTACGAATATTTATTGAAAATTATGTATATTTTCCGTCGAATCAACAAGGACTAATTCTTTCGAATTTTGCATTCCACGAGTAAATATTTTTAATTTACATCAAATTTTTGTGGTTCCTATAAAATGTTATCTTAGATTAATTTTTAAATATGACTATACTGTAAAAAACAGAAGTTTACGGCAAACGTTGAATATTAACGAAGAATCGTAATTCTATTTTTTACATATTATGTTGAAACGTAATATTTCGATGCAGTTAGTAAAACGTCGAAATTTGGGCCTATACTATTCTATAAAAAGTATTTTTACCGCAACCCTTTCAAGTTGAGGGTAATGTACATCAGCTCTATTCGTGGAGTGTAATTAATTATGGTACATTGAAAAAACTTAATATATATAAATTAAGACTACATTGATTTGTTATATATTAAAAATGAACACGATCAAACGAAAATGTTTTTTGTCCTAAGGCGTCAATATTCATGTAGTGAGTAGATCTGAAAAATAAGCAGATACAATTCATTGTCATGATACGCTTATGATAAGATTTATCATGATAAAGAAAAATATATATTGTACAGAAAAAGACATAAGCAAATTATATTAATATAAATATACACGAAGAAAATGAAAAATCGTTAGTTATGTACAACTCTAATAGAGCATATTCATATAAACATGTAATACATATTATATTGCATATTATTCGGAGTTTCGAAATAAGATAAGTCTAATAATTTGAGTATGCATCAAGATATTCTTACGCTTATATGGAAAAATACATATATATAAAAAAATATATATATATAACTATAAATTAGTTTGTAAAATTATTGTTGATTTCTAAAAACTGATCAACGTTTATTCGTCGATAACGGTGAAAAATAATGAAAAACGTCACATGGATGATCCGATAATCAAAAATCAAGATTTCCTTCTATTATATATAAATAATGGAGATACAACAGTTTGGTTACACAGAAAACCCATGTGACGCGTTTCGTAATTATTATAAAATATAAAAATCAAATAGTATATATCGTCGACTAAAAAAAGCTAAGTGATTGTTAAGTACATTACTATTTGCAAAAGGTACTATTAAAAGAGAATATTGCAATGACAGGAACAAGAAATCGAAAAACAGAAGCAGCGAATTGATATTCTGTACCACGATGTGTATCCAAGTCGTTTGAAACAAATAAAAAGTTGATGCAGAAAAAGTAATTTCTGTTGTTGAATCTTTTAATTTTTTCCCCTCTAACGAACAAATAATAACCAGTAAATGGGTAAAAAAAAGCACAAATGCTGCAAAAGTCGTTGCTGCTGTACGGAAGTTAAAGAACTAACGGGTTTGTACGAGGACCTGCATCGGGCGCGATGTCGAGCTAAGCAGGTTAGAAAATCGACGGAAATGCCTCTTTTTGAATTTGAGCTGAACGAGTGCGAGCGCAAGTGGCTCGAAACCAATGGAATCCCTATAATAAAACAAAAAATTGGCCAACAAAGGCATACGTTGAAAGGGCTCATGGAGGCTCTGAAAGGCTTGAACGAAAGACTCGCTAAGAAAGAGGAGCAGTTTTGCGCGATAGATCATCAGGTACATGATTTTCAATGGTTCGAATTTTGATTATTCCAATTATAATATCTTTCATAACACTTTTGAAAGATTGTAGAACTGCAGTGTTTGCTTATGGATGTTCAAAACAATATCAATGAAAAAGTTTGCCGGTTTAGAGCTCAACAAGAAATCAATCAAAAACAGTTGGCTAGCGAGCAAGCAGTTTGGCGGCAGAAGGTCAAGAATGAATTGTGCGAGCAGCAAAACCTCAAGGCATGCTTATTAATTAAAAATTTTTTTTTTTAATAATCATTCTACTCAAATTTTGCAGGATAAGATAAAAGCTTTGAAGTGTGCGATGGATAAAGAGTGTTCATCGAGAAAAGCTTGCGAGGATAATAGATTGAAATTACGGTTGGATGACACGAAGCTTATGTTGGAAGCGGTTAAATGCATTGAAAAATGTTTGACAGAATGTAGAAGTATGTGTTCTTGAATTAAGAAATTCAGAAAAGTTACGTGCATATCATATTCATTTAACAAAAGTAAAGAATCAATCTACTAAAACAAAAAAGTTTTGGAAAAATACATACACTTGCTCATTGAAATACTAAAAAGTATTTTATTGTAGGTCAATTATTCTGAAACTTTTTGACTGATTATATATTATGTAATTTTCGTTGAATTAACGTGCTGTTCGATGCTGTTATATTATAAATAAAATGAAATTAGGTTGCTCTTCTAACAACATTAAATGCAGAATACGATAATTTCAAAACCTACAACATAAACATTAACTTTGTATTTAGTTTTATAATGGTAAAGTTTAGAGCTTGCCTTCAAGAAGGTTTGCAAAGAAAGATCCATAATAGAATTTCTCGACATTACGATCGGTCTGACAGTTCTAGCAGCAATCAATATTAACCCTTTGCGAGATCTCAAATTTAACTTGGTCCAATTTATAAGAAAGATAGAATTTCGAAACTTTTCATGCTGCAATTTTTGAGCTATTTTACCAATCTTTCGTTATTATTTATAACTTTTAAATTTAAAAATGTATACGTTTATTGTTATTTCGTTTCCTGCCCAACAGTAAATCAGAAACTCCACCAGCATACACATTAGGTGTAGAAGTACCGAAAGGCAATGAATGCTTAAGGTTTGAAAAGTCGTAAGAAGATAAATGTTGATCGAAACAACGGAATAACTCGTGAAGAACTGACCATTAATAGGAACATTAAAAGTTCGTTGAATAAGATCCACCAAGCTGCAATAAGCAACAAAGATTATTCAATTTTTTAATAACTATTTTTTTTTCTACTTACTCATACAAACGTAGATGTTGTTTGATTACTTTTTGAAACAATTCTGTTTCAAGTACATCACTTTTGTGATCGGTTGACAGCGCATGACGATTATCAATTTTTTGAGGAATGCATTGTAATTTATGACTCAGTATTACCATTTCTTCACACAGAAACATAAAAAAAACTAATATCAGACAATCGTTTGCCAAGGCTACGCAGGCGACCAATGAAATTGCAAAAGCTTCCAACGCATAAATTCTCCAAAATATTTTGTCTGGCAAATAATCTCCGGGTATCCAGATTGGAAATGGCATAGCTCGACGATTCGGTGCTTGAAAAAATGGTGTAGCCAACCAGGCAAGCAATGTGAAACCTACAAGTGTGTAAATCAAAAGTATCAAGAATCTAAAAAAAAAACATTGCATGATTGTGAATGATATTCGCTTTCATGAAAGTTGCTGAATCATTATAAAACCTTATAAAGCTTTTGTGCTCGTCTCGAATTCCCCTTTCAACAGCATCATCGCGTGATTCGTTTCTGAATGAGTGGAGCGCTCTCATGAGCTTTTCTAATTGGTCACGTTTACGAAAAAAGTTGTAGGATTTCAGTACGATATTAAAAACGGTCAAAATAAGAAGCATATTTTCGATTGCTTCATCGAAATTTAACCCTTTGAAAAGTAATCGACTAGTCATTCCAATTAAAAGGAAATAGGGCATTGGCGCGGCGATAAAGCTGTACACTGGATGAATTTTAAAGAGGACTGGGTGCGATTTTAAATTGTTACGCCAAATTCCAGCAAGCGACAAAGTGTAAAATATTAGATCGTATTGTTCCATGATGCCAAATGTTTCTTTTTGCAATGAATACTTATGATATTAAGCCTCTTTGGTCAAAAACAGTATCGCTCATAATGATATGAATATTTAATTTAAGTCTCTATTTAGTGCATAGACGCTCGAGCCTATTTTATTCATGAATACTCTTATTACATTGCAACGGTAAGTTATAGCAATTATACGGCCTGCATATTGATTTACAGTTAAGAATACATTATAATAAGGCACAAAAAATTAAAATTCCAATCACTTGGTTTAATTTATAAAATTTTATTCAATTTTCATCTTGAATAATTGTATTAAAAATAATAATACTGCACTTTATGTACATACATTATCGTATAATTCATCAGTCGTCCGAAGCATTTAAAAGACTTTCAATACCTATACTCATTCTATTTAATACGTTGGTATCGATAGACATTAAAGACTCATTCGCTTTATTCGCAAAATTTTTATCATTTCCAATCCTTTTATCCAAAGGTACGTAAGATTTGTTAAAAGCATCAAATTCGTCGGTTACTTCATGCTCATCAAGTATTATGTTTGAAGATTTTCTGTTTCTAGGCTTTTTCACACCCAACTCATTAGCCAAATTTTCTTTATCTGACACATTTTCTACTTTTTCACTGTTAGTTGCACCAACGATATTATCAATAACCAAAGACATATCTAAAGAAACGTCGAGGTCGCTAGCGAAATCTTCTGGAGTTAATTCATTGAACATCATTTCCAAGGAGCCATTTAGGATAGAATCTAATTTCTCTGTCGCCATAACTCGTTCAAATTGTGGACCTCGCTTTTTCGGTGTGTTCTTTTTCATTCTCTTTGGTGTTATGCTAAGGCGATCAAAAGCCTCTTCAAGTGCTGGTAGTGGCTTTTCTATAGCCGTTGGAACTTTTTGAATGAAATCTACAATTTTCCGATTGTTCTTTATTTCTGTTGCGTTGTTAACGCGTTTTCGACGCACAGGTCTCTTTTCCACATTGTCGCCCACATTTTCATCATCTTTTTTTTTACGTGCACGTGCAGGTTTTTTCTTTTTAGCATTACGTTCGGCTTCAAATTCCTGCACTATGTTTGGATAACATTTGTTAACAATATCTTGAGGTTCAATGGTAACTGTAAATTACAGTGAAAAAATTATAATTAGTACGTTATAAATAGAATTTTTAGTTTATAAGAATGTTATTAAATTTTACCAAGTTCTGTCAGTTTATCTGGATTCTCTTCTTCAGAAAGATCGTCATCAGTGTTGGGCGCATTTAAATATAATCCATCTAAAAGCTTATCTTTATCAAGCCAAAGTATTTCATAACTAGCAACACTACGAATATTTCGAATTTTTTTTATTTTTTCGGGAAAAAATACACCTGATATATTTAATCGCTGTTGTATCGGGTATTCTATAAGATTGACAAGCTGCCATCGAGTAGCAAGAGGAAATATTTTAGCAAATGCATAAGAGGGTTCCCATGCAACTTTTCGGTCCATAAAATCCTGTACAATTTATAAATATATTTTAATAAATGTTATCATCTAAATTCCATTCAATAAATTTAAAATTAACTCACAATGAATTTGACAATTATTGGTTTACTCCATTTGAAGTCTAACTTTGATGGTATAGAACCAGTACGAATTAAAAATTCATCTATTAGTCCTTGATTAGGAAAATTATCTACTAATAAAGCTTTTTTTCTCATTGATAATTCATTTGAAATTAATAACCGTTTTTCTCTGAAACAATTTAGTTTGTTCCATGGTCAATATGCAAATTCAAATATAAATTTAATAAATTTTAAAATAGTTAATGAAAAGTCATCATCAACATACTTGTAAGAGTCATTGCACTTTGTTGTTGTTCCGCAATCTTCACAGCCAAATTTTGTATGAGATCTCACTTTTCCTTTATGACCACAGTTTGTACAAATTTCTGGATTTGATAATTCTGCTTCCATTTTTTGATACTTGGTAGAATTTGTTTTCCACTCTTTCATTCTAGAGCAAGTTTATTAATTAAATAACTCAGGCATAACATCTATTAGTAACTGAATAAAGCATTTAATTACCTTTGTAAAATATTACAGTCATCAACAATCTTAAACAATTTGAGGGCAGCTTCTTTGCCAACCCCAGGCAGACCGTCATCATAATCACAACCCAATAAAAGAGCTAAGGCTATCATTTTATTTCTTCCAAGATTGAAAACAGACTGGATTTTTTCCATAGAATATTCATCAATGGAGCCACCACTTGTTGTGCGATTTCCTTGAGTACTTGTACAAAAATTTCTATAGACAACTTTTGCACCATAGAGGAAGCAATCACTATCTTGACTGATACAGGCATCAACTAGCTAAAAGTAAAATCTTTTTTAAATTACTTATAATAAATAATTTTTTTGTTACCAAAATGAACTTACTCCATCTGCGTTCAAGTATGCACACATAGCTTCAGCTTCTCCAAAACCCTTGACACAAACCAAACCCATGTACTTCAACATTTCTTCACATTCTTTTAAAACATGATTGAAACGTGTTCTTCCTCCTTTTTGACCTTTTTTCTTTTCTTCGCCTCCATTTCGCTCTTCGTTTCTTTTAGCAATGGTTTTGTGTTTTAGAGTGGGTGCTGTTCCTTCCAGAACAAAAACAGGAAATATATCATGTAGAAGAAAGTAAGATGTACGAAAAAATAAATTTCTGCAAAAAAGTGATGAATCTAAATAAACAGTGTATAAAAGTTTAATTTTCTATATAATAAAGGGGTAAACTCTATACCTGAGATACATTTTTGGTTGAGCATGGTTGTCGGTAACCGTCTGGCTGTCAACAACCCAGCAACTTAAATCTATAGCAATAGCTTTGCCTTGAAGTTCAAAAAGTGGTTTTCTTTCACTTATAGGTGATAGTATATTCCACAGATCTTTCACTCCCATTTTGAATGCCTTAACGAATTTATTATAGAAGTTCAATATTAGTTCAGATACTATCAAGTTTTCAGTAAACTTCTTAATTTCATATCTTCTCTAAGTAACTATAACTTTTGATTTGCAGTAAATGATAAAAAGTTGTATAAAAAACATTTCACTATACGGCTAGTAGTTATCAAAAAATCAAAGCGCGAACCAAATCATGATTATGCAAGTCAATGCAAGTAAGCATAAGAAACTGATTCGAACGCACGTAAACACAGCGCAAGAGACGCAAGTTGTTAAACTGTTTTATTTGAAAACAGCAGAGTTTCTGCTCGAATGATACGAAGTTTACAGATGACGCTTCGTTCGCAGAAAAACACTGATTCATCTTGACGATAGGAGCGGAATCGCACGCTGCAAATCGCAAGCCACAGGCTGCAGTAATATATAGGTCCTTGTTAGTAGTGGCACAACAGCCTGGCCTGAAACTACTTTCTGCGTGTAACATGCCCTGCGTCAGATGATACAAAACATTTCAAAGTTTTTTTTAAGAAGTTAACAATTGTGAACAATGAGTCGTGTAGATATAAAAATTGTGTTACTCGGCCACGAATATGTTGGCAAAACTAGCCTAATGCAGCGTTTTGTAAATGATCGATTCAACGAAAGTCTTTCCTATCAAAATGTGAGTGCATATCGCTTGTCAGTTTTTCTTTGTTTACTTTCATGAACGTATAATCGTATAGTGCCCATTAACATTCTTCTTTGTTCATTGTGGCGATGAATCTTCTATTTGCTTCAAGTGAATTTTACGATACACTTGAATGGGTTATTTGACAATCTTTATGTAAGAACGAGCCAATATTCATAACGAAGCCTAATATTTCCTAATTGTGTAATCATGGTATTTTTTGAATACGAAAATAATTTATAAGATTAAAATTTGTCAGGTTTAATTTTCGGTATTGCTGCTCACATTAATTATTATTAGTTTAGTGAGATTAAATTTTGAATGATTCATATTTCGCATTCTATTTTTATGACGGAATTAACGCACTCGGGTATTCACGTTATTTATCTCTACTCTAATATCACTTAAAAGAACTTCATTTATTCGTTTATTCTTTGTTAAATAATTATTTATAATTCTCTTAATTAAATTAATTTTCTCAGACTATTGGTTCAGCGTTTGCTTCTAAAGAAATGCAATTGGACAATAAAAAGCTTGTTTTAGGAGTTTGGGATACAGCAGGTAGTGAGAGGTAAGGATTTAAAATTTTAATAATTAAAAGTTAAGATGATTCATGAATCTTGTTTCTACAGGTATCAAGCTATGGCAAAAATATATTACAGAGGAGCTGCTGCTGCTATTGTATGTTTTGACCTTACAAATCCAGAATCATTTGCTAGGGCCAAGTTTTGGATGAGAGAATTGAGAAGCATTGAAGAAAATTGTGTAGTATATTTATGTGGAACAAAAAAAGACCTTATTGATGCAGATCCCAAATTAGCAAATCCTCAAATAGACATTGTTAATAGATATGCAGATGGAGTCCAATGTAAATTTTTCCTAACTTCAAGTAAATCAGGAGAAAATGTTGGTAAGTTTTTTAATTGTAATGAAATAAGATAATGGATACAATTAACTTTTTTAATACATTTATTGCAAGACTTGATGTTAAAGAATAATTTTATTCTCTTCTTTTCTTTACAGCTGAAGTATTTAATGCTATTGCTAAAGATTATCTGGCATCAAATCCAACTAATTCTAAATCAGTTGGAAATTTTATTACGCTTAAGGAAGAAAGCAAACAGTCTCGCTGCTGTTTTGTGTGATAATTTTTGAATTTTATTTTGTTTCATAAATTTTTCTAGACTGAAAATTCACTGTGAAAATATGCTTTACTGACATGATACATTTTGAGCGTCCACACTCATGACCCAAAAAAATGTATCATGAATATTAAGTGATAATACTCATAAGTTTATATAAAAAAGTATAATACAATTACTCTCAAAGAGCATACAGTCATATAGACATATTACAATTTTTGAGAAAGTTCCATTAAAATTAAAAAAGTATCGTTTTAAATTATACTTTGAAATCACTTCTATTATTTTACTCTTATAATTATGATATAAACTATGAAAAACTTTTCAGTTTGCCAACAATTTTTGATTTAAAATTTATAGATATGTATTATTCATTTGCCAAAATGACTATTTTTAATAATTATTATCTGAGTGTCAAGAAAAATTCTGTACATTAAATATTTAATATTAAAATATCAAAGAACATGAAAATAGGAAACTTTATAGCACGCGTTCGTAAACTTTTTATGAATAATACTTTCTATATAGTTTATGTACTTTCATAAATTTGGTGCATGTTTAAAAAAATATGCAGCATTGATATCTATATTTTTGTACCTTGAGATATCTTATTAAATGCATTTGTGTTTTATATGAAGTCACAAATTCCGTAATAAGTACGGTAGCAATAATTGTATTTTACAATTTTTTAGTAAAAATTGACATTGTTTAGAAAATGCAGCCGCGTTCCACTATACAATAAAATCTTTACCTAAAAGGCGCGAGTTAATAGAAAAAGATCACATTCTCACCGATCCTCAAGTACTCAAAACATTTGTGCCTTTTTTGTTTACAATTGTATTTACATTATTAAAATTTAAGGATTATGTAAATAAAATGATAGAATATATTTAAACTTTTTGAGCCAAAATGCTGAGATGTAATAGAATAACTGATTTATTGAGAACTAGGATTGGTCTTGAAATTCCTCATTACAAAAGTTACGTACTCTTTCGTAAACTCCAAAAAATACAAATCCACCCATTGTAAAACCACCAACTCTAGGACTTATTCCTTTGAATAATCTGCAATCAAATTTTTTAGAAATTATATGTTATTACAACTGTACAAAAATTATGAAGATAGAAATTTACCCTCTAACACCATGAAGTTTGTAAACTTCTATCAGCATAGTTGATATACGAACTTCTTTCTTATCAGCTGATGTTGATGAAAGCATAATTCTTGTTTTGGCAACATCAAGAGGTGTTGTGACTGCTGCTGATATAGCCACTGAAATATAGTTGTGAAATTTACAAATAAAAGCAATTTAAAATTTATTGTGTTAAAATAGTGCTATTCATAATTATATATCATTAATTTATTACCCGATAAAGCACCACAAGCAGCACTTTCAACAGGTGTACACTCTCTTTTTACTCTATCAGTCCAGCTTAATTTAAAATATTCCCACAAAGGCATTTGTAACAATCCAAATGGTAAATCTCGAAGCACTGTACTACCATAGCCACGGAATAACACTCTAAGTTTTAAACGTTCTGAATCAGCCAGTAATGCTTGTTTTCTTTGTTTAACTACTTCCACTGGTACACGAATCAAACATGCAACCTATTGGAAGAACAATTTTTATTTAGCAGTACTTTTTGAATACATTTTTAGTTGAATTATATTTTTCTGTGCGTTTATAAAAACTAATTGTAATTATTAAATTATTAAATCAATGTTATTTAACCAAAAATTAATTAGGTTTGTATAGATTAAAAAAAATTATAAAAATTTGATAATTTGCCTACCATTTCTGCACATGATGCAGCTGCCATGTGCATTACAGAATGATACTGGGATGGCAAATTTGGCTGCACCAAGTGTTTTATACCATCATAAGTCACGAAAAAAAGTGCAGCTACATGGTCAAAAAATCCAAATTTGTTTAGTTAGAATACATTAGTCAGTTAATTTATATACTAGTGCTACTTGCATATATATTAAAAATATAGTTTGATCAATAATATAAACCAATGTCACACAATTGTATGTATAAAAATAGTCAGACTCTCACCTGCTGGAGCAGAGCCAATGATAACTGGAGTAATACCCTTGTAAATTTGTCGAAATCCTCCAGATTTTTCAAATCCATGTTGACTCTGCAGCCTCGTTTTTAAGGTGTCCAAAGGAAAAAAGACTACATCGCAAAAAACACCTGCAGCTGCTCCTGACTGTATAAGACATTACTTCTCAATTCAATCATTCCCGATAGTACGAATGATTTAAAAATAATAATTGATCGGTATGATTGGAGCTGATGTAATTCATCAATTACTTACGACCAAAGATGTGAGAAAAACATGTTTCACCGATGTCGGGTGATCTTTATCGTTGCCATCACCGCTGTGCATCATTGTCAAGACAATCAACTACATGTGACAATTTTTCCTCAAAGAGAAAATGTGGTCCATTCATTCAGCGGCACTAGTCGAAAGCACAACACAGACCTAATCTCACGCGGTTCGTTGCAGCTAGCAGAAGACTGCAGCACGCAAGCTTGAGAAGCAGACGACAGCCGAGCTTTTTCGCAGGTATGTACGCCGATCGATGGTAGGGGATAGCAACGAGTATGACGTCACGATAATGAAGTTGACTTATCGAATTTGTTTTAACACATCAAAAGGTTTGAAATTTTTTTTCGTGCTGCAGCTTTTTCATGACATAGCAAACTTTTCATGCAGCCACCTTCAATATAAATCGCTGCATTTCCGGTCTGGAATTTTACTGGAAATCTAGCAATCTTCTTAAAAAAAATCAAATTCATCAATGAAAGATGGAGAAAAGAAAATTTGTATGCATCACACATTTCAGTATTGGAAGGATCCAATGTCACTTATTATTAGCAAAATGTCTTTGAAGTTAATATAGATGATTGATACTGGATTTGAAAATTTCGAGCGATTTTTGATAAAATATACATATTTTGGAAATTCCAATTCGTTCTACCGATTATTAAAGCTTTTAATTTTAGTTTTCAATTTGAAAAACGAGATAAAATTTCAACGAAGTATTTGATTTTGAAATTCAAGTTTCATTTCTTGAGAAATTCGGATTTTCAGCGGATTTACATCAGCCCTTGGAACGTTATAATTTACACGGGGCTACGATAAGACCAATCTGTGATCCCCACCTTTCCTAGCAGGTGTACTACCACGTGGCCCAAGCCTGACTTATTTGCGTGCGTTCATGCTCGTTTAGCAAACTGCAAAGTTGTCTGCTACGACACGCGCGAGTACCCCAGCTGGGCGGCGGCGACGATCGACGGTGGCAGCGGCGGACGATGTTGCAGATTATCGCCTGCAGTATGTCCACGCATGACGGTGAGCCCAGACGAGCCCGCAACTACGCACTATGTCTATGTGCAGAGTGAGATAATTATCAGGCAGCGTGTCTAGGAGATGAGCGTTCAATTCGATATCATTAACAGCTCGCGACTCTCAAGGTCGCCGGCTTATGCAATAACCTTGGGAACCCACGATTCTTTTGTTTTGGATTAATACGAATATACCATTTGCTGAATTGACAGAGGCTACAATGGCACCTAATATTCTCAAAAGCAGCCTCGAAAATGCCTCGTTTAACATCATCTTTCAGGTAAATTTAAGAAATAATAATTTATGATTTTTGAACCAATAGGCTACCTAATTGACATTGACATTTGTGTATTTCTGAAGATACAAATGAGTTTTGGCAACTTGTTTCACAATTCTTTGTTTAGATTACCTCATTGTTAAAATGTGGTAGCTATTTTTGTCCAAATGTGCAAAATATATTTTGAACCTGTTTTGTTATTGACTGATATAATATTAACAGAGTCCTAATATCATTTTTAACTATAATATTTACAAAGAAACTTGTACATTTCTGATCAATTGTTATTGTTGTTTGACAGATTTTATGTCGAGGGGTTACATTTGTCCTGAATGCTTTTGTGGTGAGGCATGTAGGTCAAGCAGTTTTGGGTGTGATGAATGTTCGTCTTTTACTTTTGGAATCCATGATATTATTTTTATCTAAAGAACCATTCATGAAAGCTTGTCTTACAAACACTGCTGAACACAATTGGGCTCAAGTTATTAATTTATTATGGATAACGTAAGTATTTTAGTTACTTTAGACCAATAAATACAAATATTTATATATTTTTTTTCACTTTTGAATATTATTTCAACTTTTTTTAGTGTTCCTATATGCGTTGGGATGTCTTTTATCTTTGGGTACATTTGGCTCAACGTCTTGCAAACTAGTGAAATTTTACCTCCTTACTACAATTTTGCTGTAGTAGCAGTTGCTGTGTCTTGTGTGATAGAATTGTCATCACTGGTGATCCAACTTATCGCCAGTGCATTTTTATTTGTTAGGCTAAGAGTGAGTTCATATTGACAGTAATTAAAAATTATCTTTTAATTGATGAATATAATGAAAAATTTTATTTATTATTTATCAGATTGTTTTAGATACCATCATGATTGCACTTAGAACAATAACATTTGTTTTTTTGATACTTTACAACCCAGAAAATGCACTTCTTGCTTTTGGAGTTGCTCAATTAGTAGCAGCTATATTTTACACTACAAGTCTTTATGTTTACTTTCATATCTATATAAAGCGGTTGAAGAGGCACAAATTGAAGAGAAGAATGTCAGTAAGTGATGATGGCGTAGAAGAATACATTGAGTCAGAATTTCCATTTGTTACTATAAAAGAATTTTTACCTGGACAGCTTGAGAACAGTGTAAGTAAAATAATTACAACTTAATACCGAAATTGTTCAGTATAAGTAATTGATGATTTTATTAGGATTCATATTTGGATCGAAAATTGACTATTCTTACATGGAGTTTTTTCAAGCAAGGAATACTCAAACAAGTTTTAACAGAAGGTGAACGACTTATTATGACAATCTTACCTGTTTTAACATTTTCAGAGCAGGTAATAAAAATTTCTTTATTTCTACCCTATTAACCAATACACGTTTATTTTAATTTATTTAATTTTCAAGGGAATATATGAAGTTGTAAACAATTTGGGTTCGTTAGCGGCTCGATTTATCTTCCGACCAATCGAAGAAAGCAGTTATTTTTACTTTACACAAATGATCCAACGTGATCGACCCATAAGCCGTCAAAATCCAGCCAAAATCCAAGAGAGCTCAAACGTTCTGCGTCACCTCTGTGGAGGTGTAACATCTATTGGGCTCATTGTTTTAGTTTTTGGACAATCTTACTCATCCTTACTCTTGTGGCTCTATGGTGGAGAAAAACTCATCGATGATTTACCGGTCCTCTTACTCAGGGCGCACTGCTTGGCCGTGCTGCTGTTGGGTATTAATGGAGTTACCGAAGGATATACCAACGCAACCGCCGACAGCGATACGATTAACAAAAACAATTTAATAATGATCTACGAATCAATTGCTTTTCTCGGAGCGTCTTACGTTTTTGCAACTTGGTTCGGGCCGGTTGGATTTATTTTTGGTAATTGCGTTAACATGATACTAAGAATTGTACACTCGGTTATGTTCATCGATCGAAGATACAAGGAAACTAGTTACAAGCCGCTTCTCGGGCTCGTGCCAAAATCTCTTTTCGCTGGTAGTCTCATAGTGGCTGCTCTAGTCACTTCTATATCTCAAGTAAGAGTTATTTGCTTATTTAATCGAAAATCGAACCACATTAATAATATTTATATTATTATTACAGGCTTACTACTTTTCCGAAGATAAATTTTTACATTTGTTTATCGGTGTGATAATGTTTATTATTGTCGCATCATCGTGGGCTTATGACAATTATGATCTACTAAAAGTCGGCTTCAACAAATGGCTGGAAAGGCGCGATAGTGATGTTAAAGAAGAATAAATCAATTTATCAATCAGATTTATATCTATTTTCCCACTGTTATATGTATTAACTGTATTTCTTGTCCGTACAAAGTCTACCTCATGAATAATTTTTATAGTACAAAGTATCTATATTTGTTTAAAATATTGTAAATACGAATATTTAAATAATAATAAGTTTTATTTTTACGCTCTGTCTTTAAGTATTATTTTTTGCAGCATGAATCTAGCAAATATAGCTCGCAATATGCACTTATGTATAGGTATTATTTTACTTGTACTACATCGTATGTACATTACAACCAGCTCATGAAAAATTCATGAGAAATCGACAAAAGAAAGATTTTTTATTCGTTTCATAGGATCCCTCAGCTAATATATTATTTACGACTTCCTACCCCTACATACTGGAAGTAGTAATTTATCCTTAAGTCAGCTTCAACTCTTGGTGAATATTATTAGATGGCCATTACAATTGATGTGTTTATTTTCGCACCTACTTTCAACCATAAACAAAGAATTTAGATTTGAATGCAAAGATGCGAAAAATATTCCATAATTTGCTTCAATTGCAATCAATATTTGGTGTTTGGACACCAGAAATTGAAAATAATTCGACGGTGAACAAATTAATTTATACGGTTAACAGAGTTTTGATTTTCCCTATGCCAATTTTACTCATTGTTGGAATGATTTTGGCTTTGTTATACAACAATCTGAATGAAGAAGACTATTTGGAAACGGTTATGATGTTACTGACGGTGTTAAATAATTTTTTAAAGGCAGTTGGCATGAGACTTGGCAGGAAATACCTAATAAAAATTATCGAAATAACTCGTTGTGAGAGAATGAGCAGATTACATGATCCTGAAGAAGTACTCATCGAGAAAAATTATAGCATATTTTTAAGGTACTCAATAATTCGCGTGAATTGAAAGAATATTATAATTTCCTATAATAACTAATTAATAATTACAGGAAATTTTTTAACTCTCTTCACATCATGATAGGAGCTACTTGGTTCGCATGGGTCTTGCCAATATTATTCCAAAATAAAAACCAGCGAGTTTTGCCCGTTAAAGTCTGGACTGGTTTTGATGGGCTGAGCGATCAAGATTTCTGGTGGTTTTTTATTCCAGATGTCGGTTTTTTTTTGGTCGCTGCAATAATGGCGTTGCATCATGAGTTGGTTCTAACTACTGTCTTACTATTCACTTGCTCGCAATTCGATATTTTGGCCCATCGCATCAAAAATGTCGCTAGGAAGGCAACTAAAATTGCCAACAGCACCCATGGCTATGTGGAATCTTGCGAAAGTCGATTGATCGAGGAGTGTGTCACACATCAGTTGTTAATTTTCAAGTGAGTCAAAAAAATGAGCCAAAATGTCACCTATTATTGATGTAATGAATGTAAATGATAAATGCAGATTAGCAAAGATGATAACAAAAGGTTTTGGTTTTTCGATCATTGTTCAATACGTAACTTGCTCCATTTTACTGACAATTAACGTATACAATTTATCGAGTGCCACAACGGTCGACACTATGGTTGTCATGAGACTTCTTTACTTGTCTTGTGCCCTCGTGCAAATGTTTATTTATTGTTATTTTGGAAACAAGCTAACATCCAAAGTAAGTTGGTAGTAATCGAGTCCCAACTCTATAAAAAATATGCAAGATATTTCAAGTCCTTAAATATTCATTTCCAGAGCGAAGAATTTGCTCTAGGTCTTTTTGCTTCGAACTGGACAGATTTGAGCATAAAATCAAAGAAAAAGATCTTGTTTATGATAACAAGAAGCATGAAATCCGTCTCAATTAGTAAATTATTTTACATGGTTTTATCTTTAGATTCTTTTGTTAACGTAAGTTGAATGAATCTATATTTTTTTGTTCAACTATTATTTAATAGCTGTTTGTTGAAATATAAACATTTTTTCTAGATATTGAGGATATCCTACGCTGTTTTAAATTTTATGCGACGAAAGTGAAGCACGATTTTCGATTTGTGGTTCTGGATGAAGTAGCAAAATATTAAAAGTTCACACAATTTCCGAATGATTGTACATGGTACAGCAATTTAAAAATTTTTTGTTCGATTTTAACTATCAAATAGAAGAGATATATATATTCTCACAACTTCTATTTTAATTGCAAACTTTTGTGATACATTGGTCTCCATGAAATCAATATCCGCGAAAGTAGTCATTAAAAAAATCTTTGAAATGCATTGTATATACTGTTTGTGATATGTTTAAAAGTGAATATCAACCCTTTTCTCAAAGCAGCTCGCAAACGCAAGCTTAATTATAGCTTAAAAAAGTACTAAGAACTGCAGGTAATTATATAGTGCAGGCTGTAGGTAAGCCAAATTAATAGAAGCTACTTTATGCAACGATGAAAAAATACTCTTGATTACGTTGGCTATCGAACGCTCCTCTCAAGTACATGCCAAGCGTGAAAGTATGCTGGAATTACAATTCAAAGTACTGAGCTTGATGGGATTTTGGTATCCTCGGAGCTGGTCAAGCTCGGGCTTGACTGAAAAACTTTACCGATGCTACAGCGTTTTGTCGGTGACAATCTTGTACAGTTTGGTCGTGTGCCAGACCGCCGGACTGCTGCTGACGAGGCAAAGCTTCGACGAGTTCAACGAGACGTTCTTCGTCGTGCTGTCGACCGGCTTTGCGTCTTTCAAAGGCAGCTGCGATCTGTGGAACCGCGCGAAAATCATCCGACTCGTTGACATGCTCTCCGAGCCATTTTGTCTAGCTAGGTGCCAGCGCGAATCAGCCATTCAGAAGACGTACGACCAAATGGGTAGGAAAATCGAGATAATTATGCTGTGCGTCGTTGAGCTCGCGGCAGTGATCTTTCTTTTCGGGCCTCTCATCAACCATAGCCGAGAGCTACCCTACAAAGTCTTGCTGCCCTACGATTTGAACGACACCCTGATTTTCAGCTTGTCGTACGTTCATCAAACCTTCAGCTGTATCCTCGTCACTGCAGGCACCATGACGAATAATGCCTTGATCGTTGGCTTTATGATGCAGCTCTGCTCTCAGCTGGATATCTTGAAATTGAGATTTCGCAAAGCTTCGGACAAGATCAAGGAGCAACTCGAGAAAGAGGTGGCATCGGGAAAATTGTCCAACCGTAGCAGTAGGCAGATGGAGGTGCAAATCATCCGAGAACTGGCTCAGCATCACTTGCATGCCTACAAGTACGTATATCAACGGAATTGAAATGAACGTATCATCGGCGTTAATTTTTGTTAATTGCAGCCTCGCCGAAACGTTGTGCGATACGTTTTACGGTATCATAGTGGGTGAGTTTTGCATCAACTCGTTGGTAATTTGCGTGAGTGTGTACAAACTGTCGTTAAACGCCGGGACGATACCCGAGATACTCTTCAACGCGCTCTACCTCGTCTGCGTAACGGGCGAATTTTTTGTCTATTGCTATTTTGGAAACGAAATCACCTATAAGGTTTGTTGGTCGCCACCCTGCTATAATCTTGACGTCAATTTTCCGAAGATATAATTGTAACCCGCTCCTTTTTAGAGCACGACGCTTTTTGAAGCTATTGCTGCTATCGACTGGAATCCTATGTCAAAAGAATTTAAAAAAAACATCATTTTCATTATGAGTCGAGCTTCTAAACCGATTTTCATATCTTGCGGCGCTTACGTCTATCTAACGCTCGAATCTTTTATGGCTGTAAGTTGGTATCAATCTAAATTCCAAAATAACTAAAAACCGATTTTTCATCATTTTCAGGTTGTCAAATTATCCTTTTCGGTTTTCAATGTTCTCAAGTCCACTTTGTAGACTACTCTTGATGTAACTGCAGGTTATATGTATTGCATGTAAAGTGTGATTCACTTTCATTTTTATCAAAAATACATCACAATCAATTATTTTTCAAAATATATAAGAGTACATAAAATAATCAAATCGATAAAAGTGTCGTAAATTTTTTTAGCAACAAGAGATAATTCTTATATTGATATTCAATCATTATTATTTAATTGTGATTTTCCTCTTATGACATAAAACATTGAGAAAAATAACGTTTGTTAATTCATTTTATGTACATGTATCAAGATGAAAATCTATGGTCTATTTTATGAAAGAGAAGTAGAGATAAATATGTAGAGAATTCACAGAAGAGCTGACAAAATGAAAGTTGTGGTAGACTTGAGATATGTAAGCAAGGTAGGAGAAAAAATGAGTTCGCTCCTGAACCCTTGCTTCTGCTCCGTCTTTTAGTATTCTTCAATCGTCATTGCGATCAAGTGTCTGCTTTGATACTGTTTGAAACATGCCTCTCATCTCTGACCCAATCGTAAGTTTTTTATCGTTCCATTATTCCAATAGTAAGACTTCAAAATCGTTGCAATTATATCTTCAATTTACGTATACTACAGAATTACATAATTTTTTTAATTTAAACCTTCTGAAGCTACAAAGATTCAACATTATCTAGCTACGAGAGTTAAAGTTGCGCGTGCGCGGGAATACGAATTTTTAAAGCCGCGAACTTTGAAAATTTCTTTTAACACGATCAATGTTGTAGCTGGAAATATGCGTGGATTGTTATGAATCCATAAAGAATGCAACCGAAGGGGGTGCAAATCGTTTGGAATTGTGTAGCGCACTGTCCGAAGATGGTCTCACTCCAAGTTTTGGTTTGGCCAAATTAGCCATGGAGGTTTCATCCGTTCCAGTGTTTGCCATGATTCGAATCAGAAGTGGTGATTTTGTTTACATGTCTCAAGAAATAGGTGAGAAAATGTTTATCGTCTCTTTCAGTGCGTATAATATTTAACTAAATTGTTGCCTTCAGACTCAATGGTAGAGGACGTGTTGGAGCTCAAGAAGCTCGGAATCGCTGGTTTTGTTTTCGGCGCTTTAGACGATCAAAATAACATCGACGCATCAGCCTGCAAAAAAATAATCGAAGCGGCGAATCCACGTCCGGTGACGTTTCATCGGGCTTTCGACCAAGTTGCGAATCCACTCGCAGCGTTGGAGCAAATACGCCAACTCGGCTTCAAACGGATCCTCACATCCGGCCAGAAGCGATCCGCCCTCGAAGGAACGAGGCTCTTAGCCGAGCTCGTTGAGAAAGCAGCCGACGATATAATAATCGTTCCGGGGGCTGGTATCAATGAGCATAATATTGGCCAAATAAGAGACGAAACCGCAGCCAGAGAGTTTCATGGTTCGGCCAAGAAGTCGACTAATTGCCCGAAAGGAATAACCATTACCGATAAAGATACGGTCCAACGTATGGTCAAAATATTAAATAAATAATACTATTGTGTACAATTTAATAAATTTTTTTTGTCAAATAATAACATATTACAATTACTTTTGCCTAGAAGATAAATCTGTATCTCGATACGCAGTTTTTGTAGACATCTAGAGGCCAAATACTCGTCATAAATCAAATCTGCTTTCGATAAAACAGTGAAACATTCTTGCGCGTCGTTGGCATAAATAAGGAACGACACACGATAATTGTTTTCAGTCGCTCAATAATTTGCGTAGTCGGATTGTGTTTATACACAATTAGCCAGCCGCGGCTTGCAGAACGGGGGAGAGAGCAACGTCCAAGCGCGATAATAACGTAAAATAATATGCGTCAATGTGCGGCTGTTTTCGAGCGACCGTAGATAAACCCGCCGAGCTCGAACGAGTGCGAACTTAATAAGTCGAGAGACTCGTTTGCGCGTACAGTAGCGGTGCACATTGGTTTTCACATTGGCCCTGCCCCGAAAAGCTATACGATCCCAGTTTAGGACACCGATCGACGAAACAAGTGCCGAACGATCACGTATACATCATTTGAACTTTGCCGAGATGGACGGTGCGAAAAACGAGTCAGCGGAGGCACGCGAGTCTTACAAGGACGTTTCGAGCCAAAAGGTAAAATGTATATAGATAGATTTATCGGTAGCGAAGCGATCGGTCGCGTTGATGAAATCGATGAAACGATTTAAATGTATAATTAATTTTTTACTCTCGCAGATATACGTGCCGCTGATATTTCACTCGCCCTCCGCGCGACTGCCTGATATAGCTGCAGAAACTTGCGTAACTGCGCGGCGCGGACGACGTGTCGAAATTCACATCTCTCTGGCGCGTGTTGCATACAGGATCGCGGAGTACCTTGAAAATGATTTTTTTTTCGCCAAAAGAACGCTCACCAACGAATGCGCAGATTTTTATACAGCTCGCGACGAATGGCTTATATGCTTCCCCTCGGCAGCTACCGTGCAGCTCGTTCACGACCAATTTCACGCGTATAATACGCACGAATGAAAACGCTTTCCTTATCTTTTCAGAATGGAGCGAAAATTTTGTTTGCCACTGATGACTTTTTTGCAGTAGCTGAAAATCTGTTGAAGGTTAGTAGCTATATCATAATGTAAAAGATAAGGTGAAAGTCTTCACCATTGTGCACACCGATCTCTATCGTAATTTCGTTGAGATATGACAAGCCGCAAATTAATTAACTTATTTTATAAAACTTGATAAAACTGGTCTCTGCGGGTCTAATTATCTGTCCGAGAATTACATGGGTAATTGCTTCTCGGAAAGAACGTTCGGGACAAATCTAGTATGCTAGAGTCTAAAATGCACTATAATAAATATAGGAAGAAGAGCCAGAATGGAACGAGAATTACACCGAGTACGGCAAGTGGATGGACGGCTGGGAGACGCGGAGGAAGCGCATCGACGGCCACGATTGGGCAATAATCGCCCTCAGCGATCCGTGCGAGCTCCGAAGCATCCACCTCGACACGGCCTTCTTCACGGGCAATTTCGCTCCGAGGTTCTCCGTGCAGGCGGCTCATTTAGTCGACGGTACGTTGGTTGCTTGTCACGCAAATATTTGTCATTTGATACCAACAGTCCTCGAGGCTTCATTTTCATTTTAAACTCGCAGATCCGAAGCCCATTCAAGATCGACGCAATAAGATGGGAACGGCTGCTACCGATGTCGAATTGGAAAAAGCTCGTGAACTGAAATCCGAGGTAGGATAGGATAGGACCGGTGGATGGTTCTCCGCTCAAGCTAAAATATCTTCTCATTGGCTTTTGCAGGATTGGGACGAGATAATCCCAATGACGTCTCTGCGCAGTGGACACGCGGAAACGCGCAAACACGTCTTTGAAATCGCGAATCCCCGCACGTACAGCCACGTGCGATTGAACATCTACCCCGACGGCGGAATAGCTCGGCTGCGAATTTTCGGCTCGGAATCGACCGGACGACAGCAGCTGATGCTTCGGAGCGAGTGCGTGGCGTTCAGCAACGCGCATTACGGCAGCCCCGAGGTTCTCTTGGAAGCGTCGCCTTCCAAGGGTATGCACGACGGCTGGGAGACGGCCAGGAAGACTGAGCGGCCCTGGAAGATCGACCTCGACGATTCTGGTTTCATAAAGGTGAATTTAAGAAAATCAGAGCGAACTTTAGAGACAACCGAATCTAATTATGTTCTCGTACAATTTGGCTAGGCCTACGGGGAAGAATGGGCTATTCTGCGACTGGAAACCGACGTCTGCATCGATGACATTCAAGTCGATACGACGCACTTCAAGGGCAACTGTCCGGACAGCGTGAAAATCGAGGCCAAGTTGAGCAACGACGAGAAACTCCATAGCTCCGACGACTCGTGGATCACCGTTTTACCAAAAACTAAGGTAAGTTGGCACAACGTCGCATTATAATCATAATGAATTTGACGGAGCATGTGTTGTGACGCAGCTGGTAGCCAATCGGAGCAACGGCCTGACGAGTCGCAACGTCGTAGCGACCAAGCAGCCCGTCAATCACATCAAGGTGACCATCGAGCCCGACGGTGGTTTGGCGCGAATCCGAATTTTCGGAAGCAAATGTCGCCACTAAGGGGCTCGGACGATTCTGCATCACGCCGCGCGTTCGAATCCGAGTGCGCTTGGACGCGCGCGAGTACGCCGCCGAGCTGCGAAGAAAATGAAAGTACTTATGCTGTATGCGTATGCTGCACAGGGACGCGTATGCAGCTCCGAGCTACGTAAAAGTAACGTCGATGATTGAGTAAGAGTTTGGCTCGTTGCGATTGCGCCCCGACTGCAGGCGACTCCGTATGTATCAATTACCCCCCGACTAAGCGTATATAGCATGTAACTCGCTCAAGTGCCTGTGACGAGTCAAACAAGTGCAGACAAAATATTTTCCCGTACTGCCGTGTCTGTAACTGCTCGATTGTATTTCAAATCTTGTATTATTTTAATTGTTATTCTTAAGTTGATTCGTATAATACTTTTTGTAAAAGTGCAAAGGCAGTGGCTTTTGTCCGAAGCGACTGAGGAGCTACTAGCCTACATACTTGTTATACTTGTCGTATTGCGTAAATAAATATTTTCCGATGGAAAGTAAAAAAAAAGCGTTGTATCTGATTGAAAAGGAGCAGGAATCGGATGCGCGATGAAGCAAATGGATCGTTGCGCGCGCGCGCGCGAAAGCGGCGCTGATCAAGTCGGCCTCTCTCTCGTTGCGAACGCATTTCGAGACGCGATCGCGTGCGCGAGCGAGTACGAGCGAACGCGGCACAGCAGCACGCAAGGTCGATTTTCCAGCGACGATAACGCGTGTACACGTTGTGAAGGTGCTCTCACAATGGCACTCGAGAGTCGCGAGTGCAGATCGGCATGCAGTGCGCCCGTCTGTCTGTACAGAAGTATTTCAGGCATGGAAATCGCTGCGACAGGCATTAGCGCGCGATTCACGCACTCATCGCGATAATAATGTCAATATTCTTACGTTTTCTTGCGAGCGGAGAAAGCCCCGTATCTGCTTAATTGCCAGGCAATTACGTTATTCAGGTGTCAAAGCGATGTCGACGATATATCAACGATCGGTATGGAAAAACATGCACATTAGTCCGCCTAATGAAGAGAAAATATGTTTTTTGAAAAAATAAACAAAAGTGAGAATTGGAAGTTGGAAAAAATAGTCGGGGAAGCTTCTCGTAGATATCGGTGCGAGAGCGTAGCGCGTCCACGGCCCACTGTCGATCTATGCACGCGCGCGCGACTCGAGCACCCGTCCCTATACGGACTCGCAGGTAGACAGGTACATGCGGCAGGTATATTGCAGGTTTACTGCAGGAGGCAGGTGAACGCGACGCACGAGGCAGAGGCATATACGCACATATACGCGATATTACAGGCAGCTAGTCGCGGCTCGCTCGCGCGCGACCCACACGTAAACTAACGTCGCGCAGCGAACGAGAGGCAACACACTGGCACAGACGAGCGACCGCCGACTGCCGAGCGTCAGTCCGAGGATCACTTTCAGACGGTACGGCTGCTCGACTCGTCTCTGTCTCTCTTTCTCTCTCTCTGCCACCTATTTTTTTTTCGCCTCGAGTCTTGTTTTTTTTTTTGTTGCTCCTACGTATACTCGCGACTAGACACGGCGTCCTCCGACTTTGCTTCCGAGTCGAGCTGTTTTTTTTTTTTTTTTAATTTAAATTTTTTACCAACGCGACAAAAAAGTATCGAGTGTGTTTTAACGATTCGACGAGCCGAAAGTTCGACGGCTCGAGCTTCGATCCGAGCTGGATGAAGGAAAAAAAACAACACAAACAAAGCAACGGAGCATTGTCGATCGTATAAGCTGTGAATCACGAGTCACTGATCCGCGATTCATTAAAACCCAATCAAAGTGTGTAGTACGTCTAGCGATATACATATAGGCTAATTTCATACATATATAGCCGCAACAAGTGTTTGTGTTGTGTTATTCGCAGGAGTCACAGGTGATTTTCGCTATACACATGCTAAATGGGCGTCTGTGTGTGTATGTGTGTGTGTGTGTATGTGTATGTGAGTGCGTGTGCGCGAGTGAGCCTCGAGTCGTTCTCGTTTCTCGACTGCGGTCGACTCGTTTCTGCTGCGGAGCAAAGGACACCAATTTGCCAAATGAGCAAAAAATTCGCACGAATATACGATATGCATGCTCGAGAGTCGCTAATATAGGACGTATACAGTTGCGTGCGGGTGTCTATGTGTGCGAGTGCCATTCGGTATATACGTAGCTGGTCCGATGTGTAGTGTGTAATACATTTGTAGGCAGACCGCACAAGGATGTTTACCGTTTCGTAGCGCCCGACTCATGGAATTTTCTCATTTTTCTTGGGCGCACGCTTAGCCTCTGCATGCCGCGGAGAAATATAAGCACATGGCCGATACGTCAAACTCGAGCCGTATACGCACTCCATTAATTCTGGCCCGAATGAATCGTCGGCTGCGTACTTGCGATTTTTCGTATCCGCGCGTGGCCTCGTAAAACCGTGTCTCTCACGGGTACGCGTGACGATTCGTCGAGGCGCCTCGGCCGCCGACTAAAATCAGCAATAAAACTACGAGCGACGAGATATAGGCAAAATGATTATTTTCGTGAATCGCGTTGTCGAGCCGCGAGTCGCGATCGCCGCGAGAGAGGGAGACTGAAAAAAACTGGCCGATCCAGTTTCACCGCCGCGGAATGAAAATCGTCGTGTTACTCGTGTTATATATACTACTCGTGCGCGCGTAGCAACAACACGCGCATTATCCCAATTTAAAGTATCGTTCGGAGGCCTGACTGCAGCCTTGAGGTATCCGTAAATGCGCAGGCATTATATGTACGCGAGATCGCGACCATCCGAGAATCGAAAGACAATTGTGCTCCGTTTTTATGCCGCTGCAGTCCGAATAATCGCCGCGAAGGAGTATTTGCCTATATTTTTTCGTACACGCATCTTCGAGAGCAGCAAAGGCATATTTTCTCGACGACTGCGGACTGCAGCGGCTCGGCCCGAGACTTTCACCTGCGCAGCTCGGCTACGCGCTGCAACGCGACTCGGGATTATTCGCGCGAAAGGAGAAGATGATAATTATTATAATTTTTTTAAGCGTCTTGGCTCGTGTTGTCTCGGGCATATGTTTGCCGAGTGCATTTGCTTGTTTACCGCGTTAAATTAAAAGCTAAGTGACCGCCCCAACAGATCCTCGCAATCGCCATGTTTTTAGATAAAAAAAAACTACGTTCGAGCATCCTTTTTCGCGTTACTACGCAGTTCGCTTGGGTGGTTTGCGTCGTATAATTACGACTGGAAAGAAGGATTCGATGGTCTGACGCGCTATTACGACACGAAATCCCAAGCCAGCTGGAGTAATTACGATTATCCTTACGCGCGCGCGGCTATATATTGACGTGACGCATGAATTTTCTCGCGGCTCGACCGCAATGGTGACGTTTGTGCCATCTCTCCTCTCCTTTATACTCCTTTCATTCCATAAGCCAAGTACGCGCGTCATTGTACTTATGCAAAAACGACCCAGTCTCGCCTCTGTGTTAGCGATCATCACCATTTGGCTCCACATGCAGGAGGATTCTCATGCACATGCTCATTGAATCTTCGTTTTGCAGTGTTTTACCGAAGGATAAGGAGAAAAAGCAACGAGCCATTGTAAGATGAGAGACTGTGCTCGATATATGTGTAGTACTTTACGAGACCAGTGAATACAAACACGCGAGCTCGTATGCGCCCATTAGAGTGAAAACAAGTGAGTGATACCATTATAGACACGAGAGACGCCGAGTGCCATAGATTTCGCTTCCTCGTATGTTTGTACTAGAGTAATTTTTCTATCGATAAAACAAAATGCCAACCAAGGAAGAAGAGATGCAGCGAGAGAACATCAGGCGGCTCTTCAGTTGGAGCAACGGCATCATAAGGTGAGTTGAATTCGAAGCGACTCGGAGCAGCGTGCGATCGTGTGCCGGTCGATCCTAATAACGCCCCTTCGTTATTTCGTCGCTCACGAGATATCGATTTCCGCGGAAAATCCGACCCAACGACGATGACATGTCAACAAAGCCGAGACTGCAAATACCTCGTTAATTCAATTTTTTTATTCCTTACTTTTTTAAAGCGTAATAATTAAGAGGCGATCGACGAAAAAAAAAAAATTTTATGCGTAGGTCACGCAACGCTTGCATATTACAAAATCAGCTCGTTATACTCTGTACGACGATTTTTTTGTTGTAATACTCCGATAAAGCTAATTATCGTATAGATTCTCTGGGAATTCCATGACACGTGTGTTTTGCATGAAAATCGATGCCAAGGATCCATGTGTGATTGGATGTATAATTAGTGATATATGTGGAAAACATAGAGATGGTGGTTGGTTTGTAGGTGGGGATCAGTTGGTCGAGCTGGCGACGAGTTAACGAGGAAACGATGCAGCTGCAGCTCGCCGCCGAAATCCTTCGATCTATAAGAGGCCCGAGCCGAACGAGACAATTTTCAAACCGGTCTTGTCTCGCGCGCCAAGCAACGCACACACGCGCACGTAATACCTAGTATTTTGCAAGGAAACGCCGGAACCGCGCCTGAAAAGTCAACGCGCTTCGGCCACTTCTTACCTAAGTGACTTTCCAATATATAAATACTTGAGCACACACACACACACACACACACGTCGATCGACCGCCTTAACTAATTTCAAAACTTTGCGACGACGATGCTGTGCGTAGGTTTTTGCAAACCGCAGAAAAACCCAAGAAATAACCATTGGGTTCGGCGTGATCGATCATTTTCTTGCATTTTCACAATCCGAACTCAAGTTGGTCTTACGTTTTGTTGCTCTAGCGTAAAATTTTCGCTTGTGTTCTCGCGGCGACTGGCGTCAAGTGAATTAGCGTTTCTAATCTATAGATATAATAATTTAGCATGTCATATACGCCAAAGGAATTTATTGCGCTACATAGCGTTACTATTTGTTTCATAGTTATTGAATTTGATTCACATGTAATGTAAATAAAAAGATAAAAGTTGATCCGAATGCGAGTGAATTTTATCTTCATCAATATGTTGACATTTCCTGCAATTATGACAACAATAGTGATCTGCCTCGTGCAAAAATAATCCTCGCATGTGCGCAGAGGCACACGAATACGTCAGCGCTTTTAAAACAAGTGCCGTCAAATATTCGCGCCCATTTATTTTTGTTGAAAAAAAAAAAAACAAGAAGAAAAAAATTCCCTCAACTATTAAGCCGAGCCTTGCAAAACAATGACAAATCGGTATTAAACGATTCCTTTGTGCGCATCTCTGCCGTTGGCTCGGCGGTTAAATAAATAAAAGTACGCGCGCACGCTGCTGCGCGCTCATCATCGAGAGATGTAATTTTTTTTCTCCATATCGTGCGCGTGTATCTCTTTCTCTCTTGGAGCCGTGTAATTTCACTGATTATCGCCGCGTGCACGCGTATCGAAAGCATCGAATTATCTCCGACGACAAAGTTTACAAACTATGCTTTTGTACTTTACTAGCGTGTCAAGTGCGCAGAGTGTAACGCACCGACAATTTTCTAGCAAGTGATAATGAACGATAAGCTCTGGTCTACATAATTGATACTGCCGCCAACGATGAGCCGTACAATTATTTATCTCCGCGGCTCAATGAAAATTACAATATCATAGCCTGCTGCTAGCCTGTGCGTGTACTTGGCTCGTGTTCACATCGCGGATTCTTATTTCTTTGTACGTAGCCTTGCAGCCTCGGTATCGGTGAAAGGTGCAAAAATTCATCGACGACGTAATTCGTCGCTTCGTCCAATGTTTCTTCGCGAACCTGTCTCTATACGTTATTTATCGCTTTTTTCGCGCGATGCGTGGAAAGTCATTCGACGCATCATTCCGAGCCATTGGCTCTTGTAATCTCAACGCCTCGGAAAATTCTGACCGGTAATTCAGTGAGATATTTTACCATTTGCGAGTGAGCTTTAAGGATAGCGCCAAAGATGGCAGCACAATGACGCCAACTCGCGAAAATCTTATGTAAAATACCGATCCATGATCGGAGGATGTTTGATTTTTAATTTTTTTCAACTGGCTCGGGATAATCGAAAAACACTCAATTAGTAAATTTTCTCAAACCCGATTTATTTGAGAACATTGAAATAAACAAAAACTACAACTAAATAGTCATTTGGCCATATTAATTTTCATAGCTGGCCAATATCAAGCGAATTATATTCTGCAGGCTCGATCAAACTTTCTTACGCTAAACGTTCTCGCATCGTATCCGTCATTATTATCGTGCCACGGAGTATGTCGCGAACATTTGTGTCTCTTCCTGGGCTTTACGTAATCTTTGCAGCAGCAGCTGGACCGACCACTTTCACGTTTTCGCGTTTCATACACACGCCGATTTTATAAATATTCGCGCGAGCTGAAAAATTGTCCTCGAATCAGCCTGCTAAATCGAGAATCGAACTGTCGCAGCAATAAACGAGACGATTATTTTGCAACGGCAGTTTTCGATCTAGGAGGGCAGGAATTGGCTCGCGAAGATCGATGTGACAATATTTATTAATCAATATTTTCATCGATTGGAATTCGACAAAATGATTATGACCACCACCGCAAAATAAGTGAATTCTGTTATGAGACGCGCCATCCGAGTTTCTCCGTTAATTTACCATTACAATTTTGGTCAAACGCACTTGTCTCTCGAGTGCGCGACAACTTATGCAACTTATCTTGTGGTACAAAGATTACCATAGCATAGTCAAGCTCGATACGCAAGTAAAATACTAAACGAGCCATAGTCGAGAAGGTAGAAATTGTATATTTTCTTCTTTTACTTGAGTGTGAAATCATCTTATCCCTGTTGAAGATAAATCATCAGCGGTAAAATGAATTCAATCGTAATTGAATAGAAACGACAGTTGAGATTGTTCACTGCATCGATATTTAGCCAAGTTATTTTCGTCATCGCTTTTGCTATGCCTCGTACATATATATCGTTGACAAACTAAACAAATCATCATATCCTCGTGGTTTAATGTACGTTCGCGCTTCGAATAGAAACATTTGCATGCAAGACACGTTATTTTTCTGTCAAATCATTTTTATTCTTTTTTATTTTATCTGCTACTGTTTGCATTTAAAATTTACAATCTAAAAGATTTCATCCTGACTTGACCTCGCGAAAAATTAAATTATAATCATTTTAACAAAACTTACTACGAGTTAGGAAAACGTTAGAAAGTCATTTATTCGAATAGTCATTTATTAGAATAGAAATAACAAACTAAAGATTCGCCAAGGAATATCCTTACTAGCGAAGCCACCTGAAAAGCAGCGAAGGCAAGGATGTATGGAACTGAAATTACGTGAAGGGTAAAACCGAGCTCAATTGTCGACATCATAATCAATGACGTCAGATTGTGGCTACGTACGGGTGAAAAAAAGAAGAAGGAAAAATTACGTTTGTTGAGCCGCTGGAGGCCACCTATAGCTTTCTCGAAGTAACGCGTGTATGTGGTATACGTACATGCAGCCACCGCCGCCGTCTACGGCAATTGTGCAACTCACGTGCACATACACTATAACAACTGACGTAATAATTCGTGTTCCTCTACGTGTACATGTAGATGCGTATATAATATACTATAATATACATGTACAGGACGATTAAATAACCTTAGAGCAGTTGTTATTATACATCACAAATCTCCTCTGCTCGACGTTTGAGCATCTGACAAGACGTTCGAATTTAGTTCATGCTTCCTTTCAGTTAAAATATTCATCCTAGTAATCATAAAAGCTCATAAAAATTTTAATGAAGAATAAATAATATTGGATTCAAAATATGAAATACGTGAAAAAGAAAGATAATTCTCTCTGACACATTGTCTGAATAATTCAAAACAAATCGTCAGGAATCTGGAAATTCACATCAATTTCAGTAGAAGAAAACAATGAAATACGCGCGATGTTCTTGGCAAACAATAGTCATAAAGACGATGCGTGCATTATGTACTACTGCTGGAAAAGTGTAAACTCGCGTGAACTTGAATGAAGAATACAATGCGTTCACCGAGTCGCGAAGTCAGGGTTAACTAATTGTTCGCAGGATTGTGGACAGGTGTCTTTGCACTTGTCAATTTTGCATTTGCCACTGACAAATCTTCGCTGTCCAAGACTACCTAAATATTCTCAATTGGAGCTGTGAAGAAAGTTGACGAAGAAAAATCATAAATAACTACGATCGATCGATAACTGAGTAATTGTCTTTACCTCGAATAGAATTTAACACCTGATTCGATTTACCTTCAAATTTTTAAAATTCCTTTAATCATTTATATGTTTACAACAGTTCCTTATTTGAGTATTTCCAAACTAAGAAATGTAGCTTTTTATGGCTTTTTCTATTGATACGAAAACAATCAATTCACAATTACGTCCGTTTACTTTTAAATTGATGTTGATGCGAAACTATAGCAAAAAATGTGATAGTAAAGGTGTCTCATAACTGTTGGTTTTACAGGGAGCTAATTATAATGTTAATGCTTCAGACACGTTTATGCTTCTTTTATTCAAATTGCAACTGAACTTACAATAATATTATTGCAGAGCAATTTAGTGGTCTATCATAATTGCAGTTAGTTTAAATTTTATATGTTCTGTGACGCAGTCGGAGTAAAAAGTCACTTTTAAATAATTAATTCATTTAACATTTTAATGGATCGTTCAAACCAACGACTGAATTCTTTACAGCATGACTCGATCGTTAGTTATAATGGTATAATTATTTTACATAACTAGACATTTACAACAATTGAGGAGATATTTTGTATTAAAACATTATATTTACTCGTTTTCACTACAACTCTACTTACTGATTGAATTCAATAAAATCCGATGCATGTACCATTATATAC